AACCCTAACCCTAACCCTAACCCTAACCCTAACCCTAACCCTAACCCTAACCCTAACCCTAACCCTAACCCTAACCCTAACCCTAACCTAGGTACTTAACTAGCGCCTACTTCTATAAGGTAAGCGCTTACCTTTTACTACTCTATCTATTTTACTATCTTTACTACTTTAGATTAAGAGCTTACTTTTTATATTAACTAACTTTTAGTAAGCTAAGATACGTTAGTTTTAACTACTTATTAGTATTAGTTAATATTTAAGTTTTTTTTTATATAGTATAAGAACTTTATTTAGCTTAATTTTTATATTATAAAGTTAAAGTAGTAGAAAATAGCTTAGAGGTGTAGTTTTTTATTTAAGAAACTATATAGATATACGCAGCTTTATATAAACTATAAACTAATTCTATAAAGTATAGAGTCTAGTAGTTTACGTTAAGTATACTAGTTTCTAGTATAGACTAGCTTATACAAGCTATATACTAATTAATATTATAAAGTAGGTAAGTCTAGTAGTTTACGCAAGGTCTAGTAGTTTACGTAAGGTCTAGTAGTTTGCGTAAGGTCTAGTAGTTTGCGTAAGGTCTAGTAGTTTACAACGTTATACGTTAATATCTTTATAAGTAGAGTAGCTATTAATAAACTAAAGATAGATTTAAAATTATAGCGTAATTCTATATTAAATTATATAGCTTAAAATCCTCTGTAGTAGCTATGCAGCGTATAGTTACGTAAGGAATATTAAAATCTTACTCTTATCTTTTAATATAAATAGCTTAATAACAAGAGCAGCTATTAACAAACTAATTAAAGATTTAAAATCCTCGCGTAATTCTACATAAAATAGCTTATTTTAATTTTTCTTTACTAGCTATATAGCGTAGATAGGTAGCCTCAATCCTACTACCTCGATCCTACTCCTCGTTTCTTATCGCATCCTTATCGCTACTAACAAAACAGCTCGATCCTACTAGGATCGAGCACATCCTCTAGGGTAGGATTCTGCTGTTAGATTCTGCTATTAGATTCTACTATTAGATTCTGCTATTAAATATAAGTACGTATTAGGATTCTGCTATAAGATTCTATTGTTAAATATATAAGTACGTGTTGGGATTTTGCTGTTAGATTCTGCTGTTAGATTTTCTGTGCACAGACTAATTTTTAACAGATTCTGCTGCAGAATCCTAGATTCTAATATACTTAGGCTTCTTTCTTATCGTGTGGAATATCGTTTGCAAACTGAAGCACGGTTCTATTCGTCTCCGTTGCCGGGACATACTCTAATCCGGTGGAGACACTGTTGATTATGTCTACTATCTCCTTGTTTTGTGCATTGCCAACTCCCAACCACACCACGGTTGAGGTAGCCTGGCTGTATACCTCGCCTATTATGCCGACCTGGCTACCACGCTCGGAAATGTCTGCCTGGTTAATGCAGACTGCGTCAATCCAAAGTGTACGTTTGGCTTTACACCATTTCCTTAGATGTCTCAGGGCCTCATCAAGGTTGGACGTAATACTCAAGGTATGCATATGGGAACTGTCCTCGGACCCGGCCAAGATGGTCATCAATTTCTGGCTCGCAGCACTTCCCCAGTAGTATGAAAGTGCTTCGAAGGAAGGGATATGCGCATCATACAGAGGTTTCGTCACCAAGCGGCACCGAATTGGTTCATCTGGCTCGCCGGGGTATAAATAAAGGAGTCGGACCTCCTTTTTCCTGGAGTCCAGTGGCTCGTACAGAGGAGATGCAGGAATAGCACTGGTCAAAGACACATCCACACGCGGTGCGTTGGAGACCGAAGTAGCAACCACAAGACGGCAGTGAACTCGGATTGCGGCTTAGGCGTCTACAAATACGTCTTGTTAACTCTTCTCGTAACACACGCAATACGCTAACTAACTGTTCTTATCTACGCCTCTAAACGTGTTAAGGTTATCTCCTTGAAGAGATTACCTTTACTGTTCGTGCAATACTAGGTACACCAGCAGTGTTAAGAGTAAAAAGGTAATAGTGTCCTGGGATCAAGATGCCACTATCGTTAGGCAGAGTAGCAGTGTGTCGTGTGCCACTGCGAACAACATCAGTCAACGGGATACGTCTCTGGTCACTGTTGACCGAGTGTGTAACGCTACCAATCCGAACGAGGACAAATCTGGGATTAGCAGTAGAGGTAGTGATCTGTAGTTGGCCGCCGACCGCGATGCTAGTGGAGCTGAGGGCAGAGATGATAGGACGAATAGCGGCGGAGCCATCGGGATTGAAAAGGTAAGGTGGTGAGAAAGTTTGGCCATCAGCGTGGTCAACAAGCTTGTTGCAGTTGACTGTGCTTCCACCGACCTGACCAGTGTAGCAAAGGCCACCACCACCGCTAAAGACGCGACCATCGGGAAGTAAGATGCTGACTGAGTGGTAGTTGCGAGGGACTGCCTCAGCGGCTAGCGTTTTCCAAGACTTGGTTACTGGATTGAAGAGCTCAGCTTGGAGGATACCAGCATCGTCAGTGAAGACCATCGAGCGACGCTGGCCACCGGTGACAAGGACAGTGCCATCAGGAAGCACGACAGCGTTCGAGAAGCCGCGAGGGTATGCCATATCAGGAGCACGCTCAACAACAGCAGGCTGGCCGTACTCGCCAATGCTGATAATGTGGGCGCGGTTGTTAGCGTCAGAGTTAGTGTAATCAGGCGAACCACCGGCAGTGAGAATTTTACCGGGCTCATACATAACAAAGATACCGCACATAGCATCGTCGGTGTCTCGTGTACCGGCTGCGACCTGAGCACCATTGCCGTTGGCACTGTACCAATTCATTGCCTTGCTCGGGCCAGCCTGGAACACAGATCCGTTTCTCCAAGCAAATAGCCAGCCGTGATTATCTTCTCTCCATATGCCCTCGGCATCAGTAGTAAGCATTGGGCCGTTCTTTGCGCCAGGGAGTGCCTTCCAAGAGTTGACTTTTGGATCGAAAACCTCTCCGTCCTTGCCCTGTCGCGGGCCAGAGTAGGCACCCCCAATGGTAAAGACACGGTTGTCGCTCAAAGTAACAGACGTCTGGTAGCCACGCGCCATAATCATATCTGGTGCGCGAGTAAATGTGTTGGAGGAGGGGTCGTAGTAGCTGGTTTTCTTGGCGTCCGAACCACCTTGAATGAGAATCCGTCCGTTTTCTAGGGCACTGATACCGGGACAGAACATGTCGTGCTGAGTGTTGGCCACTGTGCGTGCAGATACTGCGCCACTGTCGCATATAATTAGTATTAAGTTTCAATACACTTTCTGGCGTGACCTACGAGTTGAAATTATAGTCTGCAAACTGAGTGCGGCCACCCTCGCCTCCGAAGGCATCAGCACCCCAACTAGAGAACACCATAAGTCGACTTGATGAGGGAAACTCTGGCACAATGTAGGCAGCGACTGGAATGACCGGCAGTCTTACTAGATCAGACCAGGCTCCGCTTACAGCTGGGCTAGCAGCGACATCTCGGCGGATGACATCGAAGCGCTTGTCTGTCGACCAGATCACGGTGTTCGTGTTCGGGTCTACCTTGATGTGGCATATCGAAGCAACCGAGTCGAACACTGCTTGCATGCAGGTGTCAATCGTTGAGCATCGCTGAGCACAGTCGTTCAGTGTTGTGATGCCATTGATCATCTGTGCACTTCCACCACGCAGATCGGTATCACGGCAAATTTTGAAGTTTTTCTGCATCGTAGTGGTCAGCAACAGAAGAACTGCAGAGGTCAGAACGACCTACCCCATTGTTGGTATAAGTAGTCTCCGGGTAGGGACACTTCGCGATGTTGACCTGCTCTGCCTGGATAACATCAAAGCGTCCATTAGGTTGCCAATTTAGACCAGCGTTGGCCTTGATGTGGCAGTCTCTGGTTTGTGTATCATAGACAGCCTTAAAGCAGTTTAAAGCACCGTCACATAGCTGCGCACATGCTGTAGTAGAGGCAACGTTAGGTGTGATTGATTGTGACGCTCCAATCAAGTCAGTGTCTGGACACACTCGATATCTGATGCCCTGAGTTCCGGTAAAAGTTGTGTCAGTGACAGGGCATGCATTGATGGCAGCCGAGATTCGAAAGAGAAGGAAAATAGAGATGAAAGTGATGGTATTAGGACGCAACATGATGAAGTGAATGGAAAGAATGTAATGGCTATGAGATGGCAGTCTTCCTCTGTGGTAGTCCCAAGCTTATGTAGTCCTGCGGTTTCCGTGAATAACTTGCCCTGTATTCATCTCATTACTTGGCTAGAGACGGACTCCGACATACCCCTCAGCCAAGATGCACGATTTTGCTATCCTTTCGTGTGCACGATGACCGTCTACCGTACTACCGTTTCACTCTCTCCGACGTGATCCAATTGGTAGTGGCTTAGCCTCACGGAGTACTATCCGGAATGGAACTGGGAAAAATAGGTCAAGCTAGATCGTATCAGACTCGTATTTCTAGAACAAGCTAGCTAGCTCTGCGAGCTCAGCCTCTAGTGACATCGCGGCGTTGAGCGATGAATTCTGACTCGGTTTAGGTTCATCCGCACAAGAATAGTAATTTAGCGACTTGGTACTTTGGTCGTCCTAACACAACGCGCGGTTTGGACCCTAGACCGCGCCGAGGTAGGCTTAGCGTCAGGGTTACGTGTTCCAATTGAGCGATTTGCACCCCCCTAAGTCAAGATCCCAGTTGAATTCTAGACAGTCGTCTGGGGATAAGCGAACTACTCTACTATGATAGCACTACTGATATCGCAATACTCTACGTAGCTTGTCTGATGGGAAATACTGCATTTCGCTGCTTCCATCTCACACTTCCGTCTTCGTCTCGATCTTAATCTCTGGACCCTCGAGCTTCTTTACTTTCCTTCCTTCCCACCACGACATGATACCCGCGAACATCGCAACGCCGCATCCCAGCGCGATAAAGGTACCTGTTGCCCACGTCGGACGATCTAAGCGGTTATAATGCCACATAAAGAAACAAAGGACCGCCTGCAGCAGCGTGTTCAACACCATCATATCAACCGTGAACGCCAATTTCCACATGCTCGTTGGCGGTGCCCTCACTCCTGTAAACGTCGCAGGCTCCAGATTCTCCCCACCATGTCCTTCGCTCTCGGTGAACCACACAGGTGGGCGGAACCACGCTTTATTTTGGTTGAAGAGGCGGCGCATAGCGTTCGAATCGTGGAAGTGAATGGCGCGCTTCACCCAGTAGAAGTCGCGGAAGCGCCAGGGTGCGAGGCCAAAGCCAGTGACGCAGAAGAGCGCGTTGAGAATTTGGCTGTCGATCTCGAGCCAGATCTTATTCTGGCTATAGTCATTGTCGCAGTCGTAAATCTGCGTGCCGCGCACATGGCACATGGCAGGGGCGGCCTTTAGGAGCAAGAAAAAGAGCATTGCACCCCATGCCTGCAAATGTCAGCGCGCATGATTGTGGCAGGATGAGGGACAACATACCACGACGTTGAGGCCATAGATTGTGATCAAGAAGCCAGACGGTGTGAGGAAAAACACCCAGAATGCTTTGAGACCGTTCTTGATGGTCGAACCCCACGATTCCTTGTGTTCAGATGCGTGCTTCTCCTTCAGCGTCTGTCGGCGGCGGATTCCATGCCCATGATGCCTGTGCAGATGCTTGTGTGCCTTCTCATCTGTCTGTCCTGGTAGCACAGGTTCCTCGGTCGCTGGACGGTCGAGGACTCTGGTTTGCGACTTGACCAGAGTAAGCCCGCCATCTTCGTCCGGCTTCGCGACAAGCGTCGCATGGCCATGGGCATCGAAGGTGATGTTTGCGCCGCCGACTTCCGGTTCTCGCAGCTCGGTCAGATTTGGCGCTTGAGCCATTGCCGTTGCTGTGGCCTGCCACATGCCCAGCTGCGGCGTCGTGTGCAGCAGCGATGACAGGGACATTCCTCGCGCCCGCCCCGCAATGCCCTTCTCCTGGTCGTCCGTCATGGTTGGACGTGTATGCGCAATCGGCGTCGCGCAAGTGTCCCTTTTGGTATCCAAGGCGAAAGTGAGGGTTGAGGAAGAATAATTGTTATCGTTGCGATCGCATGTTCCTCCGCTGTCCCTCCGTTGCTCCACGCGTTCCAAGCTAGAGGCGCTTAAGCCTTTGTATGCGGATCTCCGACGAACGTGATAGGTGTGCTGACGCGGAAATCATCTGCGCGGTGATGCGCGTGCGTCGGTGTTGAGGTCCAGGCTATTGAGAAGATCCGGCCGACTGTGATTACTTCGTACGATGGTACGGGCGATGGTTTGCTGGGGGCGGTTGATCGCCAACCGAGGCGAGACAACGCGCTGTGGTTGGCGAGGCCTGCCGCAGAAGACCCGCAAACTGCAGATCTAGGGCCAGAAAAGCAAGAGGTGAGCATTGGCGCTACCACTCATCTCAGAAGGTCCGACTGCATGCCCAAGCAAACGTCGATAATCTTACATTATGTCATCCAAGCCGTAATCTTGGGTCCGTATATATCGACGGGGAGCCAATGTAGTCAGCATTAGCAGCCGGTATCGCTGTCGCCATGCCTTTGAACTTCCACAAGAACCAGAAACGCGGGGAATTCCATGACAGCAAAGCGCAAAGTACCGGGCGAGTCAACACCTTTGGCCAGGTCGCCATTCAATTCCACAAGAACACGCATGCGCTAAGACATTGGATCGATAAGGCTCAGGTTGAAGCCGCGGCATGCCGACCAGCGCGGTGCGCAAGACCGCGAAGAGGAAGCACAACCCTAGTGGATGAGTTCATCAAGGAACAGACCAGCGACACCGGTGCACCGCGATTGAACATTGCAATACATATCTGTGGATCCCGGGGCGACGTGCAGCCCTTCATTCCGATCGCAAAGCTGCTCCAGGCCGGTCCACATCACCACCGGGTACGCATCTGCACGCATCCAGCTTTCAAGGATTTCGTGGAAAGCAATGGCGTGGAGTTCTTTTCGATTGGTGGTGATCCGGAAGCGCTGATGGCGTACATGGTCAAGAATCCTGGACTGTTGCCCAACATGCAGTCCATCAAAGCTGGTGATATCGGCAAGCGACGGAAAGAGATGGCTGAGATGATGGACGGAACCTGGAGAAGTTGTATCGAGGCCGGTGATGGTATGGGCGAGAGAATATCAGCGTTGAATGTAGACGCGGCGGAGGACCTGTTCATTGCCGACGCTATCATCGCCAATCCGCCTTCAATGGGACATATCCACTGCGCAGAGAAGCTGGGCATTCCGCTGCACATGGTCTTCACAATGCCATGGTCGCCGACGAAAGCGTTTCACCACCCCCTCGCGGCTATGGAATATGGTGAAGTCGAGAAGTCTGTGGCGAATTACTTCAGCTTTGGCATTATGGAGCTGCTAACTTGGCAAGGGTTGGGAGATGTCCTCAATAAGTTTCGAACGCAGACTCTAGGCCTAGACGCGATGAGTCCGCTGTGGGGCCACCGGTTACTCCCAAGGCTTCGTATTCCGTACAGTTACCTTTGGTCCCAGGCTCTGATACCGCGGCCGTCTGACTGGGGCGACCATATCAACATCACGGGATTTTCATTTTTGGACGCCGGTTCAAACTACACTCCGCCAGATGATTTGGCCGACTTTCTTGCCAAGGGACCGCCGCCAGTGTATATCGGCTTTGGTAGCATCGTGGTCGACGACCCAGTGGGCCTCACCAAGCTTCTCTTTGAAGCGGTGAAGCTAGCAGGAGTTCGAGCGATTGTTTCCAAGGGATGGGGAGGTGTAGGCGGAGGTGACGTACCAGACAACATCTACCTTATCGGCAACTGCCCACACGACTGGCTGTTCAAACGGGTATCTTGTGTTGTGCACCATGGAGGCGCTGGTACAACAGCTGCCGGGATTGCATTGGGAAAGCCCACAGTTGTTGTGCCGTTCTTTGGTGATCAACCCTTCTGGGGACAGGTAAGTCTGTGACGATCGATGATGGGGTTGTATTGACGTTGCGACAGATGATTGCTAAAGCTGGTGCCGGTCCGGTGCCTGTTCCTTTCAAGCAAATGACTGCAGAGAGCCTCGCCAATAGCATCACCTTTGCGCTCCAAGATTCGGTCCAAGTTGCTGTGCAGAAAATGGCTGCGAGTATTGCAGAAGAAGACGGCGCTGGTGACACGATGCGAGATTTCGAGCAGAGGTTGAATATCGACGCCATGCGATGCCAGCTATGTCCGGAACGCCTGGCCATATGGCGTGACAAGCAGACTGGGGCACATTTGAGTGGTTTGGCCGCATGTACGCTTGTCGAGAAGAAGATACTCGACGTGAAGCATCTACGGCTACTGCGACATCGTCATTACTACACACACGAAGGAGCCGAAGGACCATTGGTAGGTGCCGTGGCAGCCTTCGGAGGACTCATGGCTTCACTTGGCACAGATACGTCAGACTTCTCTCAACGCCTGAAGAAAAGACCACGCGAGTCGGACTTTGAAGCCTTGAAGAGAACACTGACAAGGGACGATTCTGATGACGCTAGGCTGGAAAAAGGTATAACTTCGAGGCAATTCCACCACCTGGCATACAGAATGGCAGCGAAATCTTACGAAGACGACATGGTTCACAACTTCGAAAAACCTCCAAGTCGACCGGGGCTGACTGCCCTCCGTGATAGAGTCGCAACAAGAAGAGCTAAAGGTGGTCGTGGGTACCAGATAGTCAGCGCCACCGCACACTACATCGGTGATCTTACAGGAACTGGTGCCAAGGCACCAGTGGCTCTTTTCTACAACATGGCCAACGGCTTTCGGAATTTTCCGTCGTATGCGATACGTAATGATCCTGCCAGGCGAAGAGATGAGATTACTGGCTTTGGAAGTGGATGCAAATTAGCTGGGAAAGAGTTTGTGCTCGGCTTCGGCGATGCATTGGTGGGTATTGCAAGGCATCCATATCTTGGTGCAAAGCAGGAGGGCGCTCTTGGCTTCGGTAAAGGGCTTGGTAGAGGTCTTGGTGGACTTTACTTCCATTCGATGGCTGGTAAGTTGACTTGACATTGTGGAATATGCCTATCTAACGTGACCAGCAATCTTCGGCGTACCAGGATACTTCTTGAAGGGAATTGAGCGGGGGCTGTTGGCGCGCCATCTCACTGCTGTCCAGGCCGAGATCTTCTTCATTCAGCTGCGCCGATCGGGTGTTGGCTTCCGTGGTGCGAGTGACGCCGAGAAGGCAGATCTGGTAGCGAAGTGGGAGGAATTGAAGTCCAGCATAGCTAGACATTAGCGTAGGATCAGTGGAACGAGCACTGCAGCCTGCAGGGCTTAGTGTTGGGGGGAAGGTCGTGAGACGTCAAGGTCATGCAGGAACAGCTGGTGGTTGGGCGACTGCGACCGCGCCCGCGGGCCCCGTGGCCCCCACACGCTCTAATTCGTCCGCATCAGGCACCCAACACGAGGCGTGCTGAGACGGCTGAAGTCGTCACAAATAACATGCTGAACATTGCGCAAACCACAGGACTTTCTCTTCCGCTCTATTGTGCATCTGATCATCATATCTTCTAGTGCGCTAAAAGTGTCAGCCGAGCACGCGCAGCAGCACGCCGATCACAACCTCCTCAGCGCCATCGACACTTAGACGAAGGCGCATTGGATCTCCGTCTACGACTACATGCAGCGCGCGCACGCAATGACTGCAACTGATCTCAGTCGCATAGTATGGCAGATTGCGCTATCTGTAGCGGCTGCTGCCATGAGCGTTTTTATGTTCAAGCTCGTGAAGATGCGCATGATCTTCTACAAACTAAAGAAGCAAGGACTGGTACGCAGCCCAGTTGAGCAATGCCGCATGTTTCAAGCTGACACGATATGGCTTGAAGCCAATACCACCGTGGGACTTCGCAGCCGGTAACCTCAAAGTGCTACCAGGACTCCTTGAAAAGTTTCCCAAAGGCTCCCAACAATCTGATGTATTCACCCTGTTATCTAACGACTTCAAGGACTCCGACAACTGCTTTTACGTCGATCTATGGCCTTTTAGCAGTCCGCTCCTTGTAGTCACCTCACCAGATCTAGCAATACAAGCATGTCAAGAGCATGATCTTCCAAAGCCTCCGGTTCTCATACCGTTTTTTGCACCCTTTGCGGGTGGGCCCAATCTGTTTGATATGAACGGCGCAGAGTGGAAGCGCTCGAGGGCGCTCTTCAACCCGGGTTTTAGTGACAGGGTAATGCTTGGGAGCATACCGCACATCATCAAGGAAGCCGAAGTCTACGTGAAGCTGCTGCGAGAGCACGCGAAGAAAGGGGATACGTTCTCGCTGGACAGATTGACGTGCGACTACATGATGGACGTAATCGGTGCCATCACCATGTGAGTGCATGTCGCTTCGTTGCAGCGTGAACTTGTGCTGATATGCTTTAGCAATACTCGCCTTCACTCCATGACTAGCCGCAATGCGCTTGCAGCTGCCATGCGAAGCTCTATCGAATGGCATTGCCAGGATGAAGAGTTGAACCCTTTCATACGCTGGAACCCTATGCGACCCTTGATCGAATGGTGGAACGGCAAGACCATGAATCGATACATCGGCATCGAGCTGGACAAGCAATATGAAGACTGGAAGACCCATGAGCCATCTGATCGTTCAAATTCCGTCATGGACATTGCGATAGCAGCGTACATGACCGAGCGCAAGGCTGCGGCGAAGCTTGATGCCGACTTCAAGAAGTGGGCGACTATCCAGATCCGCCTGTTCTTGTTCGCCGGGCACGACTCGACCGCTGCAACGATTGTTTACAGTCTATATTTGCTGTCCAAGCACCCAGATGCTTTGGCCAAGGTTCGTGCAGAGCTCGATGAGGTCTTTGGGTACGGCATCGACACAGCTGCTACCTCACTGAACATGCATCCAGAGCGCATCAATAAGATTCCATACACCACCGCTGTCATCAAGGAAACCCTACGACTTTTTCCACCAGCTGCTGGCATGAGAGGTGGGCTTCCAGGTGTCTTTCTACGTGACAAGAGTGGAAACAAGTACCCTACCGAAGACATCAACATCTGGATCTTACACGGAGCAATACAGCGGAATCCAAAATACTGGCCTGAGCCTCATGGGTTCCTGCCGGAGCGCTGGCTTGTTGAGCCTGGCCATCCTCTGTACCCGCCAAAAGGTGGATGGCGGCCATTCGAAGCTGGCCCAAGGAACTGCGTTGGCCAAACGCTTGCGATGCTGGATATCAAGATCACATTGGCGATGACAGTCCGCGAATTCGACATTCATGATCAGTATGAAGAGTGGGACCGGCTGCATCCTTCGACTGGTGTCAAGACGGTCTTTGGGGAGAGAGCGTATCAGGTACCGCTGGGAGCAGCGCACCCTGTGCACGGTTTTCCTTGCAAAGTCACAGCTCGAGAATTCTCAGAGACTTAGTTGGCATAAGAAAGAAAACTTCAGATCGGTGGAATCGGATGGACGCATCATCAGGCCAGTTGAATCTTCTTATACTGTCCTTCTCACGTCGCTATGTTGAGAGATCATTGGTGAGCTTGATGTTTTAGGGTTTTGGCAAGAAGGTTCCACCCGCTTGGCTTTCCCCGCCCGTGATCTACGTTATCTACAATCCCCGGCATTCTGTAACACAGAGAGCATCCAAGGGCTGAGACTTGAAGAAACTATAGTTGACTAGAATAAGGGCCGAATCGATAGAGGCTGAGATAACAATTGTGCGGCGATCTTAGCAAGTGTACTGCGCACCGCGACAGTTTGATTGGCTGCTGTAGGTCTCTACACCCCAATCTGTACTAAACGCCGGAGACCTTCCTAAACTGCGGTAGCGTTGCGCCTAACACGACAGATGCACCCACCAAGTTACGGAGCGGCCCTCTTGTGGTATCGCTATCTTTACATCATTCGCTAATGGATGCGTACTATATCTGGCTAGGACACGCTTGAGTAGGATATATATTAATCACCGTGTGGAGCACCTGCTCAAGACGGCTTGGCAAGCCGAAGCATTCAATCGGAATCGACCAAGCTTTAACAAGAGATCATAGGGAAGCTTAAACATCTGCTCAAGACAGCTTGGCAAGTTGGCGGACTCACCCGAAACTGACCAAGCGTTGACGAGATATCATGGGGAAGCTTAAACACCTGCTCAACGCAGAGTGTCCCCCGTGCTGGCACACCATCACTGAGTTGAACATTGGGATATTACCCACGCCAAACGTCGGAAATTCCCGCCGCGACAGTACTTAAGTGGGACTGGACCTTCAATATTTGATACTCATCACTTCGAAACCCGCGTTCTAAGCAAGACTCTCTATCAAAGCTTGTCAATATGCTCACCAAGACTCTTCCGATCGTTCTTCTTGCTGGCGCAGCTTCGGCAGCTTGCCCTCTCTCTGTCTCGATTGCTCATGCAGACAACCATGTTGTGAACGTTCAAGTCACCAACACCGGAAGCGAGACAATCCAAGTCTTCAAGGGCAACACCGTGTTCAGTGCCCATGAGACCAAGGACTTGTTGGTAGCCGATGCAGGTATGCATACCTTCAACTACGATCACCTGCCATGAATTCATATTGACGGTCGAAACAGCTGGCAATGCTCTCCCTTTCGAAGGAGTTTACGTCAACTACAAGAAGACCGGCCTTTCTTCCGACAACTTTCAAAAGATCACGGCTGGAGAGACAATCACGGTGCCGGTCAATGCAGCCAAGAGCTACAAGCTTAAGGGCGTCCAGAAAGCCAAGGTCTCCGCTATCCAAGGTTTCCGCTACGCCACAGGAGAGGAGGCTCCCGCTGCTCTCCAAGACCTGTCCTCCTGTGCGGACCAGACGACTGGTGCAGTTGAAGTGACTCCGGACCAAGGCAGCGCAGCTGAGTAAGTTACGACCATGACTCTGGAAAGACATAGGAACTGATATCAGCTCCCTAGACAACACATCTCTCACAAGCGCTCTGAACCTGCTGCCTCCCGCATCCAAAAGCGCTCCATCACCTACTCTTCGTGCTCGACGTCGCAAACGTCTACCCTCAAGACTAGCGTCTCAGACGCCATCTCCATGGCCGGTGCCGCATACACCGCCGCCGGCTCCGGAGCCGACTACTTCACCACCTGGTTCAAGTCAACTTCGGTCAAGTCCAAGGTTCAAACCATCTACAACGACGTCAAGAATGTGCAGACAACCTCGCCCAAGATTTCTTGCACAGACACCTACAACGACTGCAGCGACGGCTCGGCACTCCTCTACACCATACCTAGCGCGAACGTCATCGTCCCGTGCCCCAACAACGGCTTCTGGGATTTCCCCGAGCTTGCCGCTCAGTGCAGCAACGACGACTACGACAAGGCCGGCAGCATTCTGCACGAGATGACGCATTTGTACGGTACAAACGACTACGGATATGGGTATGTTGCAGCGCAAAAGCTTAGTGCCACCCAGGCTGCTGCAAATGCGGATACATACGAGATGTTCGCAGAGAGTGTTAGGCTTGGTGGCTGCACAGTTGGTTAGATACAGTTGTTGAGAAACATATTTACTTGTCAACTTCTCTCCCATTTCAACCGCGTACTGTACATCTATGCATCGAGTGACAGGAACAATCAGGAAGTCCAGACGAATGTTGGCATTAGGGTACTCTGCGTTGAGATATCCGCTAAGAGCGCGGCGGTTCTCGAAGTATTACTTGGCATAAGATCGAAGCATCGACATGTCTGAGATTAGACGAATCAATTATCAGGCTGCATGACATGCAGCAACTTTGTGTTGAGTATGTCCATCCCCGAGGGTCTTGGCACTGCTCCCAATCCCCGGCCGAATTAGCGGTGTTCTGAGCGCTTGCAGAAGCTACCGTCGCCAGCAAATGCGGCTTCAACCTTTGCACGCAGTCGCTGGGGCACAAGGTCGATTTGAGCTGGATCGCGAACAGCCGGCCGTCAGATATGATAAGGATTGAAGCATGTGGGTTTTACGTTAGGTGTGTCCAGTGGATGATGTGATAATTGCCAAATTGGATGTGGATAGAGGCTGCGCAGATGTGAGAAAAGTCATGCGAATGAATCAAACAAAAGCAAGCAAAGGCAAGACCGAAATGCCCTGTTTCGCAGCGTTTAAAATGTCTCGTGATGCGATTTAGACATGGTAGGTCTGATGCGAAGAATACGAGAATTACTCCGCCTCCAGCTGAACGCTGACTTTGGCAACACACATATCCCTATGGCTACAGAACGTTCTTGGCCTGAATCATAGCTGAACTACACACGGTCATCCCACTGCAGTATTACTCTGATTGTTCGCAAGCGCTGCCGACTACCTATCTACATGCCCCTCCCCCCTAGCAGCCCCGGGCTTCCCACTCCAAACTTTCCTATGACGATCTTTGACCAAAAAACATGATCACAAGCCCTCCAGCAGAGTATCCTAGCCTGAAACATAGCTGAGCGATCTTAGCAGCACACCAGTCATGTCTGCCTGCCTGCCCTACAATAAATTGTGTAAGCGCAACTTGCATACATGCCAGGGTGTATGCGTGTTATGCTCGTGCGCGCTGAATATGTCTGGTTGTTTTGGCTTGGGAAGGGGGGGATTCATGTGAAAAGGCAGACGAGCTGTGCAGGCATGAGACGTGTGCGCCAGCTGCCCACGAATTGCGTGGACCGGTGCTGGTATTGTCTTGGTTTTTTTACGCATATATTACTGCAAGTGTATGGGCTGTTCTTCGTGCAGATTTCGTGTTTTTGTATGTGGCTTGTTGATACTGGAATGAATTGCTTTTACACACATTCGACACCACGACTCCAACGAAGCGCCAAAAGATATGGAAAAATCGTTCTTCGCATCTCCGAACTTCCTGACAAATCTGACGATTCTTCTTCTTCTCGGACTCATACCGCTGTCTATACTTGCCGCCTTTCTGATCGTACACCTCGGAGATGGCGATGCGATATCCTCGTGGCACATCTCGCCGGCTGTACTACTCGCGCTGATATCTTCGCTGGTGAATATCTGCCTTGGCACCGTGTTGACATTTGGCGTCGCCGTGCGGTGGTGGTGCGCCGCGAGTCGCCCGGGAGGGACGACGTTGAAGAGCTTGCATTTAGTTTGGAAGCGGGGCGCCGGTGTTGGCTTGTGGTCCGCTCTGAAGATGGGGAAAGATGCGAGAATAGTAGCGCTTGCGGCGTTGATTGTGGCTGGCGTGAAATTCGGTGCGAATCCCTTGTTGCAGAATGCGCTTGCGACGGAAAGAGTGGATCTCGTCGAGAAGATGAACATGACGATTAGTATGGCAGATCGGATTCCGGAAGGCTTATTGGCGGTGAGGACTGGCGGAGGAGAGCTGGATGGTATGTCGACTGCATTGTTACCTCTTGGGGCCGACGTATTGCGAGACTGGTACCTGAATATGATCGCGTATAGCTATCCAACGAGCATTTCGAACATTGTAGAGTGGGAAAAGATATGTCCAAGGAACTCGACCCATGGATGTGGAGGCTATGCTTGTCCCGCTAGAAGCATCTGCAGGACCACCGTGCCCAGCGCTGGCATTGCGGCCGATTGTGGGATACCCAATAATACGACTGTGAACCTGCAAGAATACTTTGGGAAAACAGTCCTCAACATCTCGATCGCTCGAGCAGCGCCACCTTATGATCCAGCACTCATGCTACGAACGTTGTACCTCAGCGAATCGGATGACTCATGTATGGGTGTGGTGACATCTCAGACGTGCTTGATCCGCGCTGCCCTGGTGGAGATACCCGTCAATCTTGCATGGTCCAGAATCGCAGCTGACGGCATGCCAACTCCTCTTTCCACGTTCAATTCTGAAGGTGACTACGCCAACGCGCCAAACGGGACCAAAGCCGGGCCACTTTCGACCCTCGGCTTCATGGTCGGGGCCTTCTTTACGACCTATGCAACACTCGAAGACTTGAACACCGTATCGTCGCTCAATGCAATGGCAAGGTTATTCTGGACATACAGACAGGGTTTAGAGAGGTGCGGCCATGAATACCTCTCGCCTACTCAATACGTAATCGGTGTCATGCAAGAATTTATGGCACATGCTGCGATTGTGGCTGCGGGAGCGTCAGGCGGCAGATACGATCGCCAATTCACGATGGACAGGACAACCCCGACAACGATATACAGAGCCGACTATCGGTACCTGGCTGGAGCCTTGATTGTGATGTTCGCAGGACTGGTGTTAGTTGTGATACTCCTGTGGGGTTGGTGGAGTCTCGATCGTTGGAATATAACACTCAGCCCACTGGAAACAGGGAAAGCGTTCGGCGCGCCGTTACTGAAGTCGGAGCGAGGATCTGACGAGGTGGATTGCATATTGAAAGACAGAGGCCATGTCAAGGTCCGGTATGATGGCATGGGCATTGTCCTAAATGCTAGTGGCGAAGAAGCGGATGCTGAATTACAGTTACTGCGAATGAGAAGCCCGTAAAGTGACCTGATATAGACACAGAAGGTAGATCCTCTTGGCAAACTTGCTGATGGTGTGGAATAGCCAATACGAATACCATAAGAATACAACTAAGTACTGTGGTACTGGGTGCAATGCCGCTTTGGCACTTGCATTGATGCGCCGTCGTCATACACTTCTACCCTTACATATACCACACTCCTTACGACCACGCGGTCTTTATCTGCTGTCGCTGCGTCGTCCGCTTCTGCAACACTCAAAGTGTGCACGAGCGCACGATGTGGCCCTTTTTTCGGTGCAACTTGCCTAGGTTCAAGATTTGGCGTTTGCTGCTCCCAATTCTTTTTCTGTTATGTGATTCCCGCGTGTGTATCGTCCTAGAACGATCGCTAACATTTCGAAGCGAATCTACAAACTCGTATTGCGGCACTGGTTGTCGATTGGGATTCGGAAGATGCGGATCGTCTACTTCGTCGACATTGCGATTATCCGCCTATAGCTCGATCGTCTCATCAGTCGGTTCTTCGTCCATGGTGTCTTGTACTCCCAGCTCCTCCAGCCTCACTTTCTCTACTACCTTTTTGTCAAGCGTGGAGTTATCATCATCATCTTTTGTGCACACTTCTTCCAGTGTCGAAACATCGTCTACCATGTCGTCGTCTTCCGTGAAGAGTACCCCTACACCGGAAACCACTAGCACTTTCACCCCGTCCACAACCTCCACGATCCCAGACGCGACACCGACCTCGACCACGTCCAGCTCCTCTCTACCCCCAACACCCAGCTCCGCACCAGAAATCACGTCAACATCACCCATCAACCCATCATCCTCGACCTCAACCCCAACCCCCACCACTCCAACCTCAACTCCCATATCTACATCCAGCTAGGGAAAAGACAGAAATCGCGACATATATATAGGTTAGATTATGCGAGGTCCTAACACTCGTAGCATACCACTGCGCTAACGCAAGCTTGTTGCTGGTGAGCCTTATACATGCAATTTCCAACAAAGCTATCAGATCCGCCCTAGTAAGAAGACATCAAGGCAGGAGAATATAAGGTCTGTGTCTCGTCATCTCCAATAGCCTAGTCAGTCGATAACGTAGGCCTAGCCTGGCTAGAGCAAGTTTTTGATAGCTAAACAAAGGACCGATCAGGGAGATAGCAGCTCTTCACGCTTCAGGGCCATAGAAACCATATTACAGACGAGAGCAGTCTGCTGACACGTCGATCGATTATAGCAGAATCGGTTCAGTGCAAGGTAAACTTTGGCAATGTAAGCACTAGAACTTTATCACAAGGCTAGGATATCGCCGGGGACCCCCTCTCCGACAATGCGCAACGTCGGTGGCGCGATATACCGTGATAGGTCAAACTGAGCCTTGATGATTGATATGCTCGTTGGTTCAATAATAATCCCCGATCCTTACTCAATCCTGGTTGGGCTTCGATACGCGTTCAAGCTCGTTAGTGAGACTAAGTGGCTCCAAAGTGCTCGAGATATGCCGCCCGTATCCGCGGATTCCGCGACTTCCGAATCGAAGCTTTCCCCAAGGAACATTAATAGATTCTTTCGACGTGCGCAAAGTCTTGAACCATACGCCGGCCGCAACATCTTGCACAATGTCTCTCACCGATTTGGCTCAGGAAATCTTGACTAGTGCCAAGATGCTTGACGAACGAGGGCTTGTCGACCCAGAGTCCAAGCTTGGCTTCCGTAACCTATCGCCAACAGACTACAATATTCGCTCACGACTCATCGATGCGATACAAGAGTTGAACAGGCTAGCACTAGGCCCTACAGAGTATCTGTATTCCCTATACATGACTGGAGTATGGATATACGAACTTCTGATATGCGACCATAGCTGAGTATAGCCCATAGTGCATCCAGATGGTGGGCCTGCACGCAGTTGCACGCTACAATATCCCACAAAAGGTTCCAAACGATGGAATCAAAATCAAGGATCTCGGAAATGAGCTTAAAATGGATGAACAGATTCTAGGCCGTTTGGTTCGGCAAGCCATAGTCCATGGGATATTCCAGGAACCAGAGCCAGACTTGATAACTCACTCAAACCTATCGCGTCTCTTGCGAGACGATTCAGATTGGCTTCACCTCGCTCAGTTCTATACTGAAGATAGTTGGGCAGCAGCTGCTCTGGAATTGGATGCTCTGGAGAAGTGGCCTGCATCACACGACCCATGCCATACTGGTTTCAACTTGGCGCACAAAACGACAGATCCGTTCTTCGATGCGCTGGGATCAGATCCAAGCAGATTGAAACGGGTAGCTGGAATGTTTCGTGCTGTACAAACGATGCTTCTTCAAGGCCCTGACAAACTTACCTCGAGCCCTCTGTGGAACGAAATCGATAAACCCGGATCAAAAGTGGTAGATATCGGGGGTAACAGCGGCTATATCAGCCAACAGCTTGCAGAAGTCACGAAAGATGTCTGTTTCGTTGTGCAGGACCGTCCAGAAGTGGTGCGCATGGCGGAAGAACAGCTTCCGGCCGCTTTCAGGAGTCGCATCTCTTTTAGAGCTCATGACTTTTTCCACGAGCAGCCTATCAGAGGCGCACAAGTCTACTTCATTCGCAAGATCTTGCACGACTGGCCGGACTACCTTGCGATCAAAATCATACAGAACATCATTCCTGCACTCGCAGACGGATCCTACATAGTAATCTGCGACCGAATCTTGCCTGATAGAGCTAGGTCCGGGTATGAAGAGAAAGAAGCTAGGTAAGGAGATATGTGAACCGATAGATTCAGAGGCTAACCTGGTGTGTCAGATCTTCAGACGTGAACATGCTCCTGCATTTGAACGGGCGTGAACGCACGGAAGACGATTGGAAGAAATTGTTTGCTGCCGCCGATACTCGGTTGAAAGTAGAATTCGAGTATTGGGAGAGCAGCGCTCATTGTCTGATCAAAGCTCTCTGGTTGGGTTGATACCAAACGAGTGTTAGAGTGATGGAAGACACTCATCTCCACTCTAGAGAATGGTCTTAATTTGAGTTGTGTCAAGCCGTTTTGTTAGCAGGGGGTATGAAGCAATAAGGAACGAAGAGGCGGAAAAAGACGAAATTCGTTCATCTGATATAGTGATATCAGACTTGTTATAAATTATACAATTCTCCTAACGTGAGCGACATCTGTCCTCTCAAATCACGCCTTGGTTATAATTGAAATCACGCCCGGCGGTGACATTTCCCATGAAGATCGGGCCACCACCGCTACTAAGTGATGCAGTAGTACTCGTGTTACGAACCAGCTCGCATGCCGTTTCTTCCTGGTCTGTTTTTCTTGGAGTTTGGATGAGATGTCCTGGTGCACATGTCTCCTCGGATGTGTGGGACACTTCATGCCCGACGTGCTCCTGCGCCCGTCCGACACCCTTCTGTTTATCAATGGCATCCACCCATAACCACAATTGTCCTCGCACCCTCACGTATCCCGGATCCGTTGCGCCGCTGAATTTCGTCATATCAGAGTGATTCTGGTGGATGCTAGCATTAGGATACTCGGGCAGGATGGCTGACTGGCGAGGAACGATATCGCCGATACCCAGATGAGCCAACTCCTCATAGAAACAAAAGATCTCCATCCATTTGCCTTCATTCCTTCGCCTGTCCTCGATCATAGTGTGAAACTCCTGTTGGAGATTTGATAGCATTTCCGATCCGGGCTCAAGTACTGCGACAATGTCCTTGTTCGTCTGGCGGAAGAGGTTGGACAGTGCTGTGAGCGGCGCCGCCCAATCTGCCTTGCGAGAGCCAAGGTGTGGCGTGCCCATGAAGGCTATTGCGACTGTGCTAGGAAGAAGGGACTTCACGTGCGGTTGCGACGTACCACGGGAGATGAGCAAAGCCTGCTCCACTACCAAACCGCCTAGGCTATGCGCTACGAAAATGACGGGACGTTGAATCTATACTGATCAGTGACGTAGCCTGCAATAGATCCCTATTCACGCACCGAGTTCGTTTCTGCTCGTCGGAGCGAGACATCCTGCGCAAGAGACTTCCCGTGATCGCGAACCGTGTTTCCACCAGCGATGTTGAGGAGCTTCAGTACGTCTGCATCGTAGCCGAACGTCAAGATACGCACATTCCTGAGCTCCTTGGCGAGCAGATCTCGGGGCCAGAAGACCGATGTGGGTTTGTAGGTCCAGGTGGAATCCCGGCCACCTGTGAGGCCATGGACGAACACGATACTGAGACACGTGTCAACGAATTAGTGTATTGTGGTGGTGCGCTCCTCCTACTCTACGGTATCGTGCTGTCCTTCTGCTATCGTTCTCAGACCATAATCGCCTGTTGTCAAGAGGTCACCATCGGAGGGCTCTTTTTCCCGGCTTCTTAGCTTGAGACGGTCGACGAACCCTGATCTTCGCATCGTCACTGCTGCCAACTCAGCTATCTAATTAGCTCCCTGGCACTCAGGTGGAAAACAACGAACCTAGAAAAGTGGAGAGCTTTTAAGTCAGACTGCCGCCTAGTCAAGCTTCGCGCTGATTATTGTGGTTGCTCTGGTGTACAGGATCGTCGTATAATCTCGATGAACAACGAGCTCACAGGCAGCGCTAGGGCTCGACTGTATCATTCAAGGTTTGGAGTACTGTATGTTGATGCGCGACAGGTTCTGGATTTTGAAGCGGAACGGAAAGCTGACTGCCATTTGCGCATCCTCAGCCGCACCGGTGCTGACCAAGCCGGCTGAGTAAGAGGCGAGAATGCGAGCCTTCCCCCGCCTTGTGAGGAATGCCAAAAGTCCTCCTGCGCCATCACCGATACCGTCAGTAGTATAACGCTACTATTATGCACCTCTTCGAACGATTTCAATTGTCCGGTTCAGTTCTTGTCGCATAGATGGACGCGCCGGATCAAGTTGTGGATAGCGGGGGTGGCGCAGTGTTTCAAGGCGATGTCACGGCAGGCAGAGACATTACAATCAACCACATCACCGAGATACGACAGGTCACCGAGCGATTGAGCAGTCGTTCCACTTCGGCGGATATCTCGGAAAAGACACTTGGTAGCTTAGAAGCTCTGTGTGGAGCTGCGGAGTTCACCGAGGAGTACGCGAAAGAATTGAAGGTCGGGGTGTTCGCCAGCGATCTTCCGCTCGAACGGATAACGCGAGAATGCGCTTCTATCTTAACCGAGCTCAAGCGACTGGAGAGTCTTCTAGGACGTGATGGAGATGGCGGCGACGTATTCACCGCATCGCTTAACGAGGATGTTGTGGATATAAGATCAAGGCTCATGAGTCTGCAGATGCACCTCAGCAATATGAATAGCAGGAAGACCGCAAAGGACTTTGAAACTATCAAGGAAGCAGTGACACGACTTATGAATAGCCAATCGAGTTCGGACGAAGCTTCCTCGATTCGCACCTTCTATACTGCTTCAGCGATCCCCTATGTCGAGCGACAGATGTGGCAAGAAGTCCAGAATGCTTTGTGCGCACGCTTTACGACTGACTTTGTGCGAGACAACTATGCTTTGATCGTCGCTTCCGTGGAAGAGCTTGTCTTTGAGAACACGTCTTCGTGGATTGCACATGGACCTCAGTCGGATGATTTGCCTTCAAAAGCGCCCAAGGCTCGAGCTGCAGGCACAGATTTATGTCTATCTGAAAAGTTCAACGTTGCTACATCACACATCAAGGGAGCCGATGTCGCTGTGCAAGACCAATCTTTGAGCGTAGAGGACGGTGCTGACGACGACGCCTCCATAAGTCCGATATACAACAACGGGATAGATCCGACGGGTGTTCGATGGTCAGAGTTGGTCGAAGGTGGATCTGGTGAGTGTCTGCTTACACTAGGTCGGTATTATCGTTAGTATTCGCAAAGCAGTAGCTGACATGCCTCCTAGACGGTGGCGGTGTCAAGTCGTACTCAAGCATCCTGATCATTGAAGCACTTATGGAAGAGATTGTAGCTTGTGAGAATCTTTTCGAGCTGGAGTTCACGCACTATCCCAGAACATTCAGCGCTTCCTACTTTCGCCCATGTCATTACTTTCACAAGGTGTATGGCACATCGACAGGAGGGTATGTACTTCATGTGGAACTATCTCCTCCCACGAGGCTCAGTTCCAACACGGTTTTCTTCTAATGCGGATGCATGCTGATAACTTATTCTAGAATATTAGCCATTGCGTTAAGTCGACTTCGGATGAGCGTAACTCAAACGATCAAAGCTTTTGAATCTGTCCTAACCGCAATGTACGGAAGTCCTGCAAAGTTAAACCCTCTTGCTACGAAATACAACCATTCGGGTCTAGAGGCCACTCTCCATTGGATGGTTCAGCAGTACTGCAAGCAGCACGACCAGGAATCATGTAACCACGAAGAAAATTTTAGGTGGCCTTTGGCGGGTATCCCTATAGAGGGAGATGATGAAGGGTTAGTCGATCCGTACGAATCGGATGGCTCAGGCGGTCCAGATCCTCGCCTCGATGACTTTATCAGAAGGCAACAAGAGCGCCGTCGTTCGGAGCGCCGTGGCCTTGAATATCACGTTTGCCAAACGTAAGTAGATCGCCGTCCCTAATTGTGAAGTGGGGTGTTACTCATCCTACACAGAATTTGCTTAACAACTGTACACAACGGGCAGATAGACGAAGCACGTTTGCTGCGCACATACAACCATGTCTACGACTACGACATTGCTCCCCCATGGGTCACATATTACAACCAGTATAGCCCCGACCTTACCATTCCGCAAGTCGGTCGAGCAACTACGGCTGCACCCTTATTCTTCAAGGTCTTGGAAGTAAACGATCCTCGGGGTAATGTGGCTTTCAAAGATGGTGGTATACGAGAGAACAACCCCAGCTACTGTGCTTATTCAGAAGCCTGCTCACTTCGTGGAGACGAGCTAGAGCCGTCTCTTCTATTGTCTATTGGCGCGGGCCTGACTAGCTTTGATTCGGACGAGGCCCTATCAGAAATCACGCCATTCGGTCTGCCTGCTCTGACCAAATGGGCGAAGAAACGAGCTGTGTTCAAAGATATCCTGATCAAATACGCAGAAGGTCAAGACCGGCACAGAATGATGCGCACCATCGCTAAGGGTGGTCATACATGGTACAAACGTTTCGATGTCACACACGGCTTAGAGACCATCCGAATAGACCAAGGGGAAGGCAGAAGTCTGTGGAAGACGTTGAACACTGCATACGCAGCTACCCAAGCGTATTTGAACCGCCGAGAACGGGACGTAGGTGCGAGTGAATACGATACTCCAGGTCGGATGCTGCAGCAGACTGCGGAAAAGTTGGTACGTATGCGTAGGGCACGGGAGCTCGAGGCTATGACTGAAGGTGGGAAGAAGCGAGAGCAATGGGAAGCTTTCATGGGCAAGCACCTCCCAGGCGAGCGCGAATTCTACCGCAAGTATCAAGAAGAGTGGGACTTTGCCCTACTAGGCCGCAAACAATAGATCAGGGCTGCTCAGGCCCAGCTGTACGTCCGAAATTAGAAGCACACATCATCATCCTGCTTGGCATACAGTACTTCTGAAGTGAATGTATTCGTGTGTGACAAAATGGAGCTATGATTCTTAAGGGGGGAATTGAGGTGATGCAGTAGCAATTGAATGCAGTGTTCCGATAGGCCACAGTCGTGTTGGACGAAGTCAAGAACAAAGTCGATGTCCGCAATGAACCAGGTGACAATCAGCGTGTCCATGTCACGCACGTAGGTTTGTACCAGACTCAACAGGCCCGTAACTCGCACTGCTTAGACCGCAAGTGGTTGTTTGAGTTGAGCCAGAAACCCAGAAGCAGCGAGAAGATGTTGAACAAAGTTTTCCGGGCAGTGCAGATTGTGATTCAGAAGGCCCAGCAAGCTTCAAATCCGTACGTTGTCGGTGTTTCAGCAACGAACTACGTCAGACGCTACGAGATGGGCAGCGAGAATATCGAGAGACCCTTTGATACACGCCATACAGACAAGACAAGAACTTAGCGTGCTAGTTGGTAGTCTTCCATCATCGGTTGCATCTGGCGGACCGTACCACGATGATGTGCCGGGACATGGGTTGGCACGTCCTATCTCACAGCGATATCGACTATATCTGTGCACATTTACACTGCAAAGAGTTGTTGCATTAAAGTCCTGTCTTTATACTTGTAAATGACCTTACAGAGTCAATTCAGCTGATTTGTAGTCAATAATACACTCATGTGCAGTTTCACACGACTGTTGTCTAGCATAGAGTATAGAAATCCCAATAGTTGTAAATGGAAACCGTGTATGTATCTGCGGATCAGAAAATCAACCGCGCAGTTTATGCTGAACGCTAGACTGGTGCTTTCTTGTCGTCCACAAATTACTCGTGGTCAGTCTTGGTTGTGATCGCATCCCACTCAGCCAGTAACCTCATGGTCACTTCAATTTTCTCGCGGATGCCAGGAGAACAATCTGAGCCCAGCGCCACGCGCATCGGAACTTCTCTTCCTTCAGCGGCGCCAGTCTTCGTCAAGATGTCGACTATCACCCTAGAACCCTTCTTCACGTCACCAGGCTGATTGTTATTCACCTTATCCAGTGTCGCCCTGACCTCGCCCACAGCTGTCTCATCGTACACTTTGATTCGTTTCTCACTCTTAATTTGCGTACCAGCATTGAGGAAGCCAGTGCGAAAGTATCCCGGCTCGATAACTGTCACAGAGATTCCTAGCGGCGCAAGCTCACTGCGCATCGACTCAGAGATGCCACTGCATGCCCACTTAGTGCCAGCGTAGAGCGCGAAGCCCGCACCACCATGCCAGGAGCCGATGCTGCCGAAGTTCGCGATAGTGCGGTGACCGGAAGTAGCGCGAATGTAAGGCAGGAAGGCCTTTGAGACATTCAGCATGCCAAATACGTTGGTATTGAACTGATCAAAGTCCTCCTTAGGTCTGCTTTCGAGTCAGTTCAATATCTTTGAGGCGTATCGGGTGCCTAGAGCATCACTTACGAGGTCTCCTCAACTGCACCGACAAGGATATAGCCAGCCGCATTGACTAAGTGATTAATACAACCATACCGCGCATTAGCCTCTTGCGCGATCTTTTCAATCTCTGCTTGCAGAGCTGTGACATCGAGTGCAACAGTCACTGCACCCTTCTCTTGTAAATCGTGGAGGCGCGACGTGTTACGCGCGCTTGCGATGACCTTGTGGCCACGAGAGAGAGCCTCAAGAGCTATGTATTTGCCGAAGCCACTCGAGGCTGCCGTAATGAACCAGACTGGCGGTTGAGAAGACATCTTAGGTGCGCGTGTGACGCGGTTCCGGTTCACCGACAAGATGGAGTAGGGGAAGGAGAGATTCAGGAATATGAGGAGGAAGGTGCTCTTGATTCGAATGAACGTGCATCCAAAGCCTTCATAGCCCCATGCCGCTGGATACTCTTTCGGCGCTTAGCTCTATGCCCGACACACAGATATGCCCCAGGATCATGACACCTAACTTCGATCGCATGAAGCGGTACTTTCATTGGATTGAAGGACTCTGCCCAGAGGCTTTGAACGCAGACACCCCCATACGATCGGTTGTAAGTACCTTATTCCTAGTAGGTTTTTGTTGAGGTCCAGAGAAGTATTGAAGGAACATGCGGGGTTCGTACGCCCGGGCGGCAATGCAGTCAGATACTAACACATGTTACCATGGGCGTAGAGTGGAACCAATGGCCGAAGACGATATCGCTGATGCGCTCCGCAATTCTTCTAGGCATTGAGCGGGCGCTGTGGGTGATGCTGCATGTGATCACTTCTGTGTGTACGAAGATGGATCGGCCGGAGCGCCGATAGCCTTCGGGATTTCAGTGAACTGTCGCAGACACGCACTCTTTGAATCACGGATACACACGCCTACATAACGCCGACATGTTGTCTCAGCGTTTTGATACGTGCGCTTTGCAACAGGCTTCGCCGAGACCAGGCTGTCCGTCAATCTCAATATCGTATGTGATGCAACAAACCCAGGTACAGCGCATCTTGCCCACGAGGTAACCTACCTACACTTCCATAACATGTCACATTATATCCTGTAGAGAGAGTATCTCTACGATCTCGGAAAAGATATATAGCTATATCCTGTGCACACTGGAACCACCGATCGGGGGGGGGCAAGGGTTGCGCGGATTGCCCATCAATGTCAGCAGGGGGTCAGCGGCCGCGCTAGGATGGTCTGGTCGTTGGCGTCATAATTGCGATGGTCTGTGAGCCCGAAACTCCGAACTTGGGTAGGTGAGTTTTATTGCCGAAAGTCGAGTGCATCTTATCGCCGAAAACCACAGACCGTGCTTCGACAGCTGACCTATCAACCACGGCTATGTCGAACGAACCAACATCTCCTCAGGAAAAAGGCACTGATTGTGCATAAGTGCATGATCACATTAAACTACATAAGCATGTGCGAGTGTATCCTCCTCACCGCTAGCTCAAAGACTAGTATTCAACGTAGCCTTCAGATACCAATTGTCAGCTATCCCGTAGTATTGTTTGTTGCATTGCAGGTTCCCCTAGCCGCCAGTCCGACTTTAGGCTTCGCCATAGCCCCTCAGCAGACTAGTACAGAATGATCGGTCCAGAATTCCCGTCGTGGAGGCACATCGAATTCCTGGTGCACGCATTTTCCACGAACGTAGCGTGGCATTATGATATAGTGGACGAAGCTATGTTTCTTAACTAACTTTGCTAGTGGGAAGATCTTTTATATAATCAGCTGAAGGAAATCTTCAATGGTTCCACAGCCAATCTCTCGTCTTCTCCAGCATTACTTTTCCAAATTCTAGCACAGTCTTTGCTATTCCAACCATTGAACCATGACGACGGTCTCAATGACTTGGAACATGCGTCCAATATGAAACTTGCTGATCCAGCGGCTGAATTTATTGATGCAGGCCTGCGCCTCCCTGCTTTAATTGAGAAAAGTAAACTCACACTCACAACGATCTAGGTTGGATTATTGCGTGCCTCTTTTGGAAAGCACATCGGGAAGGTCTGGAGGCATGGTACCCTGTCGGTACTGCGATTCGCAACGGTCAAGAACTCGGTCTTCGCCTGGAGACATCAGCCCCAACGCTAGATTCCGGGCATCAAAGTTTGCCAGACTACAATTTGGGATGCAGGGTCTGGCCAATGCTCCAACTTTGAGATGCCCGTATGGCTGTGGTTCCGGGACGACCAATGGTGATCAAACTGGATCCTAGCCACACCCCCCTCGCCGCTTCGTGGAGTGACAGCCGAGTCGAACAGGAGCTGCCGCGGCCCCGCGACGTCATTCTTTGTGATTTTCACACCGCCTACAGATATCTACAGGATATACACAAGCTCGAAGAAAAGGTTAATGGCGTTCTCTTGGTTGAGGAGTTTCACGAAAGCATCTCTGCTGATATTGCTAATCTTTCTGCGTGGGCTACACCTCAGGGATCACGTTCGAGCAAATCGGCCTGGCTTTTGACAGATTTTCAAATCATGTTTACCAATGTACACTTCGTATTGTTCGCCTTGCATCGACGGTTCGTGTCTCTCTCTTTAAGCAGTCGCTGTAAGGCATATTACTTCACAACGCAGATTTTGGAGTTTCAAACCCGCCTGTGCGATTGTACGGAGCCACTGCAACATAGGAGTTTTAAACTGGGATTTCCCACGCTCGATGCTACGATACTCATTGCAGCCATGCACATCCGATTTCCAGATGAGTTTGCAGACCAATACCCCGCAGCAAAGAGGAATTTAGAATGGGCTTTGGATAGACTAAAACCTCTCGAACCCACGAATGATCAGGCCTGCTCAGCTTTCTATGTTATTCAGCAGCTGTATCAAAAATGTCGGCTAGCGTCTACTCTGCTCGCTCTCTTTCATTCGCATGTCAAGGTACGGAGGCTGGAATATTTGCGGAGTCAGAATCTAAAATGTTCCAATCTAATTGGGACGCCATTCTACAGCCTTTCGATACCACGATTCCAGCGCGCGCATTTCACGAGGCAATTTGCGATGGCACCTTCGTATCCTCATCAGGGGATCAAGCGCAATTTCTTGGAGAAAGAGACCATTCGCCGCTTGAGATGCTATGCCAACTTCTCACTTTGGAAATTTTTCAACTTACAACACGCGAAGTCACATCCAGTGGACTTCGTTCAGCAACACACGACGATGTCAGATGGCAGTCTGGCTTGTACTCTAAACGATCTGTCTTCTCTTTACAAAGGTCGAACGATGCTTGATCAAAGGCTGAGTGAGGCATGGAAGCAAAATTGTAGGAAGTTGCACAAAGATAGTGAGATGTTTACGGAATACCCGCAATGTCAGAAGGCTGATGCATCCCTACTGTCTGCGCTGTACCTTCAATCGGCACCGACCAGGCGGCCCTCCTTTCGATGAACTGCTCTACCTGTGGCCGCAGCTTGGTTTCCGCTAGAGTGGCATCATCGACAGTGCCAGTGCGCAAGATCGTCATCTCAGGAAATCGAGCGCCGCGACGGTACATCAGGGTTCCGCATGTCTTGCAGAAATAATTCGTCATAGATGCATTGGCCCGTACCGTCTTAGCCTCTTCGAATGTCGCGAGATTGTTCTCACCACGAAGGTGCTTGAGATGTGAGTTCGACACAGTGATATTAGATTGGTAGAAGGCGGAACCAATCTTGCGGCAGTCGAGGCAATGACAAACATGACGGTTTATCAAACCAGGTTTCTGGAGTGGCTGCAGATGTCTGTTAGCTCGTGCACTCTATTGTCGGGAGTAGTGAAATGTAAACGCAAGGCCGTATCGCAGCAGACTTCGCATGGATAAACTAACCAGAACCACCTGTACAGCTCCACAAAAGCATGTGGCAGTAGCTTCGTCTTCGGTAGACCAACCATCGTTTGAAAGATGGGTCACGGAGAATCCATGATCGTTGAAGGAATTCATGGCTTCGAATTGTTGACGATACTCTTCGTTGCGGAAATGTAAAACAACAGCGAGAACGCTAAGAAAGTGATCGCTGGTACGAACTGGCTACACCTGGTTGTGGTCTTCGTAGAACTAAGACAGAAAAAGACCTTCTTATATCTTTCTGGATATACGAGTTCGTTTTGCCAGTGCGATCAAGCTTATAAAGTGCAAGTCGTTTTTCGGGTGGGTAAGGCTTGTGGAGACATTTCAGGATTGGGATCTTGCAACGTCATATTCTACATTTAGATGCTTTTCGGTAAAGGATGTATTGGTAATGCTAGATATGTCGTGTAGTTTGCTGACCTAGCGATAAGACTTCGTGGATTGATTTGATGTAGCTGCCCACTCTACCCCGCTGAATTCACCCCACAGTGGGGCAACCCTGAACGTGAGACGCCACAATCAGCACACCAACCCAGAGGCAGTGAGGCAGTACGGGCGTCAGTACCCTTCTAAGACATAGTAGTCGCTGGTTATGGCCGAAGCGATTAGGCATAGAGGAAGGTGGTGAATAACAATATGCGCTATTGAACATCGCCTCTGCAACTCTTTGGAAGAGCTGGAACCAAGTCTGTATGCCGAACTACCCTGAAGGACGCGAACAAGGAAGCTGACTACATGAAACAAACCGTTAAGCGGAGGTGTAGTACCTAATATAACAGCCGGAAGTGACAGTGGCCGCGTGCAGGGCGTAAATCCTCCAAAGTTCGTGCGTGTAGGTGAACGAACCAGGGTCAATCACAAAGGTGAGGCTGGAATTGTTCAGAGTAAGCACTAATTTCATAGTGAGCAATTACTAAGCCAGGTACCCAGATGCTGATAATTGATGAACAAAGAATGACACAGATTGTCTTACCAACTAAGAGGTTTTAATGAAGACTATCACACAAGAAGTGGTGATGCGGAAGAGTCCGGATTAGCGCTGCTTCCGACTCCACGCCGGCTTATTGTCAGTCCTGGTCGTTACTCACGTCATTCTATCAAAACTCCTGCCTCACCGTCCGGTTCAGCGACCTATCGCTGTGGATCAAGTTCCGCACGCGTCAAATTCGTGGGTAGTTTCTGTGTGATTGAGAAATCGTCTTCCTTCTCCTGCGCGAAAGCTCTGTCTGGTTTGGCTGCATATAGGATTTTCTTTCTCCTTCTTATAGCCCAAACCGATGAAATCGCCATGATGAAAGAGCCTCAAGCTGTTCCGACGTCAGCACCGGCGACATGAACGGTTTTGATACCATCTGACTGTACTGGAAGATCGGAAAGGGAGCTCGTTTCTGCAGGCCGGTTGAACATGAACGAGATGGCGGGATGGTTATACCCACTGACAGATCCTACCACAGTGGCACCGCCGTTCACTTTAAGAGAGGTCAGACTTGACTGATGTAGGTAAATGTACATGGAGTCTTGTCACCCATGTTCCGCCGATTCTCTCTACAAATTTGGTAGGCACTTCGTACGCCAGCGCATTATTATTAGAGAGAGCTCGACGCACAGTCAGTCAAATCAAACAGGGCGACACCGCCTTGCTGATCACATCTAAGCGTGTCAAAATGGGAATCTGACGCGTTGTATCCACTGCATACGTCTCTGCATCTAGCGAGCCGCCTATCCTGATCACATGCCGCACTCTAGCAGAATCGCACGAATGACCGAACCTGGAATCATTGCTTGACATACCTCTTCACGAGATCAAACGTTCAAATCGTGCCGCCGAGGTGGTGTAGAAATCTGTGAAGGCTGCACTAACGAGCAGGGTAACCCATGGGGACTGCGCTCAGGTCTCTACAGACGGCAGATCCCTCGGGTGTGGCGCCTAGTGGTGATTCTAGCACGGAGCGTCCACTTCCCTAACTCCAGTACTGACTGTCGACGATGGCGGTTTGCCCACGGGTAAGAAAAGACCATGTTAAGCTGCTCGCTAACCCCCCAGACTCGCTTAGACGCCAATCTCCTACTGCCAGACTTATAGAGATCGCGCCCATAACGAAAAGGATAAATTCGATTTTCCTTCCAGTGGCTTGTTTTGTCGATATCCGGAGAAGCGAAATATCGAGCTGGACTTGCCCACCAATGGGTAATTGACGGTTCTCGGCTCTGCTCTAGATTTGAGCTAGACAAGACTGGTAACCCCCGCATCTTAAACCTGGGGGATCGACACAGGGTGCACAATTAGCGTCTGTGCTATTAGCCTCTAAAGCTTGAACTGAGATCTTTGATAAGTATTGAGGTCGATCGACCACAATGCCGAGGTACTAGACAGAGAAGCTAATAGACCGCATCACAATCAAATTATCTTGACATCTTAGGGTCACCATTTCCGATTTGCATTCTCGATCAGGTAGGCACGATCGTTTAACTGGACTCAGGAGAGCATCACTCGGTTAAATTCATTTCTACTTAGCTAATTAGAGTTTGAAAGCTTGTCTACTGGACTAAACATCTAAGTTCGGAAGCTTATTGCTAGACAAGCTTTCACATGCTACGTTCGCGAGCGCTGGTCAGTATGCTCAGTGTAATGCCTTGACTTACATAAATAGGTCAGCTTGGTCCTCTGTATGATACATCTCAACCAGCGGCGTTTCGAAAGTTTCGCGCATTTTCCTCCATCATGTTCTTCTCATTACTGAATCTTCTCATCTGCAGCCAAGTCGTCTTGGGTAGCATCCATCGCCGGGTAGCACCTATTCCTCCAGCTCAGGATCCTTTTTATCAACCACCAGCAGGTTACGAAAATGCCGTCCCGGGGACCATCCTTAGGTCCAGGCCTGCCCCAGCTAAACTCCAGGCGCTTAGCCTTGTTCCAGTGAACATCAAACAAGTCACCCAACTCTTGTACCGTACGACGAACGCTCTGGGACAGCCAGAGGTCACTGTCAGTACTGTCATGGTACCAGAGAATGCGAGCTACGACAAGGTCGTCTCATACCAAGTGGCAGAAGACAGCGGAGGCCAAATCAATTGCGCTCCGTCATATACCCTTCAAACTGGCTCTCAATCTATCTACGCTGGCACTGGAGATGTTGAGATGCTCCTTATTCTTGGAGCTCTGAACGAGGGATGGATCGTGAGCAGTCCGGACTGGGAAGGTCCTAACTCGACTTTCATTGAAGGCTTTCAGGCTGGCCAATCTACTCTCGATTCTGTCCGTGCAGTGCTTTCGTCAGGCAAGATCACCGGTGTAAAGAGTGATGCCAAGGTCCAGATGTGGGGTTACAGCGGTGGTGCGTTAGCTTCGGAATGGGCCATGGAATTGCAGTCGTCTTACGCCCCGGAACTTAAATTTGTCGGAGCTGCGATCGGTGGAGTGACCCCAAACGTGCAGAACGTGTACGGTACCATCAACCATGGCCCTTTCGCCGGAATCGCCGCTGCCGCCCTCCTAGGCATGGCCAATGCATTTAAGGACTTCCAGACAGCGCTAACGAACCAATTGATTCCGGCAAAGGCAGCGGAGTTTTACCAAGCGGGACAGAATTGCTTCTACGGCGATGTAGTGCTTTTCGCCGGACAGAACATTTCTTCATACTTCTACGATGGTGACGATATCGTCCTCGAGCCAACTCTTGCCAAATACTTTCGCTCGAACGCACAAATGGGTCGTCACGGTGTTCCATCGATGCCGTTATTCGTCTACAAGGCGGTGGCCGATGAGATTTCTCCTATTGCCGATACAGATGCGCTGGTGGATCAATTCTGCGGTGACGGTGTCTCAATTACTTACGTCAGGGACGCGGCGGGTGAGCATTTCACGCAAGCCGCCACTAGCTTTCCAGATGTTATCAACTTCCTTCGTGCGAGGTTTGCTGGAACACCTATCTCTGGATGCTCGATTCGAAACGAGTTTCTAGATGCCTTGGATGCAGGCGGGCCTTCGTACTTTGGCAGCATTATCGTCACCGAACTGTTGAATCTACTAGGCAAACCAGTTGGTCCAGGTAATGTTTAGAGTTACTATGTTATTACGCTGTTACTATACCTACCGTAGTCTCCTTTGAACCGCGCTAGCCTTCGACAATAGATGACAGTGGAGAGTGGTCGCCGCCCTCTCAGATCGTCGGCGCGATATCACCCCATGGAGATAGAGAATTCGTTATAAGAATACGCTATAGAGATGCTAGATAGCCTAACTACCTACTCATCCAGTCTGTCATTTGTGCCATGGTCTGTGCCATGGTCTGTGCCATTGTCCGGACTATCATCCGTGTCATCATCCGTGCTATCATTCGCAATCTGCTCGGTTACATCATCTCGACTCAAGGCTTCTATCTCTTTGCGCAATAGTAGGAACCATTCTCGCATTGTCTCTCCCCGCCTCTCTTGAACAGGCACGGTGATGTCTTCTTTCAGGACGAACTCCTCCATCACGTTGCGCCATCTCTCATTGCTACTAGTCTCTTCGTCTTCTTCTTCGTCAGATCTGTCTGGGTCAATTTTCTTTCCATATTTGAACCATCGCTCATAATTCATGACTTCGGTCTCGCTAGGTTCCAATTCTTCCAGATAAGCACCTGTTCCGTCGACTGGGGTATTTGCATGCTGAGAACCGTGTTGTTTACGCCAAATGTATCGAGAAAGCCGTGTACCCTGCTCATCACGATCGAGAATGAGCGGTCCTACTGACTCATCCCTTGCTTGGGCCTTGTAGCCAGGCAGACACCCTACACTATGCTTGTACCGTTCTTGCAACATGCGGACCGTCCAGTGAATTGTGAGGCCTACATCCGTCTTGGCTTCGCGAGGCACATCCTCTACAATGCTATGTTGCTTTACGACATGGGGTTCCTGAAGATATCCAAGTGATAAAACACTGCCAATCTTGCAAAGGTATTGAGTCCAAGAGCGCTTCGGAGAGCCTGTGTTTTCTACAAGATTCGTCTTTTTGAAGGCGCACCAGTACTTATACCGTGGGCGCACGAAGCGGCCAGGGGTGACGCGCTTCCAAACTGCCCACCAACCGCGATGTGAGCACTTGAGATATCCTGTAAATTGACGGATGATCAGATACATGTCTTTTCTGCGGATATATACATTTCAGACTCACCTTTTGACTCGCTGGAGCTGATGAAAGTACCCTTGTTGGCAATAGGTTCTTTTGATGTCTTCCAATCTAGCATACTACGCCACTGACCAGAAGTAGGCTGCAACTCGATTGCTAGTGGCATGTAATATCTGAACATCACGAACTTGTCCAAACGCGCCTTAGACGCACTCTGTATAGCAGAGATCATCCAGACGAACGGCAGCATTGACGATCCTGAATCTTCGCTACCTCCGCCTATGTCGGAATGACAAACCACGAACGCACATTGCTGTACGGTTGTTCTCATGCCAGCCGTACGGTAGGGCATAGGGTCGAATCCAAAACGTCTCTCGTGTATCGATATTGCGTGAAAAGCTGAATCGACACAACTTGGTACAGAGGCTCCCACGAACGAGAATTCGCGGCTGAAGATCGAACTAACGGTGTCCGACTCTGCAAGGACTTTGATTCTCGTTCTGACAAGAAGCCCATTGGTCTGAAGTTTGTCGATGGACTTTGTAATGTCTTTCCCATTCTTCCACTCCTCGAACAATGACTCCAGGAAAGCGAGACCTTTGCGCCGCAGAAGACCGACCTTGTCAATGAATGCAGCTAGGCAACGAACAGTGAACCCTCCCCGTGAAAAGCCTACGAGAATGATCTCATCCATCGGGTGTTTCAGGCATGGTAGAGAGAATGTATCTTTGTCGTAGTATGCGGCGTTACACGTTCTCTGACACTCGAACACACGCTTGAAGTTGTAGTTCAGACAGAGAAAGTAGTAGGCGTTGAGAATGTGACCAGCCACACCTGCGCCATGTTAATACTGGACAGAGACAATGAGATTAGGGTCACACTTGCCTTCTCCCGACATTCGCTGCCTCAAATTGCCCGTCCAGCCACCCGTTGTTCCAACACCACTGCCATAATACACTTTTTGCGTCCTTACTTTGCTATTCACACAACGAGCCAACCATCCCACATTTGTTATTGGCCTTTTAGTGCCAGCGGCATTGTTCCAGGTGCCATCGCAACAAACGATAAGGCAATTGTGCACGCGTCGCTTCTCAACGGTGCTCGCTTGGACGCTTTTGCTGTTTAACGTGTGTCATCACTATATTCTTGCACGAGACTGCGTGTTTCTCTTGTCTGAAGATCAAGCGCTTCCAAGAATCGCTCATCTCTTGGGAATGACACTATAAACGGCATGACGTCGAATGCAATATGATTCGGAAGGCCCCAGAATCTTCGTTGCGTGGAAGTATATCTAGAGCGCGCATTAGCATCAGTGCCTAGAAAGGGCCAATCCTCATAGAGTCCGTTACATCTGTAGCAGTTTCTCACAGATGCAGCTTTCTGTGAACCGTATTCGCATACAAGAGAGGAAGTATTTGGAAAAAGCGGTGGTTCAGATCTCGGAAACAAGGCTAAGAGATCAACGATTAGGTAGTCCGCGGCCTTTCACCCTCTTTAACGCTTCAGTCACCATGAAGCCGCATAGTAAGTACGAGCTGCAAGGCGTAAGCAGTATTGTGGCATCAAGTATGATATCTCGTAACATCCCGGTCTGGATTTATCAGTTGCTGGTCTTGTGCATGGAATCTACATTGGGGACATCGTATCGAGCCGTGCTAAGACATATGGTTGGTGATCCGGAACTGGTTTGCGCACATGCAGTTCGTTTGCGGTGGCCCCCAAAACGCCTGCATAAGCCACTCCAGTGATCATCTTTCGCCAAGTATGTGATGGGGAAGGGCTGGACATGGATGATTCTCCCAGGCCATCATTATTCGACGTAGATAACACTTTTGCCTTGAAGCTGAGACGCATGATGAATGCGGAGAGTAAGCTGGCATATAATAATAGTCCACGAGTGGTAGATGCAGTTCGTTGCGTGGTTTCGCGAGGGCGCATTGAACGGTATGCGAGCGACGCCCCCGGAGGCTGAGCATACGCGCCGAATTTGAGGTTACGAGGCTGATCAACTCCAACCAGACATGCAATCAGCAACGATGGTCTTGGAAGAATGGACTTGTCTGGATCTGTTGCATCCTAGTGGGTTTTGGGTCCGTGCAGCATTATCATCCGTGCTTGTGCACTGAAGCTCGCGCGTTTGCCAGCGTAGTCATCGCCAGCCTTATTCTTGTCCTCATTATTACCCTTGTAAATTTGCATGGCCCGAGCCAGTGGATGTGGAAATCGTACTAGACAATCGACAAATACTAACAGGCGTACTGAACAGGCCTTTCACAGTCTATTTTGGAATTGGTTCCACGCTAAACTCAAGCTCATGGTGCGGTATAACCACCATCGACAAGAATATCTGTTCCCGTCATGTATGAGGAAGCGTCCGACGCAAGCAAAAGATATACTCCCTTAAGCTCTACTGTTTTGCCGAAGCGTCTAAGGGGGTTAGCCATCTTTTCTGTTCTCAGAGTTTGTGTGTAGGATCATTTACCCCATAGGCACTTTGTCCATGATCGCGCTCATGTCATCATCTGCGACCGGTCCGGCTATAGTAGTTTCTATAAACCCAGGAGATACAGTGTTCACACGAGCGAAATTTAGCCATTCGATCGCGAGGGATTTGCCTGAACAATGTTAACATAGTCGGACTCGGTAGAAACACTAACAAGTGTCTCTAGATTGCTTACACATATGAATGACGGCGGCCTTGGATGCATTGTACGCCGCTTGACGTCGAGGGATGTTGACGATGTGGCCAGACATGCTCGCTGTTGCGATAAAGCTGCCGGTTTCAAAATTTTCGAGCGAAGTCCCATGCAATGTAGTTCCCTCTTGCTTCTGTCTGCGGAAGTGACTCCCAGCAACATGGGCGCAGTAGACAAATCCGTTGGTGTTGATGTCCATGACTTCAAGGTATCTCGCAATGTTCGAGTCGATGAACGACTCATCCCCCCAGGAAACGCCAGAATTTGCCACGAAGATGTCAAGGCGCCCGTTGAGTTCTTTGATAGCGTTTTCCATCGCCAACTTTACTTCGTCGTATGAGGTGACGTCGACTTTATAGGCTTTGCCTGTTGAGTCATGGGTCAGCACGACTTCTCAATTATTTCATTCAATAAATCATGCATCAAGGAGGTTGTAGATTTGGTCACACGTACACTTGACTTTGAAGACTTTTTCGATGTTGTCGGCCTCTTCAATAGCCATGCTGTTGCTGTTGTACCAAATCGCCACATTTGCACCCGCCTCCGCAAAAGTCTTGGCTACCGTTAAGCCAATTCCCTGACCTGCGCCAGATATAATTGCGGTTTTACCAGCCAAGGAGAACAACTGCATAGCCGGGCTGTTCGCTGGGGGGTTTGTGTTGTTGCGTTGGAACACTCCGTTCTTCATGCTTTCAGCCATAACCCCAGACATCTTGTGTTTCAGAATAACGATTGCTAAGATCGAAAGGAATAGCAAGGCTTCCTAAGTATTAACGAAACGATTAGCACCCACCAAGTATAAATACAGGCAGGGAATGGGTGCGAGCCAGACTACTAGTTGCAACGCTGCAATGTTACTACTGCTCGTGATCTAGAATCACACCGTAGTACTGCTAATATCTGCAAGCGTGCAATCATACGAGCGCCTAGTAAGACAAGTAGCTGTGCGAATGCTATAGTAGGTTACGGTACTATTGTTTGCGTTACAGTAGCACCGGGGTTACACAATAAATGCACCACCTCTAGGAACAAGCCATCTTTGAAAGTGCTGCACAATGCAACAATAGAGCAAAGGATTCTTATAAAAACTTTGTACCTATAAAGTCTCTATAGAAGAATATTTTTGTAGGTTTTATTTTACTTCTAGTTGCTGTTGTTGTGTTACTCTCAATAGGAATATCTTACTAGTACGCTATAGATCAAGACTGGTCCTAATTTAGGTGTTGCATTTGTTGTGACCCCGGTGGTAGCATTATCTCCGTACATTACGCTGTCACACTGGTGCGGGGATCCTGTAAGCGTCGCTCGCACAGACCCTATGAGACGGAATTTCCCTAGCCGTGCTTCGCCGGATCTACCGGCATATAGCTGAAGCTATTCACAGCCACCTAAGCAGAAAGCCACTAACCACGACGTGCCCTAGTTAACGCTTCGCACAAAACTCCACGCGTTGAGAGGAACCTGACACTGCCCAAGGATGACGGAAAATTCAACATCGTACAAGCATCGCCCGAAACGTCGTTGTGCCCACCGCAAGTCCCGCAACGGATGCGTTGAGTGCAAAAGTAGACACATCAAATGCGACGAGAACCGCCCGAGCTGTTCCAACTGCACCACAGCCAACCGAACCTGCATTTATCGGGGGTCTGGCCGGGCTACTGCAGCCTCATCAATGACTGGGTCAGACAGTACAGCCAGTCATCGAGCGAACACCGCCCAGGATGCGGGAATAGTACTAGGACGAGGATCAGGGCCACGGAACACGTTTACAACGGCTCATCTGACCTACTTGCACCACGCCGAGCGCTGCCTCGGAGATATCATATCACTTCGAGGCGATGTCACCCTATTGCTCACAATTGCCATCGACACTGCCTCTACAGCGCCCTACGTGCTTGACCAGGTGCTGGCTCTCGCAGCAGCCCATCTTGCGACCACGGATCCATCAAGGCATCAGCTCGCTCGATCTCAAGCGATCGAGCTGCAAACGCGAGCTCTCGAAGAATTCAATGAAGCCATGGAAAATATGTCTGAAGACAGTTACATTCCGAAGTTTCTGTTTGCAACACTCCTAGGTATTCACGTTCTTGGGGAGACACTTCCCAATCAACAGAACGGCTTGCCCCAGTTCTTAGAGGCATTTGTCGGCTATGCCCGACTGCATCGAGGGGTGCGCGCCGTGGTAACGGCTATGTCGTGGAAAGCTGTCCTCGCGTCGGATTTACAGCCCCTTGTCTACGTCCACCGGCTCAGCAACCACGTCAAGGAGCAGACACCGGGCACGGACACCTTGGCGCTCAGTAAGTTCCTTGGGTCTTCTGGGGAAGATGGTTGTGTAGTAAATGCTTGCCAAGAGGCACTCAAGCAGTTGCAGTGGGTCTTTGACATGTGTAATCAGGATCCTTCAAGAGCTGACGTGGGCGTGCATGCGACCATGGCATGGCCCCTGCTGGTCCCTCAGGAGTACCTGAACCTGCTGCTCCAGATGCAGCCAGAAGCTCTTATGGTCATGGTCTTCTACGCAGCAGTGCTCTATCGTCACCGGCACTTTTGGGCGTTCGGATCTGCAGGATCGGTGCTTATAGACATGCTCTCGGCTAACCTCGACAGTCGTTGGCACGACAGCCCGGCTTGGCCAAATCATGTTCTTTTTGAAGCAGGTTTGTTCTAGAGTCTCTATACTTAATAAATGTACTTAGCATAGTTGAGTAAACAACTCATCGTCGCGCAGCAAGACTTGAGAGAATTTAGCTCTAGATCGCGATGCTAGTGCAGGGGGTATTTGAGTAGGCACTGAGATATTAGTGTAGGCTCCTGTAGAGATGACTCCTCGAAGGACTATCAAGACTCCTAGGGGAATGATATATGCCTACGTTATATGATCATGGCGGGTGAGAGCCGACGGTGGCTCGAAGCTTCCCTAGTGGCTTGTCCGCTTGTAGCTGGGGTGTGCGGTGCTGAAACATCGTGACGATCTGTCTCTTACCATCTTTGTAACGTGAAACAAGTACTGTTGCCTACAGTCGCACCTTTTATAGCTATGGGCATCGTCTCAGCGTGTTCAAATCAGCTTGCTATACGCGTATTGAATTGAATTACAGTTGAAATTTGCACGGCCGGCGATTCCCGGCATAACTACAGCTAAATCACGGGCCGCATTCTTTCGCGGATATCTGGCGAATCATCTGGTCTGCGTATTGCGATCGTATCGCATACGTAACATCGTTCTTCTTCTTCACAGACTAGTCATACCGGTGACCCAATGCTATAGCCACGACGTGGTGTAACTCCGCTGACCCCAAATCATGCTGCAAAATTTTCAAGTTGTGTTATGACCGTGTCATACCTCTTATAAACATAAGTTGTAAAAGCGCTGGCATGTCAAATTCATGATCCGTACGATGGGTATCGCTGTTCCATGTGGCAAATGTGGGATGTTGAAGTCCTGCTACATGAACAACAGTCTATGCAGCATCAATTGCGGGGCGTCCAACATACCGTATACCGACATGATTGAGGCTATTGTAAGATAGGTACGGCTCGACTCATGGTATTGTACGTACGGAGGCCTAGGAAAAGTCTCTGAGTACAAGCCGTGACCGTAGATACGATGCGCAGACTGGATACGGTCTGTACTCGTTTAATTGGGCCTAGTATAGCTTCTTAAGAGTGATTATTCGCCCCTCTATAGATTTTACCTAAAGCCCGATAATTCCGAACCGCAAATTGTACTACGGCTCCCGGACCGATGAGAAGGTCCCTTACGTACGGCTTAGGCACGTTGTAGCACGGTACCGTACTTCTCCGTATTCCAGTACGTTAGACGCCCTGATCAATGACTCAGTTTGAAATCTTGGACTGAGGCAATCCTAATTGTTCTTCTAGCAGAGTCATGTCTATGTCCAAAGCTTCCAAGCAAGGCTCCACAGACTATGTGAGCATGGTGGCGAAGGCAAATCGGCACGTCTTGGTCACTGCACATTGCGTGGCTTGGACAAAGCTTCTCTCTGCACATATAAATGCTCGATGTCGGGTTGCCTACTCTGGCTCAACGACAACGCTTGCGGCCGATTCCAGTCAAACTCAATTCACTATTGTTCTATCAAGATGGCCTTTCGATTTGCATTGGCACTTGGTGTGCTGACGACCCAGTTCTGGGGAACAGTGTCGTTAGAATGCAAGTGTGTGAGTACCAAAATCCCCATTTCATAATCGACTGTTTACCTGACGATCAAAGTCTCCCGGTGAACCTTGTTGGCCTTCGCCTTCAGAATGGGATTCTCTTAACATGACTGTTTCTGGTCGCTTAATTCGGACTGTGCTTCCCGCATCAGTCTGCTATACCGACGAACCGAACTATGACCTCGAAGCCTGCGATCGAGTCATTGCGAGCTGGACAACGAACTCGTTCCATTCTGATGACCCTGCCAGCATACATAACCCTGCCAAAGCGAACAACAGCTGCAATCCAATTTATTCCAATGGAACGAGCACGGCTGGAGACCCGCTAGCCGAAGATCGTGGCTGTGACATTGGACCATACCCACGCTTTGTGGTTAACGCAACAGAAGTAGCGCACGTACAGGCTGCGATGAAATTTGTCGACAAGCATAACTTACGCTTGATTATCAAAAATACCGGTCACAGTGGCAAGCCTATAGGAGCAGGAGGTCTTTCGTAAGTCAACGATAGTCATTCGATCTAACTACTAGCTTTTAACACATCGCAGTATCTGGACTCACCATATGAAACAAATGCAGCTCATCGAAGACTTTCAACCGAGATCGGCGAACGGAACTACAAGCTGCTCGGAGTCTTCAGCGCCACAAAAAATACTTCGCGTCGGCGCTGGAGTGCAAGACAATGAGGTTTTCCAAGCGGCTGCTCAATACGATCTTGCGGTTGTAGGAGGTACCAATAGTGTAAGTCACGTCTGCTCTATTTCACAACATATCTGATAATGTACAGGACGTCGGTCTAGTGGGTTGGGCTACAGGAGGCGGTCACGGCTACCTCACTAGTGAATTTGGTCAGGGTGCAGACAACATCGTTGAGGCAACTGTCGTCACTCCGAGAGGCGAAGTTCTGACAGCCAATGCCTGCCAGAACTCGGATCTACTCTGGGCGATACGAGGCGGCGGCGGCGGCACATTTGGTCTGATCACTGAACTTGGTGTTCAAGCGCATCCAATGCCCCAAGTGACTGCAATGGTATTATCCGTGTCAAAGACTGGAAATTCTACGTCATCCTGGTGGGCATTGATGGCAGGTTTGCATGCTCACCTTCCAGACCTGAAGACACATGGCGTCACGAGCTACTATACGATCGCAGGGCCTCCCTCGTACGAAGCTCTGACATTCTATGGAGTGTTCTTCGTTTACAACAAACCTAACGGAACCATCGAGACAGCTATGCAACCTCTTCTATCATTTCTCGATGGAGCGAATGGGACGGCAACTTTCCAGACGCAGACCCAATCAGCCCCTAAATGGATAAGCCTATTCGACAAGCTGCCGTCCGATGGTAGCGCTGCTGGTGGAGGTGGTTCGTCAGCGTCTAGATTGTTACCAGCATCTTCTTTGACGGATGATATGGCTCGTTTAGCTGAAGTGTTGGAGTTGATCGGCCCTACCGAACATGTACCTCAGGTTTGTTGTCCGGTGTCTCACCTTATCTACTGTTACTGACCATGCATTAGACTGGTGTTTCCAACCCGAGTATTGCAGGAAGTATGTCTGCCAGCTCTAAGAAGGTTGACGACTCCCTCAATCCCGCTTGGCGTGACGCTGTGGTCCATCTATTAGTTAAGGATAGCTGGAGCGATGCTCTTCCTTACCCGCAGGCACTAGCGGCTCAGTCAGACATGACCAATCTTAAAGGCGCCGCTCTGCGGAGCTTGGCCCCTAACTCTGGGACATATTTCAACGAGGTAAGAAATAAGGTGCAATAACGTTATTCACGAAAGCTAATTTCGCAGGCTGATGCTTCGGAGCCCGACTGGCAGAGATCGTTCTGGGGTGACAACTACGAAAAGCTTCGTCAGATCAAGGAAAAGTACGATCCACATGCGATGCAGTGGTGCGAAAAATGCGTTGGAAGTGAGTCTTGGGCTGAACAGCTTGATGGATCACTTTGTCGTGTCTTGTAGCTTGCAATAGCCTCTGAGACAAGAAACCTTGATACCCATTTCAAGGGTAGCGCAACAGTGCCTTGACCACAGGGTACACATAGAGTTGGTTTAGATGGAGGAATCACGGAGGCGGACCGGACGGACAGATTGTAATTAGAAAAAGGAGTTTGTTACGTAGATAGACTTGCATTTTTAACAGGCTTAGCGAATGTATAGAATAGTCATCGTGTATTCGAAGCGAAATATGTACAGACTCGGACTTTACGTACGTGTCTTGCTACTATCACATGCAGAGAGCGAGCTGCTACTGGGTATGCATCTGCTTATGTATACAACAGAAGAAGAATGCAAAAAAAGGGAGAAAAGTATCCGTTCTATATAGTATTGATCTTCTTTACATTAATCAGTCATCTCTGCTCCTCTATTTCCTCATGTAGTGTTTTGTATCATGATAGATATCAGATATAGATACAACTTACACTCCTTGGAAGCTCTTACATAAGGTGCTTATAGCGTCTTGTAACAGCACGTATGGATTATTGGTGTAAAGAGGTAAATTCTAATTACACTTGCTTCTATCTGTCGCCCCCTGATACTAGTTATCGACAAGGCCTCCAGTAGTGCTAATGCCGCTAAGATAATACACAACATGCGGTTCGTTATTCTGAGGGCATCTCTCTGGGTAACGAGCTAACCGTTCCACATTCGTGACCGCCAGCTGAGTGCCCACAGCATTGTTACATGTGCCAACGAAACCAACAAATAGAGGTTTGCCTGCTCGTGGCTCGCCCTCGCCCTTCTTCTTCGTTGTTCCCTCTTCCTCTCCCCTTGTCATGCTTAGTTTTAGTTGCTCTCTTCTTCCTGTCCGCGGCTGTTTAGTCCTCTTCGTCTCTCCTGTCCGGATCGTCACTCTCGTCTAGGTCGCCCAACTCGCTTTCGGGAATGAGTTCACTGTTAGAGCTAACAGAAGAGCCAGGACAATCTTAAAGCCAGGTTAGGCTTACCCCACTGAGCACTTCAGGACCAGGCTGTTCACCAGGCGTTGCGCGCCTTGTGCTGTCGTCCGTCGAAGCCGGCATATCATCAGCAACACGCCCTCGAGCCTCCTCGCTGGTCTCCGCAGATCCTATGGTGTCGATTGAACTGCAATCCATGATGCGGAGATGCCGTCGTCAGTGCTGAACGCAGAGCCAGCGTCGCGGCACGTCACATTGGGCCTGAAAGATGATCAATAGCTCGGTGGCCATTCTCGATATATGGCAGTATTGCTTGGAGACGGGCAGCACGTCGCGACGGCGTATGAGGTGTTGGAATCCTAGCTGTGGTACCAGCAGCCGTCGTTGTTCCGCCAACGCCATGTTTGGGTAGTGCGCGCGGCAATCTTTCCGAATTCCGACCGCGCAGCCTCAGCGAGCTGTACCTTGGTATTGTGTATGCTAGCACCACGAAACGCACCGCAACGCATTGATACGACCGATACGCTTTTCTGAACTGTGTGTACTTCTCGACCCATCACGAAACGACGTGATTGGCTCCCACGTGCGCCGCACCCCTTGTACACCGCCTGCCACGACCCTCCCGTCCTGTCGACGCACATGCCATAGCCGCTGTCACACCAAACCCTCAGCGAGATGCTCGGCTTCCGACCACTATCTGTGGGCAAGCGGAAAGCCAAGTCGTACAACCAGGCGCCGACGGCCGACCGCGATGTAGAAGACGGCGACCTCAACGAGAAAGGCTACGCCAGCGATGACTACGAGGCCTACATGTCCTCGGGCACACCAAGCCCGTCCTCGTCCCGCCACTCCTCGGGCGCATACGATACAAATCCCAACAACATCGAGTCGAGGCCGCTTCGCCGATCCTCCAAATCTCACCGGAGAGCCCCCTCGAAAGCTACCGTGAGTGCATACAGCTACCGGAATCCACGGGCATGTACACGATATTTTGGGCTGGCGGTGGCGAGCACGCTGTTGTTCTTCATGTACTTTTTGTTCAGCAGCAGTTGGGCCTCGATACGCAATGCGGAGCTGGGGCTGAACAAGCCGCCGCCGCCGCCCAACGTGTGGGAGAGCTTTCCCTTTCTGAAGCGATATCATGGCGGCATACGGTCACTTGTTAGCCGGGACAAGAATGTACCGGAATACCCAACAAAGCAGGACATCGACCCCGAGCTGCCGGCGGAGGAGTCCAAGGGAGACGTTAAAGAGCGGAGGTCGCAGGGCGCACACATTGCCGACTCGATACCTTTTGACCCATACCCGGACTACAGCGGTATAAACTACGTAGACAAGTACGGCCCTGTCGAGACGTGCTATCTCGATGCGAACGATACCATCAAGGTTCCTGGATTGAGGGCATACAAAGGCGTACCCCAGGGTATGCCGGACAACGTCATTGGAAGCTATGAGACATTAGGCCTAAGGAACGACGTCTGCTTTGAGCGCTTCGGACGACTCGGTCCGTATGGGCTAGGCTACAGCAAGAGGCGCGGTGGAACAGGCGCGGGCATGGAAGGTGATCGCGAAGGCATCGAGGATGTCTGGAAGGTTGACGCTGAGGTTGACTTCCGCGAGGTCAACTGGACAGAGGCACTCGGCAGGTGCTTGGAGAAGAACAAGGGTCGTTTCGAGAAACAACCCAAGACGGGGACTGATGCATTCAAGATGCAGAAGCGCGATACGGTGACCGATGCCGAAGCCGAAGCCAACAGCACAGTCCACGTTCTACCAAAGGCAGCCCACAATACGCTTCTTCCACGAACCGCCGTGCTCCTTCGCACATGGTGGGACTACGAATACGACGACGAAGACATCATGTACCTCCGCGCCCTCATCTCCGAACTCAGCCTTGCATCCGGTGGTGAATACGAAGTCCACTTTCTTATCCACGTAAAGGACGACAACAAGCAGATCTGGGCCGACGAAGACGTCTACGCTGAGGTCCTCAAGAACGCACTGCCCGCCGAATTCGCCGGCATGGGCACGTTATGGTCAGAACGCCAGATGGGCCTAATCTACGGCGGAATGGAAGAGTCCAACTATCGCGACCGGCCTGTCCATGGTGCATACCGCTCTACATTCATGCCCGTGACGTACTTTGCACACCAACACCCCGAGTTCGACTTCTTCTGGCACTGGGAAATGGACGTGCGCTACACAGGCCACTACTACCACCTCTTCGAACAAGTCTCCAAGTGGACAACCGCCCAACCCCGCAAAGGCCTCTGGGAACGCAATGCACGTTTCTACGTCCCCTCTGTGCACGATTCCTGGGAAGACTTCAAGCAAATGGTCCGTGTGCAAACCGAACACGGCACCAACAGCCAAGCCAACAGATGGTCTTCTCATCTCCCGCCCAACCCTCACGTCCCTGGCCCAGAAATGCAGAAGCCTGAGAAGCACATCTGGGGCCCGGAGCCTCCCCAAGACTACCCCGACATCGAGATCGACGAAAACGTCAAACCCAACACCACACTCGCCGAAGACAAGTACGAATGGGGTGTCGGCGAACCCGCTGACCTCATCGTCTTCAACCCCCTCTTCGACCCCGATCAGACGAATTGGATCCTGGCTGATGATGTCACGGGATACGACAAGAAGAACGGGCTTCCACCCCGTCGTACCGCTATCAACACGTCTGGTCGCCTCTCCCGGCGCCTGCTGGAAACGATGCACCGCGAACAATCCCACTTCCGACACACCATGTTCAGCGAAATGTGGCCCGCATCGTGCGCCCTGCACCACGGTCTCAAAGCCGTATACGCGCCGCACCCCGTCTTCATCGACCGGAAATGGCCGACGCAGTACCTCGCTGCCATTTTCAACAACGGACGTAACGGTGCAAGTGGCGGGGCGCGCATGTCGGTCTTCTCCGACGAGAGACAACACAATTTTTTGGGTACCACGTGGTACTATCATGCGGGCTTTGCGCCGAATCTCTGGAAGAGGTGGTTGGGGTACAAGGTGGATAATGATGGTGGAGAGGAGTTTGAGGTCCAGGGTGAAGGGCGCATGTGCTTGCCGGGCGTCTTGTTGCATCCGGTTAAGCAGGTGGATTTGGTGCAGGAGAAAGAGCCGATTGATGAAAAGGTGGTGTGAAAACTAGATGCGCGTGGTAGCGCGGCGTTGGCATTCATTGTAAAGGCGTCTGGTGTTCTTGTCGTACGCTGCTCGGTAGCGTTGGATTCTTTTTTTTGTTGTATATGACTAGAGATGAATCTTGACAGTCACGCTGAATACGGGTATATGAACGACTAGGCTATCTTATTTTTCTACGTAGCCTTGCTTTTGTACTTGTATCAAGAGCGTAACGTTTCTTACCCATGTTTCCAGTCGTCATGCAGCTTTCCGTCATCTCGTTCAATCCTGCCATCTCCCTTCCACACTCAATAGCTCCTAGGCAAGCTCAACACCTTCTCCCCAATGTAGTTCAAAATCATCTCCCGACTCACAGGCGCTATCCTAGGGACAAAGCATTCGCGGAGGTACCGCTCAACATCGTACTCCTGCGCATACCCCATACCGCCATGCGCCAGCACCGCTCTCTCACACGCTGTAAACGCCGCTTCGGCCGCGAGGTACTTTGCGCTATTGGCCGCTACACCAATGGCATCTTGCCGGATAGAATCGTCTGTCTTGCTAGCATCGTACAACCGCGCTGCATGGTAGGTAGCAAGTTTTGCAGCTTCGAGCTGCATGTACGCGTCAGCGAGGGGATGCGCGATACCCTGGTTCATACCGATAGGCCGCTGGAAGACGTTGCGCTCGCGTGCATACGCAGCGGCGCGTGTGAGAGCAGCGTAACCGAGACCCAGGGCTTCGCCGGCGAGCAAGCACCGTTCTGCATTCATACCGTGTAGGATGATTTTGAAGCCCTGGCCTTCTTTTCCGACGAGACAGTCGGCGGGGATGTGGTAGTTGTCGAAGAAGACTTCGTTTGCGTCGACGGCGCGGCCGCCCATTTTCTTGATGCGCCGCATGTCTAGGCCGGGGGCGGAGCGATCGAGTGGTATGCAAAACATGCTTAGTGCCTGACTTGGTTTCTCTGCTTCTTCGCGTGGTGTCGTTCGCGCGAGGAGTATCATCCTCTTTGCAACTTGCGCACACGTGATCCATATCTTCTGCCCTGTGATCTTGTACCCCTTCCCATCGGCATCTTTCCTCGCAAATGTGCCTAGTCTCAGAGTATCGAGTCCAGAGTTTGGTTCTGTGACGCCAAAACACGTCCTGTATTCTCCAGAGATGATCTTCGGTATCGTCTCCCTCAATTGCTCGTCGCTCCCAAACTTGGCGAGAGGCTGCGTCGCATACACATTTGCATGTATCGCCTGAGCTCCTGCAATGCCAGCACCAGATTCTGCAATCGTTTGCAGCATCATTGTTGCATCCGAGATTCCTAGACCAGCGCCGCCGTAGGCTTCTGGCAAAGCGATACCTAGCCAGCCGTCTTTTGCCAGCGCGGCGTGAAAGTCTGATGGGTCGGTGCTGGTGTCATCGCGATCGCGCCAGTAGCTGTCTGGGAAGTTTGAACATAGCGCGAATATGGCGTCGCGGACTTCAAGTTGAGTGGACGTGAAGCCTGTTGTTTCCATGATGCGTTGGCGTGATGTTGTGCTGAACCGGCATCTTTGGGGGCCCAGTCGGAGAAGTGAAGCATTGCGGTTTAGGCTTGATGCGCGCAGGACGCGCTGTATTGCTGCGGATATCATTCTTCTAGAAAGGGATTACATTGATGCTGTTATTGAGCTCATATGTTATTGCATGACGTTTGTTGACGAGACATTGTGTAGCCGACTTGGGTAGTTGCCGCTTAAGTGGGGTCAGGGTCTTAAAGCCGAGGTGAACCTGTATGGTGCGCTTTTCTAAACACCGTTGCTCATTCTTCCTCAAACAGCAAATCTTCCTCCAGCGAAGGAAGTCCATACCAGTCCATCTTGCCACGCACATCCCATTCATGTCCGCGCAGTCGACTGGTGTAACCGTTCCGTCTGATCTGTAGCCTCGAAAACACCTCCCATCGATCGGCACGATCTCCATATGTCATTCGGGAAAGATGAAGCGTAAGCCACTGGAGCGCCTTCTGCCGCGATCCCGAAATAACTTCGGCAATATTCATTGCAGCGGCCACAGAGCGCTCCTCATCGAGCGGTGGAGTATTGGCGGTTCCCATTGGTCCAGCTATCAGTTGGTCGCAGTAGTCTGTTGCCTTGCCAGGGATGTGGATGTAGAGATCGAGCTTCGTGAGCTTCATGCTCGAAAGAACTTCAAGATCTTTTTCATCAATCTGGAAAGTATAGTTAGCGCATATATACATGGTCAAGTGGTTAGAACTTGCGTTGGTATCGCATTCAGCGTGCCATCCAAGTCGCTCGAGGTTTGGAAACGTAGAAGCGATCGTCTCGAGTAGGCTCAAGCCCATGTACTTAAAGCCGTTGTACTGCCCAAACTTAGGTCCAATGATCAGTGTCTTTAGTGAATTCCGATGCTTTTCAATCGCAGGCCAAAGATCATCGATGCAATATTGTGAATGAGACACGTCAAGATGCTCAAGCGCATCAAGTGACTCAAGAAACATCCTTGCTGGCTGTTGAGTACCCTCGCGCCCTAGCAATCCAAAACTCAACGTCTTGAGCTTTGGAAAAAGTCCCGCAAAATTCTTGAAGAAATTTGTGGGGTTGTCGATTCCAAAGTCAAGTTTGCGCAGACGCGAAGGGTCGATAGAATCAAGAAACATGCGGCAATAATCGTCGTCCCACAGGTAGATTGAGTCTCCATAGTGTCTTACGTCTTCGATCGTAAGCTCTTCAAGTCGGGGCAAGCGCAAACCGGACGCGAGATCGAGGCGCGGCAACTTTCTCGGTTCAGTATCAGGTACGATCTTTGGCCCATCATAGCCATCGAAGTCTTGTCTGTTCTGTAGCCGAAGAGATCGTACGTTGCCGCCGGCCGCCAAAGCTTGAGAAAGCCGGGGCCAGTCAGAGCGCCAGAGCTCTCGAACACGGCTGCCCTCGGTGTAAACCACGTACGTGAGCTCGGTAAGTAGAGGGGACGATAGGAGTCTCATGTCCATCTGTCGATGAGAACTATTCTTCGCGTTCTGTCGGTCCACGGTAACAACACGGAGCTCGAGCTGCGGCCAAGTCGCGTGAATCATGTCGTATACTGCGCGAGACATGTGTGCAGAAGTCTTCCAACTAGGACAATTAGCTTCATACTCGTCAATTCGTTTGAGTTTCATACTTTAGCGATTGGAAATTTCCGTGCTGCGCAACTTTGTTGAGCATCATAATCAAGTCGTCCGAAGGCACGTCGTTCGTGACTGTGATGCTGCGAACGTGCTTCGCGATATGCCCGTGTTCATCTTCGCGGAAAGTCTCCACAAGCGCCTGGTATCTTTTTTGTTCCTCGCTCTTCTTCAGTCCTCTAGTCAGAGTGACATTCCTGTATATGAATGGCAATGCTGCATCGCGCAATGTGACTGATGAATGTGCCACATTCAATACGTCCGTGGGAGATGTTCCCGCAACTTCAGTTATGATGAGGTGATGGATGTCTTCGGGGATGACATTTAAATTGACCGCCTGACCCGTGATGCCACCTGACAAAGCTGGAGGCGTGGCTTTTGCGATGCAAGTACCGGGGGTGAACATGGTTTTCGTAATGCGACGGTAGCAGAAATGCGTGGTTAGGATGCTGTGGTGATGTTTAGTGTGCTCACGAATATGATGCTTCTTTATACGTTCAACTCTTTCAGGCAGCGATAGGAAGCAGGCGCAGCACGACGCGGTGCCAACATGGATCGAAGAGCAGGACCGGAAAGTGACCGCCACACGAAGTCTGCAAAGCCATCGCACCGTTCGCAGCAAGACTTCTACCGCAGTGTTTGACAGCCTCCCAAAGGAGTTTACTCGCCCTTCAATGAGGCTTTCTGAGCCAGCAATAAGCTGAACATGGAAAATTCAGGTGCAGAGCTCCAGTCCGACAGTGGTGAATACGGAGGCGTAATTTCAAAGTTCCATTGGGAACCCGGGGCAATAATCAGCCTCAGGCTGCATTGACCGGTTCCTTTAGGGCGGCAGGAGCTTCATCGCCACGACTGCGCCACAACCTTCGCATTGCTCGATCAGAGCGAAATCCTTGCGCACACGGATGTACTCAACGGCGATACGCATACCCGTAAGAAATTCATATAACAGTACAAGGTACTGTGGTATCGGCTGGGTCTGATGCAGCGGTTGTGTTGTGCTAAGAAGCGAGCATCGCGTTTGGTGGGGATGCGCCTACAGTATCCGTGCACTCAATGCCCGCTGTCGGTTAATGCCCGCCACCCCAGCACATACTAAGTAGTGCTAAAGTAAGACGAATCTTGAATGGACTCGAATAAAGCTCTACTTGGGGTATATATACGGAACTATACGTGACCCGAGCCTGGCCCGATGCATTATGTTCACGCCATTTCATTCGGAACCCTCCCGTTGAGAATGACATCCTCGCTGCCACCACTTCCCTCACTACACCTCCTATCACTTTCATTTTCGCTCTTCGCATCGCTCTTCATCGTGATCTCATGCTTGACTCTGATATCGTGCTTCCCATACACCGGAGGCGGCAGCATGAAATCGTCCCGCAGCCTCGACGTGTCGCCGAGTTCCACCTCAGCACCCGCATTACTGGCACCACTCTTCCCGTACTTCCCGAGGACCAAGCTGTTTCCGTTCCCAGAGCGTGGGGTGCTCTTGCTAAGAGATGTAAACGCGGGCACGAGTCGTACGACGAGCGGCTTCATAGCCGGTACGCATGCGCAGACGATGGAGAGGCTCTGTTCGATGCTGGCCCAATAGACAGGTGGGGCGGAGTAGTAGAGGGGATCTTTGGGATGGCGGAAGGAGGCATAGAGCGACTGGATGCGCAAGGCGGATATGATGCACACGCTGGCGAAGTATCAGTACGAGAGTAGGTATTGTGTATTGGAATTGATGTAAAGGAAATAAGAGCCGTACATCCAGCCTACACAGAGGAGGCATACGAGTGCGATTTTCTGGCGGCGCACGAGTTGGAGACGCCAGATTGATGGAACTGGGAGCGCGGCGACCATCAAATCGGTGATCATATTCGTGAAGCTGTGGGCGGAGCGAGCTCTGCCATTCGTTATTCGGTGTTTAGAGTCAGGATCTCAGTTACAGAACATACGCGTGATCGTTGATGCATCTTGACGTCGGCTTTAGCGTCAGATCCCAGGACGCCTCAACTGGTATGCAAGAGAATGCAAAGGTGAAGAATGCCGAAGTACCCCCTCCAACGCAAAGGGCCATGACAATGTAGATGGGAAGCTTGCTTTCCGCGACGCCGAAAATACGCTTGTATTGCTGACAGATCGAAACTTTGGTGAAGGTAGATCCTGCTGCGAAGGCGAGGATGCTAAAGTAGAGATACTGCACTGGTCAGAATGTTGTCGTGAAAGTTGTACAGCGTATTGGATTTACTTTCAAGCTTTCGATGATTCTAGGCAAAGGGACGAGCACTGTATGCTTGCCAGCGCCTGCCTGCACCTGCTTGATTTGACAGACAGCTGCGAGAATATCAAAGACCTGGCGCACGCTTTAGTAACCTGTGGATTTTGTTCGCATCGCTGATGAGCTTTACCATTGATATGCCAATGAAGTAGTCCTCCCAACCGATGAATTTGGTAAGCTTGATCCGCGAAAAGAAGCGCAGTGCCACACTTATGAGGGCTAGGAAGGTGAACGAATAGACAAGTGCAAGAGTCTTGGGTCCGAGATCATCCTGTGCTAATGCTGCGATCACTTGTGGGGGTAGCTGAGGGCTTTCATCCATGTTGACATAAATGCGCAGATGAGGTTGCACGTAGTGGATACTAGGATTCTGTGCGTCTTGAGCCCTTATACTTCAGGCCCAATAGAGATCTTGCAAAAGTACAGTCCAGTTGCGTACATTAAAGCGAAAGTTAATCTCGGATGGATCAAAGACTAGAATCAGCAAGCCGCTGGCGTATTATAACTAGTGTAACAAGAAACAGGGCGGTACCCCTATGATTAGCAGAGATCGCATTGTCCCAACAATCTCGACATGCTACTTCTCAATTCACAGCGGCCTGCTGAGTTCGCGCATCAATAATGGCATGGTGCCCGAGGCTCAGATGCCTCGCACTAGAAGTTCTCTTCGTACAGGGTTTTGCTTGCTGGTTTCGATTAAGTGCTCATCGTAAATCAGTATCTAGCTTGGCAGTCTGTGGTGTCCCAACATTCAGCTCGACGAGCCTGAGGCAGGTAGGCCAATGATGGGGCCAAACCCTAAATCCTGCATATATACACTACGGCTATCAATGAGCTCACTACAGCCACCTAGCGCAGCCATGATACAAAGCATAAGCCCGACGTACCACCAAATACACGGGTCTAAGCTAGGATTGTGGGCATCTAGGACACTAGGTCGGTTCTTTAGGCCTGTGGGGTGTGGTGCAATCGGACAATTATGGCGGAGTTTCGCCATCAGTTGAGCTTTGATTCGATGATGCAAGCGGGACCTAAGCGGTGCGTATGTCATGTCCCGCTTCCGCACGCCCCTACATCGATATCAGGAACCGGTTCCCCGTACCGGCCCAATGGTCGCACCGAATGCCAGTCAGAAAGCTAGGCGGACGCGAATCCTGGGGGGGCGCGGAGATCTTAGCACCCGAATTCCATGCAATATCTCGTATCGTTGTCACATTCATTAGCACTACGGAGTACCCTTTGTAGTAGTCCTGAGCTGTTGTAGCGCCTCTTGTCCAGCGTTTCTAATACCTGCCTGGGTCCCAAGCAAACATGAACTACTATCGCAGTCTCGTGTATTGGACGCAAGCGTGTTAGAGTACGGATCCGCTAGAAGAGAGGCAAAATAGCTTTGTGGCAGGCGTCATCGGCATATGTAGTGTCTTTACTGTGCTATCAAGGCTGAGATGAAAAATGGAGCACAGGGCCTGGACTTGACATTCCCTGAGCATAACGTAAACCCCGGATGGCAGGGTTGCAGAGAGCCGACGCGGCGCGGGTGTCGCGCGTTGGTGGGGATGCGCCTAGCGCGTTCTGGCACAAGCGCGTTTTTGTCCCCAGGCATCGCTACCCTCGAGCTACTGCATCATCCACGCCATCTCCACCATTTGCTCCTTCCACACTCCTCAACGCTGCTGTTCATCGCCAGCACATCGGTAGGATTTGTTTCTCCCCTTTCTATCCATTTCTTTGATTCTCATCAACGTCCCCGAGGGAAGATTGCAGCCGGAAGAAGAACACAACCACCATTGCGATAACCTCACTGGCATCTCGGACGAGGCATCGAGTCTGCACAATGAGCACATATCAACAGACTTGTCAAAGCTATGTGCCTGCTAACATTTACTCTGAAAAGGTGGAGTACCCAAACCTGCCGCGAATCACCTAAACGTCAATCGATACATCACCGCGATGGTTGGCTATTTGCCCATAACCTTAACGATTACATGGCCTAGTAAATAGTGCACGCAATGTCGGATCCCACCTTTCCAACGACGCGCTTTAAGATCACCGAAAGAACGGAAAGCTCTCATCGCACAAGCCGACTCGATGCTCAGGGGCTGTGTCGCGCTCGTCTCAAGCATGACCAAGGCGCTGTCGATTGGATCCAACAATACTAATGTTGCTGGCGGCTGAAGTAGTGCTTGAATGGTCCGCTTCACATGCGCCCAGCACACTTGGGTTGTGCACGGACCATCATCGTAGAAAACCAAAGGGCTTGTCGACGAAGGCCTGTGCGCTAATCCTTGCCCCCATCATCCGAAACGTAAGAATATAGACACGAATTTTCGTAGGCTCACTCGACCAGCTGGTTCAAGGTAATGATTCGTGTGAGTATTAGTTAACAAGTTATATCTGCGACTCCTTCTCTCTCTGCCTTTCCAACCCGGCAACCAAGTATTTGCGGATCGAGCTGTTTGCCCACTGACCAGACGACTGAAGATCAACTCTCTTATAAGTGAGTCACACCCATTAGGAGGAACTATTTTATCCGGTTCCTGACTAATCTTGCCGTGTTCAGGGCGCGAACTTGGATCTTGCTCGCAATGACGGACCAAAATGGTATAGGGCATAGATACCAAAGATGCAACCAATAGTGAACCCTCCCAGCAGACTCACGCCTCTATTTACTCCCAGATTGACATACAATGGTTGCGAACAATGAACGATGGCGGCAGCAAGTACTGACCGAGCGACGGTATTACCAGCGAAGACAGATGCTGCGTACTTGGGATAGCTCAGGGGAAGGTAGAGGAAAATGGGTTGCATGATCATGAAGATGCCGCCACTCATGATAGCAATTCCAACAGTGGGTACGATCCAGTGGATATAGGAAGTTGCTGTCCAAGCGAAGAGGAACAGTCCTATTGGAAGCAAGAACGATGCGAAGAGAGCAGGAATGAGGCGGCGTTCTGGGGGCCCAATATTCCAGGTCCGCACGGCAGGCTCCCATGTAATGCGTATCCAGATCAGGTACATCACCAGCCCTACAGTGATCCCGACGGCGATGGACAGATAGACGAGACCTTGCGCTCCGAGCGACATTCCATATATTCCTTCGTAGACCATTGGAAAGCACTCGAAGAAAGAATAGTAGATGCCGTATATAAGGGCAACGTAAAGTGCGGTGAATCCAATAGATGGGTCGAGTATCATAGTTTGAATTGGCCGCCAGAGTGCTTCGGTGACAACTTTCCGGGGACGGCGCTTAGATTGATCAATCTCGCCCTGGCTTCTGAAACAAGATTGGCCGGTTTGTTCGCGCAGTCGTTGAGCACGTCGAAGGAGAATGTTGGAAGGCGATGTCTCTGGAACCAGGAAGAAGAAGGCTATGAACAGCGGACCGCTGAGCCACAGCAACTCCCAGGTGGACCATCGCCAACTAGTGGCCGGCACGCTGTAGCCAGAAAGCAGAGGACCAACTGCAGGACCGCTTGTAGCAACGACAGCCCAAGTCGAAAGTGCGTATGGGAGCTTGTCGAAGGCATACATGTCGCCCAACGTCGCTGGACCAGTAGCGAGGCAAGGACTTCCAAAGAATCCTAGGAGAAATCGTAACACGACCAAGCCTGGGAAGTCGTTTACCAAGGCCGTAGGGATGAGGAGAACAATGAATATGGCAAAGGTGAAGATGTACAACGAGTTTCGACCAAGGGGTGGGATCTCAGAGAGTGGTGACCAGAGCAAAGGTCCGATTCCGTAGGCCAGAACATACATGGAGAGCGTGAGAGAAACGACTTGTTGAGAAACGTCGAACTGACGCATTATACCGGTGTAACTCCCAGTGATAATCGAGGAGCCAAGGTAGACAGCGAAGGTGTAAGCATCGATGATCAGCGTCGGCACCAGTTTCTGACCAGTCGTCCAATTCTGCGGATTTGCAGGGTCGTCAGAGCCATACCAGTTGACGATTATGGTACCATCTTCCAACATTTTGGGCTCGAACACGTCGTTTTGCTGCGTTCTCTCGTCGACCTTCGCGGACCCACCGTCATCTGGAAGAGCGGAATCTGAAGGGCGCATGGAATAGGTGCCGTTGTTTCTCTCGCTTTGCGAGAGGATAGATAATGGCTCGTCTTTCGAGCGTAGCTCAGCTGCTTCAAGAAGCTTGACGTAGGAATCTTGCAGCTGAAAATCATCCTGCTCTTCGGGGAACTGCAGTACTCGATTGCATGTAATTAGACGGACAAGTCTACCAAAGCTGGTATCTCGGACGAATTGAGACATGTTCCAGTGACAATGGCAGATTTTGATAGTTGTGAATGGGTGAAAATGTAGTTGGAAGCTGCATCGATAGGAGTGCAAAGCCTTTAAATACACCAGGAACGACAAGGATAGCAAAGTTGAGGGATGCAGCCGAGCCTTCATTGAGGTGAGTGTCGTTTTGTTTTTGTCATCAATCTCCGTTACTGCCGTATACCAAGCGCGGTCCTAGAGTGGCGATAACATAAAGACCGCACAAAATTCGACGCCGCACTGGGAGACTAGGCCTATCCTGTAGAATGGGATGAACGAACCTATGTAACAGTGTTGACCGAATCAGAATTAGAGCTGTGACCAAGCCTGGGCGAGATGAGAAAGCGCCACCAGTCCACAATTATCAGGGTTGGTGGTGTCCTCATTTCAGCCGCAAGTAGAAGATTTCGCCATCTTGAGGTATAGCGTGCTAGAGGATGCACTGGGACTCTTACCGAAACAGATTTTGGGTAAATCCGTGTATACACACTGCATGGCCATTCCAGCGCCATCACGGATGACCGGGATCACGACGATCGTATATGCTTCCGTTTGCAAGTATCGCAAGGTGGTATGGGTCAAATTCCGGTGAGATGGTAGATATCCAGAACAGTATTGGGCGAAAGGATATCAAATCGGACAATAGACCTGTACGTATGCTCCCATTTCAGTTCTATCGCAGTGTCAGTCTCAATGTCACACTAACAGATACCGGTCAGCACGTTACTTGAGCATGGGCATTACCTTCACATAGAGCATGACTAGGTTTTTGTCTGACTTCCATAAAACAAGATATTTTAACAGATATCCATCCTAGCAGTGTCTCGACTCGACTTGCTGTACTCAAATCCATTTCACATCCGGGCTTGTGTTCAGGCTCCCCTCAACGTCTTGGTATCACCTGAACATGCCCAAACTACCCCCAGAGCACTTTATCGTGGTTTACCACCATTTGAAGAGGTCTTGAGCCAAGACTGACTGGCTGCTCGGAAGCGAACCAAGAATTCATCCCGTGCCATGCACTTCCTAAATCGATCAGGTTGCTCCCTGATCAGGCAATCGAGGTTGCTGATCATACGAGAGAGTTGCTGTGCACTACGGTCTTCATGCACAGCCTGCTTCTCGTGACCCAAGAGCATACTATCCAAGATTGGCAAGACACTCAGATCGTCCCATAATAATCCTTGCTCCGTTAGGCAAGTCACTGGCGTGTGCCATGCCTGCACTAGTCGCAGCCCAGGAGGAACAAATAGGACGTCGTTCTCTTCCAAGACAACCAAGCGTTGCCTCCCTAGCGGCAGCCAATCATTCTCTCCATTCGTAAAATCTGCAAAGTCGCTTGGATCCACTGCTTCCTCTGGCACAAAGACCCAGAGTTGTAAACCGGATAGAATACGCTGCCAGCTACCAGCTGCAGTATTGACATACGCACCAGAAAATGAGCCGGGAAAAGAGATGGTATTAGAGTTGACAGACATAGTCGTCCCTAGTGGCGGTGGCGCTAAGTTGAAGCGGTTGTCGTGAAGACCTGCAGTAACACTCTCCAAGAGTCGAAAACGAGCAAGCATCGTGAACAGCGGACGATGGCAATTAGCCACACTGCGCAATGTTGACATCCAGAACCCATTCGTATCTTCAGGATGCGCACGCAAATAAGCGGTAAACTGTCCAAGGGCTTCGCACATGGGCTCGTCAATGTTGATGCAGCGAACTTCTGCTTGTTCCTCAGAGCTGGAAGCATCCTCGAGCAACGATAAGAAGCGTTCATAGTTGTGCATACCGGCATCAGAGAATGATTCTTTGATGACCACAGGCTTCTGAAAAACTTCGCCAGATCGTGCTGCTTCAAGCATATCATCGACAGAACAGTACAGGATATCGCAATCGGCTTTTGAAGTGGCACTGCCAGGCAGCATACCCCTAGATTGAGAAATTGACCATATCCTTGCCAACCTGGTGTCTTGTGTAAGCCATTGCAATCGCGCGCGCCGCTGTGCGAAGCCTGGTTCCGCTTCCTCGCTCAGTTGCTGGATATAATTCGACAACATCTGGCCGTATCTGTTGTGCAGCTCATCTTCTATTGTGAGCCTTCTCTTCGGTGACCCAGAAGCTATACTCATTTCGGGATGAGGGTCTCTAGGTTCAGCCGTGGTTGGTATCTCTTTTGCGGTTCTCGTCACACTGGTAACAAACTCCCCTTGCGACTGCCTCCTATGATCCCTCTCAATTCCTCGACCTAGATCAGATGTGTTGATGTTCTCTGCATGGCCTTGATCAGATAGATCTGAGCTGGTGATATTCTCAGTGATCGGCACTTCATCTACATTTAAGGCCAGGCCATTAGTGTCATCGCTGGGAAAAGTGATAATAGAAACATCATCTGGGTGATGATTCAATGATTCATCTTGATGATCGAACGCAAAGTTATCGAAAACCTCGTTCCCACCTGATGGTGCGAACATCGGAGAGAACATGATATCGGGAGCATACGCGATGGTAGCTTTATCCTGTGTAAGCATCTCTCCATACACTGGATGTACATGTGAGAAGTCAGACTGTTGATGCATGGCTGTCGGTACGTCTTGGTAATCTCCTCTAGTGACAAGCATGCCATAGCGGTCGTGACGCAAGAGGTACTGGTGAACGTGGTATGGTCTCAAATCTTTGAGAAGACGGCCATTCAGATCGACAGGCACCGATCCATCGAAGCTAGTCACCCATAATTCCTCGATTCCTGCATCAGGGACGACACCGCCCGCAATTACGATACTCAAATCTCTATGGTATTGCAATGGGGCTTCGTTGAGATTCTTCAGCCGACCGGAGATAATGGCCTGGCAATGTCTGTCGAGCAGGACACGATTGAGGTAAGGGCGAAACTGCCTACTGAAGTTTGGGTATCGCAAAGCGCAAGTCTTCAAAAGTCGCATACAACCTTGAGCGGCAGTATTCCAACCATAATAACGAACCAAGGCAGGCGACCACAACGCGGAGACTACGGCTAGATTGCGCAGACGATGAACCTCGTTGTACTCGCGCTTTCGTTTTCCGAGACTCCCGCCTTCCTCCTTAGCGCTGGACTCAATCGACGCTGCCAAAGTGAATAGCTCCTCCCATCTCGGATCAAAGTATCGTTCCGTCTCATTGATCTGGGGACATGCGACAGTAATAACAGTCTTCAAAGTTGCTATGCATGTATCGACCCGTTCACGTTGGGCGAGTAGTTTGTCGCGAAAGCTGAGGTAGAATGTCGAATCCGCCTGAGTACTCCACGCATCGTAAAGTTGTTGCACCAGTGACTGAGTTTCATCGTCGAGCTCTGCCATCATTATGATGTTTGTGTTACGTGTTCTAGACCGGAGATACCAAAAAAACAATGTACGACGCGATAGTAATCGTTGCGTACGTGCGAAGTTACCAGTCGTACGGAGGTACCGGAGAAGAGTTGTATGGCTTGCGGTGCGCAAGCCAAAAGTAGCTCGTTTGTTCTGCGTTACAGCAGTACCTGGATCGCACGTTATATTGTCAACGATGTGCACATGGGCATCGTGTTCGCTGTGTGGGTTGGCCTGGGTATCCGAATATCGAGTGACGCAAAGCGAGCATGTAGGGATGAATACGTGGAACCTCGAAGAAAGTTGTATTCGATGGGAGTTGATGCATTATGCCAACAAGTGTTGCCCCGCCCCCATCATCCTAGACATCGCTTACGACGCCACAACGCGACCTATGCGGCACAGGCCAGGCAAGGTTGCCTTGAGTCCGGGTAAAGTTCGCCCGATCTATTCCGACTCTATCAAAGTAAGCCAACATGTCAAGATTACATCTTGAAGCGAGAGAGAAAGGCTCTTGGGGAGGTCAGGACTTAGATTCAGTTCCCTTCATAGCGTAAGTCGCTAACCAGTCTCCGACTAGACGTTCAGACTGGAGGTCCTCCTATATGTACCTAACTTATGTAATGAACTCAACCCAGGTAGACAACAAGTTCTACTCCCTTGGCCCATGATCCAAACTGTTTCTACCTTTGCTTTATTTCCTGGTCAGTCCATATCACTAGATCCATGCCCCTACGCAAGGCCAACAGGGAGCGAACAGATGCATTCACTGATGAAAACATGACGGCAAGCTGAGGGTCAACAATCCTGCATGTATTGGTCGAAGCCAGGAGCACGCACTCTTCACAAGTGCCTTGGGTAAATTTTCGAACCTGACCTTCCCCCGTTACCATGCTAGTGGTGGCAAACGTGCCGACATCAGCCTCTGTTATCGCTATGCTAGCAGCTGGCATTATGTTACTTTTCTGCTTACTACCAAGGCGGTTCATTAAACCCTTTGTGTGATCGCTTTAGAAGACTGGATACTGGATTTTGCGGATGTTGAGTGCTGTCGCAGTAATCACCGGTGTGGCGAAACTTTATTCTCAACACTGACGTATCTTGACAATGGTTGATGTAGTTGTCCCGTTGAACTAAAAAATACTGAGCTATCGCTCTACATTGCGCCGCTCTACTTGATATTCTCAACACTGCACACCCCATCACTGATTGGACTTTCACCACTCAAGCACAAGTGCCAGCAGGGACAGCGCTGGGAGTACCAACGCAGGAGAACTTCTTGCCACCGGTCACATTGACAGTGCTGGTCCAGGTCCAGCCGCTGCAGTTGCCACACTCAATAGCAACATTAGTTCCGCTAGCGACAACACCGTTGCCGCCAATAATGTTGTCGATAGTCAGGCCAGTAATAGGGACGCCAGTGCCAGGGGCAACGTTCTTGGGGAGGTCACCACCGTTGTAGTTCTGCTCAATAAGGATCCCGTATCTAGCTAGCTATTAGGACAAGTGGAGGAGCAGGGAGTGGTGCACATACTTGGTGATACCGCTGAGCGTGATGCCCTTGTAGGTAACCTTGTCAATGGATCCCTTACCATCAACAAAAGACTTGACTCGGATGCCATTGGAGGAGTTGCTGATCTTATTGTTGAGGAATTGCACATTGCTGACTGTGTTAGAGGCAGTGCTAGATCCGTGGCCAACCGACCCGACAGACAGACCGTGACCACCGTTGCACTGTCCGTTCTGGAACGTAATGCTCTACACAATGGGTCAGTAATTATACATGGTCTTTCAATGTTCAGAACTTACGGTTCCAGAGTTGATGGCAACGCAGTCATCTTGGTTGTCGACAATAGCGCCGTCAATGACAATGTTGGAGCTAGCACCAATGTCAAAGCCATCAGTGTTGTGAGGCATCTTGTTCGCAGGCAGACTGTTTCCGCTCTTGTTGTCGATAGTCATCTTATTGACCTTGAGACCATTGCAGCCGTTAATGCTGACGGCCTGCACGGGTGTGTCCAACAGGTAGAGGTTGTTGATAGCTGAGGTGCCCAGTAAGTTGTGAGCAGCTAGGAACTTAGGCTTGGGTGTAGGACCGTTGCTGCCCAGGCCGTCCCAGTATTGGGCACCTTGACCGTCAAGGCGAGCACCGGCTGCACCAGTAACGATGATGTCGGTACCACCGATCTTGAGGAGGGAGTCATCGAAGCCAACCTGGGCGAGCCAAGTGTTGTGGCCCTGGAAAGTGACCGTTGTGCCCTTTGTGAGCTTAGAAAGATCGAGCGACTGACCCTTAGGGACAGTGATTCCATTGAAGGTGATGGAGGAGCAGCCAGGCGCATCAGAGGCAACAGTAGTGGGGTTGATGGTGCCCGTATATGAACAGACGGCACGCTTAGCCAGTATATTTGAAGCGGCGGCAGACGTGTTGTCGGTGGTAGGAGCCGCTGAGGCGACAGCAGCCACAGCGGCGAATATCAATCCAGTGTGTAAGGCAGGCATTTTGAACGTGCAAGAGAATATTGTTATAAGTATTGGGAGACGAAAGTCGATATTTGAAGAGAGGGTGAGCGAGATCTAGATAGCTGTGTGGGAATGATCCTTTACAGGTCTTCTGTAGCAGCTCTTTATAGAAGTCCATGACGCTTTTCGATTGCTCCGGCTCTAGTATAGCCTCCTCGTACCCTTCACTGCCGAAGTGCTCTACCTCTTTCAGCTTCAACTAGACTGATGACCATTCGAACCAGTTCATGTCGTTTAACTAAATCCAGTAGAACGTTAACCCATGCGAGCTGGTAGATTACGAATTTAGGTTAGACTGGTATGATCAACTTGATTGTCGTTAAGTCCGGCTTTAACGATACGATAGTCGCGCCGGTTGCTAAATTGCCAAGGTATTCTCCACCAATTGCAACTTTTGGACATAGTAGATGTTCGTAACCATAATAGGCCCGACTGAACGTGTTGTAGTAGAATAGTTGGTGGAAATGAGAGGTCTACAAACATGTCGTTCCGTCTAGCTAAGCTAGGCAGTATCTGTGCACGCGCAGCGACCATGGTGTCGCAGTGGCGCCAATTCTGGGTCCGTGCATCTAAGGCGCCGATTCGGGTGCCGTGAGTGCTTTCTAGTGTGTCGGCTGAGGAGGGTCGTTCCGGCACGTTGTAGACAGCGGCAGCGCGTCGTGAGGTTTACGTTCGTGATTTCTGAATGGGATTCGTGGATTCTCTCTTTTTTGAACTACAATTCGAAGCCGGGTGGCGGAGAGAGTAGTGTTCGACGTCGAAGGTGCTCTGCAGTACCACCAATAGAAGGGGTTGCGTGGGTGTATAGGTCGTACTACTAAACAGTTTGGCCACAACAGCTATTGTACCAGTGTGTACAGCTCAAGTTCGTCTGTCGTTATGATGGTCGCTACGCGCAGATCCTGGTCAGCTTGGCACGTTCGGGGCGAGGCCGCATTGAGCGCACTGACAGAGTGAACTAATGCAGGGCACACACAGAGCCGCTAATAACGCTAACCATCCCAGCTAACATGGCAGCATAAGGACCGAAGATGCAGTTTCACCACTTTCCGAAAATTGCCGTCAGCACTGAAGGACGGTCTAGAAAGCAGTCGACTACGTGCCAAGCAGCGCAAGCTGTTCTAGAATATGTCGATGGTACACCAAGGGACAGTCTTTCATCCAGCCGCGTGGTATGATCATTTCAACGCCAAGAGTAAGCAGGATCAACCGGAGTAAAAGTGATAGAATCGATTAGTAAGGTGGCATATGGACGCACAGTCTTCGTGCGCTGTCCAAGTTTCTGCTGCGCCTTCAGACAACGCTTATCGAAGGCGCAAGATCGGTCTGTAGTGAAACACTTCTATCCAGTCATGCTGTAAGCCGCCAAGGTTCATTAGCCAGCTTCTAGTCATATGCAATGGCAAGGCCCTTCAAGATGTGCTTTTAGAAGCAAGGTGACGACACTGGTCTGACACGTGGTATCAAGCATGTTTCCCTTTCGAAATACTCGTTCACAAAGTGTCTTCCGTGGTAAAGAAGCCGACGAAGCTAGCTATCACTACTGGAGAAACAAGGCTGCCGCATGTTCGACTGGTGCTGCGAGATTTGGAATCAAAGCGCCAGTACATAAGCATACTATTGCCTCACAGAACGAACGCTGCTTGAACAAGATTAGTGGAACCTTCTTGAAGAGAGCGGCGTGCGCGCTCACCATTCAGCAGGTCGTCTTTGACCTCTTTGACAAACAAGGGCCAACTTTTGTTCAATGGAACAGCATACGGACTCGCTGCGGTGATTTCAGCGACAAGATTACACCCAAGGATCAGCCCTATCACCCGCACAGATGTGAAGAGCAAGTATCAAGTCGATCTGAGGGATATTTGGGCCGACAGGACTACAACATATATTGGCATCACAATATGAGTGTTCTCATATATGTTGTTCTCAGACTTTCCGTAAGCTCCGACGCCATCAACTGATGCTATACCTACCATCGAAGCTCGGGTGGAGTTGGCTATGGATATCGTCTACAAGGTGGAACATCCAAGTGCCAGATCAGCTTATCCCACCAGACATGTCGAAGTTGATTGGAAAAAGTAACGAAAAGCATGAGCAGAAGGGACTCTGCTGTCTCATATCGAAGGCTGGTGTAATGAAGCTGAAATTTCAGGCAACAAATAAGAAATGATGGCGTATATTGCTGGCATTAACACCAACGGAGTTTCGCACTAACATCGAGGAGCTGTCGGCGTTGAATGTGATTGCTAGAGACAGGATTTGATATGATGACGTTGCAAATCATATGTAGCATAGAGCTTTATCAATCACGATTAACAGACTGCGACATGGGATGGAATCTTGTGATGCAACCATACACGAGAATTCAGGTAGCTCTGGTCCATACCATCCAGTAGAACCCGTCATTCTGACCACGCATTGGGCAGAAAGTATGCCACCCGGAATTTTGGCTGCCCCGGGTGTGGCAAAACGAGAAATCAGTAGTGCCGAGTCGATAGTGCGGAGTAGAGTTGAGGTCGTGAGTCGAGAGGTCGCATTGGTGACGTATTCGCAAGAATTGCTCCTCCACTAGGCTCTGGAATGTCTTTGATGGCTTTGATTGAGAATCTATCTCCTTCTCGCTGGCGGGATCAACATTTCCAGTCTCGAGAGTGTTCTCAGTCACGCCCGAGACTAGCCCACAGCTGGAACTATAACATATGTTAGCTTGGAAGGTTCCAGAGCGTCCTGAAGCTTTGTGAGCTTAACACCTCATCTCCTTGTTCCTACGTGTCTTTTCCACGTTCATCTCGCGGCATTCTCGACAAGAGGTATCGCTCATATCGCCCTTGCGCTTGATCAACATGGTCATGTACACTATCTCTTCGGGTCTTATAATTTCATCGCAGTTCTGCGATTGAACCTCTTTAGTCAAGTCGCTGCTCTCTAATATGTATTCGTTGTGCTCAATCTTCTTGTGCCACGGCCAATTACCGTAGATGGTGAGCAGCAATAGATGCATCTGCTAATCTATACCAGCATACCGCCGGTCATCAACAGGAATACTGTCTTATAGGAAACTAAGTTGTGAAAACTCACACAATATCATGGGGATCGAAAGGAGTGTGGTTGCCCTAGAAGCATCGTAGAGTTTGAGAGGATCCTCTAGTTCGGTATAGCTGATCCCAGTGAGGTTGATGATGATAATTTGACATCTCCAGTGACGCCTAAGCATATTGCGGATGACTTCATCGATACCAGCAATTGAGGCTTAAAATGATCGGTTCTTATCGTGGATGTGTCAGTAACAATGGTGTTAGCTCTGAAAAGAACAAGAGCCCTTCGCGGTGTCCGCTGTCGCTCGTAGAAGGGATGTGAATAAATAGAACAAGTAGCTGCGCAAGCTATTCCGGAGCTCGTTTAGATCGGTCATCATGCATAAGCTAGTCTCTTGTTTAGCTTTCGATTCGAAATTGTGAATAGCTTTACAGCAAACAAGCAAGACCTTTGTCATGATATCAGCTGGAGTATCTAGGTACGCCTTGCACGGTTCAACGTTCGGTACAGACACACGAGGCTTCGCGATAGCCTCGTGTGTGGATCGAAGAAGGATTCGAATTCGATAGCCATACGATTTTGTCTGAAAAGATCAGCTGTTTACCAATCGAGTGATAGGGGAATTTACAGCTGTTGATGACGGATAAATGAGAGACGCTTGAGAGATTAGGAAGTGGAGCCGTCGACAATTATGAAGGACTTTCGTATTTTGGCAGCTGTTAGCAGTTGAGACTAGGATGAAGTACTTCCCGGCACTCACATCATGCGTTGGAAGCGGTCGGTCATCAGGTATCCTAGTGTAATGGTTGATAGAACCAATGATCGTCGGTGTGTTCTTTCTGTATTCATAAGCTCGACCCTTGCCGTATCTGGCTGCAGCGAAAACTTCCTACGTTGGATGAGGCGCCGAGATTTTCTGAGAAATGCAGAAGTTTTTGGAAATTGCAGGTGGCCAGTTGCAGAGATGGAAAGCGGAGCTTAAACTCGCGATCGGCCCCTCGTCGTCACCTTGTGCGCTACTCTCTCAATACTTTTGTCAACAGCTGAGACCCAAACCCGTCTCAGAACGGAGTTGTGCACTACACAACTTACCTCTTGAGTCTTGACACTCTTCATCTCAGTAACCGCAATTTGAGGTTTGGCCATGACTGAAAGCGTTACTAAAGAGTTCAGGCGTAAGACCTCGCAGTCCAGGTTCAACCATACCTTCTGCGCATTACCCCAGCCGAAGACCGGTCGATATGCCATATACACGAACACCCTCTGCCCACCCACCGATTCACCGAACCCCTCATCTTACCGTCTCTCAAGTATCCCGAAGACACTATCGAGACTATTGAGGTCGACTCTACGCACTAAGTAGAGGCTGTCATTTTTCTCCAGCTAATACGGCCTGAACAAGGATCCTATTACAGGCCTCAGGACGATAACGGAAGTCTATGTGAAGCATCATCCTGGTTGACAGGTACACATGCTACGCCGTATTCGGCTTGGACGCCAATCCTCACCAACCACCACCCAGAATCACTTCGTCCACGAAGCACAACAAATGGGACACTAATGATCACCAACTCTTCCAAACCCAGCTGGAAAGAACACACAATACAGTAGATTCCAACATACGGCTTCCACTGCAAGTCAAAACTCGTCCCAGATACCAACATCTCAAAAATGAACAAACAGTCTTGCGTCAAGTCACCGTCTCAAAGCCTGCCGCCATCTTCCTTCCCATACTTTCCCTTCCACCCCCACAATACTTTGCGTGCCAAACCTCTGCACGGAATCACGACACATCACCACCACACCTCAAAATCATCATTTGTAATTCTGAATCGTCTCCATTCCATGACTTTTCTTGGCATCTAGACATAAGTGTCGACCATGCTACTGTGGGGATAAACGTAGTACTTATACAGCGCCTTCATGCCACGCCCCGGTTAAATATGGAGAGCAGCGAGTTGAGGGGGGCCATTCAATCATCTTCGCTCTCGTCTCTCTACCCCATTGTCCTTTCGTGAGACCTAGACTTGTAGCTTTTCCCAGGCACAGCTCTTGCTGGCCCCAAAAGCGGGTGGTTGGTGTCGCCCCGCTTTGAAACTGCCTTTTCGCCAGTGGCATGTCATTCAAGAAACGCCAAACTCCATGCAGTGTGCCTACCCGTCAATTCAAGCTTCCTGTTCCCTCTGCTGCCTTCCCTTGCCGCCACCTCGCCTGTCACCACCCTTGCCCCTGTTGTCACCATCCTTCTTGCCATCGCCAGCGAGCGGGTCGCCGCCGCCCATGGTAAGTGCCGCAGTTGCGAGACGATTCGAGAGGTCGATCTGTGTGCGAATGGTGTTTGCGAGGTATGATACGACGAGGACATCTTGGATGTGCGCGTTGCTGTGGCAAGTCACGTTAGCAGAGGGCCAAAGGTACAAGTAGGAGGATGGAGACGTACAAATCACGTTCAATGTCGGCAGGCTCAACCTTTGGCGCCAGGCTGAGGGCGTTCATGAGGAACTGTCCCAGCGCAGACGACGGCTCGGCCTCCTCGTCCAGGACGTTGTTAACGTAGTTGGAGACGCGCTCGAGCATGTCCAGGACGTGTGTGATGGCGCGCTCCAGGGAATCGAGATCGGTCATGACGTCCTGTGACCGGTCCTCCCTGTCCTTTGCCGACGAAATGAGCTCCAGGCCCGACCTCTCTGCCTCGCCGTACTTGATCTCGTGGGGCACGGGGATGAAGAGACACGAGTCTGCGGCGCGCTCAGCCGTCACGCCAATGGGCGCGGAGATGTACGTCTTGGACTCGATGTCCTTTCCAGGGACGGTGGAGACGGTGAGATGGACGGCCGGGTGTGGCCATGTGCCGTCGCCTTGCTGGCTGTAGAAGTTCTGGATGAGGGCAGAGAAGGTGTTGAGGTCGCTGCTGGTGGCGTACCAGCCAACGAGGACCTCACGGGGGTTTGCGCGGAGGTGCAGGGCGAGCATCTGCTTCTGGTAGTCCATGTCGACCTCGACCTGCTCAGCCGTTTCCGTGTGGGGGACGGCATAGCAGTTGCGGATCTCGATTTCGGTGCCGTCTTCGCTGCGGGTGCCGAGGAGGGTGCCGATGACGCGTTCTTGCTCGGCGGGGCGGCGGAGGGAGTGGTCGAGGATAGAGAAGACGGCCTAGTTTTGGGTGTCAGAGAGCAGAGCAGGCAGCCTCTCACTGCGGTTGTCGCATACCTGGGGCTGGATGGCGACGTTCAGCGGGGCAGTCGACGGCTGGGCGCCCATGGAAGCAGGGCCGAGCGGGCGCGCAAGATGGAGGAAGGAGTCGTTCTCGGCCATGGTGACGGTGATGGCGGTGCTTGGGCGTGGGCGTGGGTGGTGGTGGTGAGGCGCTCGGAGGACGTCAAATGTGCTTGGTGGGGCACAATGTCGATATTGTGAAAGAAACCTGGGCAGGTGCGTTCGCTTGCACGGACCATCTGAACTTTTTTTGGTGGACGCCGCGGGCTAGCATGGCTTTCGAGAATCATTCAGATCAAAGCAACACCACCTCGGATATACAATTAAACCTTCGAATCTCGCGCATCCAAGTACCGCGACTCTATTTCTTGCGCAATCAGTACTGCGCACACACACCGAGGCCTCCACCCAACTTACATCGCTCGGCGCGTCCCGAATGGCGCCAATGAGAGGTCGAGGCGGAGGCGGCTCCCGTGGACGGGGAAGGGGTGGCGGGGGAATGGCAAGAGGCAGAGGTGGCATGAGAGGCCGTGGAAGAGGCGGAAGCAGAGGCGGTTTTGCAGCAGCGAGAACACGAGATGAGGTCGAAGATTCGTGAGTACGGATATTGGTCGCAGGCGCATTAGCCCAGTACTGACAACAGGCTCCAGAAATGTTCATATGCGGGAGCCATCCGTGTCCGACGATAGCGAATCCGACGCCTCAGACGACGCTGCCTCGGACGAAGAGGAAGAAGAAGCGCAGCCAATCTCGAATGCGTATGCCTCCCTCCTGCAGTCCTTCTCGTCGCGCAATACTGGCTCCGACGAACACCGGAAGAAAAGACGGAAGTTGGGACACGACGAACCTGAACCCAACGTCGAAGTGGATGACGAATCTTCCACGCTAGAAGCCGAAGACGCTGTGGCTGAGGAAGAGGAAGAAGAGTTGGATAACGACGAGGTCTCGGACGAGGACGACCGAGAAGAGCAGAAGCTCGAGCAAGCCTACGAAAGACACTTTGCGAACCCAGACGAGAACGAACTAGCGATGCGCCTAAAGCGGATAGCAGCCAACCAATGGACGTCACAAAAGCTCGATCGGAAACCTGGGCTGGGGGCTGGAGTACTTCAGGTTCCCAGTGACGAAGTCAAGACGCCGGTTAGGAAGCTTCGAAGCGTCCGCGATGTTGAGTTAAAAGCGCGGCTTGTCGAAAATGCACAAAAGAGACTCGGCACCTTTGATGAGCTGGAACAAGCCATCACACCCTCGATATTCGGCTATCAGGACCTGTTGTTCGGTGCGAGGACAGTTCAAAATGCCAACCGTCTGCGCGACATCACCTGTCTACATGCGTTGAACCACATCCTCATGACACGCGATCGCGTTCTGAAAAACAACGCCAAACTTGCCCAAGCAAAAGACGACGACACCGACACCGAATACCGCGATCAAGGCTTCACCCGTCCCAAGATCCTCTTCTTGCTAGAAACAAAACAAGCCTGCGTTCGCGCCCTAGACAGCATAACCGCTCTCCACGATTTCGAACAGCAGGAGAACAAGAAGAGATTCCTCGACAGCTTTTCCCTCCCAGAAGACAAGTTCTCCGAAGACCGGCCAGCAGACTTCCGAGACCTGTTTGAAGGAAACGACGAGAACGAATTTCGCATCGGCGTAAAACTCACCCGAAAGACGCTGAAATACTACTCGACGTTTTACAACTCTGACATCATCTTTGCCTCGACACTAGGCCTGCGTCGCGCCATCGAATCTGGAGACCCCAAGAAACGCGACTCGGATTTCCTCTCGTCGATTGAAATGGTGATCATGGAGCAAGCAGACGCCGCTCTGATGCAGAACTGGGAACATGCCGAGTTTGTCTTTGAGCATTTGAACCTCCAGCCCAAGGACTCCCACGGCTGTGACTTTAGCCGTGTGAGGAACTGGTATCTAGATGGCCACGCGGGCTTCGTCCGCCAGACCATTGTCCTTAGTGCTTTTCTGACGCCTAAGATCAACACGCTGTACAACAGACACATGCGGAATTTTGCAGGCAGACTCAAGTACACGGCAGACCACACCGCGGGACTCATCGAAACCCTGTCTTATGGCGTCAAGCAGACTTTTCTCCGCTTCGACTCGCCATCCCATCTTACGGACCCGGATGCTAGGTTCAAGTATTTCAACACGACTATTCTGCCGTCCATCACACGGCTGCCTAAACCGGTAGAAGGTGGCCTTGGCGTCCTCGTCTTCATACCAAGTTACCTCGACTTTGTCCGCGTCCGCAATTCCCTCGTCGACACGGATATCGCGTATGCGTCCATCTCAGAGTACACGGATGCAACCGACGTGCGTAAAGCACGTAGCCACTTCATGAATGGGAAACACTCGGTGCTGCTGTATACGGGTCGTGCGCACCATTTTCACCGGTATAATCTCCGCGGCGTCAAGAGGGTCGTGTTTTATGGGGTACCCGAGAATCCCATCTTTTATGATGAGGTGGTGGGGTTTGTGGGGAAGAGTGTGGAGAGGGCGGAGATTAGTCGTGCGGAGGCGAGTGTCAAGGTGTGCTTTTCGAGGTGGGAGAGGTTGGAGTTGGAGAGGATTGTGGGGTCGAAGAGGGTGGGGAAGATGGTGGGGGATAGGGGGGATGTGTTTGATTTTGTGTAAGGATTCTGGAAACCCATCTTACAGAGTAAGATTCTGGGGGATAAGATGTGGTGGGGAGTAATGCCACGTTATTTTCGTCAAGATCTAGCACGCTTAGTGGTGTAACACCAAGCCCTTACTAGCATATAATCAAACTCTAGTATGAGAACCGCTTGGCAGCGATTTGTATACAGTCTCCCAAAAGCGATCTACCTACTCTCGCATACTCCTTGTGCATCTGGTACCTCGACTACTGGTATCGCCCAACACTCTTAATTCCACCAAAAGAACACGGCTGTTATTCCCATGACTTGTACACTAGTCAGCCACGCTCCAATCGCGACTCCTGTCTGTGCATCTTTCATCTTCCACCCGTAAATTCCCGCAACAGCACCACTTAGCAACAAGAGCAAACACATCAACGCAGCGAACAGCGGCCAATCGGGGTTCTCTTCAAAATGGATACCCCAGCCAATCTCTTTGGGTCCTAGCGCAGGTCCGACTTTCCATGGCAACCGTTCACTCCAGAACACGTCGGGATGATGTGATTTGGGGGCGTAAAAGTGGTGGAAGAAGACTCGACTGTTCATGGGTGGTAACTCAATCGGGCAAGGATCATATTCGTAGTTGTGCCTGACTTCTGTGGCTGGTGGTTTTGAAGGGGTTTCATAGTCGAGAGAAACGGTCTGTTTTGGTCCGAAGAAGAACTATAACTATGTTAGTTATGTAGTATGGATGGTCGTGGAGCTCCGCGACAGACTTTCACGAAGATGGCTTTATCTGGCTTTTTGAATCGCGCCCATATTGGGAGTATCGAGCGGCTGGCTGTTTCGTATCGCGCTCGTATCATTGCGGAAATTTCACCATCGGTACCGACGGGATTAGGGCGGGTGAGTGGTTTCATTTCAATCTTATACTTTCCAGTTCCTATGCATAGTTGCAAGGCAGTCGATGGCAAGGACCTGACAGCCTTGAGACCTGTTGACCTTGCAACGATATTTGCAAGATTGTTCTGACCATTGGAACTGCTACTGCTTCCACCAGGCATGTTATACCCTACCGTACTGGCTTGTCTCGTATGCGCTTTCTTTGGTGGTGGTATCGACGCAGGAGTGCCATGCTGCGAGCTTTGACTGGATTGTTGTTTTAGTCTGGCGGCTAGTTGATCAAGAGACCCAGGGGTCTTTTCTTCGGAATCACTATAGAGAAATTCTCCGCAAGTCTATCATGTAAGTGCGTGTGAGTTGTTAGTGGTTGCAGAAAATGGCTTACACCCCCTGCTCTTTCTTTTCCTATGATTCTCAAGTCCTGCAGCGCATCGGGTGGGAATTCTCTCTATCTCGTTCCAGAAATCGGCTTCGCAGTCACTGATACGAAAAGTTGAATCGTAATCTGATAAGTTCAGCTTGATATCCTCTAGCTCCTGACTGAACATGATGATATGACAGACGTCATTCGATGATGCAAGGAACTGACAGAGCCTTTCCCTCTCCTTAGTCTTTATAGAACACTCATCCAAGCGGTTCAACAGGATTATAGCGTCTCGTCTCCCACACATACGCTGGAAAAGGTCTGGGTCTCAGTGTCAGTAGGCTCGCCATCTTTGTTGCAAATCTCTGTTAGCAACTCGACATCTTCTGGAAACTGATTGAGAAGGTTCCAACAAAGTGTGCCGATGAGTTGTCGTACATCAATACTCGCGGTGGTTCGTTCTGCGTAGAACAGATAGGTCACCGTACGCCTATCTTCGCGCAGCTTCTGAACGACCCTTGCTGCAATCTGCGTTCTTGGCGCTCCCGGAACACCAGAGATACACAGTATTGGGGAGCTTTTCTTCGAAAGTTTATTCTACCAATCGATATACTCTTGCATGAGAAAAAACCACGTGCCATCAGACGAGGAAATGTTGTCGATGTACGCCTGATATCTCTCTTCGACCCAAGATATAGGCCGCAACCACTCATTTGTCTGACGCACTAGTCTCTTGTCGATATGACACTTGCTCTCTGTAGCCCATCTCTTGAATGTTTGCCAGGATCTGGATAGGTTCTGAGGAAACATCGTCGTAATACTCCTATGAAGGCCACACAGCGGTATCACGACTTCGTTTTGTAGCCTTGTGATCTTATTGAAGCAGCGCTGGTAGTAAATAGTCTTGAGATAAAACTTGGAGGAGACGGACTTCATGTTCTCGGTTTTACCCTCGTCTTCGTTCAGTCCCATAGAGGACACTATTCCTACTTTCGTCTCAAGAAGAGGTTTCCATATTGCTGTGATATTGTCTTGAAGACCTTGGGAGATGGGACCCTCCTTCAAAACCTCTTTTACGGCTTTCAATGTATTTTTCAGCTTCTTCAGGAATGTTGTATATTCTTTCACCAGTTCTCCTTCTCCACCCCATCTCGGACAACGCTCGACCGACATCACAGAGAACATCTGCAGCCGCAACAGGATCTCTGTCTGAAGACCAGAACGGCATTGTTTGTATCAGGGCTGAGCTCTTCGTGTCGCTTATGATCGACGGCTAACTTTCAAGGTCTGTACTCGTGGTACAGAGTACGGACTGTCAGAGGTGCTGGAGAAGAGAAAGACAAAAATTGGCAACACTCTCAGGTAATGATAGTCTTATCAAGTGTGCCTGGATGTCCCCGCGACTGTGCCAAGTGCGGCTGACGTGGTTCACCGGTTAGCGACAGGTCTCCCCGCCACGGGCCGGAGGTTCCCCACAAAAGTCATGGCGTGATACTATGTCCACGACAAGTAGTATCCATACAGAGATGCTTACCGTACATGATCCAATGGTCTCCATAGGCGCCAACTTCCATATCAATCGTGCTGCCGAGTAGTGTCTGCATCTAACATCTCCTGTTCTGGTGCTTGAAGATGGTGTAGTAATTTTGATTTAGGCTCATATTCAGCTTATGTTGTCTCATCTCTCCCATTGGCTAGCTCCTGATCACACCAGAGACCCCTCCTTTCTGGCCCCCATATCATCGCCCGTTCTTTCTTCGTTTCCGTTTCAACTCTGTTACATCTTTCCTGCCTCTATCAGATAAGACAATCAACCGTTTCACATCTTCCCTACGCATCGAGTGACTGCCTAATCTCTTCGATGATGGCGGAGTACCAACACCGTCCATTGGACATTACTACAGACCAGATTCGTCTTGTTCAGCTGTTACCTGGAGACGATGAACCTTTGCACGTAAAGATCATTATCTGCCCCATAACAGAAAAAGCTTTCACTGCGCTCTCTTACACATGGGGTTCGCCTGACCCGAGTCACGCCATCGAATGCGAAGGCGAAACCATCCGTATCATGCCAAACTTGCATCGTTTCCTGCAGCTGCTACGCCGATCTGGACACCTTGAACCTTTATGGTTCGACTATCTCTGCGTCGATCAGAGAAATCTCGAAGAGAGGACTCATTTCGTGTCGATTATGGCTACTATCTATCACGCGGCACAGCAAACACTTTGTTGGATTGGGGATGAAAATGTCACTCCTTTGCAAGATCTCATATCGAAAACACACGAAATGGTAGATTACAAAGGAGCAATGATCCAATGCCTTTCGGAGGTTGATATCCTCCACTCAAGGTACAGAATCGTGGAACGCGACCTGGAAGTTTGCGGGAAAGAAGTCAAAATGCTCGATAGCAGCATCTGGCACAATCTAAACGCATTTTTGAATCACGGTTACTTCGATAGGTTCGTCAAGTTCTGTTCCCAATTCTCCGCCGATTTGCTAAGTTCTAGGCTTTGGATAATACAAGACATTGTGTGCTCCCGGAATCCTGCCATATTCGGCTTGGAAGTGGACATACCTTGGAGTGAGCTGGCAAAGAGTTTGCTCGCCCTGCTACTTCTCAGTACCAAGTCACAACCGCGGTCTCCAGCGGCCATGTTCGTGGTCCTTTGTGAAGCTATGCGATGTGGGTACTCTGAAGTAGAAGGCAAGCGCATGGAGTTGGTAGACCTACTCTTAGCACTACGGACCAGACCATGTCGTTGCTCCGATTCCAGAGACTACGTATATTCAGCTTACTCAATCGCCACTGTCACATCTCCAGGTCAATCACCTGGAATCGACTATAGAATGACGCCTGAAGCAGTCTTCTCTCGAGCTTCCCAGCACTTGAATCATCTCTCCAGCCAGCCGTTGAGTCTTTCTCTGACTGACAATATCCATTCGCGTCTGCCATCCTGGAGTACGAACTGGGAAGCTAGGACGGAACGTTTCCTATTGAATCACCCCGCTAGTAATTTCTCAGCATCCAGGCGACCGAACGCCGGCGATTCTTCTGTGGAACCTGTGGTATCGGCTGGCAAGATGAGAGCCCAGCGAATGCGATGCAATGGTTTCATAGTGGACGCTATTCGACGCACGAGCGATTATCTCCCCCCACGGCATCACTGCGACCACTATGACGTGAACGATCACTGCTTCTTCTTTGCCAATTGGTACGAGTTTGCGACAGATAATTTGAACCTTCCCGAAAACGATGTGTTGCTCTATTATGCCGACACCATCCAAGCCAGAGGTTGTGGGCACGTATGGGAAAATGCCGAGATCACGCCTCAAGACCGCATGCAAAAAGCACGGGCATTCCTTGATTTCCTCTCCAGTGAGGATGCCGACGAATCTGATCTAACAAATTCGGTTAGGCTGTTTCACGCTGCCTGCTTTCCGTCTCATGACAGAAGGTTTGCGATCACCAGAAAAGATCGCTTTTGCCTTGTGCCCAAAAATACCCAAAGTGGCGACCTCGTTTGCATCCCTCACAACAGTAGAGTGCCCTACATATTTCGACCACGCACAGAGGGTGGCGGTTTCATAAACATCGGGGAGACATATGTTCATGGGATGATGCAAGGGCAATCGAGCGAACCGAAGGATTGGGAAGAGAAGGAGTTTTCTTTGTACTGATCATTGACATACACAGCCATAGCCACTGTAACTCCCCGGAACTGCATGAGACACATGACCTTCGGTTACAACTAATGAATCTCCTGGGATAGTTATATACACAGTTGTATGTAGTAAATCTAAGAGTTTGGGAATGCACTTCTACTGCGATAGAGTACAGTGTACCTCAACAGCGTCGTGCTTGCGTCTCATCCCCAGCACGTCCATAAGAAGAATACGCAGCCACAACTCAGCAGTATTATTTATCTCCTGTGCGCTCCACCAACTTAGTTTTGGCCTTGTCTAGTTTCGAAACGAGTCTTTTCATGACAGATGGTCGTCCTTGGTGTGACTTTGCTCCCCGTTCAGATTTTGTATTGGTGGACCCCAGACTCACGACTTCTACTTTTTCGGCATTGTGTAATTTCGTATCAGTAACCAAGTTGTGAGTAGGGGTGTCTCCAATCGCTGGTGGGTCGACATCCTCGATTTCATACTCCGAGACTATATCGACAAGCTCTGCATTGAGTGATTGGATTGCAACCTCGCTACCATGCAAGACCTTGACTTCATTGGCATGGTAGACATATGTTTGATATAGTGCTGAGACGTGAGAGCTATACTCTTTCCCATGTGGCGCTGTCTTGATCTGCGAGTAGAGAGCTTTGCAGATAGCCTCATCTGGACTGAAATTTGGCTCTGCCCACTGTCTGACATCGGTGGTCGGTAGAAGTAGATAGTCTCGTACAGTTCTGTGTAGAAAGTCCACTGTATATTCGAAAAGAATTGCAGAAGGTAGTGAATCCTGCTCTTCGGTCGTTGATCGGAACCGAGGCTCTAGAAGACCTTTGCAACTCGCAATCAAGCGCTTGTTCGCATCTTTGTGTCGTTTGATCGTTTGTTGCATCCTGAGTGGTAGACGCTGCTTTGGTAAACCTTCGCCTAGAAACCAGTATGCCATAAGTGGAAGATTTTCTTTTGCTTTCAGTGCAACCAAAAACATGTGGGAAGCCTCGCTACGGTACGTTTCCTTTACATCTCGGAAGATTATGCGCTCGAACAATTCCTCAAGATTCGTGGGCAACTTGCGAAGACGTTGCTGTAAGCGAGTGATACTGTCTCCTTCTAATAACCCGTCTTGGAGAGACCTAACAACAAGTACTACCCATAGGAACACTCCGTTCGCTGCGGTGATTATTTCTTGGATAAGTTCTTGTCCAAGTGTGTCTTTGTCCTCTAGCTCTTGGTAGTTGTTGTCGTTTTCGAAGACATCGTTGATGTACGCGTTGATGTCTTGGTAGTTGAAATCCTGCATGTACAGCTTGTCTGTACCACTTTTGCCAAAAGCATCTTCAAATTCGTTCCACTGACGACTGGACACGCATATCTTCACGTGTTTGAGATTTCGCAAAACCCCCACTAGCTGGATTACGTCGCGCGAATCCCCCGCATATTCGTCCAGTCCGTCGATGAAGAAACACAGCCGCTTCTCAGACTGAGTATGAAGGTTGCATACATTGGTTAGTGAATCGAGCAATTCAGGAATGGTATGCGGCATTTCGGTGTCCAGTCGGATGTCTGGTTTTCCAGGCAACCCTGCATTGGTAGGATTGTAACACTGCCAGACGCCCGGGAAAGCCAAACGGATGTAGTCTGGGTATTGTCGTAGTATTTGATAGAGCAAAGACCGTAGAAGACCCTCTTGTGATTTTTGAAGATCGTTCTTCCCAGCATTCCAGAAGAAGTATTCGGCGATGATTACCTCCTCGTTCCCAGCCCAAGTGGTCAGATGCTCCTTTGTTTTCTGGTGGTGACAGAGGAACTTCATGAGCGTGGATTTCCCTGAGCCAGGTCGACCAGATATCCAGTATAAATCGTTGTCTGAATGTAACCACTGCACGAAGGTTGACGGGCCGTTGCCTTGATTTTGAACTTGCAAACCTGTGTCTTCGAACATCCAGGCCAAGGTATGTCGGTGGGCTGGTGACATCAAACGATAACGATCTTCCAACCGAACAAAGCGAAGTCTGAACAGGATACTTTGTTCCGCAGAATAGTGCAGGCCATCTGATGCTAACTTGCTCATGAGATTGGCCGATTCTTCCTTTCCAGTGTTGTTTTGGCTGTTTTTCAATGCCTCACCGAATTCCCTTCTCAGATCCAAGATGTCCACGGTCCGCGTAATCTCGAGTCGACGATTGATCTCGAGTAGCTCATTGAGGCGAGAGTAGATACCCAGATTGTTCTCGTCTGCAAGGCGTGCATTGATTGCTTTCGCGATACGATCCAGTCTTTCGCGTAAAGCTCCGATCTTATCATCATTCCATTGTGTCTTTAACGCTTGAAGGAAACTTGTCCACTTGTTTCGGTCGTTGTGTAATTTGAGCGCGTCGAGAATACCGAGTAGTTCATCTGCTATCTCGTTGCATATAATCGCCAATGCCTCAATGGAATTTCCGTCATCGCCTTCAGGGATATCTCTGGCACTTCCTGGTAGGATTATGCGGGCTGATCGAGAGCGCAGTTCTTTTGAGACAAGTTCCAACTCAATGTACTCATCCTTAGCGCCCGAGCCGAGAATTTCACGACTGGTGGATACTAAGTTCCTTGCTTCATGGATAAATTGTAGGATATTTGCAGCGAGGCCGACAGCGGCGAGGGATTCCATGTTGTGATCGGACGCAAAGCGCAAGAGTGAACCCTCTGCGATGAGTTAGAGTCAGCGAGGTTCGTGATTTAAGTCAGACGCGCCATGTACGACCAACATCAGCCTTGTTGGGCAGCTGCGCATTGGCTGCTTACCGCAGCGGCAGACCCAGCCCGATTCGCTGCGTTAGGCGGGGAAAGGTCCCTACGCGAGTAGAAGGCTGAAGGATCTCAGCAAGTAGGTCAGGTTTGCTGCAGCATAGTGCTGGTGGCGTTACCGGTGACTGCTCATCAGCCGTTCAGCCTCGCGTTCGAGATCAACCGCGTACACCGGATCCGTCAAGGCAGAGACATTGAGCTTCCGAGTTACTGAGCCTCCATCCCTGCGGAAGCGCAGCGATACTGGCCAGATTCATGGTTGAAATCTGAAACCAATTGGCTTACGAGTCCATAAGGTGTAGGTGTTGTGGTGACAGGCGCTGTGGGGAAGGCGCGCGCAAATTATCGCGCTAGTGAAGTAAATGACGTCGAGCAGGAGCGATTGCCTTCTCCGAAACAAAACGACACAACAGCACAACAACACAACAGCACAAACCAAGACAATGCACGAGTCAGTGAGAACGAATCGTCTTTGGGCAGGATCATAGGTACTGAGATTACTGCGTATATTCATCTAGATTCGCTTGAATAATCACATTCCTACCACATCACCTCCCTAGTGCAAGAACTCGTTGAAGAAGTTCACAGCACTCCTCTTCGCCCTCTCCAAACCATCCTTCTGCTTCTGATCGTTGGGGTCACCACGCGCAGCAAAGCCGTGCGCCAGACCAGGGAAGTAGACGTACTCCCACTGCACGCCCGTCTTTGGCAGTGTCTCGAGCGTAGCCTTCTTGAGCTCCTCCGTGTACATTTGGTCGTGCTCAGGAGAGAGGACCTGTACAGGGACCTTGACGGCCTCGATTTCCGATTTCTCGAGCAGCGAGGGGTGGGCGGTGGAGATGGCGTCGATAAGAGAGGGGTCGGCGGCGAGCTTGAAGCAGGCCCAGCCGCCGTAGCAGAAGCCAATGGCGGCGACCTTTTTGTATTGCGACTTGAGCGTTTGCGCGTGCTGCTTGATCTCGGGCCAGCGGATCTCCTTGCTGTTGCGGCCGAGGAAAGCCATGATGTCGAAGTTCTTTTGTTTCTCAGGGTTGGAGAGCGCGTCGGGGTCTACGACTTCGCCGCCGAATCTGCGCAATTGCGGTTAGTCGCGCTGATGGTGTGCGTGTGTCGCGTCGCTACTTACACATCGGGCACGTAGACAGTCGCATTGGCTTCCTTTGCGTAGTGGTCTGCGATGAGGCGGATGTTCGGAAGCGTCCAGCCGAAGACGTCAGTGACGATGAGGATAGCGGCATCCTTGTTGTCGCCAGTGACATAGCAGTCGATCTGGTCGAGCTTGTCCACCTTGCCAACGGACTCGCCGTTCCACTTGAAACCTTTTTTGCAGTTTTCGCAGGCCATTGTGACGATATATAAAAGGAGTTGATGAAGTGCAAGATGAGATTGGTGTGACAATTGAGCGCTATCTGAAGAATTTGGCGGGGTCAAGAGGCCTTATGTCGTGCAAGCTTCGGGTGGGGTACGGCTCGATCATTATGCAGTTACGTGCATGAAGAGAGGAAAGATAGCCCGGCTTCTGGCCGATTCCGTCATGGGGGCCAATCATAATGCCAGGGCGGAACGTCGCATTGACTTGACTTCCGGTGTTGTCGTGGTGTGGATGATGACGATGATAGCTGGTACCGGATTTTGCAGTCGCTCAAAATTAAACCCGGACCTGTTTCGCCGATATCCGCCGCTTCGCTGACAGAGACGGACTCCAGGCTATGTGATCAGAAAACAGCCTCGCTCAAGGAGCTTGCATATCTCCGCTTCTCGGTGTCTACTCAAAAATGCGAGGCAACCTGTTCAGTAAAGTACGTACCGATACTATCTAGTAGATGCAAAGATCAAAGAGCCGACACGTATGTGGAAGGTGTCGCGAACGCCATGCGGCACTCTACCTGGACTCCGGTTTCTTTGCGGGCAGCCGTCATGATGCGAGCAAATGTGTAGTCTCTGCGACTTGCAGTAATTGTTCAGATTGTAGAGAAATTCATTCCATTGATATTCTCGCGAATGAGCTCATCAGTGGGATAATCAATGGCCGAGTCTGCGATGTTGCCTAAGTAACTCATCTACTGGATTGCCCCGGGAAAATGGTCGATAGACTCCCATCCCTTCGGAGTTTCTCATAAATCATCATGAAGATACATTGTGGGTGTTTTTTCCTTTCACTTACAGGCTCCTCCGCCTGCTCCAGGGATGGCTCTGGAATCACGACATAATCCGGCTTAGCCGCGCTTTCACGGGCGTCTTCCACTGCGCGATTGCAGCCTCATAGTAGTACATTCGGAAGAGATAATTGGCTGATTGAGCAGGTCGCATAGACATGTATTCCTTGAGCCATGCGCGCTCGACGAATGCGTCTGGTTGCTAGATGAACCGAAATCTCCAAGATTGTTAGGACCGGAGAAGACATGCCGGCCGTTTTTCTTATCAAAATTACCGCTATATGGTTATGTTGCAGATACCAACGCGATTCAGCTATACACGATTACCTCTTACTCCTTCCAAATGCTCGAATGCATACTCAGCCCACTCCCCATCATGACACTCGTCGTCCCATCTTCATCCGTCTCCCTACGTTGTCCACAAGACCAAACAGGGTCATTGGGGTCGCTGGATTCATGTAGTGTTTCAATCAGCTCCCATATCCCCATACTCCCATGTCCACACACTTCCTACCATCCTCAAGGACTTACGTACCGCGTCAATGCAGCAAAACCACCCCCTAGGATAAACTTCATGAGTGCGATCAGTGGCGTTGGCGACGGAGATGGACGTGTCACAAGGTGGGCCGTGAGAGAGCAGTTCAGTGCAATAACAGTAAGCGTAGCTCGCGCCGAAGTAGATCTGGCAGAACGTGTCCTGCGCGATCGAGGTAGTGAGGAAATAGAGAAGAACGGCAACCGTAGGTAAGAGGATGCTAAAGATTGGCAAGACCATTGCTCTCTGCAAAGGTCCAACCAGATGCGAATGGAAAAGCTATAGCTGAAGCCTTGTGTTACGTATTGCAAGGGAGGAAGCGACGGATGATGAGTGAGACGAGTGGGAAAGAAAAGTACGAGGTGGTATATGTGTATGCATCGGCTGACCCGCATTTCAGTCTTCTCTACCAATTCTAGAACGTTGCAACGTAACGTTGCACATATCCCCCAGCAACAACTACAATTCATATGTACTCCAAATGAGTGACAGATACACGGAAAATCACATACGAATATTGCTCCCAGGAATAGCATGCTACAAGATATGCTCAAGTCTGCCTTTGAGCAACCGCTATAGCCAGACTTTCACCCATGGCATCGGAGCTAAAGTAATCCCAGTAAACCTGAATCAACTGATCCATAGTCATTTCTGGCGTGAAGATACCACTTGGTTCATGACGAAATAGCGGGTCGGAATCTGAGTATTCCCAATATGGACGTCAGTTCCGGTAATCAAAAGGAGCTCGACTCGATGGGAACTTTTGAGCAATGCAAACATACCTTTTCAACACAAACAGCCCATCCAGTGGGGAAGAGGTTGGTTGGTTGAGCACCCAGCCAGGTTGCTGACGTACTCTATATCGGTACAGGGCGCGTTCAACCCGCGGCTGATGACGGTGTGGCAGCATGCGTCCGTGTACTCGGTGCCATAGAGAAATCTGCAGATAGTGTCGTGGGAGCCCAGCTGGGCTGTTGTGAGATGAGCAAGAGACGCCGCGAGAGCGATGATTGGGGTCAAATAGCGCATTGTAAGTACGAAACGACTTGTGGGGTTTGGTGTTTGTTTGGTCATAATGGGATTGTGAGAACAGGTGATGCTGTGATGAGGTTAGCAAGTGTGGTATGGCGTTTGGGTCTGTACTTGTATGTGTTGCTGGAGATCTGGTTAACACTGATCGAGACGGGCATGCTTGTGATCGCACTGCTGATACAGCGTATGCGGAATTACGTTCCATTTTTTCCTGATGGAAAGACAGGATACCCGCTGGTTTTTCCTTCGAGAGGAAGGGGATAGCTGCAGAGTCGTATACGCAAGGCTCTCGGGTCAGCAGCAGAGACCATTTGATGTCTGGCGTTACCTGTTGATGAATGCCTAGGCGAAAACAAGAAGGTTGTGGCGCTTTGGCAGTACGCCCATGGAATCCCCTTCCTAAGTTATCAGTAGACTTCCAGATGGCCTCTTGCAGGCTCCGCGTTGTTCTCTCCTTCCGCAAATAGCTTGCCATTGTTTTCTCAATGTGCAAGGTCCATCCGCTGATGTTACCCAAACTAGTAGAGTGACATGCACGCATGTATCATTGACTCTCGACGAGGTTCATCTCCAGTACAATAACGAGTCTTCCCTCACATGGTATTGTCACTGTGAGTACATGCAGCATGTCATATCCTCTCCAGATATCCGTACGGCTCGTCATGGGTTCAGACGACCAGATATGAGCGATGGACAAATACGTTGGTGGGAGCACAACATGTCGGCCAGTATCGCTTACCATGTTGGCCAAGTCAACAAGAGGTGCATATGCTTCTTGGAAAAGATGGAGTTGATCGGGTAAGTATTCGAGATGCCTGTCTCGCGTAGGTAGTAATACCTTGCATATTTCCCGGGCTAGAAGTGAAAGCCGGACCGTATGCGCCTAGCCGCCTGGCAGATGTAAGATAGGGATATGCTTGCTGTGTAGTGAAGATTATGGAACTTTCAAGGCCCCCTTTAGGTAACCTCGATGCTGTATAATAGGAACTACACAAGGCGCATTTGATATGGTACATGCGGTGCCGGGAATCAGTTACCGCCTCAAGCGAGGCATGTGAATCCGTTTGCATCTCCCTCATCATTCGTCGCGCAAGCTCGAATTACTGCTAGCTTCATAACCATTTCACTTAATACTTGGAGACATGCATGCCCGAAACATTCTCATATCACGTTTATAGCCAATCTTAAATCCTTGGATTACTCATGCCTCAAATCTGATGATTGTAAACTGAGTCGGTCATTTTGCTTCACCTTTTCCATAACCAATCCTCAAATTCCTTCGGTCCCAGTCCACGAGGAATCTCATCCAACTTTGTACTCCAATTCATCGACAAGCCATAGTACCGATGGGTAGTAGGGTCTCTGATCAGCCTTTTGTACTGCATCACATCGGGACTGTCTGCTCCCATGGTGGTCACATACAGTGGCACCAGCCTCTCTGCAAATACGCAAGCCCTTGCCAAATCACCGTTTGCGATAGCAACCTCGAAGGCGTCAGGATACGCTCGTGCAAGGCCGATGTCATTCGGAACTGGTTCGTTCCACAATCGAACCTGTTCATCGATATAGCTAAGCATCTGCCGTGGGTTTAGGATGAGACCACGGACACCACCTTCCTCGATTATGCAGTCGATTTTGTGAATGCGATTCAGCTTTATGTTGCTCTTTCTCCTTTGGCTACGTGGTAAGGAGCAGAGTTCACACAGGCATGTGAATTTGAAGTTTTTCTGGAGCTCTTCCCGCCGCGTTTGGCGATCTCTATGACTGCTCAGGTAAGATATCGTAATCTCCTCTCCTTCTCCAATATCTCTTATGGCTTGAATCGTAAGCTTGCTGAGTCTGTCGTTCCAGAAATTCGTCGAGTTGCTGTTACAAGCATGATTGATACGACATGCTTGAAAAAAGATACCTCCAGCATCCAAGTTTGATCCGATAGGTAAAGCATTGGTTTGAAAGATACCGCGCCATCTGGTTTTAGCGTCGGTGTAAGGATAGACATTGCCCATGGAACAGAAGTCGCGTATCTGATCTGTGCTCAGAGAGCTGACTTGTTGACAAATCGCCGCCTCAAATTGCTCCATGCTTGCCATCCTACCTCCTACCGTGATGGCTGGTTGCTCGGAGATGATTCGCATGCCTTTGGGTATGTCTTTAGTTGCGATGAGGCCTTTTCCCTTACCAGGCACGTTCTCGACAGCATACAACCCATCTTCGACAGTGCCCGTAGGAAGGCTTGTTAGGATTCCCATAATACCGCTTTCTACCTCTCGCCTCGAGATCTCCTCTCGAAATTGAGTCCGCTCTGGGTGGTGTCGTAATGACTGCTCAGGAATTCTTGGGACAATTTGAATGATGGCCGTGGTGGCCGCAAACATGGATAGTGGGGTGAGCGGCCTGTCGTTTTACCTTGGGGCTTTGGTCACGCTGCAGGTACGATGCGAGAATCTGCAAGTCTACGGGGCAGATAGTGGTTGGCTGGAATATCAATGCAAGCGCTTGTATGATAAGCTGACTTTTACGACAAAGCTTCATCTTGAGTATAGACTGAACCTTGGAAACGTGTTACCTGCAAGGTAGAGATTGAGGACAGCTGAGCTGTATGACAAATGCCGTCGAAGCACAACGATCAGTTTTCTTGGTCTTTGATCTTTGTACGATGGTTGGAATTGGCACAAAAGTACTTGCGACTAGTTTCCCAGGTGTCATTCAACAGCAAACTATCATCCCGACCATCTTTTGGGGCATGGAAGGATACGCATACCAGAAACATCGTCGAGACATCGGATCCCTCGGCTAACATTTGAGTGTCGCAACGCCAACACGGCTCAGTCGGACGAGAGGAGCTCTGAGAGCGATCTTTGGATTATCGATGTATTATTGCGACAACTATAATCGGGTGATATTTGCTAAAGCCAATGGTCCGCGGCTGTCCTGCGCGACACTTGCAGCGTGCTCGGACGCGGGTTCGGAGCGTTGTGGGGAATGATCGCCTGTCTTCAGTGCCGCTGCCAGTTGCTTGGCGCTCGCGCTAAGAGCACTTAACGCGTCTTCGCGCGTTCGGCTTGCTTGATCAACACTCCCCGCCTCTTCTCATGGCATGCATCTTCAACTAGTCCTCCCAAATCTGGACTGGGTCAACGTAGAGCTCACCGGAAATATGACGAGCGGAAGTCGAGACATGCGCCCACGTGTGCAGAACCCCGCACTACGTCTACCCCTCCTGGCACCATAGCTCCAGAGCTAGCTCTGGGCGATGCCGGGGTTTGTGCGTCACTATATGTGTAGAACACGCCGTCGGCATGCTTGCGCTCTATTTCCTGCCCTCCTCTGCCTCTCTTGAGCTAATTCATACAATCAATCATTCATCCGTCTTTGTCGCGTTGCAACGAGCTATTGCACACTCGAAACCGCCATGTCTGACTGGTCCGACCTTACCGCGGCTCTCAAAGGAAATCTAGACAAGCTCTCCGAGCTCCTCCAATCTGACGATCAGCTGAAAGCCTTCACGACGTCAAACGCTATCGAGAAGGACGTCACGTTTGGTATCAAGTCAAGTGGTTCGGACAACACCCTCCTCATCACAGTGTCCAATGGCAGCGCAAAAGCCAGCACTGGCGCGTCGAAAGATGCTCTATTCACGCTTGTGGCTCTCCCCGAACAATGGGAACAGCATTTCAAGGCAGTCCCGGCTATGCCGTACCAGAGCTATTGGGGGATGTTCGGCATGAACATCAAGCAAAAAGGCATTGAAGTGCTGGGTGACCAGACAGCCTTCGCGCAGTGGACCCATGTATGGAGGCGCGTCCTAGAGCTCACACATGACGCGCACTGTGGACCAATGAAGGAAGACGAGCAAGTCGAACCGGAGCGGGATTTCCTTACCGGAAAGTACACATATCTTGAGGCTCCAGTGTGGGGTAGATGTAAGGTCTTCTACGAGTACTCTGGTGAGGGAAAGCAACCCATTGTCTTCTTACATACCGCTGGCAGCGACAGCCGGCAATATCACGGCGTTATGAACGATGCGAGGATGCGCAAGAAGTGCATCATGTATGCGTTTGACCTGCCTGGGCATGGACGAAGTTTCCCATCGAAGAACTACGCACCAGGCGCGCATACGAATACTGAAGATAGCTACGTGGGGATGATCGCAGCTTTCGTGAAAGCTCTTGGCCTGCGAAGACCCATCATTTGCGGCGCGAGTATGGCTGGCCAGATTTGTTTGGCAGTTGCGATTCGACACAGGGAAGTTGGCGCCGCGGGAGTCATTCCTCTGCAAGGGTAAGCGGATGTTTAACGTAAAGGGAGCCGTACTCATAAAGACAGGTCCGACTACCTCAATATGGAGCGACAATGGCACGACCGCTCTCCAGTAGTCAACCAGTCGCTTTTCAACCCAGAATGGATCTACGGGGTATGTGCAAATGAGCCATGTGCGATATAACCACCACTGACATCAATAGATGATGGCACCAACCACACCTCGCGCGAATAAACAGCTCATATGGCACACATACAGTGCCCAAGCCTACGGCGTAAGCGCAAATTCGGGTCGATCTTTCCAACCCCACTAACCCGTCCGCAGATCTTCCACGGCGACCTCGACTTCTACTTTGGCGGCTGGGACGGCCGATCGCGCGTCGCCAAGGTCGACACCCAGAGTTGTCCCGTATACATGTTGACTGGCGAGTACGATTGGTCCAATACACCAGAAATGGGACAGAAGACGGCAGACAAGATACCTGGGGCTATGCACAAGAGCATGCCGGATCTAGGTCATTTCCCAGCTACGGAAAATCCGGCCAAGTTTGTGCCGCATCTCATCGAAGCGATTGATCATATTCAGAAGGTCAGGAGCGATAATTTGAGTACGATGAGGTTGGGCGATGGTACGGATTAAGATGGTGCAGCTCCGGGTAGCTGGGTTGTCGATTTCTTGAGAGATATGCTTACTTCGAGATTATCAAACTAAATATACGCGATCTATCCAAATATACGTCATTCTTCTTGTTTTAATCACCTTGCAGTTCATAACGTCTCCCGTCCTTTGTTAGCTCAAGTTGATTGCTAGGAGGTCTCCATAAAAACGGGGTATTGGAGAGAAAGGATACAAGAAGCGCGTGATTACCTTCACAGCGCTTTGAGTCGTTGAGAACAAACATCGTGGAGTCGCGTATACCTCCTGGCGTACTGGTGTCAAGAGTAGGCTGAGTCCTCCAGGCTTTAGCCGTGAACGTCTCTGCACCTTCCACTTTTCACACGTGGACTTGCTAGACGCTGCTGCCTCCGTAGCAATGATCCGAGCTTTGTTTTCAGACTCATCTCACCATTAAGCCTACTTTCTCCCACCAGCACCTATCACTCTCGTCTTTGCTTACCGCCCTCCATTATCACGCATTTCTATTTGCGCAGCGTCGTTACTTAGGTATCTTACGGCTCACCTGAGCTTGCGACCCGACTCACCGTTAATCACCACAACCATAACTCCGGTCTAGCGACATTATTAAAACTCTCTTTCACCACCCACTGGAGCTACATTTCCACTCGCCGCCAGTTACCATACCCCATGGCTTGATTGGGTCTTACCTCCAATATAATTGTCCATCACTCGCTAATGGATTCCTCGGCTCCTGGTGCCCCCCACGGCGGTGACTCCAACGATGACACTCCGAGCAGCGGACCGATCGACTATAACAGATACAAAGACGCTGTCTGCGATGAGTGTCACCTCAGGCTCAGCAGCGAACACGTACCCGTCAAGATGCCCTATTGTCGCCACGTTTTCGGCAAAGAATGTATACAAGCTCGCATCTAGGAGCCGGAGCTTTATCCTGGTCACTGCTTCTTGTGCGACGGCATCCCGGGACTGACAAACCTTTTGCGAGATGATGATCCAGGTGTCATTGCTAGAGAGCACCTACGAGATGGCAGCTATGCAGACCCCGATCCCAACCAAGTAGTGGAGTGGGGCCGTACCAATGCCCGAGAGCGGACAGATGAGTCGGAAAGACAGGCGCATTCCAAGAGAGAGACGGCAAGGGAACAATCGCTGTTTAACAACGGTGTTCCACCTCCAATAACAAGTTTTGGCCAGGCAAATAAAGATGGAAGATCTCGCCCAGCACCAGCGAACGCCCTTTTCGATGCCGTCAAATTCGGATCCCACGAGCGAGCAAATCGATTGGAGAGGGAAAACGGGATTACACAACGAGAGTCGGCCCAGCCCCGTAGATCTAGCAGTAGTATCCTACCGCCTGGTGTGCCAGGAAAGGGTGGTGTAACACCTCGCAAGTGTGCAAACTGCGGCAAGGTGGGCCACATCAAGACAAACAAACAGTAAGTCATCAAGACTCACTCTGTATTGAACGAATCCGCTAACGCAATACCCAACAGGCTCTGCCCGCTCCTAAACGGCCAAAGGAAACAAGACGACACGTCTAGGGACGCAAATGCAAGTGCTGCCGCAGGGAATTCGGACAATATCATCAAAGAGTCCCAGCTCACACCACCGGACGCTCAACCGTAGCTCGGCGAGAGTATCGAAAGTCGGCGTCAAAAAATCGCAGCTGCGTGGCGAGTAGGTGAGGCACGCCGGTTGTTCAACACTGAGCCCCAAACCAAATCACTGCCGCCACTCCATCCGCCCTTTTCTCCGGCAGCTGTCACCTTCAGACCTGGTAAAGGCCACAATCAAACCATCGAGGACCTTCGCCAATCTGCCGGACTCCAGACACCGAAGGACAAATACGCCCCAAAAGGAAAGAGATGGTCATTTTCCGGAACACAATCATCTAACGTCATTAACGGTCCTCTCCGACTAGAAGTTGCCCCATACAATAATCGAGTTACCCCGTTCAGAGGACAAGCGTTTCTACCGAACATGTCACGCTCCTTCAGCTCCGACAACCGTACACAATCATCTACCTCTGGTAGCATGCCTCTTCGACCAGAAGCTGCCGCGTTCGAAATGCCTGAACCCCTTCCACGGAAGCATTCGTCATTGGTAGATTATGCAACATGGCCCATGTATACCGACTGGGCCGCAGTGCACAAAAACTTCCAAGCTGATGATATTGTCGTCCCTGCATCCCAATTGCATCGAAACCCATACAGTGGGGCCTTGTTCAACAACTCCGGCCAAGAGGTAGTACCTCCTCCCAATAAGCACCCCCTTCCTCACAACCACCCCCTAAACACCTTGATGACAAACAATCCCGAGACGTTCCACCGCGGTCAACTTGTAACAAGCCGCCAGGTTTTCCCGCCTCCTTATAACCTACCATGTGAGGTTCCTTCAGCAATCCCTGAAGGTGAAAAAGGAATAGAACTGCTACAGCGGGCGTATGCCGGACTAGCGGTCACGCAGCGTAATCTACAGTCACGTCATGCAAAAGGACTTCCTTCTATCCAGATAGGTCCATATCCTCCAGCGGACCCTCCTCCATACGCAGCCGATTTATCAAACACGAATCCTGCATCATCGCAGTCGTTTGTTCCGCTGACGGCGGCGGTAGAGGAGCAGGCAAGGAGGCATTACTCTTCGAATTCGAACCAGGGCAACGGAGAGGAAGGAAATTCGATTCCGCGGACTGAGATTATAGATGGGTATGTTGGGGGAGATGCAAGTGGCATGTTCATTTCGCGAACAAATGTAATGGGTCGAAATCTGCGACGAAAGCAACCACGGGCGGCATGTAGGGAAGCGAATCATGATGGGGTCAAGGAAGAGGATCAGCATGGTGGCAGAGGAGCAGGCCAGAGAGGAAATAGGAAATATGGTTAGATGTTCGGTGACGCGGGAAGCCATGGACCGAGTTCAGCAGAGCACTGATCAGTGGGTTTGAGAGGGGTCGAGTTCTGGTCGGAGGAAGGCGCGGAGGGATTACGACCGTTTCTTATATGAGCAGAAGAGAATGGATCAATAATGTACTGTTGAGATACATAGACGCACATGAGATATGCGAATTGCACCCAGGCATCGTGTTATCTTATTCGAAGGGGTATCACAATCATATTATCCGAACCTTGCCAAGCTAATCGAAAGACTACCCTAGTGCCAATACCAATACCAACACCTGTACTCCAATGCCATATAATACAAGCGCGAGATGAATCCCTCCCGTCCGCCCCGCTCTCTGTACCCACATGGGTAGCCGATCGCCCTCAGTGGATCTTATCCATCCTCTTCTTAGCAATCTTGATCTTTCCATCCACCCTCTCGACATCCTCCTCGAACAACCCAAGCATGGCATTCTGCTCCACAAGCTCCTTGTTAATCGTGACACCCATCTCCTTCATCCTCCTCACCACCGTCGCTATATCAACCAGATCCTCGTCCTGCGCAGCAATAATCTGCTTCTGCAGCTGCAAAACACCTTCATTATCCAATTCGCGCGTTTTATCCGTTTCCTGCGCCGGTGCACCCAGCACCCTGCGACTGGACGACGACGACGGTTTGGCCGACGCCGCGCCTTTGAACAGACCCGCTTTCTGGCTCTCCGTGACAGCAGCCGAAGACGTCGACGGCGCATTGTGCGAGGCGGCGCCCGAATCCGATATCGCAGCCTTGACAGCCATGCTGTTGAGCACGGAATCTAGACCATCGCGTTCTTTGCGCAGACCACTGATCATGTCCTTTCTTCGGCGTATCTCGCCGTCGCCTAGTTTCTCGCCGGACCAGTCGTCCGAACCGCCTTGTTTGTTGGCACCACCTAGCCGGCTCAGTCCTTCGTCCAGCGCGGAGATCAGCGTAGAAGCTCTGACGAGGCTCTTCTTCGCGTTCGCCGCTGCCTCGTGCTGCGCGGTTGCTGCGGTCGCTTGTTCGCGTTTCGTCAACCATCTCCGCGCGTCTTGGAGGTTGGATTTGAGTTCAGCGTGTTTATCCAGCCAGTCCGACGAATCCCTCACCCTGTCTTTTCCAAACTGTGAACCAGGGAAGCCAGTAGTTTTCTTCCCGTTGCTGCCGTTTTGTTCGCCGCCAAGGTCGAGGAAGAATTTGTAGGCCTTGCAAATGCGCCAGCGTCCGTCTTCGCTGCTCTCGATGGCCCGCAGATAGGCCTCCAGGCCTGCTCGTCGCTTCTCGATGGCTTCGGGTGAGCTTGCCGTGTTGCCTATCCCTAGGAAGCCGCCGAGCCAGGATTTTGGTGGGAGAGGGGCGGGAGGCGCGCATCCGGCTTCTGATCGCAAGGCTGAGTCGAGAGAGGAGAAGTCGGAGTAGCGCTTCTGAACGCTGGTTGCGGCGCGGGGGAAGGGGTGTTCGATCTTGATGGTATACGATGTGTAGGCCTTTCCGTTCTCAGGTGTCTGATTCTGCGCTGTCGGTATCGAGATTTTTAAAGGCGCCATGATTGCGATGTATGTGGTGGATGTTATGCAGGGTAAGAGTGGTGTTGTCGCTGATGTCGGCGGCAGGCGGCCGTCTTGTGTTTGGCCGGTGCCTCGCGCGATCGCGTGCACTTTATTCGCGACGATAGCGTTGTTTTGGCAGTCCAGGCTAGGTGTCTGCGCGCGCGTGATATGCGTGTGTTCCGGTTATTGAAGGTTTATTGTCAAAGACGCGCTGAGCGCAATAAGAAAAGACGTCTTGCGCAAGATCCAGGGTCCTGGCTTGATTGACGTCGTTGGACGCAGCCGCGGCACGCTAGCGCCACGTGCGTCACCTAGGCGATGGAGGTTTGCCTTGGGGAACTCAACACCATGACTCCTATGACCAACACCTTGTTCGACATCAGACGACCAAGTCTGACTCCAGCATCATGCATCAATCATATGATCCTTGTGATAAGTAGCAGATGAGCTACGCTCGACCTTTCGCGAATCGCAACGCACCTATGCTGTCAGGTAATTCCAAACAAGAAGTGCCACAATCACTGTGATAACCTATACGCCTTAGAATTAAAATCTTAAGAAAGATCCAAATGAGAAGCAAGGATTCTCACACCTTATCGTTTCGAGACCTCTTTTCCATCACAACGCTCTTTTTGTCTTTCGCAGTAGTCTCTTCTTCAGCAATTCTCGCGCGATGCAGCGATACCGCACTTTCGCATCTTCTTGCCGTTCCCTTTCACTTCCTCTTCTCGAGAGTCGTAACCCGCATACTCTACTTAGGATGGCACCCAATGCCTTGTCATGACAAGGTTCGTGTAAGACCTCAACACCGTACACTGCGTTGTCGGACATTTGTATAGCGTCTTGCCGGGTTGCTACCTTGCTGCTATGAGCTCAAATTACCACGTGTTTCTCGCAGTCGCAGTTGATCTGTCCGTGACTATTTTCTTAATTCTTAACTAATACCGTTAATCAAAGATTCGCGGCGAGAGAGTCTGGCCTGTCGCCATTGGCCGAGCGCACATCTTGGGAAGGAGTGCAAAGTAGTGAATAACCTCCAGAAAGCGTACGTGCTTTGCCGCTACTTTCGGGCACCACCCCGCCGGCTATGGATATTGCGAATACTTGGGCAACACGACTCTTCTCATCGACAGATTCATGTGCCACTATACGGAGACGACGGTAGACGACATGGGCCTTCTCAATCTCCCGCCGGAGCTTTTCGCCAAGGTGATCCGCCTCTGCGTCGACAAGGACAACGTCCGTGAAGTGTCAAAGCAGCGCTTAACTTGCAGTGAGTTCTCCCGTAGTGCCTCGCATCTGCGCGCGTCGTAGACACTGTTCAGTCCCTAGTCTACCCAAATGTGAGATGTCCCAAAGCGACTGAACTGACACTGTCTACACAGAGACCATCAAGTATTACCTTGACCACGAGCTCTTTTCGAAAATGCCGGTCCGTGCCTTCACCCGCTCAGGAAGTAATAGCGCCCGTACTCTCCTCAAGAACAAGCTTGCGCACCACCTCGTCCATCGAGTGGTGAACATGGACAAACTCCGCGGCGCACACAGCTTCCTACCAATCTTCATCAAGGACTGTCTGGAACTACTCCGCTTCATGAAAGTCCTGAAGCAAGGAGATGATGAGTATGTCTATGCGCTTATGCTGGCGAACCAGCTAGCCGTCGTGTGCTCGATTGCGTACACACTGGCGACGTCCAACCCATCGAGCCCCTTCCGACAAGGTTTGCTCTCAAGGTTCGACTTCGCATCTGGTAACCAGGCCGTAGAGCAGATGGCAATGGCTGCGGTGGTCGGTTGTCTTGAAGTTGTTCAAAGTCTGAAACAAATCTACGGCACGGAGCTACTGTGGGACCGCTCCTACCCTTTCGGACATCCGCTCGCTGCCGCCGCGGGCGGTAACCACAAAGAGGTCGTCGATGCCATCGTGGCAGACTTGGAGTACAACTACCGCCCAGACCTGAGCCCCGCGTACAGGGCGGCGTTCATATCCGCTATCGATGTTTCGTTGGCCCGACAACACTGTGACATGTCGTTGTTCTTGATCGACTTGTACCATCATCATTTCCCTGGCGCTTTCAAACACTCGCTCCGTAGGTGGCTTGTAAAGGCGGCCGTGTATCCAGACGACCGTGTCTACTTACGTCTGACCTCTCTTGCCGAGGATGGCGATGTTCGGAGACACATGGCGCCTTTCGAGATGGCCTGTAGATACGGTTACATGCCCTACATCCTCCGCTTCTTCGACCATGGTATCCTCCAGCTGAACGAATACTTTTACATTTACGAAGGCTTAGTCCTCGTGCGTGTGGACACTCCTCTATCCTTGGCAATTGGCGTGGGCAACTGGCATCCGGTCAACATACTTCGGAGCATGGGGGCCTTCTGAGCATGGGAGCCTTGTGAGCATGGGAGCCGACGCGGATGGCCTTCCAGTTTGCGGGCCTCGCGATTGCCTTTTCTACCGGGCTTTCATAAAGAACGGCGAGTACGTGTTCGTTCTCTTCTTGCTATAGCGAGCGTGACTTGTTCTTATTCTGGACGCATTGGAGTCTGATAGTGGTCAGCTCGAGGCTGCACACGCCAAGTTCCTGTCTTGTATTCTTCATGAGGTGCGAAACCAGGCCGATAACTTCGCTGGGTTCACTCGTCGTATTCCGTGCAGGAGGGATGAGGGTTGTCTTGCAGTGTATCTGAACAAGAAAAGGCGGTTGATGTTCAAGTTTAGGTTACGGTACTGCGGAGGATAATGTGTTGGTCAAATGTCAACATCGCGTCCGTGCTTAGGAGTTTTGGAGCACGGACCGATTGTACGACACGATGTTCTACTCGACACTGCAGCCTAGCAATGAATCGATCTCCAAGGATACTCGAGTCTCATCCGAACGGTTTCTCAAGGATATGCGTCAGAAATATTGTCTTCGAAAGTTCAAATACATGCATCCATAGGTTCTCGTTGACGTGTCTTCAAAGCATCTGACCAAGTGAAGTTCTCGCCTCATCGTTCACCGTTCGCTACCTGAGCCAAAAATGCTGGATCACGACCTTGTGGTCGTAATCCAAACGCCTAATAGTCGGCCAACGCCAATTAGAGATATCATAGATCGCTGCTAGGAAGTACCTGTAGTAATTCGTTGTTTAGAACCCTTTTGTAGCTCGCCTCAGCTCCTAGCTAATCGTATTAAGCTATTTATGTAGCAGCAGGGTAGCAAGGCCCTGTCTTTTTTTTTATCTCGTCTCTCGTTTGTGTACGGCAGCTACACTGCTTCGTCGTGGTCATCCTTCATAAATCGACTCATCGTGATCACTTTCCTCTGACACCTCTCCGTCCTCAGCCACTATGGCTATCCTTCGCTTAGCAATATTACCTTACTAAGACTTCTCTCACCTTGGCTTCTTCTCTCACCTTGGCTTCTTCTCTCACCTTGGCTTCTTCTCTCACCTTGGCTTCTTCTCTCACCTTGCCTTTGTTGCTAGCAACGGTCACTGCGGCAAGTTTACCCCACTATATAACAAGAGCTGCTCTGTCAACCTCTGGTCCTCTTCACTTCTGCCCCAACATCACATTCTGGTCAACGACAACAAAGATGGAGCTGCTTGATCTACCAACAGAGGTCTTCGAGCGCATCATACGCAGTTTAGTTAAAAATCACGGCGTTGCAGAAGCTTGGAAGGCTCGAGGAACAAGCAGTAAGGACCACATCACCAAAAATCCATTATGGATCATTGAACTGACTCACTAGAACTCAGAAGCTTTTCAAACCTACATCACCTACGATATCCTTGCTGCCCCGTCTCTCTTCGATTACAAAAAGACTCGTGCCGGAACCCAGATCCTCAAGCACAAGCTCGCCGACTTCCTCTACACGCGCAGCATCAATCTGAATGGCTTTGTGCACGCCCTTGTGCCCAACTTCATCAACCGTATCATGTACATATCGGAGTCGTGGATTACTGGCGATCAGGCAATCTCAACACTACGAAGGGTCATATGCGAACTCTTTGTCCGTAATTGCGACGGTGCGCTGAGCTTCGTTTTGACCGGTACGAACAAGCCGAGCATCCAAGATAAACAGGAAACCATGGCGAGTAGCGGAGCTAATTTGATCGCTACCGCTGCTGCTATAGGTGATCTTTATATCTTGAGAATCAAGGCCGCAGAGGACAAAGACTTACTATGGGCCAAGTCGCCAGCCTTTGGATTTCCGCTGGATGTAGCCGTTTATGCAGGGCACTTTGGTGTGGCTAAAGCGATCGCGCAACAAGCCGTCACCAACCGGAACAAGGACGTCGTCGATAACTATCGAGGTTACAAGTAAGTTTCCTACTATAGGGTGTAGACGAGACATACACTAAATTTGCACTCCCGCATCTAGTCTTCGATCTGAACATCGCTCATTTCGTCAGGCGATCTGCACCTGTATCGAGCTGCAGCATCGCGGTATGACTCACTACTTACTCGAGAAGTACGTGGAAGCCTTTGGTTCCCCGACAGAGACTTGCATGGCAGTCTGGCTTAATACCGCTGTTACATGTGGTCACGAAGACATACTTCGACTCCTGCTTTATCTTCCAACGGAAGTAGGCATATCCACGTTCTACAGGGCCTTCGAAGCAGCCTGTCACCTCTCGAAAGTCTCCCTTCTCTACCTGTTCTTCCGACCCTCCCCGAATGTACCAGGGCGTTTAGCAATCAACCGAATCTACTCATGGCGCGACAAGAACTACGCATCTGAATACCCTCTCAATACCGCGATGATGGTTGCAGAGCAACGCCATATGAGAGGCATCATCGTAAAGCTCCTGGAACTCGGCGCAGATCCGAATGGACCAAAGTATCGTTCTCATTCGGGACGACCGCTTCGTCTGGCATTCGATTTCGATAAGTGTGTCTCGGGTATCCTGCCGTTACTAGATGCAGGTGCCAATCCGCACTTGATTGATGATGACTGGTGGATTGAATTACAGTGGAAGAGGTTTGCGGAGACATCAGTTATAGGGAAGGCGTTAAGAAAAGCGCTAAAGTGTCATGCGAAGCCAAAGCCTGCAAAGGAGGTGGAAGGATTTCTTGCTGAGGTGGATGAGAAGATCAAGGAAGATACGGTCGCGGTGAAGGACGTGAACTTGGTGCCGGCGTCTTCTGGTTGCACGCAGTCATAGATTGTCACTGGAACCTCACACCGTCAGTATTGGGGTCTATGTAGTTGATGAGTAACAAGGTTAGATATCACAGCGTTGGATCCGGATGTGACTTAGTCTCCCAGGAAGACCTTATTGATTGGCCTGTCTGACTGGGGTCGCATATGCCCATAACTTTGGTCCTGGAATCTTGTATCCCTCGACCTTCCCATGCACATCCACCAGTATACCCTCGTACCTACTCCCATACAATTCTTCCCCCTTCACACCCCCTTCTAACCTCCTCCCCTCTCCACCCGTCATTCGCGCCACCCGGATGTTCACGCACTGCGGATATGCTTGCGCTCCGTCCACCTTTTCTGCAACGTGTAACGCGATGATCTCATGCCTCAACACATAATTCCCCTCCTCCAGCACCTCTGGTATCCTGACCACCCAAGAAAACCCATTCGCGATGAGTACATTCGCCGCCCATGTTCCACCTAGATCTATCACATTCCAACCTGTACTGTTCAGCCACCCCAGCTCATCAATCTTCACCCACTCCAAGTCTTCTTTCCTTGCGTCCGCACAGCTGCCCTCGCATTGTGCTAGATATGTCATCACAGGCCCGACGTGCGAAGTTGGCCATTCGTTCCATTGTAGCTTTAGTTCCTCACCGGCTATTATGGGAATTTGAAGAGCGCCGGGTACGGCGTTGTAGTGACAGGAAATATTCGAGGTGTTGAATTGAGAGGGTGGGATGTATATGTTGCCTAGACAGCGTTAGATGTGCTGACCCGTCACGACGACGCATATATCTTGCCTAGGTTCGATGCTGACCATGCAGCAAGAGGCTGTGGCGGTGTCAGGTCATTCGAAGATGCAGGATCCCAACCATCGTAGGTGTCACCGGTAGTAGTTGTTATACGCGTTACTCGACCATGTGCATGCGCGGTAGTAATCAAGAAAGACGATATAATCTTCTTCGAAAGTCGCATTTTCAGTTAAGCCTTGGGTAGCTGAGTCGGACTAAAGAGGGTGACGCGAACGAGTACGGCTCACACTTCTGTCTAGCTTCCTTTCTCGCCGGTTGTTGAAGTCGTCTCGTGCTTGGTAGGACGAATGTCACAGTTTAAGTGAATCGCGCCGAACTCTCAAAAGGGGCACCAAGTAGGATACAAGCATCTCTTGATGACCATGAACCAGGGCATCGGGCCCGGCAAAGGTCTTCGTAATGGTTGTTTACCCATACACATCCTGTAATTACCCCAGATTTGGCGATGTTGTACCTCATATCAGGATCGACCGCTGATTGGCTGACCAATTCCGTTACTTAACAGGACTTACTCTAGACCTTGCGCGTCTAGTCAGGAGACGGTGGCAGTGAGGTTCCACTTGGAAACAGGAAGACTTTGTATATTACGCCATTGGTTCAGCGCTACTTGAACAGCCTCGGCTGCTGTACCCCCAGACCATGACAAGATTGCAAGAGCGAGCCGCGAGTGGCAACTAAACAAGTACTTGATTTCCTTCCGCCGTCTTCTGGCCTATGATGAACCTCTAGCAGGGTACTTGCAGCCCGTTGTAGCCATGCTTGACAAACTGGCACTGGAGCTGGCAAGCTCCATCGGAAATGCGCCGGGAATGTTGTGGTGCTTCTAACGACAACGCGATACTGGTTTGTGTACTGTCGTACAGTCGTTCAGAAGGTTGGGTTGTTTGCAGGAGCAACTGGACATTGAATGCGCTGCTCATGCAGGGTCGTTGTCTGTTCCTGTGGAAGCTGTGAAAAAGGCAGGTGCCCTATGAAGTTCGCGGGTCATGACGCACGATGCGGCGATGTGGACCCGGGGTAGATCTCGACCCGATCCGTCTAAGCGCTCGGCAAGTTAGATCACCGGGTCAAAGGCTAACGAACCAACCCTTTTCTACCCCACAAACAAGACACCGGAGTAGCCATCGTGATCATGAAGTCTCTCCACAAGGCAGCTAGGGCGAGCTTCACATCTCAGACGACTTGGACTGCTAACGGCCCGCGCGATGACGTCCAACTTTTTTGTGTCGTGTGACAGCATTTCGCGTGCGGGTCACGAACAGGGCGGTATGGGGTCGAAAAGTATATAAGTGAAGCATGGACCAGGAAAGAAGAAAAGTATTGACTCTATTGTTTGTGCGCACGGCCCGGAATATGTGAAATAGCGGTAATAGAAGACCCTGCTTGGTATTTCAATCACCGAGATTGTATTTGTGAAGCACTTGACGTTCGCCGTACCTATCACCACTTACCACAACCTGGAATTACCGGAGGGTCTTTTAACAACAAAAGTAAGTCCCTGACCCCCAGTATGCGGTACCCAACAGTTAATGTATCAATCAGAATTAGCATGGTCGCATTGACGGTACTGGGCTCAGCCGCCCTGATAGCTGGCGTCCTAGCCTATCCTCAAGGGTCACCAAACTCTCCTCCACCTGCCACTGACCTATCCGAACCATGCGCGGAAGCAGCTACGAGACTGTCTCTCCAAGATGGTCCCCAGGACAATCACTTCTATTCTGACTGTCATACTAGCGCCCACGTTATCGTCACCAGTCCTCAGCCCAACAGCGATCTCAACGTTGTCAAGCCTCGCCTGCTTGTTGCATGGCCCGCAGGCAACAGTGGAGCTATGGCGCTCTTTGCCCCTGAGAGCGGCCAGGGCAGTCTGACCATGAAGCTAGAAGATTCCGAGAACGGACAGTCAGTGGAGCCATTGACCGCGTCGGACCGCGTGGGTGTTTCAGGGTCCATCAACTTCGATACGTCTGCTAGACTGACCGTACCCATCCTGGGCAGTATACGAAGCATCCGCGACTTCACTGAGGGAGGTGGAGTCAGTCAAGACTTCCAGAACAGCTTCGGATTCGCGATCAACGGAGATGGTAGCGCATCGATCAACCGCACTTGGTTTGATGGCGTAACAACTACGACGCTGAAATTCTCGCCATTAAATGGTGCCCAAGCTATCACGCTCAACCGCGAAGCAGCATGGACTTTGACTTTCGGCGCGGGCAGCTATAGCTTCGAAGCTTCTTACAACTACCCACAGCTAGAGCAGCTTAGCCCACAGGAAGTCCTAAATGATGCATCTTCGGGATTGATCGCGCAAAACCCAGATCAAACCACCTCATTGTCATTTCTGTCATATACAGATAAACTTCTAGCTGGCACCTGGCGCTTCCTCACCTACTTTGGCCGCGACAGTATGCTGTCACTGCTCCTGATGCAATCCATCCTCAGCGAAGCCGCTATTGAAGCTGTCATCGGAGCTGTCATCGAGCGAATCAACCGCAACGATGGCACAGTGTGTCACGAAGAGGTCATTGGTGACTACTCGACCTGGCTGAACAAGAAGAAGGGAGTTGATTCTAGTGCGCCCAGCTGTGACTACAAGATGATCGACACCGATTTCATGCTCCCCGTCGCAATGAAGAGCTACTTTGTAGATACAGACGCTGGCAAGCAACGTTCCGATGCTTTCTTCAGCAAGACTGCAACGTTTCTCGCCGAGAACGACGGGCTGCCTTACTCTCAGCTGGCTCAAATTACCGCCGAGAAGATTATGCGGATCGCTGAACCGTTCGCGCAAAGTCCTGTAAAAGACAATCTCATCAAACTTAACGAGGGTGAATCTGTTGGCGAGTGGCGCGACTCCAATAACGGCCTCGGAGGGGGCCGCATACCGTACGACGTTAACACGGCGCTTGTACCAGCAGGTCTTCGGGCCATCGCTAGCCTGAGTGGTGCGGGTTTCTTTCCAGACCATCCAGACTGGTCTCAAAAGGCTGATCAATACGCCCAGATCTGGGAAGACGAGACGCTGCAATTCTTCCAGGTTACCGTACCGCAAGCCACTGCCAAATCTCTTGTGCAAAATTATGTCTCCACCGCAAACCTTGGTGCACCAAACAATGCCGATAGTATTACTGGCGATGTCACTTACTATGGTCTCGCCCTAGATGGCGATCTTGGTTCACCAGTCGTGCCTGTCATGAACACCGACGATTGCTTCCGTCACTTCTTCCTGGACACCACGAACCAAACCCAGCTGACGGCATACATCGATCAGACTGCCTCTCACATCCTTCAACCATTTCCAGTCGGCTTATCGAGCAATGTTGGCTTGTTCGTTGCCAACCCAGCCTACGCCGGAGACGCAGGCTTTGCTGCAGGCTTCTCAAAGACAGATTACCACGGGACAGTAGTTTGGAGCTGGCAACTCGCAATGATGGGCGCTGGACTGGCACGACAACTGGGTCGATGTGCGAGGGACGACGCTCCTGGTAAGCTACTAATGTTTTCTTACATCATAAACTCTGCTAACTACCTCTTCCAGAATTCTGCACAAACTCCGAGGTTCATGATAAGGTTATTCGTGCTTACAACAGCCTGTGGGATACCATTGATGCCAACCGCGATCAGCTCAGCCATGAAGTTTGGAGTTGGCAGTACAATAACGGATTCCAGGTTGCGCAGCTCGGCTCTTTGACTTCGACCGAGAGCAACATTCGACAGCTTTGGAGTTTGACATTCCTTGCGGTCAAGAGGGAGAGTTTTTAGGCCTCTTCGAGATGGCCTGTTCGTGAGTGGGTTAGGGATCGGCTTGGATACGAATAGGAGAGGCTACATATTAGGTGATGGAATAGTGTAGGCTACGACTTGATGATTTACGATTGATGAATACAGAATCACATGACACGTTTCCTTAGTTCTGGACGAAAAGCTTTTTTATTTCACGAAGGATCCTACAGGTATTCGCCATAAGAAACTTCTAGTCCTATCCCGTCCTGCCCCATCGTAATACCATGATTCTTGGGCGATATATTGCTGACAAATATCATATCGCCATCAATGCCATAGGTGAGACGGCCGTCTCATGTCAACAGGGAAGGTCACCGCAGATGCGGTTCTTACTAGATTACGATCCACACATGCTCTAGTGTAGATTGTTCTTGGAAAACTTTGTAAGCGTCGCAAACGGAATGAGCTCTACGCTATCGTAAAGATCAACATGCCCAGCTGTCAATATCCAAACCATCTCCTTCGGCTCACGCACCCTTGCAAAAGCAATGTCGCTAAACTCACTCGAATGTGCCTGATTACGCGCAACGAACATCACAGGACGAGGCGAGATCGACTCGATATCCTCAAACGGGTAGAAATCGATCAACTTGACATCGCTGGAAGTTGTTGGACCGGTATTGATGTTCCTTGAGAAACCCTTCGGCGTATACTTAGTAAGGTTGTTCGCCGCTCTAGTTTGGGTTGAGTATGTATGTACACTATCTTTCAACACCACATCTTGCTATCATATTTTCCCTTCTCATGGAAGTCAATCTACTTCCCAATTACATCGTCGTGCTTGCCGATCATGGCAAGTCCACCATGCGGCCTCCATCCTTTGAGCTTCCAATCTCCACCCTGTATCTTGACGTACGTGAACTCCACAAACGAGCTGTTATCCCACTCGCCAATATGTCCATCGGAAAATTCTCTCACGTGCCATGCGCGAACTTGCCAAATTCCTTTGGCTTCTGAGGCGCTAGTGCGCGTGAACATGCTACTACCAAGGAGGTGCTGAGTTTTGACTTGAAGTGGTCTTAGTGAGAATACGGAGAAGACATTGTTGATGAAACAGAAGAATCAAGTAAGGAGGGTCGTGATGGTGGGTAAAACGTACGGTCTGGATGCCCCAAGCCTTGTATCCTGAAGGCGTTCTCGAAGAATTGCTTGGGAGGGCACTTTCGAACTGTCCCCACAGCAGGAAAGTCGGAGTAGTCTGCAACTATCTCTGGTGCTGTTATTGCAAGAAAAGTTGATAGATCCTAGTATCATTATCAGTATATTGCTACGAAGCGGTTTTTGCTAATCTCAAGTTAGTGTAAAGACCTTTTTATCCCACGCCACCGACCATTTGAATGAAAGTTCGCGGAAAGAACGCTCGTCCTCGAAAGAGTTGAAGAGACTTAAAGTAGTCATTTTGAGCAATTGGTTTTCGTGTGTAACAGAGATGGAAGGTTTTATTCATGCATGTGCGGTTTGTTGATCTCTTTTATACATTCATAGACATATCACATATAGAAACAAACTCCGACGAGGGCAGCTACGCTTCCCTCTTTCAGGCGCGCTTTACAAGTACCGAGACGCCGACTGACTTCCCAGTCCAGCTCTCGCGATTGGTTGCAGAAGATCGTGGCTTTGGTCATAGCGTGAATCTGTTGAACGTGCCCTGGTGTCCAAGACAGTGAATCCCGGATGTTAGTAATGCCGAATGCCGAAACTTGTGCGATCTTGGATTAGGGGGAAGCTTCTTCGTACAACCCCAAATACCATTCGGACAACCTCCAAAGATTAGACGAGACGAAAGAAAACTCGTGTCACCATAACCACCGTAGTTACTGTAACACCAATTCTACCACAGTATTTGGGTGCTCTGCCTAGCATCCGGATTCTCCTAATTAGCTCTGTAAGTCGTAGCGCTATGCGCACAAGTCTCACCTATAAGTCCTTGTTGCCTGTATCTGCTGTTCTGTTGCTTTACACGATGTCTTGTATCACACCAGTCTTAAGCTCTCTATAGAAACTGCTAGAAACTCTACAGATGGAGTCGTGAAACCTTTTATCTACAACAGATTACTCAGTCAGGCAACAACTGATAGGTGCTAATTGTTGCAGATAACTTTTACAGCTTATTTTGGTTATTCAGTCTTTTTGGGGTTGTCCGAATAGCATTTAGGGTTGTCCGAAACAGCTTTCCCTTGATTAGGAGAAAGCCTTGGAGATTTGGACATCTTTCGCTTATCAAAACACCGATCTGGAAGAGTAGTACTAACTTACGTTTCTTGAATAGTACTACTATAAAGTTTAAAGCCTACCTTTCATAACATTTACATCCTGATTACTCGAGCAAACAAATCCTTTAATGACCTTTGAACAGCCTCATAAAACTTCCCTGCCTTCTGTCAACGCGTCGCCCGCACTCCGCAAGGAGTGCGGTAAGAATCATAGGATTCGAGCCCGACTGGAGTCAAGCTTTTCGAGCGTGGTGCGTCGTCGGTGTGGGCGATAAAGTCCTGGCGCCGGGTCAAGTTTCGCGAGTTCCCTACGTGAGTGCGATAGAGTATGCCATGGTTGCTGAACGTGGGTGTATGCAGTCAGTGAATGTCTCAAGTGCAGCTTGGTTAGTGATGCTTACTTTATGCTGACTGTTGCAACAGCCTTGATCCAGGAATCGATTTTAGCTGCACCGATGACAAATGATTGACTGGTGCGGTTCAATAGATCCACATGCCAACTTACAGTTTACATCCCAATCTCGGTCAGCCTGATGGGTTTGATACTTGGAAGGCATCTCCTCTTCCAAGATATCGAACTGTCCTTTTCAAGATAGGTCAAAGCGTTGATGAAGCCTCACCAAATAGCGCCGAACAGCTCGCGAGGTCCTTGATAGAGCACATACATGTATGACTGATGAGTATTACGAATGTTTTGAGCAAAGATTGTAGAACTGCTCGACGTTGTTGATGCTAAGACAGTACAGAGTGCTGAAAGAGGCTAAGACCAATCAGGAAAGGGTTTACATTAAGGCATTGTCTTCAGACCAACTCTTGATGATGACTCCTCCAAAACATGTCAATCGTAATGGTCTACATTTCCGGAGTATTCCCAGCTCATTATCGATATGCCCTTGCTTGCCGTCTCTTGATGATCGTTATGCGGAAGGACGCCGGCCGATACTCACTCCGGCAGTAGCAGTAATGCAAGATCGCTACACCATTGACAGCTCTCGAGTTGCATTTGAAGAGATTGAAATGAGTCTTTCTGCGTCGCTCGTCTCCAACACTTTCAATTCAAAGCACGAGGCAGATGAATCATCTGGAGGCGCGTGGCTTTTCTGGGATTGAGGCAAGAGTCGAGTTGGACGACTCGAGTGTTCTCCTACCTTGCAGTTGCTACTCTCGGAGTTTGTATGCATATATCTGGGGCACTTACGACGAGCTCTTTGATTGAGTCAGTTTTAAAGCTTGCGTCTTTCTGGGCTTGGTTTCCCGCTCCAATCTTCCTCTTTGCTGATCACATCAGGTATGCTCAATGTCGGTACGATCGTTATGCTGGATGCATCTGAATGAGGGTTCTGCAGCGCCATATTGAAACAAGTACGCATCGCACTCCATTGACGTTGGACATGGAGCCCCTTTATGCAACATGCTGACTGCAAGGTAGGCGAGTTTGGGCTTAGCTCTAGCCTTGGGTCAAAACAGTTCTAGCGTGTTTTCGGTCTTTATTGAACAGCTTGTTCACTCAAAACCGCCGTTGGGCAGAACCATGACTTCCATAATTATTGCGCCGCAACAAGAGCGCTGCGCGAACGCTAGAGCAAGGTCAGAAATAGGTATCCACGCGAAACCACTATACCCATGCGGATCTCCCATCCTTCATGCAGAGATGCATATGTGGTGCCTTACATCAGGCTTTGTAAGGAGGATAGATCCAAGTCTGGAAGAGAGGGGCGCCAAGACATACAAGCCGCTAATGCACAGAGCTGACAGCTACAGTAAAGATCTACATTTGTAATCTTGCCGCGTAGCTCGTCGAAATTACATCTCCAGGGCTATCTCCCCTACATACCATCACGTGTGCCAACCTGGATGTACCGGGATGATGACGCAGTTGGATGTTTACTTACCCGTCCACTTTTCCGCAAATCGGAAGGCGTGATGACTGATTATAGGAGAATCAGGAAGGCAGTTTACTTGAGACTACAGGTATAAAGGCAAATCTATCTCGGACGTCCGTCGCTACTTTGCTTGTGTCAATCCCAAACTTCTCCGGTCCATATCTCTCCATATCAACATGACGATGAAGCTCGCCCGCGCTTGTGCATTTGCGCTTGCGACATCGACCCTTGCGTTCGCCTGGAAGGAGCCAGTATCTCTATTTCCATCTGTGATCAGCGAAGGCCAACCAAAGGGCGAGATCAAGAATATCAGCGGAAGTAAGTCCGTCTCGGGACCAATTGATCGTTGTGAGCAGCTCTGAAATATCAAAGTTGAAATGTACCACACGTACCCGGACCATCGCAGCAAGACGAATAGCAGCAACGCGATCCTCTTCGTATCCGACATCTTTGGAATCCCGCTCCTTCAAAACAAGTTGTAAGTTCGCGCAGCAATAGTTTCCGAACTATGGAAACTAATTCGTAATCTAGGCTTGCAGACTCGTATGCTCGCGCAGGATACCTTACCGTGATACCAGATCTGTTCGCCGGCGACGCAATTCCTAGCGACATCCCCGAAAGCCAGCTCAACTTGACTGCGTGGTTTCCCAACCACCAGCCTGCCAACGTCGAGCCCATCATCGAGAAGACGATTGCATACATGCGCGATGACCTTGGTATCCAGACTATCGGGGCCGTCGGATATTGCTTTGGAGGCAGATATGTAGCTCGCTTCTTGGCCGAAGGCAAGGGTGTTGATTTGGGCTTCACTGCGCATCCGAGCGTGCTTTCCAACGCCGAAATCGCCCAGATTGTCAACCCAATCAGTATCGCGGCTGGTGGTAAGTGTTTTCGCGACGGCTTGTGATGAGCAGACTGACGCGATGACTAGAACTTGATGCGACTTTCAATATCACACAACGTTATGATGCCGACCGTCTGCTTACCGGCAACAATGTCACTTACGAACAGACATTGTACTCGGGCGCCCCCCACGGATTTGGAGTCAGAGTCAACGCCAACATCCCCAGGCAGAAGTATGCAAAGCAGTCGGCGTATATTCAGGCTTTGAAGTGGTTCGACTTCTGGTTCTAGAAGCTTCGCGAGCGGTTGGTGTTAGGTCTTGCCTTGGCACCTGTCGTTGAATGTGTCACGGTGTGACGGTACTGTGTCGTACTGGCGAACACAGAGCTTCTTTGCTTCGTTGTACTGACATGAAGTGACGAGATCGAGAATTGAACAAGATATAAAGTGCGCCCGATGGATGAGTCTTCTGAACGCGATAACGCATACATTTGTACACAGCAAGTACTACCCGCATACACCTTTTATGGTCCTCGCATTTGGTTGTTGATTCTTTTCATTCGTACGAGACGGTCGATGATGTGCGATACTTGGTGATGTTGGTGTTGGTGGTGTTCAGTGAGAACGCCATTCAATGCGCCAGATACCCCTAGGACTGTGTGCAAGCGCCGGATGAGAGACGCACGTGCAACACGATGAGCGGGGTCGAACAGTATGACAATAGAATGTCGCTTGAGACATGCGCAGTCACCTCTAATTTCTCCGTACAGCGCTGACCCATAAGTGCAGCATTCGTCTGTCCTATGGCCCGTTGTACCGACCTTTCACGACTTCTTGCGATTGCCATATGGTGTTAGTGCCGAAAGTCTGGGCCATTTGATGGTATCGCATCATGCTTTGACGTCCACACAATGCTGCAGTGTCGAAACAAGTCTAAGGCTTTTTCCCCGCCTTCGTGCCGCCTCTTGCAGGGTGTATGTCCCGCGTAAATTAACGGTCGTCCGGCAGCTACATTTAGCCTTGTATATAGTGCCCCGGAAATACGTAGCGGCATGCAAATGTCGGTCGTGTCACGAAAATCTCCTTCTCTCCGTCGCTACGATGTACGTTTAGGTGCGTATAGATGCGTCAAGAGTGATGGAGATGTCACCTTCATATGCTGCAAACGATGTCAGAGTGCGCGATAGATGGTTTGTTGCGCGTCCTTGTCGACAACATAGAAGAGGAGAAGATAAGAAGGCGGTCCGACCAACTTACCAGACATGATTCAGAAGCAACAGCGATACACAGATACGAACATCTTCCCATCATCCCGCAGCCGTCACAATGGTATCCCTCAAGTGCCTCTCCGCCATTGCCCTCCTCGCAATTGCTTCAGCTCAGTCGACAAACAACACAACCCCGATCCGCTACATGCCCTTTGGCGACAGCATAACGGAAATAGTCTGCTGGCGATCAAAATTGTGGCAGCGGCTCCGGACCACTGAGTGGGCAAACGTCAACTTTGTTGGCAGTGGCAAGACGGAGAACAATTGCCGCGACACGACCTATGACCGCGACAACGAAGGACACTCTGGTCACTATGCCCATACACGAAATGCATTGGAGAAACAAACTGACTCGGTAAAACGAACTGTAGGCTTCCTGGCCATCGATATCGCGAATAAGAACCAGCTTGACGGATGGCTGAAGACGAACCCCGCAGATATCATCACCATGCACCTGGGCACAAACGATATCGTGCAGCAGAACAAAGCGGTGACAGACATCATCGCTGCGTTCACCAAACTCATTGGCACTATGCGGACGTCGAATCCCAAAATGAAGATCATCGTACGTCTCTCTTACCCAGCATGTGCCTATGCCACAGTGTCAGATACACACCTGCTTACCTTGGCGTCTCAGGTTGCCCAAATCATCCCCCTAGGCATCGGGAACTACAACGGCAAGGTCCAGGAACTGAACCGCGCGATCGTGCCCTGGGCACAAGGTCTTAATACGACGCAGAGCCCCATCTGGGTTGTAGACCAGTATACGGGGTTTAGTGGGAGTGCGGATCTGAGGGACGGAGTACATCCAAATGATAGCGGCGATGTCAAAATGGCGAACGTGTGGTATCCTGCGGTTGTGAGGGCTTTTGAGGCTGCGAGAACCGACAGGGTTGTCGTTGGCAAGGAGTTTGCAGCATAGATGGAAGCAAGACTGGGGAAGGCAAATAGTGGTGTAGATAAGCCGATGATGTTTCATGACGGATCAGCTCATAGAAGTTCTCGTGTCAGTAGAGTGTGCAGCACGTGACGTGGAACGCTATGGCATCGGCGCTAACAACTTGGTGGGGCAACGGCGCCCAAATTGTCGACTCCCCGACGGGGCAGGCGCATCAACAAATAACAGCAATCGTCTTCGCCCACCGCCTCCAGCGCCACCTCTGTACACAGACACTCTGGTCTATGCTTCTATCTCATTGCTGATCTATCAAAACAAAGTTTTAGACGTCAGCACAAAGGCATATCCGCCATGGGAGAATCAAGGTACGGTCTTCGAGGGGTTAGGCTGCGATGGAGAGACATGTGCAGAGCATAGGCTGACAAGACGTGCACAGACAAGAACTCGTGGCCTGGTTGAACAACCTCCTCCAGCTCAACATCACCAAAGTCGAACAATGCGGTACCGGGTACGTCAGACGCGCCGAGCCAAGGCACAGAGGGGCATCAGGGTCCAGGGCCTGAGGACGTGTACTGACATGGCGGAACAGAGCAGCACTGTGCCAGGTCTTCGACAGCATATTCTGTAAGCCTCCCACCTGTTATATGTGTGCGCGAGGCGAGATTAAGACTAACAGCGTGGAACAACAGACGATGTGCCCATGTCGCGAGTCAAATTCAATGCCAACACTGAGTATGCATACCTGCAGAACTTCAAGGTATTACAGAGTATGTCTCTCTCATAGTGAACACGTTGTACTGCAATTCCTCTAACACACACGCTAGACACGTTCGCCAAGCACCAGATCGACAAGCCCATCCGCGTCGAGTCGCTCGTAAAATGCAAGATGCAGGACAACCTCGAGTTCCTCCAATTCGTCAAGCAGTACTGGGACCAGCACTTCCCAGGCCACGAATACGACCCCGTTGCCCGCCGCAAGGGCCAGGGCGGCGTCGCCACGGGAGCCGCACCCCGCGCCGCTGCCTCGACCGCCCGACGAGCACCCGCTGCCTCCAACACGGCCGCACCGCGTACCCGCACACCCCTGGCGTCCGGCGGAGGAGCCGCGAGCGCCGCTCTGCGCGAGGAAAACACGGCGCTCAAGGAGACGGTGACGGGCCTGGAGCGCGAGCGCGACTTTTACTTTAGCAAGCTGCGCGACATTGAGCTGCTGATTCAGCAAGCCATGGAAGCGGATCCAGAGCTTGAAAAGGACGAGGGCTTGCTCAAGCAGATTCAAAACATACTCTACTCTACTGAGGAGGGCTTCGAGATCCCGCCCGAGGCCGAGGGCGCCGAGGAGGAGACGTTTTAGAGCGAGGTCGCTACTCCGACGACGACGATGACGACGACGAACAGGGACGTACGAGAGGAGCTGAGGAACGTTATCCAGGCGGCACAGGACTTGATGGACGAGACGGATGCAGTTGAGGCGGCTAGGGAGGCTGGCAATGTGGTGTTTAGCGCTGGCATGATGAGGCCCGACGATGCTGTTGTGATGGCGGTGGACCGAGACATCTTTCCTGGTGACAAGCCTTAGTCTTTGGCATCTTTTTTGTTGGGTGCTCTTATTCTCCCTCATCCTGCGAAAGCATGTCATGTCTTCGTTCATCTTTCTCGTTTTCGTCATCATCGTCTCCAGTGTCTTGTCTAGCTGAGCCAGTTCGTCGGGTTAGTTCCTCAAGTGGGTGAGACAGGAGAGGAGGGTTATGATTGCATTTGGAAGCGAGGATACCACTTTCCACTGGGGAAGACTCGACGTCTTTCTATATTTCAATATACGAGTTTCATGGTTCGTTCTTCTTTTTTTTGGACGTTTATCCGTCGTTGACTTTGCATGATATCCTTGTTGTTCCGCTTCTGCCATGGTCTTGCTACAAGCATACATGCGGTCTGAGAGGGACTGCGGCCGCAGCAGAACTTGCTCTGTTGTCGATGTTCGTGGAGGTGCGGAACAAAATACAAGTGCAAGGTACTGGGCAGTAGTGAATGCTTCTGGCGCTGACGATTGCAGTGAGCCGACGTACTATCTTCACGATGGCGGTGTCGCGTCCATTGCCGGAATAGGAGCTCAGTCTGTGAGGAGGAATTTGGAGGGTCTACAATGCACGCATTAATGCACCGCACAGAGTCGTAGCGTCTACGTTACGTTTCAGCACTCTATACAGCCAGATATAGCTCACTGTATCGGCTTCGCTGTGATTTCACCTTGTCGTTCACTGTGCGAGTACTGACTGGTCCATGCCTTCACAGCGAGCGGAGAAATGGTGCCCATACATTGCTAGTGTTCTGATGCCTCTACTCAGACCGCCGTACATCACCACTCCCTCTATCACATCAAAGCAACACGCACTTCGATCAGACCATGCAGTATGTATGTACCATATCCTTGTCTATGAAACCTACCCTGAGCTTCAGATGTAGATCCACATCTCAGCTAGGTTCACAGACAAGTCGGCTTTTATCAGAACATGACACCGAGATACCTGACACGTCGGTAGTGGAGCCAGAAGCTGATGAGCAGAGTGACTGGGACACAGTCGAGGTCAAAGACAAAGAATGGACTGACGAAGAGCTAATGGACGATGCGCGGCCGGGCAGACGAGTAAGACGGCGTGTTCAAAAATAATGACTTTTGGTAGTAGGCGGGGCGAAGAAGGGTTGATGTCGCGTCTGAGTCTCTCTAAGAATTTCCACGGATCATGGACGGGAATGGGGAGATCAATTGAGAACAAGAGAATAGTGGAAGAGCGGAGATTCAGTGCAAGGATACAAGCGCTGAAAAAAGCAATTCCGTCGCAAAAGCAATGGACCTTAAGTGTGCCGAATTGACAAAGAGACATAGAGAATGTGCGCGATGACTTGCGAATGTGAATAACGTCAAAGGAACAGATATTAGTATATCACCTCGTGATCGAGACAGACGCAAAGGAACAGTGATGAGAAGCTTGGAGGGCGACAGGAAGGTACTGATCGTTCTCTGGAGCAAACCATTACGAAAGGGCGGTAGTGTTGATTGTCGTGGACACGCTTTGAATAAATACGCCGTAGCGTGGTGTTGCCAGACAGTCAAACTTCGTCAAACCTGCAGCGCACTAAGTAAGCTCTTCCAATGCCAATATCCCAGTCGCATAAAGGAATAAGTCCTCAAAAGCCTCGATTTTGACGATGGTTCTAGCCGATGGCACTATTGATCTGGAACCTTGGAAGCGTTGCACAAAGGGTCTTCTGGGACGCTAGCCCAGTTTTGCGTTCCCAGGGCTCAACAGCTGCCTTAGTAAGGAGCCAGCGGCGTTTGACGAGCGTTAGCCGCTATTTCCAGCCATCCGCGCATAAACTCAGTAGATCTACTCAGTAGATCTTCAATAAGTTCGTCTTGTCGCCGACATAAACGAACTGCGGGAGACATCTTCTCTGCATCACAATTGTGCAGCACGGCAAAAAGCTGGGTCACCCAGGCGAACACGACTCTTATTGACGATTGTAAATTTCGTCAAATCTCAGCAATCGAGTCAGCATGGGCGCAATAGAGTAATCTCCACAGCCACGGACACCAAACGAGCAAACGATCTGGAGATGCACCCCTTCGTGACATCATGCCCACTAGCTCGTCTCGCTAACCCGCAAGCAGCGCAGTGTCGTCACTTAGCCGGCGATCTGAACACATCCCGTACGGCACATCCTCTCCATCACGAACTTCTGACCACTCACGCCACACCGGCCGCTGCATCATGCACCGCTATCCACCTCCGCGGGCGTGCCATGATCGGGGATGAAAGGGTTTCAACGCAGGGATTGACACCGTGTGGCTGAACTTGATGATCGTGGCTCGCGGCCAACATCGCGCAAAGGACCGCCAAACGTGAGACGTGCGGCAGCCTATTGGACTTTCATCAACGCCATGGCGGGTGAACCGCTGGTCTCATGTAGTCCGCGTCAGAACCCCGCCGACCATCATGGCGCTCAGGCTTGTGGAAGACGTCAGGCTTGCTAGCGGAAAGGTAGATCTGTTCTAGTGGTGGTTTTACATCAACTTCAGCCGTGAGCTATAGAAGTTATCTTCCTTAGTTCTCTTTCTACTGTTCTTCAGCCTGGTGGCATTCGTGTCTTTTAGTCAAGCGTAGTAACTCTTGCTTTGCACCATTACCATCGACAATTAACGACTGCGGCTAGCCCTCAGTCTTAGCCGTCGTGATGGCGCTCAAAAACATCCTCCCGCTACACAAGAAAGACGCGTCCTCGTCGTCTCACAAGCCCACAACCTTGCCGAAAGATGGTTCTCCTCCAGGCCACCCCACGAGATCCGGCTTCATACCTAACCGGTGGCGCAATGAACTTGTTGCCGCAGCAGCAGAGTTCGCAGGCACCTTCATGTTCCTATTCTTTGCGTTTGGAGGAACAAGTGTAGCCAACACGGCAGCGACATACAGCAATCGGACAACCTCTGGACAAGCCAACAACAGCATCACGCAGGCGCCGGACACCAGTGTGCTGCTGTACATTAGTCTGATCTTTGGCTTCAGTCTGATGGTCAATGTGTGGGTATTCTTTAGGGTGAGCGGAGGACTATTCAATCCTGCTGTAAGTCAGCCTAATGGCATCAAAAACGTCTGGAAGATGGGCTGACCATGACCACAGGTGACACTCGGACTCTACCTCATCGGAGCCATCCCAGCCATTCGCGCGTGTCTCTGTTTCCTCTCCCAGATGCTCGCCGGCATGGCCGCTGCCGGCGTAATCCAAGCCATCATCCCCGGCCCTCTCAACGTCTCCACAACCCTCGGTGCAGGCGTCTCCGCCGCCCGTGGTGTCTTCCTCGAAATGTTCCTCACCTCCCTCCTCGTCTTTACAATCTTCATGCTCGCAGCCGAGAAGCACAAGGCCACATATCTGGCACCAATCGGCATCGGTCTAGCCCTCTTCGTGGCAGAAATGGTCGGTGTCTTCTTCACCGGCGGCAGCCTGAACCCAGCGAGAAGTTTCGGGCCGTGCGTCGTCACACACAACTTCCCTGGCTACCATTACATCTACTGGTTCGGACCGCTCATGGGCACTCTACTCGCGTTCGGCATGTACCGCATTGTCAAGCTAGTCGAGTACCAGACTGTCAATCCAGGTCAAGACTTTGACGACCACGAAGCCGCACTGTTCAAGCCGCCCGAGGACCCGGAGACGGCTTCCCAAGTCGAGCGTCCCAACGTCGCCGCACATGCCATGGCAGATGCCATGCAACTCGCCAGCAGAACAAACTCTGGTTTCAGCGAGAGCCAGCAGAATTTCAGCGGCATAGACGGGAGGCTGGACAGCAGGGATTCTGAAAAGGAAAAGTCTATGAGCTCGAGGCGGTCGCCGCGGCAGGAGCAGGAGTTGTTGGAGAGGACGGGTCATGCACCTGCTGCTAACGGTGAAGACCACGACTGTTAAAGTATATCTGATTTCATGAAATTGATGGCTTCACTGTCCGTCTTCAAACTGGTAATTTGTCCTTTGATCTATTTAGCGTTCATAGCGGGTCTTGGCAATAGGACAAATAGGGCGTCTTTCTACTTCATCATGCTGCACATAGGCATAATCTCATTTCCCCACCTTGCATGATGCCGCGCCGTGCTTCGCCTAATCTGGCTTCAGTTTTTTATACGAGGAACCATGCCAGACAGTGAGCGATTAGCATGGTGAAGATGAAGATGGAGACCAAGACTGCGAAGACGCCGACGCATATCCAAATAGCTGACACAACGCTTGGTTTTCTCTTGCTCTTCTTCTTCGAGGACGCCGATTCCACAGTGTCGACGGATGTGCAATCTTTCGTCGCCGGTGCAGGTGGAGGCGTAGATGTAAGTCGAGCCATATCTTCACGATGTGATTCAAATAGCCCATCGTGTGGCTCGTGGTCGTACGAATACTCGCCCTCGTCATCAACAGGAAACAATCTTCTCGCAACACCCTTGGCCTCCATATGCCTGCCCGTCTTCTTCAGCGGCACAGGCGAGCTTGCAAACCACTTATTCTCTCCCATCTGTCTCTCCTCCATCTCCTTCTCCTCCCTCCCTCCCCTGCGCCTTCCAAACGGCGGATCCCAAGGCTTCCTCGCATCCGCTCTCTCCCTTCCTTTATCTTTCTCTTCCGTCTTGCCCTTGTTCAGGTCCCCTGCTTTCAATAATCCCGTCGTTGCAGTCGGGCAGGGCGGCTGTCGGTGGATTTCCTCGCTCCCCGTCCACTTGCCCGACTCCTCTCCCGTCGACGGGACGCCGCTGTCCGCACCGTCCGTTGCGAACGCCTTCCTTCCCCCGTATTGTGCGTTACTCCGCAGCGTCGGGGCTGGCCCTCGCGGTCGTAGGCGCCGTCGTAGGGGTGGTGGCCGTTTGTGTAGCGCGGATCGGTCTTCTAGAGTTGGGCTCAGTGGGTACTCTTGGCTTGATCTTTGGATTTCAAACGCTGATGTTGGATTGTGTATGGAGGGGTGGGGTTGTGGTATGGTTTTGGACATACGGAGATGGTGCATTGGGTGGGGGAGGAATCGAGGAAGCTGTACACTGAGGATTGGGAGGCAGATTGCGAGGAGACAGGCTAGGAAGAGAATGCTCATTGCCACATATGGATTGGTGACTGCACTGAGGTGAGAGTGGACGCCTGGGGGTAGCGGTAGTGGTGAGTAAGAGTGGTGTATGCAATTCCGATAAGGATGGTCGTAGGTCGTGGTGATGGTAGGTGTAGTAAACGTTTACAGAGCGTTGTAAGAAGAGAATTGTATGGCAACGTGAGATTTGGGTGAAGGTCAGATGGTCCACACGTGAGGTTCGCAAGGCAATTGCCTTTTGAGGTTGGTGCTGCGCCTTATGATAGATCGCGACTGTCATACTTCTCCATTAAAGACTGTGGCGTTCCTTCCCCTCCTGAACTGAAACACATCTCACTATTCCCTAAGGTCTTTCCCCCATTCAAGGTCTCTCGTGTCATACAAGGCTTAATTATATTTGAGGAATGGTTGGTATAGTTATACCAGCATGTTCCACTACTGCACTACCTTTGCATCTTGGGTACTCGCTGTTTGCTACGATTGTCTTTTCCGCCGCATCATCTTATTTCAAGTCTTTGCACTCGCGCAACGTAGCGTGTGAGCGTTCGTACTAGCAGGGCTCATTTTGATCCGCGAGAGTACAAAAGACTTGTACCGTGCACGGTAGATGCTGGCTCGAAGTCTTCAGGCTTGACTGAGTCTGCACTTTGTCATCTGGACATGGAATTTTTCGTCATGCTTATTGGCTAGGTCTTGATTTGCTCGCATTACGGCGAGACCAACTCTCCTGGTATAATGTACTTGGTGATCCGCTGTTGCTCGAAATGCATCCTTGCTACTTTTGAAGTGGTAGCTATTGCGCCGTTTGCTTTTGTGAAAATCGCCATGTTGTTGCAGCAACCCGCTTGGCCTTTGCTTTGCTTAATTCATTCTCATCTCGTCGCTGTTGTTTCGTGTTGCTGTATGCGCAAAGGCGCGAACAAAGCACGATTTGATAATGGTATCATGTGGGGCTGATAACGTGTAGGGAACGTTTGCAGGTATGAGCTATGTGCTGTTTGTAGCGTGGGATCGTCTTTGAGTACCGTGAAATGTATCCTGCAGTCTAATTATTGACTTCAATACTGGAACAGGTCGTGGACGCCTACACTGACAACTACACACAATTCTGAATCAATCTTAGCAGGTTGTTCGCGAAAGAAGCGCACAACAAAAGCAGTTGGTACGCTCCAGCCGATCTTGCAGGTGACGCATTCATAATCCATGTTCCATGTCTCCAACTACTGCTGACTGGCTGTTGTACCAGACGCGCTGTACCGAAATATAATCTCCGATCAGCCCTGCAGCCAGCCTGCATGATGGGGCTAGACCGTGGAAGTGCGCACGCAGAACCTGAGCTGGACCGCAGCAAAGTCAGCACAGGCGCGTCGGGATCACTCCGCAGGACTTGCAGCAGTGGGATAGCCGTTGTTGATCGAACTTCGGCTTCCAACTGCTTCGAAGGGAATCACAGCATTACTGATCAAATTTGCTGATCGCACTCTGTCGTTGGATTCTCCAGACGTGGACTGTAACGTAATGTCTGGCTTCCGTCACTGTATGTGCCTCGCTAAAACACAAATCTTCGGATGTAAATTTGACGGAATGGAAGACGGGTTTTCGGAGGATATACGGACGGTGGTGGCATTTCTCTGCTAGTGGTCGTGGTGCGGAAGGCCTCGGAAGCTGAGACGGAAAGTGGGGCTGTGATCAAAAGTGGATTGTTTAGGCCAAAGGAGCTCTAGTGGATTATGACGTATCACAGAAACGAGGTCCAGAAGACGGAGACAGCAGCCAACATTGAGAGCCAACCGCTCGAGTTGCATCCTCACAGCATCCAATCACAATCGCCATCACAATGAGAAGCTCGGAAAGTCTCCAAAGCCATTCCCGACGGTACATGTGCGCTCTTTGCTTGGCTCCGCACATGCAGCATCCAGACTCCTTCGGATGAACTTCAAGAGAGTATATCGCACGATCGATCCACCAGCCTACAATGACCAGGTCCACTTTATGTGGACCTGAACACGAGAAATAAAGATCGACTGTCCGACATGAGCCCACTGTGGTACTTCTGCGCGGTTTCGTCAGCACATGGCTGAACACAGCCCACATCTGACGACGCTCGTACAATGGGAAGCCTACACCAGTGCACATTCGGTCGCTAGACCACCCGGACAGGCATCCGTTCACCCCGCCTCTTCAGCGACATTTGTACAGTACCCAAACTTGGACCAGTGATGGTGGCGGCATGGTCAAGTCTCCCATAAATGCGTCTCCATCAACCTTTCAGAGATGAGTTTCGCCAAAGTTGGAGCGCATGGATCGTTGCTGCTATCTTCGTAATGTCAAGATGATGCAACTGTCTTGCATCGCATTGTTGATACGCCCTGTACAACGAATGCCGGTGAGACCGTTCGCTGGACCGTCCCGACAACCAACACTGACATCGCTACCCTGGCGATTGAAGCTAAGCAGTATAGGCGTGGAGAAAAGTCCGACATGCTGAACCCCGTTCGCTACCCTCTCGACGCTGGTCCATATCGACCGTTACTAACGCGTCGTACCAGTACTCCAAATTATTCGCTACTTGCTACTCGCTTCTCCAGCGTCTTCCACCATCTCCCAGGCTAGTAGTTGTATCAGTCGGATATAATTCATGCCGTCCTTATTTGAGATGGATCGCTGCAGGGCTACGTCTGAATGTCCACGTACCCCGTGTTTCCCGGGTCTACCAAATCTGGGGTAAAATGCCCAAGGATTGCTTGTTTGGTCATCTTGCATATATTATGATAGTAGCGGAACACTCGGCAACGGTTTGTTACTATATTGGGAAATGCCAATAGTTCCGATGTGTTAAGCGACATCGACCTTACCATCGGAACGTACTCCGCGACAGAACTACAAGCTTCTCGAGGGACTTCACACCTGCAAGGCAAACATACGGCGTCCACATACAGCAATGCACTGCATCGCGTGTGTGACACCTGGTAATAATTCTGGCTACGTGACGCATATCGCAATCTCTCATCGCCAGATCTTTGCTCACACCGGGTACTTTTCCCTGGAAGCATCCGAGTAACGCGTTCCTGTCAATCTACCCCACAATATCGGGTCTGGCGATCATCGCGAACCACAGTTCCTGGATCTTTCCTCTCTTTCTGACCAATGACTGAGGTTGCTGTTACTTGAGACAGCGACATTTTTTATGTCAAGGTGGGTCGCAAGGCTACGGCTAAACAATCATAAGCTCAAGCCACCACCCACTGATATACTAGTCTCCTCAAATGCTTATACGAGCTTACGTCTGTTGATATCATCGTTATGGATATGACGATGAACTGTATGCTCCAAGCGTGCTAAGCTCCCAACAACGCACCAAGATGCCGTGGTACCGGGAGCAACTAAGGAAATTGAGTGGTATTCTTTGTTATCATCTCCGGGGCCCGAAGAGGTATAAAGAGCACCCGAAGTATATCCTTTTGAAGGCATCATCCAATTTCATCCCATTCTACAGTCGCTCAATCTTCGAATATGAGATACGCCTTCGTTCCCCTCGCGTTCGGTCTTGGAGCCAACGCCTACGTCGCTCGTGCGAACACACAATGCTTCAAGCTCTCAGCATCTGGCGGCGCATCGGGTGTACTCGGTCAACTCGACGATGGTCAGAACCGTATTGGCGGCAACCACCCAACCGGCTGCTACTGCTTGGATGGAAGCGGCGGCTTCACTGATTCTAATGGACGTGGCTGCATCCTGACTCCCCCTACCACCCAGTTCCAGTGCGATGTTGGCGCTACCCCCACCAACGGCTTCGCTGTCAGCTCCAGTGGTAGTGTCACGTACAATGGCTCAGGCAAGTTCTATGCCTGCCCTGTAAATGACAGCGGCGAATACAACGTCTACACAACCCCTGCTCCCGGTCAGACTAAGTGCGTTGAGATTTCTCTCGGGTCTGCTGGTTCATGCGGAGCTAGTGCGTCCCAACCTGCTGGATCTAAGCCTGCTGGTTCCTATCCTGCTGCTACTCCTCCCGCAGCTACCAAGACGAAGCCTTCCGAGACTCCTAAGCCTACGCCTGAGGCCCCTAAGCCTACACCTGAGGCTCCTAAGTCTACACCCGAAGCTCCCAAGCCTAGCTCGCCCGCACCTGGTATGCCCCAGGAGTCTGAGTGTGTACCCAAGGTCGTTACCGTCACTGTAACCCAGTCTATGGCCCCTCCTGCTTCCATGCCTGCTCCCTCCCAACCCGCTCAGAGCAAGCCTGCTCCTCCACCAGAGTCGATGCCTGCCCCTCCTGCTTCCCAGCCCGCTGCCTCCATGCCTCCTGCTTCCATGCCCGCTCCCTCCAAGCCAGCTCCTTCTGCGCCAGCGCCCTCCAAGCCAGCTGCCTCTGGTGCCTGCCCTCAGGACCTCAACGGCAATTACCAGTACCCTCATCTGATTGTACCCGTTGACTCTGAGCACCCCGACAAGGCCTATGGCACCTCGTACAATGGCACGATCAGCGCTCACATCTGCACTATCTTCAACTTCGATATCCCTGCCTCCTACGCCGGTAAGACTTGCTCTGCCATGTTCATGCTACCCAAGAAGGAGGACCTTGAAACCTCGGACTACACCATCTCTGGTCAAGGCGAATGCACCGTCAGCAAGCTCAAGGGCAATGCCAACGCACAGACTACTTGGAACAACGCTCCTGCTAAGGCTGGAGATCTTGCTTCCGTGGAGCTCAGCCCCGGCAACACCTACACTGTCGAGTCTGGCGATTGCGAAGCTGGCAAGACTGTGAGCTATGAGATTTGTGGCAGTGGTGACTTCTCCATCAACTACTTCCAGGATTATAACCCCAGCCCCATTGGCATGTACATCCGCCAGTGCTAGATTATTCATCACTGTGCTGGATGAGACCTTGCTTTGATCGAGATTTACTAGCAAGTGAGTCTGAAAGGTGTCTGGGATGTACATACCTGATGATTCTTTTCGCCGTTGCCTGGACGAGTCTTTCCCTAATAATATGATACGACATGATGACATGGCACTCCTTATGAATGCGTTTGTAGATTAGACGAGACTTAATGTATGGTTTTTGCTCAGACATATTTTGATCTCGCTGCTGCTGTTTTGAGTGAATCATGTGTTGCGAGAAACTCGGCTAGATAACCTAACTTATTGGGCACACGTGGTGACCTTCCACATTCTCGTCCTTTCGACTGTCACCTGGTTTGTCTCAAGCTAGCCCGCCGAGCTGACTAAGCTCAATCACCCTTCCCATCATGATACTCTGAAATGCCCGTAGGCGCCGCCAAGCCGCTAGTGGTGCTTCATCTCCTCATGTGCGGGGAATCGACGCATCCCCATTGCGTTCGCGTCTGAACATCACGTGTTGAACTGAACGATACCTCAAGCCGGCTAATATGCATGTCTCTGTACATTTTCGAGTTCCTTGCTAGTTGATAGTCGCTTTGTGCCTCTTGGAACGTCCTGTACGACATGATTGTCGCACAGAACCATCATTTTCGTGCTTTCTCTCGCTACCTCTGTACAGCGCGCACCCAGTCAGTATTCGAGATGTTCTGATGGGTACACATATACAGCGAGTAGGCGGCAGCGTGCCACGTTCATCGCGATGCGTCGCATCTGGAGAATGCGTTCATTGTCGAGAAGAGATCAGTCCAGAGCCAACATCCGCACGCAACGATCGCTCAGACTGCGCAATGAGCTGCCTCCATGCGCATCACTCCCCTATCCCTTTGGACAGTTGTCGGATGTGGAGTACCTGCATCGCGGGCGGCAGCATCTACATCCAACTCAGCCTCAGGGTAGAGCCGCTCACAGTCACGCTAGAAGATGCAACGAATATTCTTTACAATGTATACAAATGGCAAGCTGCAGCGCAAAATGACACAAGATCTCGCAATACTCTAAACGCAATATACACAGCAGTAGCTTCACCGCGTCGACCAATCTGCAAGGAGCTTGCTGTGGTCGTAATATCATTATCCACACTGTGGGGTAGGTCTTCCAGCGAAGCAGGGGTAGAAGCCGGGTAAAGTGCGCAGATATATTGACTTCCCGGATCATCCCCGGTAGACTGAGCCTTGGCTAATCTACTGTTAACAGGACTACATACCATTGTAGGGGCAAACGACCGTTCCTTACATTCGCCAAAGAGAATGCACGGTACGCTATCGATGAAGTACTACAGCAACGCCACCAGGGCGCGTTGCATGCGGGATGTCAATGCTTCTGACCAAGGACTTGGACTTTCTTGAGTGTAATCAGAACATAGGGCGGGCCGACGGTACCGTTGATCACGTCTCAAGACAGCCACGCAAATGTGAAGGCGAGCCTGTACCAAGCCCGTTGAAGGCAAGACATATTATTGGATGCACACTGTCCGCGGCGCTCGTCTTCACGACGCTCTATATAAGACCAGATAAGTCGCACGTACTGTCGCTCATCATCTCGAGTCACTCAAGTCTTTCTTTCAATCATGGTGCAACTCACACAACTTGTTTTGGCATCCGCTGCTTTCGCTGGTGCTGTATCTGCAGCTCCCAAGCCACCTTCACCTCCATCCGTCAACCCTTGGACTGGTAAAGACCGCTATGTCGTCCAGAGCTACGGCAAGAAACTCGACCAGACCATCGCCTCCTTCACGGCCCAGAACGACACCCTTAATGCGGCGCGCACCCGCACAGTCGCTCAGAAGATCTCAACCTTCACTTGGGTTACTACACGTGATGGCCTTAGCCTCATTCCTACTGCCATCAAGGAAGCTCGTCAACAGAGAAAGCCCGGAAAGAAGATGATCGTTGGTCTGGTCTTGTACAACTTGCCCGACCGTGATTGCTCTGCAGGAGAATCCGCCGGCGAGCTCAGTCTAGCGAACAACGGCCTCGAGATCTACAAGAAGGAGTTTGTCGACAAGTACGCCAAGCTTGTTTCCCAGGCCAAGGATCTCGACTTCGCCATTGTTCTCGAGCCGGACTCCCTCGGTAACGCCATTACGAACCAGGGCGTCCCTTTCTGTGCCACCGCTACTCCCGCCTACGAAGAGGGTATCGCTTACGCCATTGCCAAGCTGCAGTTCCCCAACGTACATCTGTACATTGACGCTGCGCACGGCGGCTGGCTCGGCTGGGCGGACAACCTCAAGCCCACCGCTCAGATTTTTGCCAAGGTCGTCGCTATGGCAAAGAAACTCAACCCCGCGGCCAAGATCCGGGGTTACGCCACGAACGTATCCAACTACAACTCCTTCCAAGCCAAGGTACGCGAGAACTACACCGAGTACTCGCCATCTTGGGACGAGAGCCACTACGCCTCGTCGCTCGCTCCTTACCTCGAGGCTGAGGGTCTACCATCCAACTTCATCATTGACCAGGGTCGCGTCGCCCTTCCTGGGGCTCGTGCGGAGTGGGGTGAGTGGTGCAATGTTGAGCCTGCTGGATATGGCGCTCTACCCGGATCGAAGCAGAACAACACCAACGTCGACTCTCTAGTCTGGATCAAGCCTGGTGGCGAAAGTGACGGAAAATGTGGCCTTGCTGGTGCGCCCGCTGCTGGTGCTTGGTTCGATGAATATGTGCAGATGTTGGTGAAGAACGCTGACCCACCACTCGAGCCGACCTACCTGAAGAAGCCTAAGGTCTAGTGGGGCGAGTCAAGTGGATTTGGACAGCTGTATAAGTACTCTTTTCATAGCAATTTGGCTGTACATACTATATCAAGAATGTAAATATCTTAGAAAATATCAATCTCTCCAAAATCTCGCTGACCTTGACAAGGCATCAAGTGTAGTCTTGAAGCGAAGTCACAGGCAACGAGCTATCAGAATAGTTCTAAAAGTTTTGATGCATTCTCCAGCGCAGCGAAAGCAAGCGTGTATGAGGCATTTCATTGAGCAGCGGTCAGCCACGGGATGAAGGTACTCTGGGCTAACACGTGATAATTCGCTCACTTGGCAGCTGCCTGGTCTACGGACTCGCTGTCACTATAATAGCTCACGTATACTGAATCTGTGTCACCACATCGACTCTCCTGGTGCAGTTCTCTCAGTACCGATTTCTGCAAGTCCGCAAGATGGCTTCCGCCGCTTCCGACCGCAACAAAGCATGTACCGACTGCAAGAAATTACGCGTCATCAACCGCGAGGAACAAAACAAGATGTAAGTCGAAAAACATAGTCCAGTTGAGCGGTTCATTCTTGGAGAAATGACCAGCTGACTCGAATAGCGCTCTCTCGAATCAGCTCAGCTCGCCGCTCCTGCGTCTTCCCAACGAAATTCGTAATATGATCTACACACACATCTGTATTTCTACTACAGTCAACCACGGTCATCCTAAAAATGGTTCCAAAGAGGGCTGTGCCTTTACCCAGACCTTCCTACTTACCAGCAGCCAAATTTACGCCGAGGCCGTCGAACTTATGTATAGTCTGGCCACATTCGACCTATCTAGTGGGTCAGTTGACGTACCCAAGTTGTTGTGTCTCAAGAGTCTCAACCCGGAGTATCGCCATCTCATCACCTCAATACAGGTCAATGCCAAGTTTGCAGAGGATGCGATATTTCTGATTGAAGAGGGCAAGGTGGAGGAAGTACTTGGAGATCATAGCCCTGCCGAGTGTCTGTTTGATCTAGAGAGACTCCACGTACGCGATTTATATTGGGCAGATGTACGTATGAGGGATGAGCTGCGGTATCTTTTCGACATGGAAGGCTTGATCATCACTGATCACGCTACAAATGGTCTCCCTAGATGGTCACCCGAGGAACCATTCACATGTTGGTCAGAGAGGGTTTGAAGATCACTGAACACTACAGAGGTCGTGTCTCACTTAGATGGTCAGCTCAAGGCCCAAACCGTTACCATTGGTAACACTGCTAGTTGGATAAGACTAAGAGTTTGGATTGCTGAGATCCTAGCCTTTCCCGATATCGATCAGCGAATTGTAGCGATTCGTTGATCATAGAGTCGGCGTAGCAGTCTTGGCGAGGTATTGGTAGTCACTTCTTGCACACTAGTCAAACAATATCTCAAACTCACCGTCACCTCGCCTCTCACCTTCCTGTTAACCTTAAATGCTGATATCTCCGCACACTTAAATTCTTCTCTTTCTGAGATCAACTCGCTCACATCCTCACAGCTACAAATCACTTCGTCGACACCATAGCTGGAAATCGACTCACGTTCATCCTCTGGACTACAATTCCATCCAACGAAATTATGGCTGAGAAGATCAACGACCCCGCTGCCCGAAATGTCGAAGCGATGTAAGTATACGGCGCTCACGTATTCCTCCACGTTAACGATGATAGCACACGCGACAACCAGCTCAACTCGCCTCTACTGCGTCTCCCAGCCGAGCTTCGCAACAAGATCTACTTCTTCACCTTTGACACGAATGAAGTACGTCTCAAATCGCCTGTCGAACGGGTCAACCCAGACTTTGACTGCCCGCCTGGAATATCTTATCCGCTCGGCCTGGTACAAAGCTGCATACAGTGTCGTTACGAAGCACTCCCATACTTCTGGAAGACAACTGTCTTCCAGCTGAGACACCGCCTATTCCCTTGGACTTCGGCCGATCTCAATTCTAAGGTTCAGACTGTATTCAATCAGATTCAGATCATCCGATTTGAAGCAGGTGGCATGCATTATATCTTGTTTGATAGATATCAGCACTCTGATTTTGAGAAGTACACTGCGCTGCGGAAGGTCCTCATGCAGTGGCCGAACGAAGATACGTATTTTGCGGAGACACTCGTGAGGAGGCTTTTCGGAAAGGATATTGAGATCTGCTTTTACACTGACTGACCTCGGATTTCCTCGGCGATCTCTGGTTCCGTAGTGAAGCGAACGCCACCATCTTAGTTCTGGGTGCGGCAGACATGACTTTGGAGAGACTGCCAGTCGAACGAGCTCTGATGTATTCCGGGTCTGCAATGCTAGAAGCTGTCCTGCGTTGGGTTGTCAAAAGAGATTGCAATCAGGTCTCAAAGAACATTCGGGCGGAGAAGCAAGATCTGGAAATTCTCGTTGACAGAATGGCTAGTGGCGTGGGAAGAAAGTGAGAGAGAAAACGGACATTTATTCGTCACAGATTCTACTCTTGTTCCAACAGTAAGAAGCATTGACCTAAAAGTTGCTTCTTCAACTACAATACAACGACTATCAGAATTCCTATTTTTGCATTGATTCGATGGAGATTCCAGGACTATAGTATAGGCACAAGTTTATCAAGTGACACTTCATACCTCGTCTGGTAATCAATCTCGAAGGATTGTAAGAAGAATCAAACCCCGCCTACGCCCCGTTTTTCCTAAGATACCGTTCCTGAGACTCCCACCATTAAATGTGTTGTTAGCTCGGGATAAGCTATTCCCGGTTTTGACTTCCCAGATGACATCGCACTTCATGTGCATATGGCATTACCAATTTTCTCTTTCTGTCGTCAGATGGGCGGAGAAGAATTTTTCAACTTCGATCTTGACAAGTTACGAGGCGCTATCATCTCAAAGTGAGGAATTCGACATGGATCATTCTAATATCGTACTCTTGCTCATTGGAAACGTGCGCCTGAACGTTGTGTCTAGGCAGACTGAGAGTTGGATCAATCTCACAACATGGGTAGTCGAGCAAGACTCGGGATGCAATAGCCTCGCAGCGCCACTCGGCAGGCTGGACTTTTGTGAACAGATTTATAGTAGTGGGTATCCATAACGAATCGATTGATGGGGTTCCAAGATAATAACACTCATTCCTCACATTATCCCGCCAACTCACCTCACGGAATACAGACGACGCCAAGACGTAGTCGCCGTTTGCACTCATGCGCACCGTGACCTAGCGCTGCAGCTGACATTGGCTGGCAACTCTCTTCAAACTCTGCTTTGTCTACTCCTCTTGTATCCAAACACCGAGTCTTGGAGCAGCGACCGCACTTCACTAGTACCATGGTGCTCCGCCTGTCTGACCTTGGCTCCATGGAGCCTCGCGTCCTACCGCCAGAGCAAAAGGATGACCGCGACGACGATTTGCGCTGCGTCGACGACGTATTTCACATCAACTGCGAGCGACCAGCGCGCTGTCAGGATCCTCAACTCGAGGTGAAAGATACAAAGGAGATGTAACTTACCTGCAATGGCTACAAAACATGACACTGATATTTCGCAGCACCCAGAGGAACCAGGTCGGCTCCCCGCTCTTGCGTCTACCTGCCGAGCTCCGCAACATGATCTACTGGAACGTCTTCGCCGGAGCCGTCATCGCTATCAACAAGCCTCACACAAAGAAAGACAACATCCTCACCACATACCCCAGCGTCCGCGCACTCATGTACGCCTGCTCCCAGCTCTACCGTGAGGCTGAAATCTACATGTTCGGTCTCACTCTCTTCGCTCCCAGCTACTTTGCACTTCGCTTCCTCTGGTTGTCGAACATGTGCGCCGGTATGCCTGGTGTGGGAACCGCGTCGATTATGGGTTGTAAGATCACAGCTGGTAATGCACGCGCCATCATTGAGGGAAAGATCAAGAAGGAGGACTTGGCATACTATCCGTGCTTGCGACAGATATTCGTTCAGCTCTGGGACCACCGTGTTTCTGTCAAGAGGAGCGAGTTCTACAGACGGGTGTTCCGTGAAGCATTCGGCATTCCGAATCTCGACGTCAAGTTCATAAAATGAGAGGGTGGAGACCAAGACATGGCTAGCTTGATCACTATGATCTGATCTTGCAATACTGCAACGCCGCCGGCTACACGCCTGATTACAACGTCTTGCTTCAGCATAGTCAGTCCTTGTCTAGCTTTGACGTGTAGTCCACTAACATATCGCAGATGGTCGAGCTGGGCTGGGTGGTTGAATGACGAATTGGGGATAAACCGTGAATCGGCAAAGCACCTTGTAGGTAGATCGCTGTATCACAATTCAAAGGCAAAATAGCTCCACGTCACAAATGGCGAGGACTTCCAAACGGCGTTTAGCCCCAACGCTAATCCTAATCTCCGAACTCCACAACCTTGCTTACATAACGCACGAGCCCCATTCACGAATCCTCACCAAAGCTTTCCAGACCGTCCCCATCCCACCCATCCGCATTCGCATTAGCGCTCCGATATCTGAGTGCTCCGACCTAGCCCCAACAAACCCAGTGCAATTCGGCAGCTCAAGTCAATAGTAAAGGCAATCGATACATTCAGAAAGAGCTAGGAAGACGCCACACATACAAAATGGATATCCGCGTACTACGACCATCGGACATTCCCCATGTCCAGCTCGCCAATATTACCAATTTGCCCGAGAACTACTTTTGCAAGTACTACTTGTATCATGCCATGAGCTGGCCGCAGTTGAGCTACGTAGCTGTTGATGTAAGTTTTGCTCATTCTGATTACATGGGGGGAAAATGGCCTGCCCCTCCATGGCCGGGGACCAAACGCACTCAGAACAAGGACCACAAAAGAGCTAGGGAACCGATTCTCGAAGGAAAAAAAAAAGACTAGGAAACAGCTTCAATAGCCCGAAGAGTTTGGCGAGTCGTATCAGCTGTTCTACAGCTTCATGGGAGAGAAGGATGGCAATAGGGACGGCCCGCGTGAGCTGTAATGTTGCGATTTGCGTGGAATGCAAATGAATCCTCCCTCACCCCACCAACTATGCTATCTAATTACACGTCTTTTGACAAAGAGTCGTTCCAAGACTAACATGCTCATCAACAGGTCTCGCGTCCCCCAAAGACGCCCTACGATCCCCCAAAGATTGTCGGCTACGTGCTTGCCAAGATGGAAGAAGAGCCCACCGACGGCGTTCAACACGGCCACATCACCTCTCTCTCTGTAATGCGCACGCACCGGCGTCTCGGCCTGGCCGAAAAGCTGATGCGTCAATCCCGTACGTATCTTTCTAATGTTTTCCGGCCATTGAATACCCCCCCTTTACCCTAACGACCCATGTTTTTTCGAAACTAATATCATTTCCCTTCAAACAGAGCGCGCCATGGCGGAGACTTTTAATGCACACTACGTCTCCCTACACGTTCGCGTGTCCAACAATGCGGCGCTGCATCTCTACCGCGAGACGCTCGGCTTCACCGTCGATAAGATCGAGGCGAAGTATTATGCAGATGGCGAGGATGCGTATAGTATGAGAATCGAGCTGGCAGACCTCAAGGAGCAGTTGCGAGACGAAGAGGAAGAAATCTTTGGGAGCAGCGAGGGTGTGGATGAAGGAGATGCTGTGGGTGATGAGGTAAGTTTCTCAATTCCCCCCCGCCACCCCCCCCCCCCCCCCCTTCTTTCGTGTCGCTTGGCGGAATGTCTTGTTAACAATGTGTGTTGTTGTAGGGCCAGGAGAAGAAGAAGGCGGAGAAGAAGACAAAGGTCAAGGTGGGAAGGAATAAGGGTGTTGTCGATCTTGTAGAGAGGGTGGAGGCGCCAAAGGGTGAAGCGACTGCTGCTTAAGAGGCAAGGGTTGCTGAAATCCACGGGCAGGCTGAGAGAGGTGAGGACCTTGATTGTACGCTAGGCGAGTAGAAATGTCTACCGTTCGTCTTGGATGGACAACGTGTGCAAGATTCCTAGGTCTGATGCAAGATGTGTGGGTGAACAGCCAAGAGGTTTTGGTTTTGAAAGACCGTCTTTGCGTTGGTATTAGTCTAGTTAAAGGGCCCTTTTGCTAGGCCAGCCCGCTCCTCTCGTCTTATTCTTGGATGCAACGTGTAGATGCGGGATGCGGGATGCTATATACAACGCCTCTGCAAGACGAGGCACACGTCAAGTATCAGAGACAAGAGAGACGTCCACCACTCCCTATATAGAACGCCTGAGAGACGAACAAAAAAAAACTAACGCCCCATGGTTACCACCGTGGATATCATAAATCAGATAACACATCCATCCATCATCATCACATCCCTCTCTCTCTCCTCACGCGGACTTACATCAACCCCCCAAGCACCACCTTGCCCACGCCACCAACCTCACTCTTCAACCCCGCTCTACAACTATCCTCAAACTCCCTCACCACGCCCGCCAAGATAATCTTGCGCACCCTCGCATCCGCTTTATTGAAAAGATCGCCCACAAGACTAGGCTGTCCCCCACCGGCACTAGCCACACTCTCGGGCGTACTCAGCATGCTCAGGATCCTTGTGTAGCAATCAATCAAGACATCGCACAGCGTGGCAAACGTGCTGAAGAAGTCTGGGTCAAACGGTAGGGAAGGGGTTTGCAAGTGCGTGTAAGATTCGTTGGGCAGGAGCGAGTCGTGGTCTGTTGTGGGCGGGGAGGAAAAGGAATCGACGTTGCTGCCGCTGCCGCTGCCGCTCAAGCCGCCAACACCACCTGCACCACTCGTTTCGCTGCCCGAGAAGCTATTGCTCGGCGTGAGCATGGGAAAATCGCCATTCGCAGAGCTCGATCTCCTCCCCTTTGACCCCATGGTCATGCTCATGCCCATATTTGCGCGCTTGAACATTTGCGGGAGGCGGGCGCGGGACAAGGTAGACGGAGTGGAGCCGTCGGCCGGATGTATGGATTGGTACTGTTCGAATTCTATGAGCAGGGCGTTGAGGGCTTTGAGGTAGTCGGAGGGCGAGTTTGCGTTTAGGTCGAGGATGGTGGGGAGGGAGAAGCCGAGGAGCAGGTATTGGGTTGCGCGGCGGGCTTGGTTGCGCGTGGTGAAGGAGGGGAGGCGCGTGAGGTCTGTTTTGGAGAAGAGGAGCGTGTTGAACCAGTAGATTCTGCCTTCGTGGCTGTGGGGGGTTAGGAATATGTAGGGAAAGTGGAAGGGGGATTCATACGCTTTCCGCAGGTAGTCCAAGGTGGATATCCGTTTCGAGGCGAGCTCGTGGATGTGCTGGAAGATGATGTTTGGGTTTGAGCCGCTGGGCACGGGGATGGGGGCTGCGGGCGCCAGGGTGCGGTTCGACTGCTGGTTTGCCTGGAGAATCTCCTTTTGCGAGGGGGGATGTCGTAGTGGCATGGGGACGGCCATGTTGGCAAAGGGCGTCTTGGGCTTGTCGACAGCACTCAGCGGGCTCTTGTCGTGGTAGACGGGGTCCGTCTTTACGTTGTCGCTACTTTTTTGCTTGTTGCGCGAGAAGGTGGAGATGGAGAGGACGGGCCGCGAGGCATTGGACGTGGTGTTGTTGATCGGAGCCTTCTCGGGGGAGTAGGTGAGCGCCAGGGTGGCCGAGGGGAGCCTCTTATGCGAGGACGATGTCTTGGCCGTGCCGTCGGACGTGTTGGTTCGAAGCGAGGCGGACCGTGAGCGCCGCAGTGAAGAGCCGAGATCTGTCACCGACGATGCGATGCTGTGCCTGCTGCTGCTGGCCTGTCTGCGTCGCTGTGGCGTCGTAGGCACTCTAGGGGGGCATTGGTATTGGTCCGGGTCGGTCGGGGGGGTGTCTAGCTCGGGGCTGGGCGGGGATAGAGTTGACAGTGCTTGCTTGTGTCCCTTGTTCTTTCCACCAAAAAACGAGGGGCGGCGGGAGAAGATGCCCTGAGCGCTCGACGATGGGGGTACGTGGTCGGCCATGATTCTCAACTGTGGGGCTACCGAGCGATCAGGGGCTGTTTCACCCTGGCCCTAGACTTGCTGCTCCCTAATGGCTATGTCGCAACTACGCATGTGCATACACGGCAAAAGAGAAGGCGGCATTGTACATGGTAATGTCCATGGTAAAGAGCATGGACAGATATCGTCTCTGATGGCCTGGCGCACAGGCAAAACGTGTTTCGATTCGCGGCTACAGCTGATACCGTCCTCACCTATCCCGACGCAGGAACACGCCGCCCGAGGCGAACCCCTGCTCACCGCATCCACTTCCAAATGCCATAGCTTCGACTCAAGCCTCGCCCATCTCAGGCACCTCGGGACCTTGAAGCCACGTGCGACCATCACCACGTTAGGCTGAATCCAGCAGTGGCAGGTGCTGCTTAATTGCGCTTCCAGCTTCTTCCTGTCCCACGGTCCACACTCGACGCCGTTGGACTGTCTCTTCCAAACACACAGAGTTATTGTTTACTGTTGTTTACTGCCAACCCCGCTACCCCACTCACGATGCAGCGCCGACAGAGCGCACGAGTACGCGCCCTACACCCATGCCCGCGCCCGCGCAGACAACTGACCAAACATAGGGAGAGTGGATTCCCACCGAGGGACAGTGGCCAGTGGACCCTCAAAAAGATGTTGAAGTTTCTGAGCAGCGCATATGGGTCGATGGCTGTTTCGACTTTGCCCACCACGGTATGCGGGCTTCACAATTCCCGTCTACATGCCAGCGCTTACCATGAAGAACAGGCCACGCGGGCGCCATGCTGCAGGCGCGCCAGCTGGGCAACGAGCTGTTCGTCGGCGTGCATTCGGATGAAGCAATCATGGAGAACAAGGGCCCGACAGTGATGCGCCTGGACGAGCGGTGCGCAAAACCGCCCTTTGGATTACCCTCTGTTCACAACTAACGGTGACAGCGTCGCCGCCGTCGAAGCCTGCCGATGGGCTACCAAAGCCGTCCCTCGCGCGCCCTACGTGACCTCGCTCCCCTGGATCACCCACTACGGCTGCCAATATGTTGTCCACGGCGATGACATCACTTCCGACAGCGACGGCAAAGACTGCTACCGCTATGTCAAAGCAGCCGGTCGCTTCAAGGTGGTTAAGCGCACGCCCGGTATCTCGACCACGGACCTCGTAGGCCGCATGCTGCTCTGCACAAAATCGCACTTTATACCCTCGCTCGAGAAGCGGCTCTCGGGCGACGAAGGCCCAGGCGACGACAAGGAGCGATTAAAGACTGGCGAGGACATGCTACAGCGCATCAAGGACTACGCCACAGATGCTTCGGGTCGCGCGCCGGGCTGCGACGTATGGTACTGGCATGCTTCCCGCCCCGTCAAGCTACGCCGAACCACCACCAGCAACACCGTCGCCTCGCCCACCTCGCCCACCGCTCCCCACCGCCCTGGTGCCGTCCGCGCTGCCTCCACGGCCTCGGCTCTCGGACCCGTCAAGGAGGAAAAGGGCAAGTTCCACCAGCTGGTCCAAGGCAAGGGCGTGAAACCGGGTCAAAGAGTCGTGTATGTCGACGGCGGCTGGGATCTCTTTTCCTCGGGCCACATTGAGTTCTTGCGTCTCGTTACATCGGTGGAAGAGGAGGGTGCTAAAGAGAGGGGGTGGTATACCGAGGAAGCGAAGAAAGAGCGCATAGAGAAGGCGGGTGAGGACTATGGGCCCGTGTTTCTGATTGCAGGTATTCACGACGACGAGGTGATTAATCATTGGAAAGGGATTAATTATCCCATTATGAACATTTTCGAGCGCGGACTCTGCGTGCTGCAGTGTAAAGTACGTATTCCCCCTTCCTTGGCCTCTCTACCTTTGAAAAGTATAAAGAGACTGATACGTTGAACGCAGTACATCCACTCCGCCATCTTCGGCGCTCCCTTCTCCCTCAGCAAAGCCTTCTTACATACCCTCCCTTATAACCCCGAATCCCCACTCGCAGCCGTCTACCATGGCAAAACCACTTTTATGCCCTTGGCTTTTGACCCTTATGCCGTGGCCAAGACGCTGGGGCTGTACACGGAAATCGCCAACCATGAGTTCCAAAATGTGAATGCGGCGGAGATTGTGAGCAGGATTATGAAGGGTAGGGCGCTGTATGAGGAGAGGCAGAGGAAGAAGGGGGAGAAGGGTATGACGGAGGAGGTGGAAAGAATTCGTCAGGAGATGGAGAGGGAGCAGAGGAGGAGGGAGGTTGAGGGGCAGTTTGGGCTCTAGGGGGTGGTGGGGGGAAGGTGGGTGGAGCGAGAGAGAGAGAAGGGGAGAGAGGGTTTAGATTACTCTTCAACAGACATTCGTATTCTCTCTCGGTTGCATGGAGAAATAATTTTGGGCTGTCGTCTCGGTTTATTATCAAGAGTAAGCGCACCCCTTTGTGCCAAACCATCTCACCACTCAGCTCACCTTCATTCAAACATGATCTTTACATCATTCTTCCCACACCAAGACCCCAACGCGCCTTCCTGGTATCATCTTGTTCCAACATGGTCGGGAAGATATCATCTCTCGACCAAAGGTTCATCTCTCCGGTGTTGGCAAACATAGCGGGTATTCTTCTGTTAAATATTGGTTTTCATCAACCATCTATGTTCTTATCATAACACTGAAGATCTGTACTACATCAATCGGCTTCCCTAATCGGGAAGTTTTTCGCAATGTTTTTGTTGACCACGGCCCGTGTGGGAACAGTGATCTCACAACACTTCGCCGTGCTTCAGGAAGGCATGTGTAACGAGAAGAGTTGGAACACCCGAGGAACCCAAGGCAGCTGCGAGGAAAAGGCTCAGGCATAAGGCCTTGAAAATTTCATCCTAGGGGTAGAGGCTTTTAGCAAAGACTAGACTCGCGCGCGCGCCAAAAGCTTTTACCGGAAGCCTTGTTCCAGTTCAGCAAAACCCCTTACACGCAGCTGAGGAAAAGGAGACCAACCCGAGAGATAAACCTAGTCTCAAGTTTACGCTTGAATTACGCCGGCAGCTGAATACTAATCCTGATGGATGCCTGTTCTAGCTTCCAACGAGTGCCTATCCTAGCTCCTTTCGAGTTAGCGCCATGAAACAAGCACACTACATATCAAACAGCATCGACAACCCACAATTTGAAGCAGATGTAAAAAGAAATGCAGATTGAATCCTCATCTGCAGTCATCCCATGCGACGGCGTCATGTCAGAAATGTAAGCTTGCCCGCCCCATCACACTTGCTACTCATCGCGACTTATACCTCGTCGAGGAGTAGTACCCACAAGAATCGTCTCACCTCACCTCTTCTCCGTTTACCAGCCGAGATCCGCAACGCGATTTACTATCACGTTGGCACATGTAGCACGATCCTCGTCGACGTCTGGACAACAACAACAACAACAACAACAACAACAACAACAACACAACAAGCTACTACAGATTCGCACCCAAGGACGACGACAACAACTCTGCGGCTCGCATTCCAGCTCCCGGCTTTACTCGCAACGTGCAAACAAATCCGACACGAAGCGACGACACTGCTGTGCAAGCTCAGCACCGTCGACACCGACGCGACTACGGCTTTTGGCTGGCTCCATTCAGACTGCAATCACGCGTTCTGCGCGCTCGTCACTTGTGTGAGGGTTCCGAGGGAGTTTGCTGTATCTGTTGCAAGAGGCGCTCGGGCTCGCGCATTCAGGTCGGAAGATTTTGCCTACAGTACTGTCTCGCTTCCCAGCTTGGACAAGATCGTCGTTAAAGGTAGAGCCATGTCGATGCGCGATGGTATAAGGGCGGCGCTGAGGAGATGGGCCAGGAACAAGGCTCTGGAAGTTGTCTTTGAGGAATAGGATGGTTGTGCTTGTCGAGTTGGCTGCTCAGGCTAGAAGGTGTCCGCATTGAGCAGAAAGGTATTGGAGGTTGGGTTGGAAGAAGTGTTACTTGGAAGACTTGTGTCTACATCATAGTCCCAGCATATTCATCGCATCGACCAGACGGGTTGGACGGGTACCATCCAGCAACCAGCCAGGCCACATGAATGGATCTTCTTGCGTAGTTCGCTTGAAAGCCGGAAAAGCAGTGAAGCTTTCGCACTAGACTCTGTAATGAGACCGTATCCATCAGTCGTGTCGTTCGACACGGCAGACGGAGCAGCAACATGAACCATTGTGTCTCCGTCCACTTGAGCTACGGAGTTTAGTCCTCCATGTTGGAAACGGCAAGACGTCTTTCAAAATTGCTGGACTTAAGAGACAGTCATTTGGAGTACCATGTTCGTGCGTTTGACCTTCTGAAGATCGACCCCTGTTGAACAGTTGGTCATTCCAATTTGCACTAGTGACTAGAATACGTAGACAGCGAATACGTAGTCCAAGGCAAGACTACCAGAAACACAATGTCGTCCACAGTCTCGAAAGCTTGTCATCATTAGCGATTAGACTAAACCACCTAGCTAATACAATGCCTTCTCTTACTCAACAAGGTCCTCGTAATCCAAGAATGCAAGCCGTAAACTTCGTGTATGCTCAACGCAAATCCAGACCCTAATACATATATATACGCGAACAAATGTGTTACCAAGGCATCAATCGAAATCCTTGGATTTCCACAAGCAGATGCAAAGAAGAGAAGATCGTAAAAATACGCCCATGGATGCCCGTTTGTTGCTTACTGGCCATCAAAGAGAATGCGTTGTCCAACATTTTAGAAACGCCTTTCCTGGCTGAGAATTTCATCAACCATTGGCTTCACCATGGGCATGAATCCTTGCATCACTGGTACCCACAGCGCCTTCTTCAAGCCCAGTTCTGTGGCGAAGTAATATAGTAAGCGATTGATCCACTCACGTCTGGCTGCAACGTCTATTCTCCTAGGTATTACCGTCTCGAACTCCAGCGGCGGAAGATCGAGGGGTCGATCGTAAGGATGCGCGGGGTGCGGGTCGAAGATGTGATCTTTCTTTGCATTAGGATCAAATGTTGGGACGTTGGCCGGCGGGCTAGGACTGGAGCTCAGGCCACTTCTCGAACGGATGGTGTTAAGGTCAGAAAACTGAGGTGCTGTTGCATAAGACTCCAAGTTTTCCGAAGGTTCGCTTGACGACGACAAGTTGGATGTGGCGGAGACTAGGTGTGGTGGCGTGTTGGACTGGTGCGTGTAGGCTGATGGTGGTGTTGGCATCTGACCAGTGTCTTGTGGAGAGTTACCTGCAGTGCTATCGGGCACAAGACCTGAACACAGTACAGCGTCCATGGTACCCAGTGGCCATATATCGACATATCCTCTCATACCAACCACATCGTCGATAGACTTCATGTGTATTGGCACGGTAAGACTACCAATCATGGCTGAGCAGTTTCTTTCAATCACTTCAACCAGACGTGCAGTAGCAACAGAGTGATGTATGCGGAGGGTCCTATCGCTCAAAGTGGTGGGTACAGTCTGTCCTTGCGCTGCAGCCGATCGACCGGGATCCCGGAATCTTAGCATCCAATTCAACATTTCAAGTAGATCTCGCAGAACAAGTACACGGCTTGTACGGTAGAAGCCCCAAATCCAAGCGCGTTTGACGCTGGGGTAAGAGTGTATCTCTTCCGGGGCGCCGCGACATCCTAGGAAGAGCTTCTGCCATTTCGGGTCATAGTTCGACCTGGCCTCTGGCGTGTTGGGTGTCGCATGGTAGTTCCAAGCAGGCGTAATCTGTGATTCCCAGGCTTGGTAGTCGTCATCTAGTTCTAGCGCGGTCTGCAAAAGCTCTTGCAAGGCCAGACGATTAGTTGGTGGATTCGTACTTTGTTTCATTTCGTGCCATCTAGCATGCAGCATCGCCTCTCTCCAGATCAGGCGAATTACAAAAGCATTAGAGTTCTTGTATAGACTTGGAAGTAGCTCGTCCACCTTGACCACATCTCTTGTCGGTATGGCAGGGCGCTTGGCTGTCTGTAGATTACCTAGTAACTGTAACAACGTTAGCCTTGGGCAGGTTGAAACCGCTCTTCTTCAGCTGTAATTACCAGATGTGCGTAGATGACCTCGTAAAGTCTGGCTGATATGGGATCGCTGTAGAACTGCTCAACAGTCCGCAACTGGAGCAGCGCATTTGCGCCATGGTTGTGGGCAATAAATGTGCCCTTCCGCTGCACGCTGGTAAGATTCTAATCATCACGTTAGCGCTTGTAGACATCATAGATCCATCGGTAACATACTTCGTAAACTCCCATCAAATGCACTGCAGCCAAAGCGATATTCGTGGCTGACTGCTTTTTATCCGCGATTGTCTTCGTCAACATCGGAATGGCTCTTCCCACGCATTCCTCACCCAATGCCTGGGCCTGAGGGTCGTTACATCTATTAGCATAATTTACGTAAGAGACTGCGTCAACAGCTGTTGCAATTAACGAGTCCTCTGGCGCACCCTGATACAAGAGCGGTATAAACGTCCAAAGTGCTTCATCCGGCTGGTCTGCTGGTCTGTTCGGTTGATCGGGCAGTACAAAGTCGTACACAAAGCGCTCAAAGGCTCTTCTACGAAAGTCCGGGTTAGCCATCGGGGTGATAGTCAGTCGACTTAGATCGATTATTGGCGGGGTAACACCTGAGGCATCTTGGGCAGGGTCGTCCACGGATCCACCAGGAGAATGCACACTGCCGCTGGATGAGCGTTGATCGTCCAAATGAGGTGGCGTCGATTCGTCGCTTGGCGGGGTTTTGATATAAGTATTGCTACTTTCGGCAACGACAGCGCGTTGATTTGACTTTGATCGCTTCCGCCATGATTCCTCGGCTCTCTGCGCAGCAGATGCTGTTTGGTTGCGGAAGAGGATGTCGGCTTGATCTCGATACTTGCATGTATGACCCGCCTTGCTGCATCGACTGCAAGCTGGTCTCGACTCATCGCACTAATTTGATATCAGCCTCGCCCTCGTGACCAGAGTCTGCTGGACACAGATGTCCCGATCTAGTTACCGACACTGTTCGATGATATCAACTCAAGAGAACACGCACCTTGACTTTACGGGCTCTGCAAGCCTCACATCCCTTACTGGGGCGTCCTCGATAGGACATGCTTAGGTTATGGCGGTTTATGAGGCGGTAAGATGGGCGGCCGGGCGGACGGCGGCAAGCTCCGCAATCGCTGTTCAGGCTCAGGTACAGTCTCTACGAAGCAGATACTAGCGCAGACAGATGCATTCGTTTGATTGTACAGGACCAAAGAACACCAAGAATAATAACTATGCCTCCTTCTCCGGTCCTCGTTTGTGCTGCGTGGTCATCCGAAGGGTCCTGGGCCGGAACTGGCGTAGCGCAATCTCGGCGATCAGGCTGAAACCTAGGCCACGCTTTCACGAGCTTGGAATGGAGCGCCCGATGAGTAGCGGAAGGTGGTCCATAAAGGTTGTCTGGCAGAGATCGAAGGGCATGGGGTCAGGCCCGGTGCTCGGGAAAACGGTGCTGCATAGTGGGTTGATGTGCCGCAGTCTGCATAACTGCGTCACAAGCGACAGGCGTCCAATTGTTGCTGACTCAGAAAACTAGTCGTGTCTTGGCGCCCAACGCCCGTCTTCCGCCCTGACTGCGACGGTACTGCAACACCAAACGAGTCGTTTTACTCCATGCGTGTTTGGAGGCGCATCCAGGAGAGACGCCGACATGTTAGTGTAGACTCCTTCGCTCCTCCTGAAGTGCGACATTCCTTATCTGTCCTGGTCTCCAGTCTTAGTATGCAGTCTGCAGGGTCGATGCAGGCCGCCCACATCCGGAGCTTCTGAATGGCGCCGACAGACAACTCCCGATGCTCTCCCGGACTCCAAAAACACGCGATGCCAATGTTTCAACGGTCGCCTAGCAGGGAAAAATGCCATGTTGTTCACAACGGCTACAAAACTTGGGGTCTTGAAACAGTGACAGCAAATCGTCATTGGGTGTTCATGACCTTGGCTAATCGGCCCTCTTTTCAACGGCCGACTAGTGAAATGACCTGGACCGCTTTGCGAATTTAGAGTTTGGGAAACGATATGTATTGCGGAGAATTCACGCAGACCTCCTTGACCGATCACACCTACTATGACGATCCAGCAAGCGTTGGACTTGAGGATGAGAATTTTTCCTTTACCGGTGCCGGCAGTGGAAAGGGGGTTTTCGCCTGCCATTAGTCAAGTTCGTTTCACGCTACCCCAAGTTCCACGTTCATCCACATTGACACTTGACAGGTTTCCGCTCGCAGACCAGACAGGTAGAGAGGGCAATGCCGTGCGCATCCAACGGACCTGCAGTGCTCGATGTCGATAATGGCGACGACTCGGACCGAGACGCGTATTTCATCAAATCGCCTAGCATTCATTTATACTAAACTTCGGAGTTCAGTTCTCAACATGGATGGCATAACTACATTCATACTAAAGCTTCGCCAAAACATGCCTACCTCCGTCCCCACTCCCCAATACAATCTCCTCGCTACGCCAGTCCGGATTGAACGTCACCTCGTTGAGCGGATTTCTCCGATGCGCCATATCGAATAACTCCTCATACACTTTGCCATCATACCTGCCCAACGCGCTATTAAGCAACCAATCTGGTATCGACCAAGCGTCAACAAGCTTCACAGCATGCGGTCTCAACTCGGCCATGAGTTTTACAATCGTATCTTGCAGAGTGAACACGGACTCTTGCGGAACGGCGGTCGTCATCATAAACGAGGATGCGAATTGGTCGACGGTGTAGAGCGCGTAGAGCTGGAAGCATGTCCGCAGTACTGATGACGTGGGCGGACTAACGGAGCTGAAGCTATTATAGAAATTCGTGACGAGGATCTGCTCCGAATATGCGCGACTGAGGTTGTGAAGCTGGATCATGAGACGGGTCCAAGGTCGTTTTTCGACGACGCGTGCTTGGTAGGCGCGATAAGAGAGATCAGCTGCGCGCCATTGGAACACCTCTACTATGTTTTGGTCGTCTACCACACCGTCTTTCGAGACGTTTTGGGGTATGTGATGGTCCTTGTTTAGAAGGTAGTATTGGAAGAGCTTGTCGGTCGGATCCTTGGGTGTGGAGCCAGGATCTTTGACCGCGTCCGCCATCTTCTTGATGAGATATGCGGCAACCTGCTGCGTGATCATCCAGTTATCACCCTCGACCGTTGGCTTGGAAAGATAGTCGGCGTTCAACCCTACTAGCCCGCTTCCACCGCCGAAGCCATGGCCGCCCATAGCACGCCGACAAGTCTCGATACCGTCCGCAGCGAGCATCGTACACAGGCTCTTCAACCCCGAACTGGCGCTATGTAGCTCAGCTAATGGTCCAAAGTCGCCCTTCTCGATGTTTTCTCGCGACTTGTGGTACAACGTGTACATGTACTCGCCAGTATAATGCAACGCGAAAGTAGTCGCGAGCAATGGCAAGACGCGTATCTGCACCGTGGGGTAATCAAGAACCTTCATTTCGCTATCAGAAGCATTAGTGGAGTCGCGGTCCTTGAATTGCCGCCGTAAAGCACAGTATCGTACGGCGACAGTGACAGCACGTGCAAGGACCAGTCTTGCATGCATTATGATCTGGCCGCGTACGTATGTAAGACTCCCATATACAATAGCCGGATGGCCAGTCCGAACGAACGCGCCGGTCTCGTCGGAGACCTCAGCGTAGCGGCTCAGCATAGCCGACTTGGGTATGTGGAAATGGTCGAATAACATGTACCCGTTATCCATGCTCGCATACCCGTATTTCGGACCGATGTCGCCTACAGCAATACCCGGCAGAGGTTGATGCGTCTTCGCGTCCCGAATTTGCACAACGAAAGTTTGTGGGCCGTGCGAAGTATATTCAACCTCTTGAGCATGCGGAACGGAGACTTTTGATCTGTCGGACGGAGATGGTGGTTTCGGCAAGAGCAATTGTGCGACTACAATCTATGTATGACATGCATTAGTGAACGCCCAAGGCAGAATCAAAGTTTTGGGCTGGCGGCACAGGGTGGAGCTAAAGACGTACTGCGTGCGTGGCGGTCCTCCCCATTGACCCATTCCACCATTTGCTTGCCGTCAAAGTCGGACTGTGAATTTCGAATTCCTTCTTGATTGGGTCCCACTTTGCAACAGTCTCCAGGCCTCGTACGTTGCTCCCATGGCCTAGTTCAGTTTGCGCATAGCAGCCAATGATGTCGTGGCCGAGGATTCTCGGCATCCAATACTTCTGCTGTTCTTCAGAGGCTTGCTCGCGTACCGTTGTGACTGTGCGATACGGTGCTTGTCAGCTCTTCGCGCCCAAGTGGTACGATTATGCACGACGTCTAGAGCAGCTGCAGCCTTCCATTGACTCACCGAACATGTTCATATGCAGATGATATGGGCTCATCTCATCCGTCAGGTATTCGGCCATCTTATAGTCTTCAAGGTCCCATCCTTCTCGTCGCATCAGTCTCTGGATGGCCTTTGCTCTCGCCAGTCCTAGATGATACCGCTCTGGGCGCGAAAGATTCAGCTGCTGATCCTTGTTGAAAAGCTTCTCCTTGCTCAAAACCCGAAGTACCTTATCTTGTCGCTCCAGAAAGCCATCACGGCCTAGAAGATGCTGTGCGAGTTGGCGAACGTTGATGCCCGAGCCGTCGCGCTCGGCCTGGAGTGTTGCTGTGCCATCGTAGGCGGGCTTGAGATGATCGGTGAAGTCTGCCATGATGCGATTGGTCGCTGGTCGTGATTCGAGTTGGCCAACAGAGTCGGTTGCAGGCCGTCCGAAGCGAGATGGGCGAGTGCTGCTCAGCGACAATGTTTTGCCGTCGAGCACGTTGGAAGAGTTCACATCGTGAGAGTCAGTCTATCGGCAATAACGCGGAAATGTTAGCTGCATCAATGCCTCGCTATGCGCGGGGGATGTGTGGTGGGCGGAGGCCGCAGGAGTTGGGGCGGAGACGTTTAATGCGCAACGCTGCGGGGCGTCGCCATGTGGACCCGAAATGCGGGGTCATGTCGGTGGTTTGGTGATGCTGCACATTGACTAGAACATCCTTGATCAGCGAACGAATGTCTACATTGGAGCTATTCGGTACGAAGAGATGATGTGTAACATAATGATGATTGGCGCACTCGTAGTAACACGCATATCCACAAAGAGATGTAAGTAGAGAAAAACAATCGCCTACAAAATCCCATCCGAACAATACAAAACGCCTTTTGTGCCGCAAAACCATCCAATGCAAGCTAATTGTACAGGATATCAAATGTCCAACCCAAGTCGTAAACCGAAAGACAAACACCGGTAGCTATGCTCAACACCATCATACCGAATCAAAATACCGTCAGCGTCATCAATAGGTTGGTGTACCGGAGCACCAACTTAGCCCCTTCCAGGAGTAGGCAGCAACACGCCAGTAGGAGAATGACGGCAAACATTCTTCACTCAATTATGGCATCAGCCCAACAGCTGAGCCCACTTTCTTCATTCAACACACGCGTCATGTCTTCGTCGGCGAGTCGTACAAGGATCTCGAAAGGCGCTTCCTCTTCGTGCACAAGCTGTCTCCGTCGTGGGAGAAAGATCATGCCGCCATCACCCGGACCATACGATCTTCTGATGAACTCGGGTCGACCGGCAAGGGAGTCCTTGTCCAGATCTGTACCAGGTATCCCCCAGCTGAGATCAGCGCCGAAGTTTAGCCAAGACGAGATGTAAATGTCCGATCCAAAAGTCAAAGCTAGCGCGACCTCGGTGTCGGTAATCTCCTCGATCGACTTGAAGAATGTTAGGTGACGGTTCACCCATTTGTCGTCGACATCGAGAATCGTGCTCTTGATAGTGTTTATGACGTTGACTATTGTGGCCTTGGTTACACTGCCGGTATTTGTCAGCTGGCTTTCTCAAACTTAATTGCGTCGCTCAACATTAGAACCACAAGGTTTGGGGCGCACCAAGGTGCGACCAGCGATGATAGAGTAGTGAGAAGTAGACTCACCGGTTCTCCGCTGTCAAGTCCGAGACCTTCATCGTGCCTCTCGAGAACAAAGCCATGTTCCCCATGTAGTCGGCAGGGACGGGAGGGTGTTGTCTTCTGCGCAAATCCGTCGCGATGCCGATGCTAGTCTCCGCCAGCCCGTACCTGGTCAAGCGGCCTGCTCTAGCGCGAGTAACATGCGTCCAGACTAGTGCTGCGAGGACATTGCACATAGTTGGAGGGGTATCCTCGGGAAAGTGGGTGCGGAGTTTCTCCCTGTACTCGCGTACTCGTGATGCTGGAATGACAAACAGCCTTTGGGTGCATTCCGTCTCTTTAGGCAAGGTTTGGAGATACTGAGGCGGACCATCGCAATAGCAGTCGGCACCGCCGTTGCCTAGCGGTGGGGTAACCTGCTCGTCAACGGCTTTTCTCATTAGAGACTGCTCGTCGGCCACGCTTCCCGTATCTGCCATGTTTAGTGGTAGCTTGACAATGTAGGGGAGAGTTGTACCTATGATCTTGTGCTCTTCGAAGAGTTGCTGCTTTGAGATCTTGGAGACGTTCTCAGAGAATGTCTGCCAGAAAAGAGTAACGCCGGAAAAGTCAGAGACACTGTGATGCATGTACATGGAAAGTACAAGACCGCCAGGTATGAAGAAGGCCTGAGTCCGCATGGCCGGTGCGTCGCTCTTGTCAAAATCCACTTTTCCCTCGCCGTCTCTTGGAATGCCAGCATAGTTTGCGAGATCTTCCGGAACGAACATAGCACTTCGGAGCGCACTAGGTGGCATGCCATCTCTCTTGAGCTGTTCGTAGGTGTGGGGAAAGTCCGTCTCGTGGTATGGGATCTGCTTTGACCGGAATACGCGATTCAGTTGCTCGCTTGTGATATCAGTTGGGTAGTTGAGGGTGAGTTTTCCAGCTTTCCGGTCCGCAAGTGTGAGTGTGCCAGCAAGAAAGGGAAACTTGTTGAGTGTAAGGCGCAATCCGGCACCGAGAGCTTGTATGGCCGTTTCGGCGTCATTCAGATCAGGAAACTGCGGATAACGTCAATCGATGTCACTACAACACATGGTTCAGAATGACATACGGGAAAGATACACAGGGTCTGTATGTATACGCGCACGACATTCTGGTCTAGACATGATAGATGAAACGATTTTGTCTGTACAGGCGGGCTATGTGCTGTGTTGAGCATGTCGAGTAAGCGGGGGATGGGGCTAGCAATAGGTTCAAAAAGCCGGCCGTTGCGCAATACTAGTGGGAAATCTAGGGACATGGTCGTGGCTTTTCGTAGTCAGTATATATACGGAATGGATGAAGAGTCACACATACCGTGAATTGGGTGAGCAAACACCCAGCATGTGAAGCACGAGATGTCATTTTACCCCCTTCACCGCAAGGCCCCATTGAGCTGCGCCTGGTGTGACGGGAGGGCGGCATTGGCCCACTCGACGGGCCGAGTGGGCTAAGAAGGACGATGACCGCATGCGGAAACATCTGTGCGCCCCAGCCACGCCTCATTCCCGCTTCCCCGGCTGTCTGCTTATTCAAGATTCACTTTCAACCCTTGACGTGCGCCAAACGTGTCTCGTGCCGGCTTCCCCGGCCGCTTTGCTCGACCGTGCCTGAGGAACCAAACCCCCGCGGCAGCGGATGAGGTGCAGCCGATGCGGCAACGTTCAAAGAGGGTTCCCGCCCATGAACGAAAAGGGCACGACTAGGACCGTTCATGTGCTTTGCTTTTCCTTCCGCCAATTTTCGTCTTTCGCGGCAGAGGTCAGGCGACTATATGCAGCTCAAAAAAGACCAATTCGCTATTCCGCGACGTCCATGCCCTAGCAACAGGGGTGGGGCGCATGGGAGTTGTCCTTGTTTGTATGTCGACTGTCGCTTGAAATCAGGCTGGCACCCACGTCCTTCGATTGTGCTGTCGCTGCGGGCGGGACTTTCGCGGCACAGCATGACATCCCGATCGTATCTGAAATTACGGGCTTGGCCGCTACCCAATATGAATGGTCAATGTGACCAGGCTACCACGAGGGATTGTTTGATCATCGATGCCATACTGACTGCAGACGAATCGATACACCGGTCATGTCGCCCTGCTATAGTCGGTGAGCGCCGCAAGCAAGGTGAGTACGCAGCCCTATGACCAGGCGCTTTGACGCTTGGGCGCCCGCAACGCGCAACAGAATGTACCCGCGTTTAGTAGCCTATTATAGGAGTCCGGAGGAATACGCGACATCAGGAATCTAGTGACTAACACAGCACAACTCACCTAGTTGTTTCCAACGTTCCAATCAGAGTTGACACGATTGTTGTGACTCTGCGAATAACTGGTCCCGACTACCGAGAGCTCAGCCTGGCTAGCTACCATGGTAATGCTCCAAATAGCATCTGACGGATAGCGGTGTGATGCATCGCGTCTCGGAGGACTCTGAGAGCAGACAGCGATGCGTCATCTGATCGGTGGGGAAGGCTTCTAAGGAGACACGTTGCCGGCGGTCCTCCGGTTAGTGGGTCGTGGGGTCGTCACCGACGTGAAATGCCAGCAAACACCGTAAGCATCGGTAAGAAACAATCAAACAAATCCTTGGTCTAGAGAAGGATGACGAAGATAGCAGTTGATGCGGCTGCAGTTATTGTGGCTGACTGATGCAGATAAGCGCCCCACATTGTGTGCGTCGCTGCTGTCCAATGAGCGGGGAACTTCATGCAAGCGATGCGTTCAAAAAGGAAAAAGCACCTTCTTCTGAGCAATCGGACTAATTCCAGCCTGCTGCATTGTCGGGAATATTTGTAACGCTATCGAAAAGTATCGCATGCGCCTTGTAACCTCTTCTTTTGACGGGCGATCTACATGATGCCGTAGGATTAAGGTTTATCGGTGGTTGTACAGCGAACGGCGGTATGCAAGGCCGGATAGAAGACGCGGGACAGCGTTGGGAATGAGAGCACAACGACTTTGTTATTGGATGTGCTAGGTGGTAGGCGACCAGAATATTGGAGGATGCCTAGTTAGAAGGAATCATGATGTGCCTGCTTCCCACGCAGGGACAGTGCAAGAGACGTAGGAAAGATTGGTCGCATCCTTCGCGTGGGATAATTTGATTTGAACGTGGTGATGACCTTGGGCCCGGCCCGCAATGACAGGTATGATGTGATGACCTATTTGAAATTCCACTTTTGAGTCGTGAGATACCACAGCTCGTGGCTGAAGAATACTTTGCTAGTTAGTGGAAGATGAAAACATTGTCGCTTTTGTCACAGCCACTCGTGTGCTGTTCACCCTCTCGTGCGTAGCGCGCGAAGGATAGGTACCCAAACGCGACGGTCTTGGTCTTGGTAGTATCCAGGTCGAGCGAGTATCTGAACTCGGTGGCGGCATCCTCTCAACCGCGTGCTCCGCACGTCGTAAGGGAATCCCACCAAGGGTACTCCACTAGATTGCGGCTGCGGGCGCGTGGCGGCCCTTAGCGTCGGGAGTGAGAGGGTTGCGGGGTCGGTTTCGGGAGTCTTCCCCGGGATCTTGCACCGTTCGGCTAAGGGGACATGATCGTGATGACACGTCGCATGCGACTCATCGTTTATGCTTCGGTAATCTCGTACTGGACTCTGCGCTCTAGTATGCAATAATGAGGAGCAGACATTGTCAGCCATACCTTGGATGCTCAAGTGGGAACCAGATACCAACAGAATGGATGACCGATGCTGTGTAATACCTAAGCACTCTGGACGCAACGTGCTCCCGAACACTGTAAGACGTAATCCCCAGCGGAAGCGAAGACATGGTCCCGGAGTTGTGCTGAACTCAATCTAGCCTCTTTTTTCCAGAATCCTGCGGTTCGCGAGTTGGACACCTGCGCGCATAGCTATTGACGACGTCCGCTTGAATCTTCAGAGGACACATCTGGAGTTGCTTTCGGATGTACTAGCCTTACGAGAAAGTATTTACCATCTGCTGACCGATGCGGCGCTTGAAGCCCTGGAAAAAAGAAATGAGGTATACATAGCCGTCATAGCGGCTGGAGGGTATGAGTACACTGTGGCGGTACTAGCAATACTGGCGCTTGGCGCTGCCGTAGTCCCACTGACACCGGCTCTGCCTGTAGAAGAAGCAGTGTACTTTGTCGAGAAGTCAAGAGCCGTGCTGGTTCTAGCTAGCTCATTGGACTGGATCAAATGTCTTGATCTGGAAAAGCGAATCGGGATGACAAGCGATAAGCATTTTCGAGCTGTCGCCATCAAGCCCTCCATTTCGTCCCCTATAGTCGATGCTAGAGACATTATCATCTCTTCAGACCGTGCCTTGGATGAGAATGCGCCCGCTGTAGTCATCTTCACCAGTGGGACTACTGGAGCGCCCAAGGGGGCGGTAATGAGAAGGGCTTTCATCTTTGACTGCGCGCTAGAAGTAGCGGATCATTACCAGCTAGATCAAAACGACGTCGTCCTCCACGTCCTTCCAGTGCATCATGCGACCGGTGTGGGTATCAATTTCTTCCCCTCCCTCGTATCCGGTAGTCGTATCGAGTTCCGCAGTGGAGGCTTTGATGAAAAGCAAATGTGGGAAAGGTGGAAGCAAGGTGCTACGGATCCTCGAAAACGGCTTACTATCTTCTCCGGTGTACCCACAATATACATGAGAATGAGACGATATTATCAAAACAAAATACGCAAACTACCTGCAGATGAGATAGCGAAGTATGTTGCAGGCGCAAGACAGTTCCGGGCTTGCTTATGCGGAACGTCAGCACTACCTCAACCACTTAACAACTTTTGGAAGAGCATGATGCAAAAACCGATCCTGCAGCGGTACGGAGCGACTGAGTTTGGAGCCATCTTCAAGATGCGTCTTGGTGATAACGACGTTCCGGAAGGCTCTGTAGGCGAAATCGCCAGCGGTGTTGACGTAAGACTGTCTGGAGGGGACGAGGGGGAGGTGCTTGTGAAGAGTCCGGTATGCTTCCTCGTTAACAATCTCGGCAACATGCGCTAAGAATATTCAGCACATGTTTTCAAAGTACCTACGTGATCCCGAAGAAACTGCGAGGGCTCATGACCCAGATGGCTACTTCCGAAGCGGCGATATTGCACGACGAGACGGTAAATACTACTACATTATCGGGCGAGCCTCTCTAGATATTATCAAGTCGGGCGGATATAAGATATCTGCGCTGGATGTTGAGCGCGAGCTGCTAAGCCTGTCATACGTCGCAGAAGCCATGGTGGTCGGCGTGCCAGACGAGGAGTACGGGCAACGCGTCGCTGCATTGATCTCGCTACAGGAAGGGAACATGCCTACCGGCCCACTGAGAACGAATGGTGCAGCGAAACATGTCTTGACCATCGACGCTCTGCGTCGAGATCTACGCGAAAGGTTAGCTGGATATAAGCTGCCTACACTTCTGAGAATTGCGGATGGCGAGCTTCCGAAGACAGCCACAGGGAAAGTGCAGAAGAAGGTTCTTGGGCCCCATTACTTCCCTGCTGATCATCACGAGCTACCGAAAGTACAGAGATGGGTCGCGCGTTCGACCTTGGCGAAGCTGTGATGTGGTAGCGTGCTGCAATGCTTTCTAAAGATATCTCGATCGAGCTGAACGATCAACTCGCCATCGCGATCGCGTAGGTGCAGGACATTTGTTGTCATATCGCATCGAAAAAGAAAGAAAGGTATTGACTGAAATCAGAAGCTGGTTGACATATGCACTAGCGGGTCATCGAGCCGAGGTGGCTCGCACCTTTCTCCACGCGCAATGTTCGTTGTTGATTTTCTTTTCCAACTCACGTTGTGCGTCATTCCGACTCCACGTCTTCTTGAAGCTATCCCAACAAATCGAGAAGACTTTTAGTGGTATGCGCGGCCGAGAGGTGCGTGTCGAGTTGATTGAGGCACGACTGGCACAGTCATCATTGTGTCACAGATACCATTAGCCAACGCATCCTATCGTAAATGATTTACTTCCTGATGCTCTTGAGAGGCCTGCAACTATCGACCCTTCGCAACGATGTTCATCAGGCACGCAACGAGTCTCACCAGGTTACAAGGAGGGCTACTGGCACTCTTCACACACAGACGTTGTGAAAGTGACGCGTGATGCAGTACTGATATTAACGTCCTCGACGCCGAAACTACTATGCTGTTGATTGGAACACTCTGAAATGTCACTTGCTACACTGTGTCACACATAGCTGATTCCCGAGCTTATTCACAACTGGCGTGTCTTGAGCGATCTACTTAAATAGCGAGAAGCATTGCAAGTCGACTTATAACAGCACGCAACCACACCTCACTGAAGCTTTGTTAATGTTCATGGCGAAATCTCCTTCTGTTGAGCCTTTTTTGTTTTATCTTCTCGAAGAATTTAGATGGCATGTACGCGAGTATCACGGACACCAGCCAACGCAAAGGCTACCGTCCTTGACCAACCCCGTCCATCCAATATTCAAGCTTGAGCGCTGGGCAACGTATCCGGGTCAGCATTTTGTCGAGATATATCAAAGAATACTACCTGCGTTACAACTGGCCTCTCTTTTCCTATGTGAGGATGGTCCTCTTCTATGGTACAGTCGCCTGACGTTCAGCGAACGGCGGTTGAACTCTGCAGGTAAAGCCTACCTAGTTCCAACACCATACTACACCACTCCACAGGCGCTGGCGCTTGTCAAAACGAACCTCAAGAACCTTTCAAAGGTAATTACCTTAATGTTTGCTCCCCAAGATCTTCACAAGAAGCGAAATTGGGGGACCACGTATCACCGGCGGGAAAATATGCCATTCTTCCATGAGCTTCGTGCCCAAAACCTTCCATCTATTCCACCCAGTTCAGGTATAGCTAATCCAAGCATCGTTCTATCACGAAGGTTTGACACCTTCTTCCGTAAGACATTCGCGACGCCTCATCAGAATCTCGATGAGTACTACAGAGCTCTGCTCATGCTCGCTTCCGTAATTGGACATGAAGTAGCTCATAGCTACAACTTTTTCGTGCATGGAGCATATGAACCCCTGGAACCATTTTGGGATATTACCGAGAAAAGCGGAGAGTTAGGGTACTCTTGGCAGTGGAATGTTCTTGGGTGTGTACCGTTGCCGATGGGTAGTAAGACAAGCGATGACGATAAAGGAAGATTTTGCCCGCTGGCTACCGTCAGAATTGAGGAATATTATTCCAAAGCGAGTCAAGAGAGGATTGTTCATACCATAAAAGCATGCACGAATGCTGAGTTCACTCAACGAGATTCCAGCGGAAATCGTCGGACCTGGCCAGCGGTCGACGTCACTGAGTTTCGCGGTTCCACCTGGTGTCCCGATGACACTGCGATGGGTTTCGTGGCTTCTATCCTGAGCATCCGTCCGCGCTGGATCGCGGGATGGTTTCAGCAGACTCTATGGAAAAATATCAAGATCAATTGGACGCAGAAACAATACTACTTACCGCCTTCTCTTGGTGAGTGTTTCGTAATAATGTACGACAGAAGCGCTTCCGCTACCTACATCCAGCGACCGCTTCATCCGAAAAACGTAGTTGATGCGAAGATACTTCGCCACCGGCGGGTGCGTGAAGGTGGCCCAAATCCAGTTAAAAAATAGGTCTAGCTTCATCGAGAGCAATGTCTCAACGGCCCGCTATCTTCACAACTTGATATATTTGTGATACTGAACATTCGAGAATCTCTTACGTATTAAGCATATGGGTTCTGAGAATCGTAAATGGAGCGTCAGTTGTGGGTCATCGCAATACCGTGGTTGCATCGATGCAACCACGGTACTGCTTCACGATTGCACGCACACAGCCACTGTGTGTTGTTTCCACAGTCTCCAGTATTTGTGATATCACTGATTTTCATACCCATACTTTATCGATTTCGAACATTATAAGTGGCTGTTGTGCTGTGCTACCTGTGATAGGAGTGGATTGCGCACTGATGTGTGAACCTATTGTGGAGAGCGAGGACCAAGAGTTACACATCGTAAATTCATATATGTAAACCACGGCTGCGACGAGAAAGAGCCACTTCTTGTATCTTTATTGGTGCCTTCTGCACCCACTAGCGTAGTTCCTATATGTTTGAATCTTCCTAATCCAACACACTTCGATTCCAACATTCACTTCTTTATCCTATCCATTTGTACTTTCTTCAATACTCTTTTTCTTTTCCCTACTCATTTCGCTCCCAACTACTTAGTCGGCACTCGATCCAGTTACCCTTAGTTACCAACACCTTCTCGACACACCTAGACAATCATGTCGACCATCGTATCTATCGGCGGACTTCCCTATCCCACCGAACCGTGCGTTATGCTTGTCGAGATAAATGGTTTACTCAAGGATGATATCGACGACATCTACACACTGCCTGGAGGAAGCGATATCGCCCGGATAGTTTTCAAAAGACATGAGGTCGCAAAGAAGTTCGCCGACGATTCTGACGACTATCACTCGAAAGTTGGCAAGTTTGCAGGCCGGAAGCTTGGTATTTATCTACGTGACGAGCCCGAGGCCGAACTCCTCAACGGCTTTACGAATCGCTTATCCGATTTTCTCCACGCCTTCGACAACCAGATCCTGTCGCGAACCGTTGAGATTACGGGGTTTCCTAAAAGACACACTCTTAGCAATCTACACCAACTTCTGGAACCCATATGGGAAGATGACGATCGAATTGAGGGAGAAAACAATTTAATTCTTGCACAAGGTGGTAAACTCGACCCTAATGACTATCACTATATCGAGCCTCTTGGAATCATTCACGTCAAATCCCTGAGACCAGGAGTTGGACTCGTACAGCTCAAGGATTCCAGCTCGGCACGCCATATTGTGCATATGTTCGCTTGTACATACTGGAAGAATGCTACGTTGAACGCCCGTTGCGTCCCAGATGAAGAGATTGAAGACTTGCTCATCAAAAGGTCAAGCCAGGAAGATGGGGCACTCTTCGGGAAGGATGTGATGCTCTTCGTTACGGGTATAGAAGCCGGCACTTCACCGAAAGAGGTTCAAGAGATTTTCAAGGAGTTTTCCATCCGTGATGTCAATATGCCACCAGGCGACAAAACCTTCTGCTTCGTCTTCTTTAAGCAACCAGAGGCAAACGCAGTTCTTGCGCGATTTGGAAATGGCGTTCAGTGGAAGCGTCGCACTATTCGAGTGAGCATGTCGAATAAAGAGAAGAAAAAGAAGAACAAGAACAAGTCCGCCCTTAATGCGGTAAGCGCGACGCCTGCTGCACTTCCGCAAGACATGACAGATCTAAAGCTGAACAACCTCCCACATGGTGTTGCGGACTCGAGCATCCGCATCATCTTTGAAGGTTTTACGGTTTCAAAGATCATCGTCAAGCAGGGCTACGCCTTCGTTGGTATTACGGCAAGCGAGGTTGATCGCGCAATCGAGGAATTGAGCGGGAAGATGGTTGGTGGCCGGAAGATTTCTGTGAAGGTCTCCCAACGCAAGACGTAGTGAATGCTCACATCTCTGATAGGATGCAATATCGGATGTTTTGCAACCACAAGACGTTATATGATGTGGTTCGATATGTTGATGTAGATATTTGTTTTCATCGAATGCCAAATAGATGGTGCCATGAAACTGTTCCTTTCGCCTGCTCTCTTTCTAGACTCGTCTGCCCCACTTTCACGTGACGAACTTCAAGACATCATTCACCCACTTCAAGTTTCAGACAACCTTTACAACTCTTTACTAGACCTCAGTTTTTGTCACGAACAGTGCGCAAAAGAAGGAAAAATCATTCACTGTATCTGCGCACTTGTCTGTATGCTCAAGCATCTTACGCGGGGCTTTTTCGGCGCGTCCCGACCCATACATAGTGATACAATTCGACTCATAATGCCAAGAATCGTCGAACACAATAAGAGTGCAGGCCCGCCGACCATGGATGCGCTCAGTACCTGACCAAGAGATAGCGAGATGGACGGTCAATTAGACATTTTCGGACAACAACCATTCTTCACGATAAATACGCAGATATGCTTCGCCTTCACGACAAGCGACACCTCATCCCACGAAACGATCGTTGAGACGCTAAACAATGGGCTCGCAAGATTATCTGCGGCCTTCCCGTGGCTAGCATACGATGTCGTTAACGAGGGCTCAGGGAACGGTAACACAGGTGTATACAAGTTCGAGGCGTCAGCAGGCACGCACGCTGTCGTCGTGAAGGATCTCAGTCGCGATACCTCAACACCAACAATGGACAGTTTTGTGCGTGCTGGGTTTCCGATATCCATGCTGGATGAAGAGATGGTCGCACCTCGCAAGACCTTCACAGACCAGACCCACTCGAAATCAGCGCCGGCTTTCCTTATTCAAGCCACTTTCATCCCTGGGGGCCTCCTACTGACGTTTCTCGCACAGCATAATACCATGGATATGACCGGTCAAGCCCACATGATACGCCTCTTTTCCAAGGCTTGCTGCGGCGCCCAGTTCACAAGCGACGAGCTTTTCTATGGCAATATCGAGCGACACAATATCGTCCCCTTGCTAGAAGATTCATATATTCCTGGTCCAGAGCTCGATCGCCATATTGTAAAGTCCAGAACAGAAAGTCCGGCTTCAGATCAGATGTCATCACCACGGCCGAACTACGTGTGGGCTTACTTCGGCTTTTCTTCCAGGTCACTTGCAGCCCTCAAATCCATCGCGACGGAGTCTGTGACCGTCCCCGCGTATATATCTACCGATGATGCCCTGACTGCCTTAATCTGGCAATCTGTTCAACGAGCTCGTCTACCACGTCTTCAGCCCGCTGCTGAATCATCGATAGCTCGTGCCGTTGATGTACGATCAGCACTTGAAATCTCGCCTTTGTACCCGGGGCCGATACAAGACAGCGCATACACCACGATCCCGCTTGGAACATTGGTTTCAAGGCCCTTGGGTAGTATCGCTCTGTACCTCCGATCAGCACTACATCCTACATCAGTCGAGTTTCATGCTCGCGCCGTTGCGACTTTCCTCAGCCGTACAGCAAACAAAGCCATCTTCTCTTCCACGGCCGATTTTGACATGTCGAGAGACTTGATACTCAGTTCATGGTCAAAGGTACAGACTTCCGATTTGGACTTTGGCATTGGGCTCGGCAGACCCAAAGCCGTTCGGAGGCCGCGTTTCAAGGCATTAGAAGGGCTGGTTTTCCTCATGCCGAAGTCGGTGGAAGAGGATGTGGCGGCCGCGATATGCTTGAGGGAAGAAGATATGAACCGGCTGAAAACGGACGCTTACTTCGGTAGATACGCACAGTACATAGGATGACAATGATAGCTAGCTTATCTCTGAAGGACTGCGAAATATATTCAGTCTATCAAGTCACTTATCTAGAATCTACTTCAGTGATACTTCTTTGCTGGGATAGAATGCGCAACAACAAAGTCGCTGTGTTCTCATTCCCAACAGATATCCTCCGCCTGCCAACTTGGTAATCAGTCCTGCCTCTCCATGAATTCAGTCATTTCATCCTAATCGCAACCTCAGCATTCTTCGATCACGGCCTTCTCCTTTTGCAACCATGCCATGTATCTCTCTCGCATTCTGAACAACTTCCAAATGCACACTTGTAATACGAGCACCGAAGTCGCGATCTCCGAATTGTTGACATAGGTCGTGTAGGGTGCGCCCTCGTCGTATGGATAGAAGAACCGGAGCTGAAGCACAACGGCGGTGTTATCGAGGACATGGTAGAAGGCTAATCTAATCATGGCGTCACGCCAGAAGACAGGCTTGTGATCGTTGATTATACCGTAGAAGAAAACTCTGAGACTGAGCAAGTCAAGGAGATGGGATAAGTCGAGGAAGACGTTTGGTTGGTCGAGCCAAGAGGGCGCATCATCGCCAGTAAGGTTCGGAGGTGTCGTATTCTGGGAAGAGTCTACCGCAGAGTCAACACTCTCTGCTATAGACTGTTTAGGTGCTGTGTCAGATTGAGCCGTTGAAGTAGCCGCAGATCTGGAACGACGTCTAGATCGTGATCTCCAGCCTTGTCCAGATTCAGCAACTGCTTGGGACACAGACGTAGATATGTATAAAGGCGATATATCAGGAGAGTCGGAATAAGCGCCTAACCATAGCCCATCCCAAAGGCGGAGCTTCAGAAAGCTAGCCAGTATAAAGCCTTTGAGAGGTGACCTGGTGTCCCATGGGAGCCAAAACCACAACATCGATTCCCCGTGATGTGTAATTCCTGAGAAGGTGGATAAACTTCGGATGAAGAGCATGTTCGCAATGATGGAGTAAAGCAATCCTTCTTTCGCTTGTTGGGAAATCGGGAATGTCTGAAACATATGGTGACCACCGTGATGAGCACAATGAGCCATAAAATTTAGTGTGGTTTTTCGATTTCGAGTACGTCTGACGATATGTAGGCGGGTTCGCCTTGATGATAAAGATGCCAATAGCGTTGGTCCGAGGATATCCAGTCTACGACTGAGAGACCGTAGAAGTGTTGGAGTATGAATGTGAAGAAGAGACTGAATATGAGGCCTGGTGCCCATATGAATATTATGGTCCACAGCGACAAGGTGCTGTGCAGAGTCCCAAGGGCGTCAGAGGCGAAAAGGAGACTGAAAAGGAGGCATGGTAGCCAAAGGAGGCATGGTAGCCATACGAGGCTTAGCAGCCATAGCAACAGCATTCTGTGCGAAGTCGTTGTCTTGCGATTTACGAGGTTGGAAAGGCGTTGTGAACGAGGAGTACTAAATCAAGAAAATAGGTAGGTCCTATGAAATCGACGGCGTTGTGGGATGATATCTTCCCCTGGTTGCGTGTGTTAGCGTACCATAGTCAGCACTGTGGCTGAATTTATATTACCACTTCAACCGCCGGCCGGAATGTGCCATAGTCCCTAATCCATGCTTCACACCTCCATCGGTAGTATGTTGATCAAAACAAAGCTCTTCGGCAGTGGTACGCTTGTGATACAGATCTTTCCATTGTCGATTTACGGAGCCAGTCAGATGACGACTGAAGTGTATCCTAAAGCCGTGGATAGTACGACGGAGGTAAATGTCGCGACCGGACGCTTGGAGTGATGAACAGTAAGCGCTCAGTTCTTTGCATGTGCGGTATATCTCATTGATGAGTACGTTTGCGTACGGGTAGGTATTTGCTGCAGAAATCGTGAGTGGCTCGTCGCCTCTGCGTCATCGCAATATTTTGGGACGATGTGGACAATGCGGATGGCAACAATGAGGTTGGATCAGTTTTGTATTTGAATAAGAACGTGATGTAGCAGTCAGTTGTTATGTTTTGAAGCTGCGGAGATTAAAGCTTCCTCTCCCTTCCGGATCGTCTTGGTCGGTAAGTCCCACGGCAAGGTGCGGTTCCATCGCCAGGGTTAGTATTTTCAAGAGGGTTGCGCCTACAAGGAGAGGTGACAGAAGCAGCTAGCAGCGCACCCCGCTCGCGAAATGACGTGATAATATAGTTGTCAGGTGGTCTGCTGCGCACTACTAGATAACCCCAATCGCATCAACTCTCGGTTATAAACTTGTGTATCAACGTGGGTGGAGGATTCTGTTGAGATCTTGGTTGACGAATCAGGCGCCAGATTTCGCTGCGCGGTTGAACGCCACTTCGCCTATGCGATATCCGGTCAGTTCACCGGCTGCCTCGATGAACTGACTTGTATAGTCGGCCACCCTCTGGAGCATTAGTCTCGTGTTTCGATTGGAAATACATGCGCAAAACCAATGGGGACAACTTCGAAATGTCAGACGCCCCGTTATACTCACAGCTTCCGCACCAACGAGCCATCCGCTTATTGCGCATCAAATCAGGACCCGGCGAAGAAGTCATTCGGATCACCCTCGAAACTTTCGACCTCAATTCGAATACACAATTCAAAGCGCTCTCATATGTCTGGGGAGATGCAACATCGCCATGCGAGATTATATGCAATGGGCACAAAAGGCCGATCACACGCAACCTTTGGGGTGTCTTTTTGCAACTACGAAAACAGAGGTTTGATTGCCGACTGTGGGTAGACGCTATCTGCATCAACCAGAAGGACGAAGAAGAGAAGAGTTTCCAGGTGGCTATGATGAGAGATATCTACAAGAGCGCCGCGAAGGTCATATTCTGGCTTGGAGAGCAAGAAAGCTACGATGAAGCTGCAATCAATCTGATGAGAAGTTTTTCCAAAAGGTATCCGCCTCGGCTGGATCTGGAATCACACAGAGGGAAGACTCTGGAGGAGCTGGGCCTTTCTTCCATTGACCGCGGCTGGACTGGATGGGCCTCCTTGTTTTGTCGCCCATGGTTTGGACGCGTTTGGATTGTACAAGAGTTCCTCAACGCAAGGAATTCCGTATTTATGTCCGGTGCACTGGAGATTCCCACTGAATTGCTAGTGCATTGCGGGCTCGCTACTGGAGTGTGTGCTGCAATCGGAGGAGCTGTTTCATGGCACAACAAAGATGCTCGTCAAGCCCAAAGAGCTATCTTGAGACTTCAAGCTCTGGGGATCTACCGTGAGATAGGAGATGAATATCGCGTTCGAATCTTCGATCTATGGTGCAGGAGCCAGCAACTTGAAGCCACAGATCCTCAAGACCGAGTTTTTGCACTCTTGTCAACACAAAAAGCAGTGAAGATGGACATGATCGATTACCGTAAGGGTGAAGCTACAGTCTATACAGAGATTGCAGCGCAGGCTCTCAACATACCAGTTCCCAGGATCACACGGGATGGAAAGATAGTTCAGGCATCGGAGTACCAACTTCAGAGGTCTGACTTGCACCGAGTCAGCAGGTTCTTGGCTTGTAAGTTTCGCTCTCCACAATCATCAAACTTACCAAGCTGGGTGCCGGACTGGAAGCCTATTGGATTCAATTTCGTTCCCTTGACGCGCTATTTTACTGGCACTGCATCTTTTGAACTCCCTTACGACCACGCTGTTATCGAAAATAAAGTGAGTTCTGACCTTGGTCTCCTGCACGAAAGATCTGACTCTCCAGGCATTGTACATATCAGGAATTATCTTGGACGAACCTCACGTCATTATTGATTCGAGGCCATATTTGGATCTGAGTCGACCACCAGTGTTCGAAACTGATGCAGATGCCCCGAGCTTGACCAGACATATGTTGAATTGGATGTATATGTGCTATATGGTAGCTGTATTGACTCTTCCACGTTCAGTCGAGAACGTCCGCTTTGGAAGATTTTGCCGTGCAATGGTATTTGGTGTGCGGCTTGAGGAAGAGTCTACATTGACTACGAAATATATGATGGGGTTCCAGGCACTCTTCAGTAAGTTGGAAAGACTAGTAGGACAAGCACACTATTACCCCAGCCTTCTGCGAAGTCACGGTAGACAAGACGGTCGTAATAGGTTATACGAAAGCAAGTTTGCAGAGCTATCCGCCGGCCGGAAATTCTGTGTCACAAAAAAAAGGTACCTCGCCTGGGTACCCTTGGATACAAGGCCAACTGATCGCATTTGTATTCTTGCGGGGTGCTGTGTTCCTTTTGTGGTAAGAGCTATTGGAAAACGTTATGAGTTGATAGGAGACTGTTATAGGGAAGACATGAGACAGGATACAGATTTTGTAGGCCCTCAGAAGCCAAGACTATTCGAATTCTTATGATAGGCAACACATTCTCAGGGTACAACGCGCATTCTCTTTCGCTAGCAGATCAAATATTCCCGGTATCTTCGCCAAGAGATCCAGAAGTTGGTAGACTAGGTCGATCCATTTGAGACTAATCACATAGGAAAATTTTCTCACTTCGATCATGATGGGTTCTATATCCGCAATGCTACCATCGCCCACCAACTCTGCATAGGAAAGACTGGTGACGATGCATCGCCATGAAGCTGCGTCTAACACTACCACCATGCAATCAATACTGGTCGCCTTAGCAAAGCTTACAACTATAGGGAGAACTGCCAAATGCGCTCAATTCATCACTACCGTACAGGCGACATCGCCATCTACAAGGCTATCTAGGCGCTAGAAAGATTGCAGTTTGTGAACCTGAATGAGAACATCGAAGGTTATTGCATCAGAGGCAAAGAACATCTTGACGTCGATCAAAATGCCTTGACTGTCGTTGAGGCTGCAGGAGCTACCAACGACGACGACAAACTGATTAGTCGCGTACTTTGGGACACGTCATGAGCACTGGTCTCGTGCGAAGCTCTTTCAAGCTACGCAATGTTCATTATGGTCCGATAAGCACTGACAGTGAGCTTGTCAGATCGTCAGCATTTGCTTAGCACCTGGGCAGCCTACTGTACCCGTACGGGCCGTCGCTCCCTTGACTGCGCAATGCAACAACACGGCAGGAGACAGCCAAACATCTCAAGACTATGCATTAACACACGTCTTGTGACGAGACAAGAACATCATCCGCATAGAAAGAGGAACTGGAAACAAGATAAAGCAGTAAGAGTAGGAGTGTCAGGACGATGAACGAACTCTGTGCATCAATTGTTGCGGTGTGGATCGCTAGGGTCAACATCCGGCTTTCCCGTCGCATCAAGAGCACGTACGCAACGACGATTTCTACCTATACTCTGTAGATCTCTAGTTCACCTCTCGCAGGAGTCCCTTAATACCCTATTCGGCGTCTGGAATAGATACCCATGGCACGGAAGCAGTTGGAGTCGGAGTCGGAGTCGGAGTCTTGGGTTATGCCATAGCAGTTCCGATATCTTTCTTCCTTGCAGATGGACAAGTATAAATATAGCTGCTCTTATCGTATCAATCTCACCCACCACGACCATCGTTGCAATTAGAGCGGCTTTCCATCTCGACTTTGCCTTTGCCTCTTTCCTCGAACAAATATAGCGACTTCATACTACTCACGATGAAACTGCACTTCGTCATATCCTGCCTCGCCATTGCAACCACAACTCAGGTAAGCGTTTCAACATCGCTCTCCGCAAGCATGGTCTAACGTCAGCTCTTCCTGTATTCAGGCGGCGTCATACTGGTGCAAATGCACAGGAGGCTCCGATGTCGATATCACTGGAATAACATACAGTTGTTGTTCAAACGGCGTTAGTATCACCAACAAGGGTACACTCACGGGCCAGTTCTTCAATAAGCACAAGGACTGTGTGGTCGATGCGGGAAGCCCGCTGGATGTGACGTCGAATTCGTTTGCCAACTGTTGCAGAGGAGATTCCAGAGCGAAGCTTAATGGTGCACAATGCAATTTAAACTGATTTCGCAATAAAGAACAGTTGATAGCCTGAATTCAGCCCTTCTCTTGATTGTAACTATCTGCTCAGTTATCAGCATCTATAACACACCGTATAACGTACTGTGGGAAGTCACGAGTAACAAGAGCGGCATCCATAGAAAGTTGAGTACGTACCGTATGTTGACGCGGTGAGATGAGGATGCTTTGTTGAGTTCAGCGGCAATCTTAGGCACGGTTGTAGCAACCGACTTCTGTCTTATAAGTTAAACCCATAATCATACCCGCCGTACTGATAACAGTTTTGCTTCGTAATGCTGCTGCCGCCGAGCGTCCTCGATAGTCTTTGTCCATGTATGCATACGCCCAGAAGCGTTTGCACTTGCTGCTTGCGCGTACTGAAAATAATGATCTGCTTTTTCCCACGTATCCTCTCGTTGGTAAAGCATACCCATACGGAGAAAAAGATCAATCATGCTGCCAGGGCTGTTGTAGAGTGTATACTCTGCTCGCTCCTCCACGGCAAGGAGCACAACATCGACGAATTCGTGCTTGCCGTACCCGATGAATACTTCCATAACGGTTAGTAGAGACGAGAACAAGGGGATTGTCCAAGCTTCATCTTCCAGATCATTGAGCGTGCGGACAGAGACGGCCGCACAACTCAAGGCGTCTTGTACATGGTGAACGTCTCTTGCGTCCTTGTAGGTGGGAATTAGTGCGACAAAAAGATCAAGTGTTTGCTGTGGGAAGTCCAAAGGTTGGGCTTCGCAATGTTGCGCTATTGCGACCAATCCTGCTTTGGTAGTCTTGTCCATGACTGAAGCGATCATTTCTGCCATGGCTAAGTGACGCCGGATCTCTGCTGTGTCGAAGTTGGCAGAGATAGTAAACGAATACGAAGGCAAATTTGAGTAAGATTCATGTCTCTGGCGTTGAAGCAGATCCAGAACAAGCGGCAGTGCTTCGTTCTGGCGAGCCCAGCCTTATAGCATCTTGATGAGTTGGCTAATGTGCTGTACTTTCCTTTCATCCCGAAGGCCGTGCTCACGCACGTGAGCTTCAGTTGCTGATTCTAGAATTCTATCGGCTGTCTTCGTGTCCTGTGAGTGCATGTACAGCTGGGCGACTTTGTAGACCAAAGAGGTGACCAGGTCATTCGTTGGCGATAACAGACTTCGATGGCCAGCCAGTGCGTCTAGGTCATTCTCCAAGGCTTTAGTATGTTGACCTAACCTTAAAACTTGCCCAGCCTTCGATACCAGATCGTCATAGTAGCTTTTCGAATTTCCATCATACGTGAACCTAGGATACCACAATTCTTCTTCCCTACCGTTCTTCTTGTTCTTATCCTAAGGCGTAGCTGGAGCAGCGGACGATGCGTCGAAGGGTGACGCGGCATATGCTGATGGTGTTGCATATGTTATCCCGGCTGGAGCTGCTGAGCAGTCAGAAACTTCGGCTAGAGTGACAAGGCAGGTGAATTTTTACTTCACGATGCTGCAGCAGAGGCAGATGAAGGCAGCTTGTGACGTTGTATATATCTAGCTGTCGATCTCTGAACTTGTTCGATTGGAAACTATCGCTGACCAAACTTATAGTGTGTGCCTTTGCCTGCCGACTTTCGTTCTTGGGCATGGTTCAGCAACCAATATGCTGTCTCGCCTGAGAGATCCTTCAGGAAATCCCATTTCTTCAGTTTCTCTTTATATGCATCTGTCTTCTATGCTGTTATCTTCCCAACATGGACCCCCTTAGTGCTACAGTTAGCATCAAAGTAGAAACGTGGAGTGAAAGTAGATTGGAAATCGATTGTCTTTTATTAGACAGGTTCTAACGTCTTCGCCTCCTGTATGATTGGATGAAGCGGCGGCAGGATATGACGTCCCACGATGCCGTATGGCAATGTTGTTACGGCCGCCAGATAGAATACTTCCATTACATCTAAACGGTAATACCCGTTTTGGCAAGACGATCCATGCCACCCATAAGAATGCTGTTCATAGCCTGTTTCTCATGCGATTCTGCAAACGTTTTGTATTTGTTATCGTGCCACTCCTTCGCTGAGATGGGCTTGCCCTCCGGATCCTTATATTCGATATCGTTCTCCGGGCGCAGAAAGTACGCAATCGAGTAGCGATTCTGTGTCGCTGTCTCGGGAGTCGGAACGACACGATGCATGCAAGACGCCAGTCTCTTATCAGTCAAGAAGCGTAGCGAATCGCCCACGTTGATGATGGCGTGTCCCGGGCGCGGCGCTACCCACTCCCATTCTTCCGTCTCGGGGTTCACAAGCTGAAGTCCCCACTGTTTGCTGAACAAGAGGGTGAGAGAGCCAATGTCTGTGTGTTGATTGTGGCCAACGCAGGTAGAGGACAGGTTCTTGGGGTAACGGAGGAGGACGAGAGTCGTGTTTGAGTCGGCATGGTCGCGGTGGTGTTGCTCAAGTCGGTTGGCGGGGTTGGCACCGAGGGCATTCGATAAAGAGTGCATTATGGTCATGGTGACCAGGTGTGACTTTGAGATGAAGTCATCGAAAAGACGCGGGTGCTTCTTCACGGTGGAGGGTAGGAGCGGGGAATTTGCGCCGATCTCGTCGCGCGCGACCTTGAGAGTCTCGTAGTTATCTCTTGTGTGGGCTTTTACTCCGGCAAATACACCAGCAGGCTTGTAACTGGATACTCGGTCAGCACACGATTTGGACTTTGCAAGACTGACTTACCCATGCTTGTGAGTTCCACGATCATCCTGCATTTTTGTGTCGAGCGGCTGATCAAAGAATTCTTCCATGGCCTTGTACATACTATCCTCATCTTCGAGGAGGCCACGGCTACTCTGGCCCTGAAGATTGACATAGAAGAAGCCGGCTGTTGTACAAGCGGACATCAACTTGGCAACTTCGTGCTCCTCGTGGGCGAGCAGTTTGGCAAAGTCGATTGTTTCGAGGTGAGCAACCTTGAGATTGCTCTGCTCTTGAACAATAGATTGAGACATGGTAAGCAGAATATATTGTGGGTGTGGTTGAAAGGCGTCTGAACAGTTGGAGAATTGCAGCCCGTGATTTGAAGCAGTGATGAAGTGCTGGTCTAGCGAAAGTTTTCAGTGAGGGACTGGGGCTTAATTTATACCTGATCAACGACTTCTCTGCCTTCTATTCCTCTGGAGACCGTTAAGTTTCTATGACAGCATGCTGACCGAGATCATATCCGTCTCCGCACTCATCGTGATCTCAGCCGTGGAGCCGTCAGCATACTCTTGTCGGGCAGCTTCCTTTCTCGTAAGAAGCGGGATTCAAGATACGACATATTCAGTGGCACGTAAGACCATCAAAAGTCTGCCAGACTCAACAATGGCCGAATAAGGGCCGAACAAGAGCAGGTCGCGTCAGCCTTCTGGTCAGGCGTGCCAATGATACAACGTCGGGTCGTTGCAAGACGGGACAAGATCCTTAGAGAATGCAGCGGCAGTAGTGAACTCCGTACCGATCTCTGGTTGCGAAGTCGGTAGCTGGTCCATAAATTCTGTGCGAGCTCTCGTGATGTTTGACGCAGCGATGAAGATCTCGATTCGCTTCGAGCTGTAGACGTGCTTCAGGTCAACTGGACGCGAGCGAGGGATGCCTTACGTAAGTTGCCTTGATATGGCATATGGTCTGCGGCGACTTCGTGCATCTGACCGGAGAAACTAAATGTCTTGTTAAATTGCTACTTGGGCCCATAAGAGAACTTACCCGTATCGCTGGCTTCAAAGTAGCATTAGCTTAATACAGCGTAACCCGTACTTTTAGCTCCGCTTATCCCCCTAGATGTAGAAACACTATTGTACAAAACGGGGACTAACTCCGATCTAAGCAGCAGAGCCTCGGTCAAAGTCCGGGATGAACGGCAGCTGTGTTGTACGAATCAGGTAAGGAGAAGGTGTGGATGGGAGTTCCTGGACGATTATTGGGCCACCTCGGGCCGTGCCGCGCCGCGGTTCTCGGCACGCCATCCCGCGCCCACCAAACGTTTGGACGATCAAGGCAGTATGACGCAGTCAGCGGCCTCTTTCATCGTTGGTTTCTTGATCACGTCGCTAGCTAGAGAGCACCTGCAGTATAGGGCAACACGTTTTTCCCGTGCTACGCGATGACGTTGCTCTTACCCATCTTCGATGGAGCTGCGGTGGCGCAATGCCCAGCCTTCAAAACGCGCAACCCGGAACTTGACCACACCCTCCAGTGGTCCGCCTCTTTCCTTTGACGTCAACCGCACACCGCCTGCCGCCTGCTACATGATGGAAATGCGAATCCAATCGGACCTGGAACGAGCATCCGGCAGTACCAACGGCGACCGAGTCGACTTCGACGGTCCAAACGATACATATAATCCGCAGAATTGGTCTTTTGCAAAGAAGTCACTTAACACGTTCCTCTACGGACTTACGACGCTCGGCTCGACATGGGCGAGTGCGGCATACTCGCCGGCCAACGAGATTGTTGCGCACGACTTTCAAGTTTCCAACGAGGTTGCCGTGCTAGGAACTAGCGTCCTGCTGCTTGGGTAGGTCAATTGACGTTCCGAACGTCGTCCCGTGCTCACGATTGTGGTAGTTTCGGCTTCGGGCCTCTGGTATGGGCCCCCCTTTCTGAAGTCTACGGCAGGAAATGGCCGACCGTCGCACCCTGCTTCATATCCGCTCTTTTCTCATTTGCGACCGGCGCCTCCAAAGATATCCAATCCATTATCATCACCCGCTTCTTTTGCGGCTTCTTCGGCGCTGCACCAATCACTTGCACAGGTGGCGTCTTCGCAGACATTTGGGACTCTTCGCAGCGAGGAAATGCCATTGTGGGGTACGCATTGGCTGTCGCCGCTGGCCCCGTAAGCGATGACTTTCTTATCCGATGACAACAGACTGACTGGTTGGCTAGGTACTTGCGCCGATCGTCGGGGGCGCCATTGTGGTTTGCGGCGTGTCGTGGAGGTGGACCGAATACGTGGGTGTCCCTGTTACCGAAAATGGCATCATCACTAACGTTCCCAAGATCACCGGCATCATCCAGCTACTCACCGTCGTCCTCGACGTAATATTCGTCGATGAATCGTACGCTCCTCGCTTGCTCGTATCAAAAGCCCGGCGTCTGCGCTTCGAGACTGGGAATTGGGGACTCCATGCAGAGTATGAGGAGCTGAATATTACTTTCTCTGGACTTTTGCACAAGTTTGGTGTTCGTCCGTGGCAGATGCTGTTCACGCCGATCTGCGGTCTCATCGCATTATACGCCTCCTTCATATATGGCGTCTTCTATGCCTCTCTCGCATCATTTCCGATCATCTTTCAACAGGATCGCGGCTGGAACCCACTAGTCGGATCCTTGCCGTTCCTTGCTCTCTTGCTCGGCATTCTGTTAGGGTCTGCACTCAATGTGTTGAATCAGGTTGTCTTTTACAACCGACGTCTGGCTTCCCAAGGTGACCACAAGGCCATCCCAGAGGCACGTCTGCCACCTATGATGGTCGGGTCGTTCGTCTTTGCAGGCGGCTTGTTTTTAATCGGCTGGACATCGCACCCACGTTTTCATTGGATAATCCCTTGTACGGGCGCATTCTTTGTTGGCTTTGGCTACTACACGATATTTCAATCCGCGCTAAACTATCTTGTCGATACATTCCAGCGCTGGGGAGCGTCTGCCATCGCGGCCAATACTTTTCTTCGGAGTATTCTGGCGTCCTGCTTCCCAGCCGTTGTCATTCCACTGTATGGAAATTTGGGCACTGGACCGGCAAGCAGTTGTTTCGCCGGGTTTGCAGTCTTGATGATTCCCATCCCCTTTGTGTTTTACCAGTATGGAGCATGGCTGCGGACCAGAGGTCGATGGAGCTCGAATATTGGATGATGATGACTATATTCTGAATCCAGCTAGACGTTTATATAGTGACATAAGATTCACATGGAACTAATCGATTCAGATCCATTGCTGGCTTATCTGAAATTGACTCAAAATACTGTTCGGCGAAGGAAGCAGCGCTCACATCCCCGGCTAGCAGGCAACATACGGGTAGTATGAAACTACTACAGAAATATCACATCATGTAAGGATCATGTCTTATGATGTTGATAACTCAGAGTAACTGCATATTTTCTGATCTGTCAACTTACTATCTTTTTCTCAAGTGACTTCCTTACCAAGCCTTTTCCAATCATGTTCTCTCATTTTGCTAGGCTCACACGTGTCTATGTAAGTTGAGCAGAGGATTTGGAATCTGTCTCTAATCAGAACATGCTATGCATTATGATATGAGCTCTGCTGCATCGAAAGGTATAAGGACTACGTCTAAATATCGTAAGAGAGCTACGCCCAAAAGTCCCCTACATGTCTTTATTTGTACTAGTCTAAGGAAGTCAGGATACATACAAAGGAAATAATATACTATTGCCTAAGCTCAAAACCTCCGAACCAAAGCTTCCGATTACTACCCCATGTACCCCTAATCACTCTCTTCTGCGCGTCTAGCCGTCCGCGATACAGCCATCCATGCTTCTCATAGAGCTTAACAAACCATATAGACCCACCCTGATCGACAAAGCCAAGGTATTGAAAATCTCCAATCTCGTCATGTTCGTGCTCGCTCAAGAATGTGCTAGGTCGGGACTCATCCATTCCCACGCTGGGAATCTCGATGGAAAAGGCTTCTTTCTCTCCCTCTTGCCAACTTAGGTATTCGTAGTTTCCTGTCCACGGACCCGAGATTAAGTTCCAGATGGTTTGAGATGAGAGGCGCGGGGTTTGGTTACTATTGATAGCTTCTAGAAGGGAGGGCCGACGAATGATGCCGAGTGTTAGGTCACCCATGTGCTTGCGGATGAAGGCTGCTGCTCTAATTCCATGACAGACTGCTAGGTCGAGCGGAGTGGATCCAATGTCATCTTGTGCTAAAGGGTCAGCACCATATTCTATGAGTAGGTCCGCGATGTCGAGCTTGAGGTGGCGCACTGCGTAGTGGAGTGCGCTTCGGCCATTGATATCTTGAGTCTTTGCTGAAGCGCCGCGAGCGAGAAGAATCTGAACAATGGACTTCGAGCCTCGTGCTGAAGCTACGTGCAAAGCTTCATTGAGCTCACACATTGGGAAGGGGGTGGTCATGATTGAAATGCGGTCTGCCAATCCCTTAGTATCGTCTTGACATGATAAGATTGGCAGATATTGGTGCTGGTTCATGTCACTTAGCGTTGTGACTCCTTGTTCCGCGGTGGCCGTAAGACCTCGTGGCCCAACGCAGCCGCGCGCGATCAGAGCTTTTGTGATATTGTCCTGTCCTTCTTCGATAGCAATGTCAAATAGGGATTGCTGCTCGTGGCTGTACATGCATTTCATGGATGCGCCCATGTCCAGTAGCGCTTCCAGAGCATCCTGGCAGCTGTTCGAAACCGCGACAATCAAAGCGGTGGTACCACCATCGCCGAGCTGGTTCACATCCGCACCGTTTTCAGCAAGAAGCTTTATGATTGCCACATGGTTGTTGCCAGCGGCGATATGTAGAGGTGGTGATGTATCTGCATGCGCCAAAGTGATGTCTGCGCCCGCACCAATCAGGGTCTGAACGGCTTCGGTATCTCCTAATGCTGCTGCCAATTGCAATGCTGTCCAATCGTATTCGTCCAGCATATTTACGTCAATCTTTTTGTCGATCATCTTCTTGATGATACTCGTGTAGCCTGCTCTTGCGGCCGTTTGAAGAGGGCCCCACCTTAGATGGGTGGTGGTCGTAAAAGAGAGGCGATCTATCAGCTCCAGCGCTAGATCTTGATGGCCATTTTCGAGAGCCTGTTGGAGAGGAGACACGTCATCGACGTCTACCAGGGCGATATCGGCCCCCTCAGCTATCAAGGTTGATAAGACATCCTTATGCCCGAGGCGGCAAGCAAGATTCGCTGCGGTGATCCTCTCTGAGGTCATAGAGTTGACCTGAGCACCGTGATCGAGTAGGCACCTCACGATTTCTGCAGCCCCCCGTTTTGCTGCGTGGTGAAGTGCGGTCCACTTCATATCATCGACAACCGTGGCATCTGCTCCGGCGTTGAGCAGTAGTTTGACAAGCTCTAGACTGGAGAGCGCTGCAGCTGCGATGATCGTGAAGCCGTATAGTCCACCTTCCTGTTGTACATCGACGTTTCGATCGAGTAAGTATCTCACCACCCCATCCTGATTCCTCGCCACGGCAGCTTGCAAAGGAAACCCAAATCGACCCCTTGTACAATCGCAGTCGAGGTCTTGATCTGCCAGCCATTTGACTACGTCTACCAAGCCAAGCAAAGAAGCGTAATAAATGGGGTTCTCCACCAAGGTCATCGAAGTGCTAACTTCTTGCCCGGGCTCAGATCCTTCTCCCGAATTTGACGCAAATTCATCGAATTCAGAGCTGACATCGGAAAGCTTCTCCCAGTCGCTTTCCCTTTCCCTGAGCTCGGCTTCTAGAAGCAGTGTCCATACTTTCCACTTGGACGCGGTAGGATCGAAGGCCTTTTGTGTTCTCTCTAGGATGTCCTGTGAGGGCGGAGTTGACCTTTTGTGAAAACTGTGAAAATACCAGGCCCATGATGCATATGAGAGAAAGGGATAGACGGATGTATCCTGTGGTATTTCCTCAAACACATCTAAGCTGAGATAGCGAAGGCATATGTTCGAAATCCGTATCTCCTCGGTTTTCACGTCCGCCAGGCCAAGGCTAGACGCCCAAGCGCTGCCGGTTAGAGAGTTGCGCAGTTTTGAGATGTATTCTTTGACAGAGAAATGCACGAAATGTACTGTGTGATCTGAAAGCGGGGTAGTCGGTGTCTTGGATCTCAGCTGCAGCAAGGATCCACACCTCCCCAAGATCATTTCGTTGACATAGTCCTCGTCGACAAATCCATCTTCCCAGGCGTCTGGAAGCTCATCAGTATCTGGGTATTCGTCCAGGTCCTCGTCAGATACGACTAGAGCTTCCGCAAGCTCTTTAACAAGTAGAGGCCGAGCGGCAAAGAGTACCCAACGTAGAATTGTGACCGCCATGTTCTTGTTGTTTGGTGCTAGTTGAACAATCTTCTCCAGCTCACGGGAGTAAGCTTCACTGATCCCAGTTGGCATTTCTTGCACAGCTGCCCTGAGCTGTTTTGCGTTCTGCCCCGGAGAAATCTCATTTTCAAGGAGCTTGATCCAGAGAAACATGCCTTCACTGCGTTCGGCGGCTCGGTCGGCAATTTCCTGCCTCAGAGTCTCTTTCTTCTTCGGCAACTTCTCATTGACCACAGACTCGGTAAACGACTTCACGTCGGCCGTAGTGTCTTTGGCTGTGATCTGATACCCGAACGCGTCTACTTCCGCCATAGCTACCGAGCTCTTACCCAGTATCTCGCGGATATCCGGCACATCCCTGCTGACCACCAAAATTCGGGATTTGGATCGAGTGAGGCATTGAACCATATCGCGGAGGAAGTAGTTTCGTGGGTCATGGTGATGGTAACGAGTTCCACTGTCAATATCAGCACACTCGTCGAAACCATCAATGACAAACGTGCAGCCAGGAATGGCGTCTCAAACAGCCGTGGAAAGATCCCACAGCTCGACGGGACTTAATGTATGTTCCTTGTCACCAGCTGTGAATGCAGCGTTCATCACCCGAAAGACTGCATCGTTTTCTTGTAGTATCTGGGTCAGCCAGCTTCGAAGGATCGCGTAAGGGTCGCGTGTAGCCTGATTATCCGCCACACAGAAGAAGAAAGCAAGTGGCTCTACGCTGACCTCTTGCAGATGTCTGATAATCCAGGCTGACAGGAATGTCTTGCCGAACCCAGCTGGTCCATGAACCCAGAGTAGACGACCTCTCGAAGACTCATTTCGTTGCCAATCCTGGAGTTTCTGCAACTCTGTTGCCCAGTTACAGGTGCCTTTGTGATGATAGCGTAAAGCTGTTTCGTACGTGTTCCTAGTATCAATGCCATTGATCCAGGCTGAGAGATGCCTACGGCGATCCTCGCTCACTCTTTGAGAGTTGTACGAGTTCTGCTTGATATTCTCAAGAATTTCGTCCAGGCTTCCTCTCACAAGCTCATTCTGAACAAGTGTAACAAGCTTGAATACTTCAGTCTCGTGCCTCTCTATTGCGAGCATGGGCTCTTCGACATATCTCTTGGCAGTGCTGATCGTGCCTTTGATAGCTCTTTCTTGTTTAGACATTGGAAACTCTCACCCCTTGTATATGAATATAACAAAAGCCGGCTTACTTAATGTGCTCTTTTTGTGATAACTATAGGCATCAGCCAGGAATCTCAAGACGGCCGCGTAAAGTTGGACCAGAGTGGTCGTGAGCTGCCGCGTTATCACCGAGTCTCTGATAAGGACCTGCGTCTGCACAGCTGTATATCTGGCTATTATGCTTGATACAGTTTCTACACTCTCCAGTAGACCTCCGAAGACTTGGCAGTCGTTGATGCTCAGCTATAGCATGATTAGATAGTACTCATGCTCAGCAGCAAGTTGATAGGTACCTGAAGAAGCAGCCTAACCCCTGCCCAAGGAAGTACGGCATGCGCCAGGTCGTATTGTACTGCTGCATCTCCAATGCGAATGAATTGGTCGACCCAACCAGACACTTTGTCCACGACGTCTCTCACGCGCACCTCTTTTCCTTCTTTATTCGTGAAAAGCACCCATTGTTTCTCCTCGCATTCGTTGCGCTTGTCCGCAATGACTCTGAGAATCGACGCAGGATCGGTTGCAGTTTTGCGCCCGTCAAAGCGAAGCTCATCTTTGTCGCTGCCTTCCAAGCAATCGAATGCTCGCTCCCAGAGATTCGCTACTATATCCTGTGAAAGCCATCAGTAGCTATCTTATGGATGCTTCTCAGGTTGGGCTGAACCTTACTTCATCTTGGTAGGGCCCCATAGTAACCACGTTGCTTCAAATGATTGATGTTCGGTTCGGGATACTTGGAGTTGCCAGTGACACAACGAGACGTGTTGCTTTCGCCCAGGTAAAGGCATGTATGCGCGCATCCAGCCTCTGTTGATTCCAAGAAAACAGGTTTTCGCAAGGTGTCATGGACGTGAGATTGAGGCGCCTGGGTGTAACCATCATTTGTGCGGGGTCATTTTGGGGGCCGTTTCGATGGGAATTCTTTTGCTGTGGCTCTTCCCGCACCACACCTCTCAAATTCAAACAACTGCCAACCACGCGCATTGAGTTCTCTAGTGCGAAATAGAGTAGAACAATACGTGCGCTGGAGGAAAAGGCGTGCCTCTATCAGCAATTTGGGAAAATGAACCTAAGATAGACAATTCAAGACGGTCGCCTCTATCTTCATGACGTTTATAGCACGACACTAGATGCACGATGTGAGAAGATAGAAAAGCTTGATTGATGGGAGAGAAAATCAAACTGTATCGGTATGGTTGTATAGCCGATGCAATGAGACGCTGGATAATTTCGGAGCACAACCCGTTGTCCTAAAGGGCTCTAGTTTCCCCAGACATCTGTCATTTCTGTTGCTGACTCTGTACGATCGACATGCGACAGAGTCGAGCTCGCCTACCTTCAGTCGTCATCGAGACGACGCTGATGGTCCCTGCACATAAACCCGTTGCTCGCGCTGGACGAGTCTTTTTTGGTGTTGCGGACGTGCCTCGATAGTTGGCCTGCGGCAACCCCCGAAGCACCGTTCAGCGGGGTTGGCAAGCTGCGTGAGCTGAGCGGTCCCAACAACGAACAGCTAACGACAACGGCAGCCTCTATTTCCTCTACCGCTAGCATGTCGCAACCGCTTTGCAGCTGCGATTTATCGCCATGGCGGCCGTCTCTTTACAATGTTCAGGATCCTACGCACAAGTTAGAACACATACTCCGCCAGATTGGTCAGCAGCATCGCTTGAAAGATCTGATCCGGCTCGACGTCTCGGACCTCTGGCTCCCTGTCCCGAAGAAGATAGTCCAAAGACTGTTGGGACACAGGTATACCAAATCCTTCTTGAACTCACAAAGCCAACATATGGACGATGATCTGCAGCTGAATCTTACCGGCGAACACGTTGCTCTACTTGACTCAGACTCAATCGGATTTGACGAGGGCGAGCTACTCGGAAAGGGGGGCTTCGGCGAGGTCTATCAAGTCTTCCATCCATGGACTGAGATCGGATATGCGAGAAAAGTCATCACTCGCCCTACTTACAAGTATCAAGAGCATCGGGATGTAATGAAATGCTTCAAGCACGAGCTTTCTGCAATGCAGCGAGTGCAGCATCTTCATTGTGTAGATCTGGTAGCATCGTGTACCTCGCCGGAAGCAGTCATCCTCGTTTCATCACCTGTAGCGGACCGAAATCTTGCCCAGATGTTGAATTCCGATCTCTCGAACCTCGATTTTGAAATACTTCGCACTTCTCTTGGATGTATCACGTCCGCTTTGGCTTATTTACACCGAATTGATATCAGGTGATCTGGCACTCTACCTTCGATCAATGTGGATGCATACTCACAATTTCAGACATGAGGACATCAAGCCACAGAATATTCTCATACATGGCTCGAGTATACTTCTAACAGACTTCGGCTCCTGGCAAGTTGAAAAAGTGGCCTTGCGAAAAGGAGCAAGCTGATTCATGCAGTCACGAGTTTACCAATGGCGATGCGTCGACCACAACAGGTCCAGCAGAGCACACCACACCCCGCTATCGAGCTCCAGAAGTCCTCGACTGTGAGCCTCGAAACAGACTTACAGATATATGGGGTTTAGGTTGCGTACTATTCGAAATCCTGGCTCGGTTGCAAGGCCACAAATTGAGTGCTTTGATAGGAACATGGCATGAGACTGATAACAGAGAGGTCAGCTTCGCCAGGAATTTACAGGCTGTCGCCCACTGGTTCGAAAAGTTGACAGGTGAGCGCGACAATACACAGCACGGCTATAATCGCAAGTACACGTGGCTGTGTTCCTTCACCTACTATGTAATGCTCAATCAGACGAGACTACGGCGACCGTCAGCGGCACAAGTTCTGAGGAGGCTGCAAGATTTGGACGCAATCTATCCAGTCGATATAATAGTGAAGCCTTGTTGTGTGGTCCGTGCAGCGTCTATCACATCACGAATGGCCTCTTCCGATTGCATTCCGCAGTGGCCCATCTTGGACTTGATGTTGGCAGACAAGAACTTGTCACACATTTTCCTCGACACGAACCTCCACATACTCGGTATGAGCGGAAACATATCGAATCTCCATGATGTGATGGCGGTTGCCACGACCCAATTCAATCCTTCCAGACTCGTGGACCTTCTTCCGATTCGGACTGCAATGTCTGGTATACAAACCATGGCTCGTTCGATGCTACCTACTGGGAGCACCCAGGTATTTGGGCTAGGGAAGGACGGTGACCTTCTTGCAGAATTACTATACAGCACATTCACTGCAAGTATCATAGATACACTTTTCAGGGTTGACACACTCAACCTCATATTGGATGAAGACATGCTACCTCGGCCGCGAACAGTCCAACTGAGTCTACTTACGGTCTGTCTAGAGCGCCTCCCTGACTACAAAGTCCCTTTCTTGGTCCTGACCTTCAACCCTACCGAAAGAGAAGTCACAGGTCTGTCCTACCGAGAGGGAAAAGAGCTCTGGACCGATGGTCTTAGTATTGCTGCTGTGACATTTGGAAAGATAGAGACGGAAAAATATGGAATCATTGCAAAGGCTGTGGAAGCGCGACGAGCAAGATACAACAAGCTTGTAAGCACCGCTCCAAGCTCGGGTCGTTGGAAAAGCTAACAACAGTAGCTCAACGAAAACAGAATCATCGTAAAGGTGAACTTCATGACGCACTCTCTTGACAATGAGAACAGGAAGCTGACAAATTGAATAGGGCTTTAAGGAGGGGCAATGCTTTCGTTGCCGCCTCACCAACGAAACATGCAGTGGTGTGCAAGCCGGAGGGTGTAAGCAATGCCGAGCGGTTGGAATGAGTTGCAAATTCAGTCCGGAAGACATAGCACACGGAGGAGAAAGTTCACGATACATCGATTGGGGGTGGGTAGACCAGGCAATCCAGACGCGCTGGAATAGTTGAGTACCAGTCATGAATATCTACCATACTGTTAGACTAGACTGGGGTGTTGGTTCTAGAACGAGTCAATGCCAAGTGGATGTGAAGTAGTCAACGCTTCGTGACCGCCATTTGCGCTAACAACAGTGGTGGTACTTCTCTGTGTGGATTACACCGAATCTACGTTAATTAGCTTACAGCCTGAGCTAATCTGAGTGTTCTCACATCTATATAGTAACCCAATCTCTATGCATTGCTAGTCTGAGTATCGCGCTGCCCAAGCAGCATGCGCCGCAGTCCATTCTTCTTCCTCTGCTGTCCTAGAGCTGATGCGTCCATACTCTGCGGTCTATTCGTTCCATTCCCGGCGTCAATCGATTCTATGCCATTCTCGTTCTTTGCCATCGCTTTCGTTCCTGCTGACCTTGATCTGCTCGCGTTCATCGCCGCATCATCCTCTCTGATATGAATCACTTTCCGCAATTTCTCTCCCCATTTGTCAATCTTCAATCGTTCTTTCCAACCATCATTACTCTTCTTCCACCGCTCTTTCCACTCATCATTACTCTTCCACCACGTGTACAACGGGCCAGACAACAACGCTAGCGTTATCACCCATGTCAAGATGCCCGCCAAGGCTTATATGACGCATCAGCATCGATCAACTGAAGAAAGCACTGCCGTGGGCGAGACATACCTGTATAACCAGCAACATAAGAACTCCTGAAAACGCCATCTTCAGCGCCATCAACCTTGATCTGCTGCCGCGCAAAATGATCAACCGGCAGAGCAAGGAGGCTCGTCATGAAGCTCAGCGGCGTGAAAATTACCGTCACGAGCGCGAATGCAGACGCCGCGATGCCAACAACAAGACCATTTCGGGTATCTTCGATGCTGGCGTAAGTCCTCTTAAGGTCCAGGTACGATTCAATCGTCTTGTCGACCCTGTCCGCGTCTCGATGTATCTTGAGGATACGATTTTCATACTCATTGATCAAGGCACGCGCCTCCTTCACCAACGCCCATCCCTTCTTCTCTTGACCAGCGGCCGCTTCCTGAAGCCTCCGCGTCTCTCTGAGGAATTTATTCATGATTTTCGCCTGCTGCTGAAGCACGGCAGAGATCATGTCCAGCTCGCTATGTATGTCAGACATTGTATGAATGAACTCTCTCTCCTTCTTCTTCTGTCCCTTCATTGTTAAGATATCCTGCTCACCATCAAGATAGCGTTGGACGTCAGACAGCGTTGTCACCACCGCGACTTCAAACATCTGGAGAGCGGATCTGAACCTTGAGCCCTCATCTTCCTGGTCGTGCTCTTCTCCAAATTCGAAGACCTGATTAGCGATGACGAGGCCCATCTGTAGCTCGACCGAAGGTGTTGGCTCGCTCATGTCACCAAAGAAACGCGGTGTTTGCCACCCATCCTTCGAGGAGAACACCGCAATCCTACCAGAAACTCGCTTACTTGAGTAAGCAGACAAGAGGACTGATTCGTATTGCCATAGCCACATTTGTGGAACCATCAGTATTGGCGCACGAGTAGTGTCAGCATCCTTCGATGAGTTTGATGGGTCTGATGATCTTCTCCACACTCTGGAAACCACTTGATCCATGTTTCTTTTGTCAAAGAACATCTCATCCATGCCTGGGAAGTACGCCTCGTCTAACGTACGATCTAGACATATACCGAGTAGGGTGCGGTCGCCAAATCCATACTTTGAAGCTGGCAGTTTCTTGGAGGTCTTCTTGGCGTCTTCGTATCTTGCACGTGTACCGAGGACTTCGCATATTCTCTCTAAAATGAGAAAAGGAAACTGTATGGTCATTATTGCGGTTCATGTGCTATGAGGGAAAGCTTACCACCATGGTACTGCCGATCGTCCTACCTTCGACGACCAGCGGGTTGTACATCGGATCCCGGTAAGTGAGCACTGAGTTACCTGGAGTGATGATGGGTGGGCGGATACTTGCACAGAAACTATCCAAAATTTGCGTGTAACACCCGGACGATCTTCGTCTGTTCACGATACCCTCAATTGTTCTACATATATTCTGCAAGTTGTTAACAAGATGCTGTTTTGGCACCTGCTTCTACATACGTAAAGCACGGGCACCTATCTTGTCAGCTATCTCCGCTAGATGACTGGAGTGACGACCAACATTTGTGTGCGGAACATGAACCCATAACAGTATCTCATCGTTAAAGGATAAATCATCTCTGGAAGATGTATCACTTTGACTCGGATTCCACGGTCCGTGCATCAGATCCTCATCCTGGCCCAAAGTGATGGGTTGACACTGAGAAGCCGATCTGTGAATTTGCGAAAATTGCTCGAAGGTCCTCCGCATCGTCCATGCGAAGGAGAAGTAGTCAGGTTTTCTCGTGGGGGAGGGGCTCCGCTTCCAAAGCATGTTGATATCTCGAAGACAAACCATCACGCGGAACTCCAGAGATCTCTTGTCTGTCGTGTTATCCCATCCATAGTCCCCGGATAGAAGCTGGAATGGTGTTCTGCCGTGAGATTCTTTGTATGGATCAGCACCTCTTGCTAAGAGGGCCGCTACACAATCCGTGGTGTCATAAAGAATCGCTGTCCACAGAGGGGTGCGTCCATCAGAAGGGACCCTGTCCAAAGCTGCAGTATCTTGGAATTGATCGAGAACAAAATTCATGATGCGAAGAGTTAGAGATCGGATTTTGAGGTCCCGGTCATAGTGCTGTTCCCACGGACCAAACAAGAGCGGGGCTAGCTCTTGAATGGAGAGTCCAATGTGTCTCATTGGTATCTGCGAAGGCCTGTCCTGGTACGTGTCTAGAAGTTGTTGTAGCTGTTGGATTCTTGCCTGAACCGGACCTAATTGAAGAACCAGAATTATAAGAATTGATCTCTTACCCGCAGTTCGGGCTTATTGACGCACCATCATTTCCTCCCAAGGCACTGGTCGCTTCGAAAGACCTGTCACCTTTCTTCGGAGACCTTATCTCTTGAACAGATCTGTCATCCTTGAACTCGGCGCTCTCAGCACCCGAATCTCGTCCGTCAGCCTCATCGTGGCCGGCCTGATCATCGGAGGTTATCGCAGTAAGCACCTGCTGTCCATCCGCAGGGGTAGTGAAAACCATAGCAGAAGGTGTGACTGGTGAGCCGCGCTGCAGTCAAGACGCAAGCTACGATGCGAGGTAATTTGGCAAAGAACAGATTAAATAGCCGCAAGATGTTGCCACAAGGCAGAAATGATGGCCGTGGCTGGCTTACCTCCATGGGGGCCGTTTTGGCGTGTCGAAGCGAGGTGCCCCGCCCCCTGTATCTCTGGTTGGCTCGCACAACCAAAAGCAAGGCGACGCAGAAAGTGTTGTCAGCACGCTTGATAAGAAGTGACACTTGCATGTGACACATGCACCTGATGGAAACTACGAGGGCGCTCATGTGACTTCGTACGACGAGGAGAACTGATTTCAGACCAGGCGTTTCAACTGCGCACCAAGCAACAGGGGCACGGCAGTCCCCTGTACACAATGTATCTTGCTAATCTGTGGTGTGCAGCTACTACTAATTAGTGTAGACACGGTAAAGGTAGGGGGGTTAAACTAATATACAATGACAATCGTTGCAACGAGGGCTAAGTGTACTAACTTAGTTGCTACGAGGTAAGCTGCGGATGGGTTGTATAGTCCTGTGCGCGCTTGCGCAGTGCGCGCATGTAAGTAGCTATACCTATTGTAGCTAGGCCAAGAGGGATTTACTCGTACATAAGCAAATTCTCTCAAGCATTTACTGCACGTTTGTTCTAGATCGAAACCACGACCTTTGGGCCCCATTCGTCATGGTTGGGAACGCTTCGCAACGCATATGGACTGGAATACAGTGGTTCACCACAGAGCTATTGAACTATAGGCAAACCAAGCACGACGTTTCTCCGGAAGAGTTCCTGGCACATTGCATGTCGCTCAAGAGCAAAACTCTGGAGAGGAAAGAGGCTATTCAAACTGGCTGCTGGGAGGGAAATGATGAGGCACCAGTGCCAAAAGAGTGCACATATCGTCCCTCGGATTCATTGATTTCGACAGGAGGGTTTGGAGGCAGGGATGAGGCGCCAATTCCACAGCCCTTCGCTTTGATCTAGAAGTAAGCCACGGACCTGGGCTGGTGAAGGTGACGATTTGCATCCATACGATGCCTCAATCAGTGTCAATTTTCGGTTTTTGTTCAGCCATTGATTGTTTGCCATGTCTTGCTATAGTAGATAAGTCGTTAATTAGCTGCTATGGCGCGTAGAGAGATAACTGACCCATAGGAATATCGCTATGTAAACATCAGGATCTAAAGGATTTTCAATCATCCCTTCTCACCATAGCCTCCGCAAGTGCCTTAGCCGCCTCGAGATCCTCATCGTCATAAAACTTGAGTCCATAAGAATACATGGACTGCTCCGATTTGCGAAAGTTCCTTTCGATCCAACCAAGCTGACGCTCCGTGAAATTGTAGTCTGCTTGATGACCTTCTAACTCTGATTCGTCAAAATCATCCTCGTTGTCGTCGATATCTTCCTCGGACATGTCTGACTCTTGCATAATGGCACGCAGAATAGCCTGTCCTTCTTGACGATATTCATCCGAAAAGATTTTGAGCCCGTGCTGCATTAGAAAGTGGGATTCAGAGCCATAATTCTTCTTCAGAAACGCAGTTTCCTCGGCCGTGTAGGGTACAGCATTTTGAGCTGGAGTAGAAAGCCCATTGGCAGCTTGGAATTCTCGCCACCTTTGCTTCTCGGAAACAGCCCATTGACAGGCTAGCATATATAGGCGGTCCTTCTTCAGAGCGTGCGGACCGAGCTTTGGCCAGTCTAGTGGAGAGCGCACTTTGATTGCGAGCAGCGGACTTCCGGGGTGAAAATAAGCAACACTCTTGCCTTCACTGTCTTTGATATTTCCCTTAGACTTTGTACTAGATTTGATTATGGGATTGTATCTGTCTGTTAACCAAAGTGGTTGCCCAATGACGTTGCAGAGAAAATCAGGCACGTGCAGGACTTCGTGGAGAAGGAGAGATGCGTGCGAAGATACTCCTGAAGAATTGGGCGAGCGCTTTATAGGGATCTCGACGGTGCCTGTTCCTAGCACTGGGATGTGGTTGCCCGGGTTGAAGAAGAGCGAGGGATCTACTTTTGATGTGAAGGGTGTGTACGTCTTGAACCAGCCTCGATCCTTCGCGATGCTGTCAATGCAGTGTCAATAATGAAGACCTCGCTCAGTCGCGGTGCACTCACTGCACGTTGGCATTGCTCAGAAAGACCCAAGTAGGGCACAGGCGTGAGTCGGTATCCGTATTCATCTTGCTATCAGTCGGCTTCACGTGTAAGGATCAACGGTTGGTTGGAGCTAGATAGGACGCAGTAGACTGATGAGTGCTTCTCTACATGGTACGGGTGAGAGACTTTGTTTTTGCGGTTCCGATGTGCCCGCCCCAGACGTCTCATGTTGTAAAATGAATATATAGTTTTATCTTCACGGCTCATCTTCCACATACGACCATAGGACACTGAAAATTAGGCTTCCCGTCCGCTCAGCCATATACAAGCAGTGTACCGGCGGATTAGTAGTTAGGTGGGTGACCACTAGCGAATCCCCGCTGTTGTATGTTTTTGCATTCTTGGACACCCAATCTTTTTGTTAGGAGAGGTGGAACGTTGAGGAAGTTCGAAAAGAGGCTACTGTATTGGCAGGATTGACGAGTAAAAGTCAACGAAATCACTAATTCTTGTTCTGTCAGGGTAGAATTCGTCTTTGCTTAATCCACACATATACTGCATCAGGGTCTGACAATGAAGAATCGATCGTTAGCAGCGCTGCTTCGTGGAAACAGCCATCGTTGTTACAACTGTAATGACGAGCGTGAATATCACGAAAAACGAGGAATATGAGCTGCACTCGGAGCATTTAGTAGGTGACTTCTCACTGCTCGACGTGAACTTCGTCCAAAGCAATGAATCAGAATTTGTTTTCTACACCAATGTCACCTACTACACTTTCCTCGCCGCAAAGAACTCATCATCGAGAAAAAGATCATGCTCCTCCCTTGTATCCTTTAGACCTTTCATCGTTGCATAAACTGAAACCATTGGTCCACAGTACTCATAGGCTTCACCTTTTGGCCGTAGGATAGCAGGCTTGCACAAACCTTCCAATGCCCACGCACAGTCGTCCTTTCCATGTGCCCGTCTCATGACATTACTCTCCTTCAAGAAGCATACCAAGATTTCTCCTGTGGATAGAAGGCAGAACCTCGAATTCGCTAGGCGGAGAATTGCGTACAGCAACTTGGGGTCGCGGCAGGGGGTCTGGAAGATGATGTGCTTTTGCTTAATACTCATGCGGTTGAGACTATCAAGGGCTTCCGGCGGGATATCTTCACAGACATCATGGTAGCATCGAAGAAGGTCTTGCATGCTGTCAAAAGTCTTGAATTTGGAGGGAAACAAGCCTAATTGAACATCTACTTGCTCATTCAGCCAGAGCTTAAAGACCTCGCTCTTGGACTTGCCGGTAATTTGAGACGCTTTTTCGAATAACTCCTTGTCCAAGTACTTGAGGTGTTTGCCCATAGTTTCGCCTGGACAATCTGTGCAGCTACACTTGACAATTCCTCCAAGAAAGGTTCCCTCTAAGGTAAGACGACGTCCATCTTCCGAAAAGGAGTGGGGGCTATTGCCTTTGGAAACAGTGATATACGTGCTGAGCTGACCCGTAAGACTTGTCGGGTGGGCTACCCAGCTAGGACAATCTGTAGAGTCGTAACCCCTCATGGATTCGATGACCTCCAGATCACCAGTACTCTCGATGATGTATTTGGTGTATGCCTGGGCTACTTGCTCAAATGGTAGGCTGTAGTCGGGGAGCAGTGATCTGGGCAGGTCGTGGTGACTTAAGAAACCCAAGAGACCGTAGAACAGGTCTACTGGATTGGTGCACTGCCGATTAGACAGTTGTTTTAGAAGACTGTTCAGTCGCTCGCCTGGTGATAGGTGCTTCAAGCCCCCCTTGGTGTTGCCAACATATGGAGAATCGTGCCACTCCATCCTAATCTCATGCAAAGTGATCAAATTTCCCCCTTGGCCCACTGTGGCAAAGACGAGGGCTTTCGAGTGCTCGTTCATCAGATGGGTTTCTCGCGTCAAACGCATCACTGTACCAATAAGATGCTGCAAGTCTAGCACAAAGTTCCCCAGAAGTGCGATTGGTGTTCTGGGATTCAAAACGTACTCCTGCATGATCCAAACTCTTGTGAGGTAAGGTTGACTGAGTAGACTTGCTACCTGTCGTACAAACCTATTGAAAGGCGCATGTGTGTCTTGTGACGAAATTTGACGAGAGATTTGTGTATACGCCTGGGACAGCATGTTCTTCATAGGGCCAGGTTGAAACGGATACCCTATCGCTCGCAGTCGAGCCATCGTCGTTTCTATGGCCACTTGACGCTGATGCGCAGCGAGCTGCTCTATCAGAGGCGTATCTGGAGCTCTCTCCGTAGTTCTTATCTTGCCAGCAGTGACTTCGCCGTGGTAATAACCTCGTAGTTCGTTTGTAGGGGGATGTTTGAAGGAATCCTGTACACCGTAGTCCAAGCCTCGCCTCAGTACTTCTAGATCAAAGTCTTCGTTGAGGACTTTTGACGGCAACCCCATCCAGATCCATACTCGACTTGCCATCGAATATATATCGCCCATCCGAGGTACCTGTTCGTTCCTCTCGTTTATATCGCTCTGGTTGATGCAGATAGCGTCGATCCAGAATCGCATAGGCATGGTAGCGGGGCCGGTTACTTTGCCTATAGACGACCCGGCGACTGTTTGAGCATGTCCCGTGTTGTAGAGTGTTTTGTAATCTAGATTCTCGTGGTGCGATAGGAAGTTCGGTTCGTATTTGCGCGTCGTCTCTAGGAAGTCGTGGAGATTCTCCGTTACGTCCAATCGTTGGCCGTTCACAACAATGGTCTTCTTGTCTGCAGAATTGCCCCAGACGTATGAAAGCACATGGAAATCAAGCGCATCAGTAAGCGGCACTTGCTCCATAGTAAGTTTGAGCTTCCCGTCCTGCATCGTAGGATCGATAGTGATTAGTCGAAGGTCAGGGCCTTGAAGTGGATCATAGCAAAGAGATTGCATCTCAGTGGCCTCTGGCGCACATTCGTCGGTGTTTTCGTCACGGTTTTCGTCATATTTTCCGTCGTTGTTGTCGGGATCTACGAATCTTGAGATGTCGGAATGTGGTGGGTCATCGACTGGCCGCTTGCCAAGGGCATTGAATGATGATGATCGCTGAGCTCGTGTATCGTTTTCTGATGTTGCGACGTTCATGATGAGTGAGAATTGGAAAGACGTTTGGTGAGGCTAGAAGATAAGACAAGTGCTGCCCACAGCCACGTTTTGACGACAAACGGCTGTAGATTCGGTGACGTCGCAGCTTACGAAAATACCAGCTTGAGAGAACAGAGGGATCTCTTGATGGAGGGATTATAGCTGAAAATTGAGTAAAGGACTGGAATACAAGTCCTATCAGCTTCATCGCTGGAAAATCGAGGAGGAAAAGGCTCATATAAGCAGTGCGAAATCTCACTACCGACCAGAAGAATGTAGGCAGCCAATCTGCTTACATACCTGCAGTCTTATCGAACGACGTAAGCCGTATCTGCAGCCTGTTTGCCCCAAAGGGGGCTGGAATCTGTAGTCAATTGTTGTATCTACCATGCAGCAAGGCTGCGCTCGGGCTGTGAGAAGGCTGACACAGCTAAGGTGATGACGCGGATGCGTAGCGAGATCCAGCTTACCGTACGGCGTAAGGGGCTAACAGAGAGATCTTCATGTTGAGATTACACAAACACTCTATCAATATTATGCAACACCGCGCTAGGTCCAATAGAGCGATTTCTTTGTGAGCAAAAATTTTCTTCGCGCACTACAGTGGTAAGAGCACTAGATTTTTGCTCGACAATCTACCCGAGCCTTACGCTCCCCGTCCGCTCAGCCATATACAAGCAGTGTACCGGCGGACTAGTAGTTGGATGGGTGATCACTAGCGAATTCCCGCCGTTATATGCTTTTGGCGAATCTTCTCTCTTTTTGATCCTATAGATTCATTCTTCCTAAACTCCTGGACGGTTCGATAGATTCGTGACAACGCAACTCCGACTATTTAAGTCCGCAAGATGGCCCTCTTTCTAAACCTAACCAAGCCCTAATCTCATATCGCAGATCTGAGAGATTCGCACCTATCATCGGCGGAAGCAATCATCTATTGGCATCTTAGTGCAATACTACCTGTCTTTCTGCACGTATTCTGCGCCTATACTCCTCAATAGCCTGTCCATCCATAAAGTCGTCCATGTAGCACTCTCCGACAAACTCCCATCTCTCACCATATTGTCTTAGCACAACAGGCACACTGCACCCAAACAGAACCCAGACTTGATCTCCGGACCTCGAACTGTGTGGAGCCATACCGAATCTGCCATCAGTTGTAGTCATTATGCGTTTGCGGTAATAGAACATTACTGCTGCGGCGTCCAGTGTGTACTGGTGGGCATCGGAGCTTAGCTTTTCTTTGGTGGATGGTGATGAGAATTCTGCGTACCATTCCTCTATCCAACCACGCATACTGCGTCCGCATATGAGGAATGAATCATTCTTCTCGAACCAGCCTGGGAAATAGGAGCCCTTATCCTCAATGCCTCGAATCGCCCTTAGGGTTATCTCGCCAAATGCTGGATTGCAGAATCTTGCGGGGATGGGTCTACGCTTATAGCGGCCGCAGAGTAGCGCGCGAGCGATGTTAACTCTAAGCTTAGATCCATTGCAGGAGTCCGAGCGGACCAAGTTAGGTTCCGCACACGATTGAATAAGGTTGAACTCGTTAGCACAGAGATCCCTGGCATACCCCAGCCCATCAATCGTAGCAACAAGTAAGCCACTTGTGGATAACAATGCCATATCTGGCGAGAAGTTGACCTTGGCTGGTATGTCTGAAGATGCAAGATAGGGCGCTGGAATATCCCAATCTCCTCTTTTCTTTATTTTCATCAGTTCCTGATGTTCTTGCAAATGATTCAGCTGAGACACCATGTAGTGTACACCATACGTTTCACCGCTCCAGTTTGGTACCCAAGACGGTAGTGATGGTTCGACCCGATTAGATCTTCCAAAACAGATGATATCCAAGATTCGATATTGCTGGACATGTGCTTTCACCAGTTCGGAATATACTGTTGATACGCTCGTCGTGTAGCCGGGTGTCGGAAAGAGTAATCTAGTATCGCTTGCGAGTCCAAGAAATCCAAATATACGGTCTCGTGCATCAGTGGACTTAACCCCTTTGCTCTTGTCGAGAAGACAAAGTAGCGGCAGTTGGATTTTGAGATTCTTCAAGCAAACCCTCATGTGCCTCGCCGATTTCGCCTCCTCATAACCCGGATTTCCCATGATGAGTGTTGCGTATCCCTCCTTCGATTTATGTTTGAGGAAATCTAACAGATTATCCATACCTGTGTAAAGGTTGAGCGTATCAGAAAGCCACAACAGCGCATTCTGTAACTCCAATCCCTTGCACCAGTGATCTCCACAAACGAAGATCAGATCCGGGGACAGAACGTACTCTTGACGAATCCAAGCCCTCTGCCAATATGGTCGTTTGAAGAGCTCATGGAGGGCTACCCATGAAGCTTTGTTTTCTGGTTTCGAGATCAGATGTTGAACACATTCCTTTGGAAAGTCCTCAGCGAGTTTGGAGCCGAGCTTCCGGATAAGGTTGATGGCGAGGCCGCTATCGTCGTATTCTCTGCCTAGCCAAACCAAAGTACATGTGGATTTGCTGTAGATTTCGCCCATCAGAGAAACCTGCTGACCCCGTTCCTGCAAATTGTTTTGATCGATGCATATGGCATCAACCCAATAGTACCGATAGCGATGCTGTTCGGCTATTACACTGGCACACCATGGTTTACCTATAGAACTGAGAGCCATGAGCACATCGAACAAATTCTGAGTAATCCGAAGTAAAGATCCAGATATGTTGATTACCTTAGAAAGCTCCCCAGAACCCCAGACGTACGACAAAGTCACGTAGCTCGGGTACTCGCTGTCACGTAGCGAGAAAGTACGAATCGAGAGATTAACGCTAGATGATGAAGGTTGAATCTCAGAGAACTCAATCAGACGTATCTGGGATGTGGCGAAGATGGGATCATAGAGGTACTCGGGTTCGTAATCGATTTTGTGTTCGGTTGCGACAAGTGCATCATTTTGATTCAGGTCGTAGAGGGACTGTTGAACGTTTCGACCCGAGTCATGGGCATTAAGAGCCATTGTGCTCTGTTCCATCCACACCAGAGATTGGCCAAATCAAAGTCGGTTGATACCCGGGTAGGATGAATGAATAAATAACCTGATCTTAAGACTGTTGACTGGTGGCTGTTCTTCCAGAGTAGTTTGTAGGAAGTAAAGCTGGGCATGGAAGGTGAATGGTTTTAAGAGAATGCGGGAGAATGGGGGAACGAAGTTTCAATTCAAAATTCAGTACGCCATCGCGCGTATCACGCGCCGGTACACTATCCTACCATCCATCACCTATCATTAGAGCACCAAAAGCTTGTGTTAGTGGCAGCTTCGTCGGCCAGTCGGCATTGAATGCGCAATGGAGACGTTTGTTAGCAACGAGGATGTTTGCCAAGAGCTGAGACTCAAGAGCTGAGACCCAAGATCTGAGACCCAAGAGCTGGGCGCTGGAAGCTGAGACCTAAGAGCCGAGAGCTGATAGAGCTGTGCGATGTATGGCGCCCCGCAATTCGTATTTCAGCAGCAAATATGCACAATAATGGCGGGGTGAACTTAAGCCCCCGTACATCACATGGCCAACATTAGTAAACGAAAACTTTAGTGCGCATTACTTCCTGTTGAGCTCAATTGCATCGTTGGTAAGATCTCCTTCTGAGTTCTAGTGTGAAGGTGCGGTTCGGATTGTCCAAATACTGACTTATGCTTCTCCGCATCTCTAGGAAGCCGATCTCAGTCTCTTTCACAGCATTCTTTTTTGGTATACTTTATTTCTTTTGAATTTTTGAGACGAACGATGATGGCAACCTGCGAACGAGTCTACTGCAAGAATCAGCATCATTGGTACTGAGGCCATTGATACAAGTCGCCAGTTTACGGCTTCATTTAGCATTTATTCGGAGCATTTGAAATGGCTCGTTGCCGGGTCCAACCCTTTAGACGTAGAATACGTTCATCTCGATACTCTTCACATGGTTCGCCCACCCAGGGAAACGTGCTTTAGGAAAGACTTCCAGTGTATCTCCCTGTTCAATGATAGCTAGCCAGCACTGCAACTGGAACTCCGAAGAGTTTCTGTCGAAAAGGACTGTGTGCTTTCTTGGTGTGCTTGAGGCGGCTACATTCTTCTGGATAGACCAACGGGGCAAAGCTCTTGACTCTGGATTTCTTCGCTGAATACCAGCTTCAAACCACGTCCACGAGCCATGGTAAGGATCAGAACTGGTTCTTCTTTCCGAACACCACCCTTTTTGCTTTGTCAGAATCACCCACAATTCTAGTATGAAGAGAAGCATACCTTGATCATTGGACTCGATGGTGAAGACAATCCTTTGAATCAATCCAGGGATCTGAATGCTCAGATACGGGATGTCTTGAGTGCTTTCCCAAACAACAACTTGCCGCGAAGATCTCGCAGAAGCACAAAGCCATTGCTCTTGTGGCTTGTAGTCTTCAATGCCAACAAGGATACCTTTCTCATGCATGGAGCTGTAATCTTTGCCTTCGCCCTTGTTCTCGTCTTCATCATCTTCCTCACTGTCTTCCACTTCATCCATATCGTCCTGCGGAGCTTGCCTTGACAGTTTCTCTGCTTTCCTGTGTTTGCTGTATTTTCTGTATCTATAAATACCATAAGTTGCACCAGCCACAACAGCAACAGCTGGAACAAACTTCAGTACGAGTATTGCCTTGCCTCCGATAAGTGCTTTGCCACCTACAGCAGCTTTCGTGCTAACCACTCCAGCTTTTGTGCCAGCTGCAGCAGTCTTCGTACCAGCCACGGCAGCCTTGCTGGCCATTGCAGCCTTCGAGCTAGCAGTAGCTTTTGCTGTCGCTGCGGTCTTGGCGAAGCCAGCCTTCACAGTGAGTGACTTGGTTGTCGTCGTGGATAGAGCAGTTGCAACACCGCCCGAGGTTGAGACAGGTATTGAAACCGTTGTAGTCGTAGTCGCAAAGTGCAGTGCAAAACATCCGGCCATAGAATACCCAGCAAGACCGCCCGTGGCGCCTGCAGTAACTGGTTTGATGAGTTCTAACTTGCCGTCTTTCCACTTCTTCAATCCGTGTTCAAAGAGCGTCTTGGCAAGTAGCCGGCTTTTCTCTAGGATAACGTTGAGAGATCTGACATCGGCTGGGTCCCTTTCGTGTAAAGCTCTATCCACCGATGCCAAAGCTCTTGTATGCGGGATGTTCTCATTGGGGATGTAGATGCATACTACGTGCCATGATAACTTAGTCAAGTGGAGATGGACATGAAATGGATGACACAAGCCACACATGGATCTCTACTTACCCCCATTATCCAGACTAGCGAGCTGAACGTCCTTTGAGATGATGATTGGTACTGTTGTGCCGTCTGTTGATTGGATGAGAATCTCCCCGCCCCGTTGAACTTTGACTGTGAATTCGGGCAACATCTCGAACCTCAGTGGAGACGGATGTTGAAAGCCCAAAGCGCACTCAAATGGTGGGGTGGAGCTGCCAGCAAATTGAAAACTCAAACAAAAGTCGACTTGTTTTGATTATCGTATTTTTAGATGTGAAATGGTGATCATGCTATTAGAATGCATAAAGACCTACGTCCCCATCGGTGTGTGACTATCTATAAGTACGGGACTGTTTTCATCTACGAGCTCAGCTGCAGCCGTAACGAAGCGAGCTTTGCATTGACACTCGAGCTGAGACCCAATTTAGGCGACAATAGCGGCGAATCAATGAATCTGGATGAACAGAGGTATGTATCTATACCAATTTGAGCAGCGTTTGCGTAAGATGCGATGGCAGTCTTGTACATAGCCACCACCACCCTGGGCGCATGTGACGCTCTCGACCGTCAAAGACTGCTTTAGTCGAAATTCAAGCTGTTATTATGTACTAACGCACGAAATGATAGGGTAAGGAGTGCGTGTTGTGGTGGCGAGTCTTTGCTTTTTCTTCAGCTGAACTCCTCGGAGTGTTGATTCAGCTCCCCTGCCTTATGTCCTACGGCCCCTCCTTCTCATGCAAAGCTGAAGAATTACTTGACTAGCTATCCTAGCCTAATGAAGAGTTTTAATCCCTACAAGGACAAATTTACACTCTTCTTCAGTGGCGAAAGTTACATTTCCCTCTCCACTCCGAAGAATTTTCATCTTGCTTCACTTGTTCTCGGCAGGGATCGAACATACGTATGTTTTCATTCCTATTCATGTATCTCAGTTGACTTGTTGGCAGATTGTTTCTGAGACCTCATTCTGTGTGTACTGGTTAGCTGAATTAGTCCCAGGACAAAGAAAAGATTCGTATCATCAACGTCACAAAAGCCAGATACGAAACACAGTAATCATGGGTGCACAGCCGTCAAGTGAAGCACATGGTGCTAAGTGTGTCGAATGCGGTGTCGGACTCCCTAGAAACAACTGGTCATTTGAGCATCTTGGACGCGATGGCTGGGTATACGTCTTCTACTCCATACGACATGATGACGTGCAAGTGTCTGAGGCTCTCGAGCTTGCTGTCGCGTCGAGTACATCTGACTCTGCGTCCTTGAAGGCTGGTTTCAGCACGGGTAGAACAATGAGGGAGGTCAAAGTCTTGGATTATATCCGTAACAGCCAGAAAGACCAAGGTTACACTTGCCTAAACTGTCTGAAGGAGTGCTGTGAACGTGGTTTTGCGGGGTGGGATCGTATTCTAAAGGAAACCAACTCGCTACTTCGGAGCCATGGCATTATGGTTGAGACTGCCAGGATTCAGACGATCGGGGGATCATTTGCATTCCTTAGTCGCGGCTAATCTGGGTAGATCTGCCCCAACAATCCAAGTACAGCTCAGTAATCGTGTCTAACTTCCACATAATCGGAATATGCTTCTGCTATGTCTGTACTGAAAATTCTGCCATTACACGGAACTGCTAGTAACCATAGCACCTGATCTTCAAGCAAAGTCTAGCGTCGGCATTACCACGCTCTCTCCAAGCGTCAGCACCATGGCTACTGAGGCCATTGATATTGATATTGGCCACTGATTAAAATGCGTATACAACTACACAAACGTCGCAGGAGTTAATGAGGTCTTAGACAAACTCAAGCATGAGACATTCGATGACGAAGAACAGACGAGTCACTCATGACTTCCGCAACACGTCTTATACTCATCATCACAGGTGCCTTATCGAGGATAAGTAATGCCAAAAATAACCTGACTCACAAGCACGAGGCAGGCGCACTATTCTGGCTCAATACACTTTTGCCATCGAACATCGCCTTATTAATCTTTGCCTGATCGATCACGTTGTCCATCGTCCCGTCGATGAACAACAAAACGCAACTACCAAACCAGAATATGGGTTTATAGATTATCCAAAGGTATCTTATGTTACCGTGTTTTTTCTTGACTCTTGAGCTTGATTCTTCGACTGTTGCACGAGCTCGGCTTGCCTCCAATCAACCAACTGCTCGACATGCAATTTGAATCAGCGCAGAAAAGCCCTGCCTAATTTCAAGGGCACAAATACCGTCGATGGCTTAATATTATTCGCCAACCTAATTCAACTCAATAACCTTCTTCCCCTTCTTTTTCGCCTCAAGCACCGCATCCCTCCACTCCCCCACCCCATCCAACGCACCTTGCGGATCACTCTTCTTCTGCAACAAATACCCCTGAATCTCAGCGGGCGAAAAGACAGCCTCAGGCAGCGCATCAGCAAACTGCCTCGCCATCTCCGTAAGTTGATCTGGCGGCAACGTCGCAAAGTTTGGCGATTTGTTACCTGTGGCCCCCCACCTAGCCTCCTTCTTCCTCTTATCATCACTACTACTACTACTACTACTACTACTACCCGTCTTTTCTGGTGCATATTTCTTTTCTCCTCCGTCACTACCATCACACTTCTTCCCATCCGCCTCATCACTATACATGCGTCTGAAGATTTCTTCCACTTGCGTCCTTGTCGCTAGTGTGAATTTGATTTGCAGATCCACGCGCCCAGGGCGTATGAGCGCCGAGTCGAGTTTCTCGGGGTAATTCGTCGTCATGATGAGGACGCGGCCTTCGCTCGAAGCGGCGCCATCAATGATGTTGAGGAGGCCTGCTAGCGAGATTTTGCTCTTATTGCCTTCTTCGTCGATGGGTGGCGGAGGAGGAGGGGTTGGTGTAGAAGTTGGTTTGGTGCTGGTGGCGACTTCTTTTATGCTGGGTGCGGGTGTGAGGACGGATGGGGGTGCGGAGGCTGGTGACGAGGCTGTGGTGGCTAGGGTGGTGGTTTCGCTGTTGGGTTTGCTGGAAGATTTGCGGGGACGGAGCGAGTGTGTTATGCGTCTGCGGATGGACTTTTTCTTTTCAATGTCAACGCCATCATGCTGCTTCTCGTCGGATTTGTTTTCGTTTTTGTTGTCGTTGTTGTCTTCCTTCTCTTCTATCACCTTCTCTGTTGGCGCTGGAGCAGACGACTTGTCGGCCTCGTTGACGGCAGGGTCATGCTCTTGCTCTGGAATTACAGAGGATTGATCTCGTCGAATACCTGCGCTGTCGATATCCTCTAACAAGACGATACAACGATTTGGTAGCTGCCCAAATAGCGACGCAAGATCTGACTCGCTCATGTCCCGCTCACTCAGCGAAGCGCAATATACGCTCAGTCCGAAAATGCCAGCCACGGCAAAGCTCAATGACGTCTTGCCGGTACCAGGAGGGCCATGAAAAAGGTATCCTCTCCGGTGCGGGATACCGCGTGCAGCATACCACCGAGCAGTAGCTGGGTGGAGGTACTCGTTGATATCTGCAACGACCTTGTTCTTCTGCGCTTCATCCAGGGTCACCGTGCTGATTGGTCGTGAAGGTCGATTTGACTGAACATGCCAATACCCGCCATGTTTTATCTCAGCGCGCATGATCTCAGTCGTCTTGTTAGGCTTGTGCGCCGACCACTCCTTAACATGGTCTATCAGGTCCTTGACCGGCTTCGTACTGCGGCCCATACAACGGATGATGAGGAAGTACTCAATGCGCTCTTGGTACTTATTCTCCTGACAGTCCTTGCTGAACTGAAAGTAATGACCGTTATGGGTGAAGCTGTCGTCACCCATGTTGGGTTCGTAATAAGTCGGACTAGTACCCTTGTACTTTTCGTAGTTGAATATGCCAGAGTCGTCCAAAACGTCCTCGAAATCTGCTTCTGAGGCATCGTCGTTGTCTATTTCGTCGCCTCGTGCTCTTGGCTTTTTGGATGTGGCTTTTAGGTCCCGGCTCACTTCTGTCATGCGGTGTTCTGATATCCAGGATATAAATTGGGGGTATAAGTCATCATCATCGTCTATCCTTATTGCCGAAGTACCGTGACCTCTATATGGAGAGTTAGTTAGTGATTGTCGGGTGAGTTGAACGAGTGGGCAACTTACAATATAAATCCACGTCCCTGAGTGTACATGAACAGCGCACCTTGGAACAGACCGAAAAGTAAAAGATATAAGGACATTGTGCTTCCGACATCGAAACCGAGTTTGTTAAGGAGAAGCTGCAGTATAGCGCCGACTCCTGGAATGTTGATAGCCGCATCTGCCATGCCTGGAGGTAGCGAGTCTTTCAGGTTCTCCATGATTAATACCGAATCGGAGCCGTCTTTCGAATTGAGGCACAACGATAGATAAGTAGGAGACAAAGGGTATACGGAGCGTCCGTTGCCGTAAGACGGTGTCTCTACCACACGTGAAACTCCGACAGGTGACTTGACTTAGTGTGAAGTGATAGTAGTCCAGCCACACAACGCGAAATATGCTTATTTATCTCCAATGCAAGACAATCAGGCACCCCTACCAAATTGCCTGGTATATGCTGCTTTACCTAATACCAATCCTCGTCATAAGGTGGTGTTGAGGAAAAGGGCGGTGGGATGGCAGCCTAGGCTAAGAAGTGGCTGTGCATGATTATCGCAATCGATCCAATGTGCGCAAGCGCGGAAGGCAATCAGCTACCATCCTACATGGTATCAGCCTCTCGGGGACTGTGTTAGGAAGGATGAGTCGAAGTGGTCACCTGCATGGTGCATCCAGTAAGGTGGAGACTCGCATCGAACTATAGTGCTGTAGTGGAGGAGCGTCGAATGAGGGTGTTAGCGAGCGCGCCAGCAGTGCGGCTGCGAGCAAGGCCGACCAGCGCGCAGTCTAGGGAGATAGTCTATATTCTTTTGCGCATAGTTTTCGCTCAAAGGGCGCAGGCAAGTGGTCGCGATGCGGCAAAGTGGCTGCAATACGTACTGCTGCGAACACAGGTCCAATATTGGAGGTGGACTCGGTGACGCCGGCAGTGAATTGCGGACTGGCCGGCGAGTCGAAGACCATTGGCGCATAGTGGTTTAGCGAGGCAGCAAAGCCGCAGCACTGCAAACGCTGTTCGTCCATGCCTCGATGACGTGGCGAAGGCTGTGGCAAACCAGAATGCCCTCGTAGCTTATTCCCCGACGTGATCTTGGCACTATACTATGTTACGAACGAGACTGAAACTATGTTCTCCGTTCGCGACTTGCGAAACGACAAGTTCAGAAATGGATTGCAAAACGATACGATTAGTGGACTTGAAGCAGAAGTGGTGGTGAGATTTGCATTTCAGACATGTCCATGCCCTTTGGATATCAAACGCCCCTACGCCCTTTCCTTCTTGTGCCGTGACTGTCGTCAAACCCTAGTTGCCTAGCCAGTCGAGGAACTCGGGCGTGAAGTAGCTCACAATAATACTTGCACCCGCTCTCAGAATACCCTGTGTAGCCTCTTCCGCCATCTGCCTCAAGTCAAACACACCAGCTGCAGCTGCAGCGTGAATCATGGCATATTCGCCCGACACCTGGTACGCAGCGATGGGCATGTCCTTACCAATCTCCTTGGCGTCGCTGATGATGTCCAGATACTGACTCGCAGGCTTGACCATGATGATGTCTGCGCCCTCGCCTATGTCTCTGGTGATAGCTCGTCGTGCCAGACCGCGACCGCCGGGTGGCAGCTGGTAGCATCTCCGGTCGCCAAACGAGGGTACTGAGCCCGCAGCATCGCGGAAAGGACCGTACAGACAGCCTGAGAACTTGGCCGCGTAGGACATGAGCACGACCTGGTGTGCAATGCCAGCCTCGATGAGCCTCAGCTTGATAGCGCGTATACGACCGTCGTTCATGTCTGAAGGTGCAACGCAATGCGCGCCGGCATTGGCATACGAGAGCGCTACATCGGCGATGCGCTCTACCGACAAAGCGTTGTTCAGACTGCCATCGTCGCGGAGGATGCCGCAGTGGCCGTGTGAGGTGTATTCGCAGAGGCAGACGTCGGCGACAATGAAGAGATCGGGGAATGCTCGTCGAAGCAGGCGGATAGCCTTGATGACAGGGCCCTTGGGGTCGTCTGCGTTGGTGCCCAGGGCGTCTTTTGCCGTGGGTGCGAGCGGAACTCCGAAGAGAATGACCGATTTGAGGCCTTTTGCGACGAGCGGGGTGAGGTATGGCACGACTTTGTTCAGGCCGCGGCGGTGGATGTTTGGCAGCGAGGGAATGAGCGTCTCTTCGTCAGGCTGGTCGGACACGAAGAGGGGGTAGATGAGCATAGACTGTGCGCCAAATGTTAGTGTCTGTGACCAGGCACACGACGTCATTTCCCACGCACCTTTGTGAGCTGTCGCTCGGCCTGCCATGCCCGCGATAGAGGATGGCTGTATCCTCCGTGCAATTGACTCTTGATATCTCCCGATATGCTCACGCTGGTGGCGGCAGTGCTGGCGTAAGATCGGGTCGAGCGTGCTTCCGATATCTGAGAGCGCAGGTCCGGTCGCTCTGGCCGTTCCGAGTTCCGGTAGGCAATGTCTGAGACGAGCGAGGAGAAGGACATGGCGGGAGTGAGGTCGTGTTGATTCGTGCGTGGGCTCGGGGTGTCTGGGTGTAAGAGTCCTCGTTTGTGCAAAGAAAGTGAGATGTCGCTGACGCTGGTTTGGTCCCTATCGGGCAAAGGTGGCGTTCGTAGTAGATGCGGACAGCCGAGGCGTCAAAGTTTCACTCCGACTATGGCCAGCGCACTATGAGTATGGGAAGAGCGGAGTAAATAGCGACGCGGAGTCTAAGACAAGAGGATCGGAGTGCAAGGAAAGAACCGAAAAGCCCAATTCTTACAGTCTCTGCAATATACACAAGACGCGGCGACACTATGCGCATACGAGCTGCAAATCGATGCCGAGCCATCTCCGGCAACGAATGAGAAGCACGGAATTACTGAGAATCAGATGAGGTTAGCGTCGGATAGTGTTAGTCAGCCCCGAGGTCGAGAGTCCGGCTTGGAAGGCCTTGCGCCTCAAGCTCATCGAGCTCATCACATGATGCATCGCCAACGTACCCACCCCAAGAGCAGTCGCGTATCGAGCGCATGCGATCCTCAGATTCCTCGACGATAACATGATGCCCATGTTTCGAGTTGCGAGAACTGGGCGGGGTCTACGCCTTTTTATGACGATGTGGCTGTTCATAATTTCCCGTCTCTTGCCGTTTGTCTACCCACCTGCCTTCTCAACCTCCACCTGCTCATCGGCCCTTTTACATTGGAATGTTACTTTTGTCTATTGTTGTCGCCGTTGCTCTTCGGAGTATCTCGCACCGTCGCCGATCGACGGCAAACACAATGTGCGTTGAGGTGGCGACGTCTCCAAGTTGCTCTTTCGGCTCGGATAGAGTTGATATGATACACGCGATTGCAAGACGACAAACACCGCGCATCCCATAACGTTGATGATGAAGTCGTGGATTCCCGCGCCACTGACATACATATCCGCTTACAGCGGACTTCCCCTCGTATTCCAGCAAAACCAAGTCGCCAACAGGGTCTTGACAGAAAAAGCAGCATCGCAAAACGAAAGCATCAGTATCTGAATGCGATGTTGTTGAGTCAAGGGCAAAGCGGGGTCAGTTCTTCAGCCTATGAGACCCTTCGCTAATCTGGTAGTCTCGCTTACCACTCGCGTGGAAGAAACGTATATACCGACGTCGTGTTTCTTTTTCAATGTCGACAAGACCCCGCAGGGTCTAGCGTGAACCCTAACTTTGAAAACAAATATCACAAAGCAAACCCGTACACTCGGCGTTGATAACTACACCTCGCTTGGGCCAAGGAGGCGCCATCTACCCAATCATGTTTCTTCATCACATCAGTTGTTTCTTTCTAGTCTAACAAGTGCCACACGCACTGGGCGCTAAGCCGACTGCCGCGACAGTCCCTTGACAGTCTTTACTGCAAGTGGATGAAAAGAGTACTGTAGAATCACTGCAATGGCATGGAATTTTGCGCGGCCAACGCGGGGCAGCTAACGTTAGACCCCGTAGACCGTTCATCATTTTTGGTGCCGCGCATACTCGGACAAACAAACTACAAGCCACGTCTTATAGATGAACATTGTATATGTAGGGGCATGCAAGGCACACAATCCTTCTCCATCACTGGGCATTGGATCTCGATCTCGTTCTGCATTCAATCTTTTGATCATGTCCGACCTACGTGCCACCACTGTCAGCGTCAACTTGACGCTGATTGTGTTGACTTCCCTCGCTATCAGCTGCCGCATCGGAAGGAAAATACGGATACTGAGCAGTTTTGGCTGGCATGATGGTAAGTTCAATTCCAAGCTGCCTTGGTTAGTGTTACCGCTTCATCGTGCTGACCAATATGAAGCACTTGCTACCTTTGCGGCCTCTTGTGCCATTGTCCTGTCAGTCGTCCAGATGTACGCGACGCGCTTCGGAGCTGGTCTGCATGAGAAAGATATTGACCCGAACAACATGGAGCTGCTGATGAAGGTTTGTCACCCTCTGTTTAGCGCTCACCACAATACACCTACTAACCCCACATTCTCCAGTTGGTCATGACAGCCCTTCTCTTTTACTTTCTTGTAAACTGGGCCGTCAAGCACTCACTACTCTTCTTCTACGCAGAGCTCACTTTTGAACCATGGGCCCGTGTATGGATCTACGCCATGCATGTCGTTGCCTTCGCTTTCGGTCTCACATGCGTCGTTACCAGCATCTTCATGTGCATCCCTGTAGCGAAGTGGTGGGATCCGACCATCGAGGGCTACTGCATCAACCTCTACAACTTCTCCTACTTCAACAGCGTTTTCATGTTAGCTTGCGACCTGGTCCTGTACATCATGCCCGTCATCTTCACCTGGAATATCAAGCTCAGACGACACCACCGCATCGCCGTCAACATTCTCTTCGCCATGGGCGGTCTTGTGCTAGGCGCATCTGCCGCACGCATTGCCTTTGTCCACCAGCTCGCCACGCAGGGTGACTTCCCATACCGCTACGCCGCATCCATGATCTGCGCCGTCATCGAAAATCATCTCGCCGTCATCGTTGCATGCGCGCCCTCCATCAAAGCCGTCCTGATCCGCTACTACCCCTCCCTGCAATCCAAATTCGAACGCATCATCTCCGACGAAGGAAGCTCTGGGAAGCGCAGTGGCAAAGCGTATAGGACGGGGAGCTCCTCTGACCGCGCTACGCTTGACCCTGAGGCTGGAACTGCCAATAGCGGCGACGATGTCAAGCTGCAGATTATTAAGACGCAGGATGTCAAGGTTGAGAGGCCTGAGGTGGGAAATCGAATGATTACAGGAAATAGTGGGAAGAGTGAGAACAGCCTCCTCGGGAGGTGGTGGCGAGCGCCAAATAACTGGAATACTTCCGTTGAGAGTGGTGGAAAGTGAGATATTGGGTTAGGATTGTGGCCATTGTCTATCATTTTATTTCAACTTCAGCTGTCTTAACTTAATAGCTTTTTGTATTCCTCAATACCCAAATCGATTCACTGTTGTTCGCATCGGTCTCTTTCATGGTCCTTGCGACTGCTACCGTGGCAAGCGTGTCTTATCTCTTGGACCACATTGAATCTCTTCCAGCCTCACTTTCTCTCATATCCTCCCACTCGCTCTCCTCCTCTTCAACAACGACCGGTATGCTGCCCATCATCGGTCGAGGCCTTGCTGTCCTAACGTGCTTGAATCCTGTCGGTTCGCCAATGCACATCTCCTTCACTTCCTCTTTCTTGTCCTCTTGTTCGTCCTTCCCGTGCTTAAAACAAAGCACGATTTTTGACTTTACCAGAAGTCTTCTCCAAAGACTGTCTTTCGCTGGCTTGGCAGTGATGGCGGTATTGGTAGGCGGCTGCGGTAGCGCGGTGACTGTGGTGTCTTGCGCATCTTGAAGGTTTACGAGCGTCAGGTTCGCCGGGTCAGAGAGTGAGAAGTGCGAGGAGGACTTGTTGTCGAAAAGAACTGAATTCATGGGGAGGAGATGTCTTGAGTTATTTGGCGCCATCCTGTCTCTGGAAAGGATGTGGCAAAGCGAGGTGCAGTGCGGTAGGTTTAAGCTGCTAGCGCGTGAAGAGCGAGAGCGGCGGAGCGATGATGGTGTAATATGTGACGGGAGCAAGAGATGACAGAATATCTGTCGTTGTGGTTTGTTCGCGTCGCGTGGGTTCGTCATCTCAAAATTGCGACATCGTGCAAACCGTGTTCTGGAGTGACGGTGAATGCCATAACATGGCTGGCGATACATGAGCGCGCTGATGGGACATTGTCACAATGAACGACCGACTCTTTTCGGTTGCTCTCAGCACAGGTGCTCTGAAGGCCTTCCAGTCATGAGATCACCCAAGGAAAGCACTTCGCTGTATCTCGGATGTCTGGGAAGCCACGGCAGCACTTCGGTGGTCGTCGCGTTCATTGTACGATGTGTTCGTTGATACTCGCCTCTCGCGGCGCATCTCGCGCTCGGGTTCCGGCCACAGTCGGACGGATGCGCTGAGATTCCTGACGCCTCAATCTCAAGGTACAAGAACGCCACGATATCTTTGATGATAGAGCCAAGATGACGTTGCCGGACCGCCGCGCGGCAACTAATCAATATCGGCCTTATGTACCTTCTTCTCCAAACAACCCGAAATTTCCCCATCACTCCGCTCATCCGCTTCGCAAAACACCAAAATGCGAATCAATGTGGTCTTCCTACCCCAGGTTCACGTACGGCAGTTTAGGCAGTCTGGGGTAAAATCGTAGACGGAACGACTTGTGCCACCAATCAAATGATACAGCGCCATCGGTGTTTGCCTCCACACTTCCCCGCAAAGTCACGATGTCCACGGGAATATGGTATTCTACACGCTTACACGATAGTCGGCCCGGAATGTATAAGTGCGACGGAACAATTATAGATTCTAGTAATCCAGTAAAGGGGTGCACCTCTTTGTCTCTAAGGCTTGGTATAAGTACCTGGCCGTCCCGATTACCAGGTAACCAGATCTCAAGTCATTCATTACCCGTCGTTCATCATGGCGATTCAACTTAAATATATCCTTGCAGTTGCAAGCGTTTTCTCCGGGGCGTTTGCCGACAAATACTCCAGGACAAAGCCCGATCGAGGCGCGCTAGTGGTCGATGCAACTGGCGCTACCATCGGCAGCTACCCCAACATCAGTGTCGCCGTGGATGCTCTGCACAACTTAACTGATGCGCAAAAGATCTTCATCCTACCCGGCGTCTACAACGAACAAGTCTACGTCCCTCCTCATGTCGGACCTATTACCATCCAAGGCTACACCAAGAACGCACGTGGCTACAAGGACAATGAAGTCACTCTTACAAACAACTTCTCTCGGCAGATGCCCGAGATTCTCAACAACGACGGAACAGCTACTCTTCGCTTGAACTCACCAAACGTCCGGCTCTACAACTTGAACATCGCCAACACGGCTGGCCAATTCCGTCAGAACGGACAAGCGCTTGCAATCAGCGCACAGAAGACAAATCAAGGGTTCTACGGCTGCCAGTTCACCGGCTACCAGGATACCATTCTCGCCAACAACGGTCGTCAAATCTACGCCAAATCCTTCGTCAACGGAGCCGTCGACTTCATCTTCGGTCAGCGAGCTATTGCCTGGTTCGACAAGATCGACATCCAGGCCATCGGCCCCGGCTACATCACCGCCAACGGCCGCGACGCAGAGAACAACACTAGCATCTACGTCTTCAACGAGGTCAACGTGTCCGGCACCAACGGCACCAACACGACTGTGCTGGGCCGCCCGTGGAGACCGTACTCCAGGGTCATCTTCCAGAACAGCTACCTCAGCGACGTTGTGAAGCCTGAGGGGTGGTCTCGATGGGATAACACGCAGAGCACTGATAATGTGGTTTACCAGGAGTACAAGAACTACGGACCTGGTGCTAATATTGAGGCGAGAGCGAACTTTTCGTCGCAGGCTGTTGCGCCGATCAAGGCTTCGGATCTGTTTGGCAGGGGCTTTGAGAAGGAGAACTGGGTTGATGCGGACTATTTGTAGATGTGGGGGGGGGGGGTGGTGAAGCTATTATTCTTGTATAATAAATTTGATGGAGCTGGTGCCCGTACTGTTCAGTATTCTTACAATCAATCCCATTGACCAATATGACCCTGCGCGGCCCGGCGCTTCATGCATAAGCTTCTGACAGGTAAGAATCCTACGTGTAACGTACGCCTGATGAGCTTAGCGCCCTTGTTCGCACAATGATCTACCAATCTCACAGTAGCTCTGCTGACGAGGATGTTCATCTTGGCCTATCCTTGTTTCGACGTCCAATCACGTTTGACAAGTCACGATGGATGGCTGTAAGCCAAACGGACTAAGACAAAGAGAATATCGTGTTGGAGAATCTGTAGGATAAGTTTAATCACTAAATAAAAGCTAAGGACGCTTCTGTCGCTCAATGCTTCCAACGCGGCGCGATTAGGTGGGTGGTAGACGACAATGTTCGTCGGCAAACTTCCGCGGAATGGTGGGGACAATGCGACAGCGGGATGACGTCTTCTATCCGTAAGACTACTGACAACGCGAATCTGAGACGTAGTGGCGGCGCAGAACGAGGTTAAGCACTATGCACCTTTGATAAATAAATATGTCGGATTGCATAGGAAGTTGGGTTCCAAATTGCTGCTACAATCATCCAGCGTCTAGTGTACGCCATCATCACGATCGTTGAGGCTTGACCGCACGCGCAAACGTATGAAACAGCTGTCGAGAACATGGTTCGAAATCATCCTCGCTAATCTTTGTCACCGTCATGGATAGCGAAGAGTTGATCGCGTATGATGAGGATGCCGATTCTCCATTGATCGACCCTGGGGTCTCATAATGACGTTTCGGCAACATCAGAGGCACGTCAACAACAGACTTCAACGAATATGCTTCGCAGTTTCGCTCAAACTTCCTGCATTCAAAGGCACTTTAATTCTGAAATTCCTAAACACAGCCGACAACACACTCAAATCAAGATGGCATCACGTTTCTTCCAAAGCTTTTCACGTTCGGCGCCCACCGCATCCCGCTCATTGCAACAACGAAGTGAAGGTAGCCATTATCGCCCTAGACAACAAGCAAACTACTGACATGTTTCGTCTCAGTCCTCGCACCCGTTCTTACCCGCACATACGCCAGCAGCGCAGCGCCAGGCCAAGCATCCAACGTCTCCAACCCCCAAGCAAGCAACGCCGAGAGCCAGGACATCAACAAGAGCGCCTCAGTCGGCCGAACAGACAAGAACGATGGCGATCATGCGTCGATACAGAATCCAGTTAGCCACCCAGAGCATGACCGAGCAGGCGCGACGGAGGAGACAACGGAGAGCCAGGATAACATGAAGCACGACCCTAAGGAGTCGGATGCGAAGAAGAGGGAGAAAACGCTGAACTATGGCCAGAATAAGCCTTTGGATGCCGCGGATAAGTAGAGGTTGGTGAAGAAGCGCGATAGATTTTTATGAACTCCCAATGCGAATGGAGATTGAAGAACAATCTGATCGCTATCAATGCGACATCCATCCCGAGACCATATGATGACGGTGCGTCCAAAGGTTTTGTGGAAAGAAGCTCACCATTTAACCTTCGTGCTGGAATGTTCGACTATCTGACCAACAACCCCCCCCCCCTCCCTTCGCGGTCGCGGACGCCCGAACAGTCAAATAGTAAATAGGGACTAGTACCTTCAACTAGAAACTTCCTATCAAAGACGAAGTACACAGAGAGAATAAGACCTGCTGAGGCAGTGTCAACGAATGGTAATCGAACACTGTCCCTGAGGAAAGTATGTCTCCAAATCTTCCCAGACGTTTCCCTCGACGTCTTCATCTGTTTCATCGAAACACCATACAAAATGGCCCTTTCTTTCATATATTTTCTCACCATCGAAGCCAATCTCTTTTAAAAGTAGACCTTGCAACGATTGGAATTCACCATCAACACTGTAACTCAGTGCGGCAAGCACGCATTGGCTTCCATCATCTGGTATATCGTCCATGTCGTCCATATTGAAATATAAGTCGTGTAGTCCATCTGTCACGAATCCTAGCTCGATCCTGACAGCTCGGCGAAAATTACTCGATTCGATGATCCGACACCAGGTCCGGATGGTCAAGAGAAGTTCGTTCTCCAATCGTTCTTCCTGACCTGTTCGGCCTACTGGAGAGAACTCATACATTTCCATGGCTGCTAACGACGTCATATCGTTTCCATAAGTCCACCCCGTCTCCAATCGGCCATCCACCGATGCCCAACTCCAGCTCGGAGTAATGAACAAGTTCCAGCTCGGATTTTTGTTCCAGTTGCCGTCGCATATCGGATTCGAGGACTTGGGCAGTCTTCTCGGTACTCTGTCTTTAGCAAGTGACATGGGCGAACCTCGTCTGTCTGTGAACCAATTTAGGCTGAGGGGCAATGTTTTGCGGAAGTGACCGGCTAGGTACGTGTCGTCCATGGCATAGCCCATGCGTCTTGAGATAGCTGAAAGCGCCACCAATTTATCAGTTTGGGGGTACGTGAGCTCACGTGCACTGTATTCCATTATGATTTTGGCCCAGATCTCTTCCAAATCCGTGCTATCTGGTGTTGACCTGTTGCCTTGCATATCTTCGCTATCCTTAATGCGCGGAAGAGATGGTATTGGGAGAACAAGTTGATTTCTGAAGAACTTCGCCTGGTCGGAGCAGTGTGTAAAACCGTGTGGAAGAGATTTGCTTGCATGCGGAACCTGTTCACAGTCCCAGAAGAGCTCTCCATGACCAATGCTCAAGACACGAGTAGCCAGCAAGCGTTCTTGCATGACCCACGCGCGGCTGCCAATAGGCTGATCGTTAAGTGCTTCTGTGAAGTAATCTTGAGATACTACGGTGTATTTACCAATCTCCGTGGAGCCCACATGATGCGTCTTACTGACATCAACTTCGAATGGCAGCGTGGAGTCGAGATTATAACCTCCAAGGCAGCTCTCGTTGGGATGAGCTGCTTGTGCCAGGGATAGATTGATGATGCAGTTCGAATATACTTCCTGCATCCGTCCACACTCAAATTGCCAATCCTCGCTACTACCAAACCCAGACTGTATAATGCAAAGGGCGTCGATCCAGAGGTATTGGATACCAAGTTTTCCTATGATGTGTATAGCCTCTTGGAAAGCGATGGGAAGACTGGTATAAGGTTGTCCGTCCTGAAATTCCGGTAGGTTGTTGGCTGTCAGGCGAAGAAAATTGGGGTTTGGTCCCCAACAGTAGCTCAAAGCAGCATATGGGCCTGAAGGTTTTTCGTCTTGTGAGAGGATCAAGCGGAAGCTATGACCTCCGAGCTCAAGGAGCCGTGTAGGATAGGTATGTGGTGGAGTATGCTTCTGACATCGCTCGTGCTTGTCTAGGCAAGAGTTCATCCACTCCAGCGCAGCCTCGATCGATTGAGTTACAGGAATGGTGGGGTTTCTACGGTATACACCAGCTGCTACCGGTAGTAGTGCTCTTGGTATGACGTAAAACTCGCGCATAAGCACATCTTGCACTTGATCTTCCTCCATGTTTATTCGTATGTCAAACGAAGTAACGTTGCGGGGTCTGTCATTGTCGCCATCTGTACCTGCAGGCAGCGGCAAAGCAATTTTCTATATCGCTCATCTGTACTCTTGCATGCTTCAAAAGAGGAGCACATATATAGCAACCGTCTGCTGCTGCTTTGGTGAACGACTCAAAGATAGTATGATGATCACCTACCATGACGCCGCTTGAGAATATGCGTGAGCATACTTCACAAAGCATTTTATTTTCTCTTCCATACACGTGCAATTTTTCAGCGAAGTGAGCTAAGCACAGTGACAGAGATCGGAGGCGTGTATCTGTCAGCCGAGTACAAGAAAGATGAGTCGTGCATATGGTGGATACCCCAGCCGCGATAATGACTAGAAAGCGCGAGAGTTGCGCATCTGCTATGCAGTTATAGATGGCAGTAGGTGTGGTTGTAGTGTCAGTGCAGGGTGCTGCCTGGTCGCGAGGTGTAGGTGCGGGGTGTCAGCTGCCCAGCCTGAACGCATCGTTGGACGGTGACGGCTGAGAGCCGCATGGAACACTTGCTCGCGCCACATCCCTAATCTTGTCGCAACACCAGCACCCAAATCATCAATGTCGCATCCACTTCTGATTACTCATTATTAGACTTTTTTCGACATCGTAAATGCTCGCACGCATCACTGCAGTCGCACTAGTCTGTTGGCCAGCCGAATTGGCAGTGAGTCCCGTCTCTTCCGCCACACCGTACTGCGCCGACTCAGTGCGCCACATCGTGTTTCCGTATTCGTAAAGCCGATAACCGTTCGGAGGAGATGAAAAGCAAGTGCAAAGGCAGATTGTTTCGCAGTTTCGAAACTGTTAAACACGGGACAGCGGGCACTAGTGTTTTGGCATCCACACTCCACCAATGAGCAGCGTCAAATCACCACTAGCGCCTCGGCAACATCAGCTGTCGTTCATGCTACACCCCCTAGAGCCCACTATAGCTCTAGGCCTAACGGCGAACATGTCTCGCTTGGGCGAAAACACCAGGAGGTGTGAAACTTTGGTGGAGGTTCGATAGCGCTGGGGGAAGGATGCCCTGGATTGTGGCACGGTAAGCATGAAGCCACCCGCCCTGCGAACCTCAGGCATAAGTACAACGATTGGCGCCTCGTGTATTTTCCTCGTCGCTCTTCATTCTCTTACCAACTTTACTTACTATCCTTTTTTTCAATCTCGTCTATCGTTCATTACATTCGTTACCAAGGCACAGGATGTCTCTTTACACTCTTTTCGCTGCGGCCCTTGTCGCTCAGTTCGCAAACGCGTACACCGTCATCCAGATCCCTCCTCCTTTTATGGAGAAGAACATTGATCCCATTGTCTTCCCTGGCGAGTTCGATAAGTCGCATCTCCACTCTTTCTACGGCTCCGACGCCGTCGTCGCCAGCACAAAGACCAGTGCTGAACTCCAAAAGGGTTGCACCAGCGCCGAGAACCCCAACGATCTGTCCACGTACTGGGTCCCTACTTTCCTCTACACCAAGGATGGCAAAAACTACGAGCCCGTCCCCGTCTTCCGCTTCAGCGCATACTACAACCTGGGCGAGACCCCTGCCGAGGTCGCTATCCCACAAGACTTGATGATGGTTGCTGGCAAGGCCGGCGCCATGACCAAGGACGCCATGGACGTCAACGCAAAGGCCGAGTGGGCCTGCGAAAGCGAGAGCGTCGCCCTCGACGCCAACGGTTTCCCTTCCAAGACCTGCGGCACCCACGTTCAGCAACTCCTCTACTTTCCCCAATGCGTCAACGAGCAGACCCTCGAGACCGGTTACAAGAGCCGCGAGAACGGCACACCTAACTGGTGCCCTGCTGGCATGAAGTCCATGCCCCAGCTCCGCTTCTCCATCCGCTACGATCTCCGCAAGGCCCTGCCTAATGGCTGGTCTGGAACCGCGCCTTTCAAGCTGGCATGCGGACCTGCGTGGTGCTCGCACGGTGACTTCATCAACGGTTGGGTTCCCGAGGCTGCTGAGAACATGGTCGGCACGACCAGCGAGAAGCAGCACTTTGCTCCTGTCAACGGTCCTCTTGGAAACTACGATGCTGGCTCTACTTGCAAGTCTGCTGATGCTGACCCTAGCCACGGTACCAGCAACTACGCTGAGAGTGTTGCTGCCATGGCTAAGCGCAGCGTTGGCGCTTGGGGCTGGGAGACTAGGTCCAGGCTCGCTCGCCTGGTCAAGGGCGCTTAGCTCCGGTCGGAAATATCTGATACCCACCGTAGTACTTGAGAAAGGCTGAAAAGATGTTCATGTATATACTTAGAATGAGAGTCAACTCTGATTGACATTAACAAAACATACATATTGGAACCGCAGTAGCTTGCAATCTATATATCCACTACACTACCATCGTAAACCCGTATAGAATCTGCTGTCTTGTTCCACGCTAGCATACTGACACAGCATAACCATCATGCCTGCTCTTCTGTCTGTCCAAGAAACTCCACGGTCTCGTCATCAATCGTATGGTACCACTCCACAATACCGCTTTTGATCCATCCGCCGCGGAGGGTGCTCATAGTAGAACGAAGATAGTATCCGACCACCGAACCTGGGCCGTTCTCAGCTATGATTTTTTCACAGAAAGTGTCGAGAGGAATGCCCTGTTGCATAGGCTCCATCCACTTGAGATTGTACTTGCTCATCTCTTTAGTCTCCTTCACGACCCGGATACCTGTCGTACTTGTCTTCCAAAGTCGATTGGTACAGAGGTGTATTCCTGCTGCGTTGTGGTCTAGGATCTTTAGCTGGCCATCCCCCGTACGGTAGATTACTGTTTTCAGATAACGGTCTGTCCCAGTGTGGTTGGAGCGCAACCCGTGGCCGAAAGGTACAAATGGAGTGATTTCCATCTCTCCAAGCAAGACATCGACTGTATAAAGGCAGTACTCGTCATGATAACGGCCAAACGGCCGTAAGTAATCTGCGATGGATTCGGGGTCCTGATTGCCCATAACGAGGAGATGTGTAACCGATGGAAAGCGACCGGCTTGCCAGGATGTATGCAGCTCCCGAGTGATGATATTTTGCCATTGCAATGAGGCAAGTGCTTTAGCCTGTGGATTCAGCCATCCTATCTCGGCTACGGGTGCATATCTGGGGCCTAAGTGGGTATATTGCATGCCCAGCTGATTGGGAATATTCAAACTCGTCAGGCTCAGAACTAAAGTCTGTAATTTTGGCAAAGGCGGGCCTGTCATGAGTACATCGAACACAAAGGGCGAGATTTCGTCTGCCTGAATGCGCAGATGCTCGAGGTGAGGTACTCGTCTTCTCAACGCTTCGCAAAAGGGATTAGTGGCGGGCATCTGGATACGCTCCTCGGCGCTGTTCTCGTCAGGCTCGAGATCATCCACGGAAAACTCAAGAGTTGAGCAGGACAGTGGCAGTGAATTGATCATTGAGGCGCAAAGTTCAATCGGAATTGCCAATTCGTGTTCAGCATATATTGAAGCTTTAAGCGTGGACCCTTGGAGGAGCGGATCAAACGGAAGATTGGAGGTGACGAATGAGAATGATGTCAGTTCTTTCAGCTGACTGGCAATAAGTACGGGGAGTTGCTTTGATGCAGCTATGGGACGTAAGGAATTCGCCGCATTGGGGTTGGAGGTCTGTGGACTAAGCCGCACAGAGAGATTGCGCACAAGAGCGCCTGTCGTTTGTCGCGCCGCTTCAAGTGAACGGACGAATGGCATAATGTTACGTTCGTTGATCGGAATGTAAGTCCAGAGTAGTGGCATTCCCAGCACATTCCATTGGCGACAGACTTTCAGTGCGTTGATGTAGTCTCGTCGACCTGTCATCGAATCCTGGTATAGTTCTTCGAATACCTGAAGTTTTAGCTCATTTGGTAAGCGATTGAAGGGTGCCTTGAGTGACGACATTTTCGACGCCGGGGGGATCAAGAGTTGAAATCAGTGGATCGGCTAGTTTGGTTGTGTTGATATTAGGAAGGAAGAAATACATTGAAAGCGAGCCTCCTTATGTGGACAGAATACCTAGGCACCTACGGCTGCGTACAATGAAACAAGGTGATTAGGAAAGGCTCCTGCATCGTGGTTGGTAATAGTGTCACTAAACAGCGTGAAGGCATGGGTTGCGTAAGTTGTCGACACAGCGTGATGCAATCTCAATGAGCCATGAACGTCGTTCGAACTCTCATTAGGTCTGCCATCTGCATTAGAGCATTCAACAGGATATTTAGTAGTCCCGTGATTCTTGAGTAGCACACTGCTATCGGGCGGCACCTGCAAGTCACGCTCACTTCCCTCACCTCATTTACCGACGAATGGCTCCCAGCAGCGTACTCGATGTCGTTTGCTCCACTACTTGCCTTCGATTGCCTACACTGAATTCACACTCTTACCTCGATTAGGCTCGCACCGGAATGAAGCTCCATATCCTCCACATCCTAGCCATCGTCGCATTGGCTTCGGCACGTATCCTCCCACCCACCCCCACCGACAGTACAACCGTAAATCTCACTCTCGATGCCTACAACAACACCGATGTCGATGGTGCGAAACTCAGCAACATCTCCGACGACCATGATGCCTCTACTGTCCACACTCTCGCCAACCCACCCACCAAATTCGAGAAAGCAATCTCGATCGGCCAAACTTTAGACTCGGCCATGCGCTCCAAGGACAGTGTCGCCCGCTGGTTTTTCAAAGACTTCCCGCAGTTCGCCGAAACGTGTCAATCACCTTTCACCGGTGACGGAAAAGCCGAATTGGCGAAGTGGGGTTTCGACGACAGCGACGCATTAAGCGCTACGGTAGCCAAGGAGTGCGATTTCGATGGTTATCACAAGATCAAGGCGGCGTTTGATGAACTTGGTCTGGATACTAGGAGCAGTAAGGATGGGGGACCGAATCATTGCTTCAAGGTGAATCACCGGGATGGCGTGGCTATCAAGAGAAACGAGGACGGGAGTTTACCAATTGAGGCGAAGCAATACTATGATGTTTGTGGCAAGGAGTATAGGGTGAATAATCCCCTGTTGAAAAGTACCACTGCGACTAAGCAGTACTAACATCACCAGGCTACAGGTGCATCTTTTGAATTTGCTGTCAATCCTAACGGCCTTGTAGCTCTCATGAACGTGATGAGCATGACTTATTCCGCGAAGACATACACGTGGTTTCGTACACCCCTCCCCGAAGAGCTCCCGCATATCGGTACGACGCAGGACATTGCCTGGGCCATGTGGAACCGCGTCGATGCACCTGATCTCGCTGGCCTGAAGTATCTGCTCGTCACGCAGGTCATGAACGCGGGGAGTAGAGAGCTGTTTAGAAGTGCGCTGGAAACACTGAATCCGCCGCAGAGTGAGTACAAGTTGTGGCCGGGAGAAGAATTCAAAATAGAAACGAAGGGAGGGAAGGCGATTCTGGGTATGTCACGCCCAACCTGGGAAACGACACTTCCGATAAACATCCATGAAGAGGTGGGCACTGACTAAACGCAGGCTCACCGGTGGGCCGATGGGCTGGCTACCTCTTACTACAGCACAAGGACCAACTTGGAGGGAACCGATATATCGAAAAGGTTAGGTTGTTCAAGCCACCTGGCGCGAGTCTACCGTATCTTCTCTTCTACGTAGCAAAGGAACCGGCGGCTGGACAAGCTAGTTTGACGGAGCCTGAGACGCAGGCACAAAAGGGCTCACTACAGGTGGCAGGAAGACAGACTGGCGGTAAGAGCTTTGTACGGGAGCACGTGATCCACATGGGGTAGTAGAATACACCCATGATGTATAGGCCCTGCAAAGCGTACGGAGTCGGAAATATCGGTTTCCATGCTTCTTGAATGAGAACCAAAAGCTGGGTAGACTTGGCCATAGCAGATGTGGTTTATTGGCATACCACCTTATCTTCCACTAAGTTTTCCCATGTGACCACGCTACGTCAGCGTGCGGTTGACTGGGGTGTTCATTGGATGGAAGCGCGAAAACGCGTCGACGCGTGTTGCCCCTCCATGAACTTCACACTCGAATCTCACGCTTCGCACCCACACCGCGTTTTACACCGTTCTTGAAGCATCAGGTGCCTACTCAGATACTTCTCGCGGAGGCTATAAAGTCCTTCGCGTCGTGCTCATCAGCCCTTTGCACACACGAATAACTTTCACCTTTACATCACAGCGAGCGACGAGGAAGCAAGTCTTCAGCCTCAGAACGCGACAACACGGCGACCAATGTCTCGACATATTTCCAACACACTCCTCAACAACTTTGACTTTGGTCTCGCGGCAGGCTCCGACCAGAGCCATCTGTTCAGTATCGATACTTCCGGATCGTTCCTGTGAGTCTCCCCTACCAACATCACCGCTAATCGGCTAGACCTGGGGAGCGTATCGAAAGAAACCAACGACGACGACGACGACGACGATGATGATACAAACCATTCCTCCCCAGGAACGTAGCCATCATCAGAGGGGGGTGTGAACACCCGGAAAGTTCCTGCCCGGAAGAGCGTAATCGGCAACACGTCGTCGCGAAATAGGGGACAAATGGCCAACGCAGATCAAGTCAGGAGAGCGAGCATCGGGGTAAGATATGGACAGGAGCCGAAATCTCTTCTGGGCTGTCTGAATACAGACTCTGCGTACCTTGGCCTTTGCATGAATGCATGACCTCTGCCTGTCCGCTGGCACCCATACTGCTTGGGTGTTGGCAATGATGCCCCCTGCACTAGACTTAGCAAGTCTGTCATACCTATTCATTATCATGTCTTCTCTCCATGATTGATCTCTAATATCTCTAGTGGATGTGTTGATCAACATGACATTGTTTTCAGCTGTCATGGGCTGGGTGTGGGAGATTGTTATGGAGGCACGCGCGCCTGTTCCTCGATGGGATACTCCAACATCGCTGCAGAGAGCAGCCATACTCAGCATGAAACACCCGACGCAGTTGTTGCTCAGCCTTCTCATAAGGGTTTAAACATCTGTTTCGTCTGCTCTTCTCTACTCGAAGAGCACACAAGTCCTGCTACGCTCTCTGGTCAGCAATCTTTGATGCATGGGTACTCTGAGGGATCACCTACAGGTGTCCCGAACACGCCTCCGCCACGTCCGGAGCCAAAGCCATATCCGACTGGGCCGCATCAGAGCGGTATGGCAATTTCGTGGTGTGACGTGAATTACGAGTTCGCCATGGGCTTTCCTAGTGCACGTCAGCATGTTGGGGATAGTGGGACAGGGCGCTACCCCGCTGGGTTCTGGGCGACACAAGGAAGGCGAAAGGTGAAGAACATGGAGGGGGGATTTGAATGCTGTTCATGTGTATTGCTGCATAAGAGAAAGCGCGTCTTCAGATCGACAAACAGTCTGAGAAATCACGAGCGGAGATTTCATGAGGAGCCAAGGGAGATTGGAACGAAGCCGAGGAAAATCAGCAACCGCCCAAGGAAATTCAAACAGGAGCGGTTCGTGTCTTTGAGGAAGGGAAGCAAGTAGACGGAGAAGAGGAGACAAAACTGGAGGGTTGCCTCATCATTTGGGTTTCGTGGACTAGATTTTGTTCATTTAGACTATAGACGGGGATCGCGAACATGATAACAACGCTGGATGCGAATGCCATGACAACAGGCAAGACATGTTTGAATGGAAAACTTTTGATCTTTTCTAACAAGCTCTTTGGGCCTGAGTGGGTATCCATGAAAAACGCCATTGAATGCCTTGCAAACGACCCCGATACTCCTAGTGATGCATGTTCCGTGGCCTTATCCCAACAGCCATATACTTGCTCTTAAAGCTACAATTCTCAGTAGCTCAATGTGCACGAGTTGACGAGCCTCTGTTGCTCCCATGAGTCCCCAGCAGCACGACGTGCTTTGATTATAAAAAATTGTCATCGCATATCCTGGTTGCACACCAAGAACAAAGCCCTCACTCTCATCCACTCCTCACCGTACTAGCATCATCCCCGCCACCACCCCCTCCATCCTTCTTCTTCTTCTTCTTTTTCCTCTCTCCATCCCCAGCAGCAGTAGCCCCTCCCTCGCCATCCACCTTCTTCTTGGGCCGCCCCAACTTACTCTCCCTCTCCCCCCTCCCCGCGTCCTCGGCACCAGCAGCACCAGCACCAGCAGCCCCATCCTTGTCCTGCAGCACCGCCCCCTCATCCGTATCAAACGCCTTCCTCTTCCTCTTGAGCTCTTTATCCGTCTCCAGCATCTCGCTCACGCGGCCCAGCTTGCCCGTGTCGCGGCGCAGCATGAATTTGAAATCGTCGAGCTTGATCTTGGCGCGGCGCGCGTGGTGGGCGACAGATGCAGCTTCGTGGCAGGTTTCGATGATGTAGTCTGTGATGATTTCGTCGAGGACGCGCATTGTTTCTGCGAGGGGGTAGTCGTTGTCGCCAAAGGCGAGGAGGAAGGCTTCTACTGTTTAAGGAGTGGTGGTGTTAGTGCTATGGGAAAGGTGAGAGGGGGGCTGAAGGGCTACATCTTACAGTCTTGCGTGGGGAACTGCTGGCCTTTTTGCCGCAGCCTCATGCGTGGCTCCGTCATGCTGGCGTGCTGTTGTCTCTTTGTCGCGCTTCCTTCAGCTCAGGAATACGGTTGGATCGTCTTTGTCGCGTTGCCGGTCCGAAGCGCGATACGGGGAGATTTTGGACCTGGGTCTGGATTTGAGCACGTAGGAGAACTCCTGAGGTGGAGTTGGCGATGGATCTGGAGTCGCGATTGTCCGCAACACTAGCGCGCGACCTGCAATGACGATCCCTCCCGGAGGTCGCATGCGGGCGCGCACGGTCCCCGACAAGGCCGCCGCGGCGCATATGCTTGCGACGACAACAACAACGACAATCTAGTTCAGAAGCGCGCGCGCGTCCAGAGGCAGCAACTCTCAACCCACCGTTCCGAATCAGCTCTCCTCCTCTGAATAGAATAGAAAGCAACACACGAGCTACCTCCCACGCAGTCCCTCTCTTTATCTCACTGTCTCCCAGAAGCCACCTGGGCACTTTCACAACCATGGTCCGTAACCCCCCATCATCCACCATAACAACCAGCTAACCACACACCCCCGCCCTCCCACAGACTGCTCTCTTCAACTTCCAATCCCTCCTCCTCGTCATCCTTCTCACAATCTGCACCGCTACCTACGCGCACGCCACGTTCCCCACTTTCCTCGATTCAAGAAAGGACTCGTACTACATCAGCCCCGTGTGGAAGGCGGCCAGGATAGGCGAGAGGCTGAGTCCGTACGTCAGTCTGGCGTGCGTAGTCATGGCTGTAAGTCAAGGGCTCTCTTGATGTGTGTGACGAATGGCGGGGTTATGAAGGGAAGGGGGGAACAGGGACGATGGGTGGATGGATCGGGAGACGATATGGAATCGAGCGGGGAGGACTAGATGTCTACACAGCATCGACGGCTGACGATATATAGGTATTGCAATTTATGAGTTGAGCGGCATTGTACAAGGTATACTGGGGGACACGGGCGGAGACAAGAGGATGGTCAAGAGGCGAGACCTCCACGGTTCTCTCTCTACTTCCATCTCCTCGACCTCTTTTTACTCGCCCAGCTGATAATGAGCGTCGTCATAAGATGTGAGATATGATGTTCACGAGAGTGGACTGCTACCCACGTGTCGAAGCACCACGGTACGGATATGCTCGGCTCGTTACTCTAACATGATGTACCACATCATTCAAATGTAGTCGAGTCCAACAAAGGCTCCTCGAAAGATTGCAAGGTAGATACAAAGTAGAAAGCGGAGAATGAGCACCTCAGTCAACAGACAAGACAAATGCTGTGCAAGTCATGATTCGACAGGGCTCAAAAGGACCCCCCAAGCACCAACAGCGTCACGAGAAATAAAGCCATTCATCAAGTCACGCACACGCACACACACACATTGCAAGCCAGTGAGCATTTCAAGAGATTTTTTTGTTCTTTCCATAAAGATTAAAAAGGATATATACAAAACATGTAAGCAAGCTTTTACACCTGCTATCGTGCTGTGCCAGTGTACCAGCACAAAAAAAAACCCCCCGCCAAATCCATCTAATTCCCTCACCCACCCCCGATAGAACACCACACACACACACCCAATTTCGTACTATAGCAGTTGATGATACACGACGTCTCCAGCGCCTGGACTAATCTCGTGAGATGAGAGTTTCTGACATTTTAAGCGTTTCCATAACAGAACAAACAAGTTGAGGGACAAGGATGACAGAGACACAGAGAGAGGAAGAGAGAAAAAACAAGGACAAAAAAATCCCAGTCAAATGGACCCAACTCCCCGTCCATTGCTGGCGAACCCATGTATAAGCGAACAAGTGGGGAGAGAAAAAGCCACCACCACAAAACCAAAGTTTCTCAAGAGTAAATTGGAGGGGAAGGGCAAGGGAAAGAAAATAGAACCATGAGCAACATAACCATCTCCATCGTGAAAAAAAAGAAAAAGGGGAAATCAGAAAGTCGTTTGTCACTGCCGCAACAGCCAAGAGCCGGACCTAACTCGCTCTTGACTGTCATTAGTGATCACGACTCCCCTCTCCCTTTTCAAAGCACCCATGGAGCGCTGGTCGCGAACCCCTACGTTCTTGCGCACCCTCAACGTCGCTACCGTCCTCGACCATGACGTCAACGTGGTGGAGATCAGGCTGGCTATGCGCGTCATCCGCGTCCTCGTCATCATCGTCATCGTGGTCGCTAACCAGACCAGGGTTCGACTCAACGGTGTTGGGGCTGAGATGATGATCTACCGGTGAGCTAGGCTCGTGATGGTCGTTGTTGGGTGACGGAAACGACAATGGGAGGCGTGCGTGGCTGGAATGAGATCCCTTCTTGCTACCAGGTCGAGACGATTGGGCTTTGCTTGCGGGAGCGCTGGCAGGGAGACGGGCGAGATGGGGTGGCACGGCCGAGACAGGAGTTGGTGCCGGACTATCGTCATCTGAAGCGTCTATTGCGTCGAGGTCGACCTTTGAACGCGCATTCTCGACAAGCTCCTTGAAGTCGCCTTGTGCGCCGCTGTTCTGGAAACGCGCAGCGAGATATGGCATGGATGATGACTTGACGAAGCTAGCTGGCGTGGCAGTCTTGGAGTCGTCACGTGGCGCGGCATTTGGATCACGATGTACTTCCCGAGCTTGAGGAGCAGGTGCAGTCTGTGATGCTAGCGGGTGAACGATACCAGGAGTTGCTGGGACGGGGAAAGCTACGGCTGGCGGCGCAGCTGGGGTGCTGGCTGGTTCGGTGGCAGCAACAGGAGTCCCAACTTCGTTAACATCGACAGGCACACCACAGGTAATAGCTGCAGCGTCGTGGCTCTTAAAGACCTGTTGATGCTTTATACGGCAGTGGTTCAAGAAACCTTGAGTGTTGGAAAAGTTGCTGTGACCACAGGGAGCGCAGTACAAGCGCACCCACTGGCCGTCTGTCGATCGCTTGTGCAACAGCGGGTCGACCTTGGGCGCTGGTGCTGGAGTTTCACCAAGAGGAGTGAGCTTCAACATTCCAGTCGAAGTTCGCGACGTGCGGCCTCTGTGAGCTGACCCATAGTCAGCAAAACTGCCGCGCGTCGTCCTGCCCTCCCCAGCGCCAAAGTAACCTTGAGCTTGCTGAGCAAGTGCGCGTTCAGAAACGGGGTCAAACTTGGCATCTGAGATCAACCATTTTGCATAATGCCGAGTGTACGGGCCGTCGGTCACTCCCCAAGGAGCAGCATACTGCGGTTCCGTAAAGCCAGAGGCGGGTTGCAACGAAGCACCAACGCCGAGACTGACGTCCTCACTGAGACCTTCGGTACCTGGGAAAGGAATGAGCGAACACCGCCTTAGCTGCTCGAGGGAAACCTGGCATTTGGCGAGCTCCTGTTCGATCAAACGGAGTTCGTTGTGTTTCAGCAGAATCTCGTAGTTGATTTGCGCCTCGATGGCTTGTTGCACAGGAGTCAGTCCAGAGTCCATGGTAGTAGATGGCGTGTTGATAGAGTCAGATTTGGTGGTCGGTTGCGAACATTTCGATGCCTTGCTCTTGCTGGCGCCCTCTTTCCTCGAGGGTTGCGCCTTTGGTCTGACGTCTAGGACCTCTGCAGGTGCTTTGGGTGCGTCTGCAGGACGTTCATTTTCGGCAGCGGCTTTTGCGTTTGCATTTCCGTTGACAGCTCTAATCTCACCGTGCGCGCCCTTCCACTTCTTCATTACTGGTTCAGGACTGTCAGTCCGTTTCCGCTTGATCTTGTTCATGAAGTGTGGCATGTCGACGACCGGTAGCGGTCTTGACTTGTGAAGGGTAGATTTTTCCATGATCTTGTCGCCAGGCGACTCGTTACACCATGGGAGGCGGAACATGGACTGCATTGTGAAAGAAGTGGAAGCCTAAAACCAACAGAGCTCATCTGTAGTTGTGAGGGTCGTGCGCATCGAAGTCCAGGTGCTAGTAAGGCTGCAGGATGACGTTGCGCCAACAGTAATGCGCGACTGGAGTTCGACGAGAAAATCGAACAGAAGTCGTGCGAGGGAAGAATATTAAAACAGGTAGGGGGTATCAAGTGTGCGCGAAGGAGTGCAGGAAGAGAAGCAACAAGCAGTTAAGCCGTTGCGATGGTGACGTGGAGGGCAAGAGGCGCGATGATCGGCCACTTGATAAGGAAGAAACAGCCGCACCAGCACGAAATCCTAGAAAAGAATTCGTGAATACAGGATCGAAGGGTGTATTACAGTTGTGCAGGGCTACAAAAGGCCGTGTAGAGGCGTGGTGGGGGAGGAGGTTGGGGATGGTGTGCCAGATGGCGATGATGTTGTGATGAAGGGCAGCGACGACGAAGTTCGGGGGGGGAGCAGTCATTCAGCGCATTTCCGCACGTACGGGCTAAGCTAAGCGGCGCTAGCGGGGGTACCCTTGTTGAGCCACCTCCTTGCCGGAATTGGCGATGTGTGCCCTTGCGTCTCAGACAAAAGTCGTCGACAAAGCAATTCACATGCGAAAAATAACAGCCGTCCAACATATCGCACCTCTCCACCGCCCAGTGTCCATCGCGCATCTCACTGGGGCATGTCGCTCTCGACTCAACGCGTAAGGTTTGCTTTTCGCGCAATTTACATCATTATGGGGCCCTTCGCTAAGTGTTAGCCAAGGGGCGTGTCCGCTAACCTGCTGCCAGCAAACGTTTAACGACTCAAGTCTTGTCTCAGTCGTTATGTCATTCGGCTTGCCGGCTTAGGGCTGTCCGCGGGGGATTCGCAACGTGGTAAGCACTGGGAGGGCACCATGAGATGATCTATCAGTCAAATGTGCCCACGACGACTTTTTTTTCGCGTAGACCGACAATTCACAACAAAGCGGAAGCGTCGGATCAAGGAACGATCGCAGGGACACTATTTACTCTCCGATGGTCTACGCGTGTTGCTCCCACCACACCTCCAACGCCTCGATCAACGTCCGGTGAAGTATACACCTCACTCCTGCTGTGTGGAACAAGGTACTCGTCCTAGCCCCAAGATGCCCAAGGTCAATTATGCTTCCAAGTGTGGACGCGCATGCAAGCCAAGCCAACGCCACAAAGTGCCGCCGGTGTCCCAGCCTAGCCTGGCCTTAGTCCTGCCCTCCACACACTGGCGACTAGCAGCCGGTCCACTGATACGCTGCGAGAGTGCACCCCCCAGCTGAAACATTCTCAACACCACGATGGCGATCGGCTTCCATGCATCATCCTCTCACGATTGAAGACGTCATGTGACTTTATGTGAAGGCTTGGCAAATATATTTCTAATACGATGCAAATAGGCGAGAATGTTCCGTGAAAAATTGTCCCGAGTCACAAGCACTATATGGAGGCAACTTCTATAGCAGAATGACTCTTATTAGAAATGGTGATGGATTGCGTTGAGGGCTAAGCTGATCGCGGTCCCGGGCCCTCTTCCGTCTCCGGTTTCGCCCGTGCTTTCGATACGCGTTGCTTCGGCACGTGGGCTAACCGCTCCGATGCCCACTCCGAATCCAGATGTCTCTCCCTAACCAGGACCCTCTAACCATCGAGAACGCAGGATACATGATCGAAAAGTAAGAAAAAATACGCCTATCGCAATTCAAGATTTTGCAAATCACGCGCTGCTACCCACAGCCCGTGGTATCGCACTGTGAGCGAAAGCGCCCACACCTGGTGGTGGTGTTGATGCCAGCTCATCTACGGCGCCCACCACATTGCCATCGCTGACTTCTACTTCCCCTCGACTCATCCGCTTTATCGCGCTCCTCAGCGCGACGTCGCCTTCTCGACCCGGTGTCATTGCCAGATTTTTGAAAGGACAAGTACCCGCCGCAAGCGCTGCATCTTCAATCTCACTCTCGCTCTCGCTGCCGTCACGCAGAACCCTCTTCCCATGCAAGAAACCCTCCGGCTCAACCTCAGGCACTAATCGCTCGTCTGCAAACTCATCGCCGTCGCGAACATACCATTTTGCAAAGAGATCGTTTTGAATCCAAATGACCTTTGACAGTGCTTTTACTAATGCGATTTTCTTATCCATCTTGAGTCTGGGATGTGAAAGTACTGCTTCGGTGATGATGTCTTGGACGAATGAGAGCGTAACACCAATATGCACATATTCCACATGCAAAGGATGCGCTCGTCCCTGACCCACGTGCATCATACCGACTTTGTCGAGATATTCCCAGAACTCCATTTTAGACGGGTCGCTGCATAACTTTGTGAGGTAGCCCCGCAGAAACATTTTGCGGTACAGGATCTGGGGTGAGTTCTCGCTCAGATTAGGGTCCACCGGCCCTTCGTACGACGTCGATCTGGTTTCGAAGGCTCGTGCGGTAATGTCGTACTGCAGCAGCTTTTTATAGACGATGTTGACAACGGCGGGAATGAGCGCTTTGATGTATTTGGCGCCTGTTGTTAGGGCTTCGATGTCGCCTGCATTTGTTGGGCCAAGTTCTAAAGGGGGAAATCTTGTCGAACTTACGTGAGCTGAAGTCGAGAAATGAATGTAGGTATTGTATTCTTGCTTCTAGGCTTGTGTAGAGATCGCGGCGGTCAATGTGCTGCATTGGTCGGCGACTGAGGGGCGTCATATTAGGCATTTTGAGCTGTGATGGCGACAGTAGATCGCGCTTCTCCAATGGACGGTAAATTCTGCAGACGTATTCTGCAGACGTTGTGATGATTCTTGAGCGGTGATGATATTGAGGACTATTTCTGCTTCAGCCTGCGACATATATCATAGTCACATCCGATGTACACGAGGCGTCCAACTCAGGTAGGTGGCTCGTGCGTGATGGTGGTGTGTTCGGTCGTAAGATGGCGTGACACTCGCCTTCGCATCGCAAGACCGCTACGGTCCATGCAGAACGCATACTCCAGTACTGCCACCTCTCTTTATCGGAACATACTGATGTTACCCGTAAACCGGCGTTTCATTTTGACGGCCCCTACACCAAAACTACTTCGACAAACTCCGGATCCTTCACATCGGGGTGCCAATCAATACACATGCCCACAAGACGGAAGGTAGTAGGACTTGCGTCACTCTCGGATTTATACGGTCGTATAATCAGCCCGAAAGCTGAAGGTAAAATTTTGGAGTCTCGTGCATCTTGTCCACGAACTGCACCCGGTGTGCGGAACACGAAATCGCCAGGCTCCGCTTGTCCGAAAGCAATACCAAACTTGAAGGACCTGTCGTGTTCATAGGTGAACGCGTCGTAGCCTTCTAGTAATCCACTGATCTCCGAGAGCAACTCAGGCACGTTGATGTCCTTGGGCACTTTGATGCCAGCATAGTATATCTCTCGATCATACGACTGTAATCCAAAAACGTGCTCTGCAGCTATCCAGAGAAATATCTCTTCTTCAAAGCCTAGGTCCGAAATTCTCGTCTGTCCCCCCCGAGTCAAGATGCTTTGAAGATCGAGTGCTGGTCGAGAGCACATGGTCGGTATACACTGGACTGCAAGCGCGATTACCCATGCCATGGATGATCTATATATATCGGATATCCGACGGTCCTCCTGGCTCTCTAAAATTCTGGTGAAGTATGATATCGCACCCGATTTGCCCGTGCTTGATTGGGTGTGAATAATCTGATGGAGAAAACCAGATAGGTGCAGTGCTTTCGACTCGCCCACATCCGTGATATTCGGGTTTTCTTCTCTCCAAAGCTTCTGTATAGTTCTAGGACAACAACTCCAGGACTTTTTATGCGAGGAAGATTGGAATGGACGCAGATACCTGAGAAGGTTGCCAACGTTGGTAAGCTTTCGTGTCTTGTTCCAGCTTGGTACCCATGAAGACCAGGTCTCTTCCTGCTGGGCGAGGTTCCCGAATTCAATAGCATGCACAAAGATTTTGTGGCTTAGGCCTGCTTTTATGGAAGCGCTGGCCAGGTTAAAATAGGTCTCTGAGAAATGTAGATTGTAATCCACGGGACAAGGCAGAACCAGTCCAGGGCATCCATCGTCTTGCGTGATTGCGCCCGGTAACAGGCCATAGAGTGCATACAAGCGATCACGCTCATCTACACATACGGATGTGTGGTACGTCTGCATGAGATCTAGTATACTCACATAAGCCACAGACTTGTCGCTAGACGTCTTTCCACGGCTGTTTAGTGGGTCTTTGCCGAAAGTTTTGAGCATGATGATATTGTTAAGGGTCCGTGTCGTGGCATCAGCCCCGTGGGCCAACTTGTAAGCCCACCAAAGAGAGTCTGCGCGTTCGTGAAATTGGTACCATGAAATTTCATCAGTCCCACAATGAACAACTGCTTCCCAGCTTACTGCTACCTCTTGTAAAACCCACCGTCGTGTGAACCAAGCCCGGGAAAAGAACTTTCTTATTGAAGGTAAGGCTGACATTGCGATATCCGAGGCAGGTTGGGAATATTTCTTTTGGATGATGCCCCACAACGTATCTTCGTCCAAATCACTTGAATCGAACATCGGGTGTATGGCGTCCAGCTCCTCATCCGTTGCAGGACCTAACCAAACACGCACTTTGCTTGCGAAGGCATAAATCCTGGCCATCGACCGCACCTGCTGGCTCTTCTCAAGTGTGTCAGCTTGATTAATGCAAACTATGCTTCGTATCAGTGGTATCCTTGTCGTTCAGCAGACATCAGCACATACGCGCATCTATCCACAAATGACGTTGTTCATTAGACTCTCGCAGGTGGCGCAGCATGTCGTCTACAACGGCCGTGATACGAAGAGCTTTTCCATCGCAGGTAAAGGACGTGAGGTTGTCCTGTGGCCCCCAGCAATATGACACGCCATCGTATTCTGGCCAATCGTCTTCGTTGTCTCCAATCTTTCGTACCAAAAGGCTGCCGATCAAAGGCTCTGCAAACGTACCGGGCTCAAGGCGCAGGACGCGAATCTGAGCCTTTGCATCTATCGGAGAGTATTCATATGCGTTCTGATCTTCCATATTGGATGCATGCGATCTTTGAGTTGATGTAAAACCTGCAGTGTGTGTTGTTGCATGACGAGGTGACGTCATTCCATGACTATTGAACTATGCAGGCCGAAGGCAAGTATTGTAAGTGCGAAGAAATGCTGCTGGCCATTGCTCAGTTAAAAAGTAGCGACGGCGAAGAGACAGCCATGAGGTGACTGAGGTGATGAGGCCAGGTCTTCGCACCCCGCACTTGTCGCCCGGGTAGGCTGCGGCGGGGCTGTACGGCTCAGCCTACCTGTCCCTGCTGGGCGTGTGTCACCTTTCGATATCTAATGCGGAACAATAAGCTATGTTTTTTTTGGTACAAATCATGCAGGACTTGGCCTGGTGAGAATTGAGAGTTGCTTGAGCTGTATCATCTACGCATCATGTCTCTTCATTTAACAATCCTTTCTATAAAGGCGTACATAGCGCATGAGAGTTCTTCTCATCTTTACACTAACACGATATCGTGCTCCTCGTACTTTGGACCAGCGCCATGCATGAGAGCATAAGAGTCCACACAAACACCCACGAAGCGAAAAAGATCTTGACATGGCGAGCTGGAAGATCGATATGGCCAAATGACCAGGGCACATACAGGCTCAACGACAAGTTCGGGATCTGAAGTCGTTTTCCTGCGAAATACCAAGTCTCCAGGTTCTACACGCACAAAAGCAAGACCAAATATGAGTTCATCGCTGGTATCGAGACAGAACGCATACTGTCCGTCTAACAACTGGTTAGCTTCCTGCAAGAGACGAGTGCTGTCGGAATCGGTTGGCGCTATCCTTGCACCTGGTAGTTGCTTAAGCATCTCCGTATCGACGGTGCGATGTATGAGATCTATCTGTCGACCTAACAATACTGTCCACCGCGTTGATTCTTCGCCTGAGGGTAAAAGTATTGTGGACAACTTGTCGACTTCAGCCTCGCTTTTGATACCTAAGAACCTGGCGCTGTACATCGCAACTGATAACACTGGAGCCGCCGAGGTTGAGGAATCATGGGAGGGTCCAGCAACAGGCCATCGTGACAACCTGTTCATGAAGAATTGCATCGCGGTACTGCAGCCTTGGCTTGTTTGGGTATCACAGATAGGATGAATGCTGCTAGACAAGCATAATCCTTTCATCTCTCCAATATCGAGTGTGGAGAATCCAGGGCTGTACCTCCAGCGTTTTGTATGCGCTATAGAACTTTTCGTCAGGCTATTTTCTTGATCTCTTATAACTAGACGAGTACACCCCCCCCAAATGTGGCATCTTATTGAAAGTGTTCCAGCTTGGTACCCACGACGGCCAGCTTTTATCCTGCTGCGAGAGGTTTCGGAAGGTAATTCCCGTTCGTCTGCACATTGGGCGGCATCGAAGATTAACAGAAGCTGAAGTATGCGTGAGTAGATCAATGCACTCTCGCTATTGGATAGATGGGGATACTTCAGAATGGACCTTTGGTGATTCGTCTGTCCATCCAACATGGTGATTTGCGTTGCGGCTTCCTGGGTGCCACTACTCCAGTGGAAACTGTCTTCGTGGTCCAAATGAACATCCGCGCTATGTTTTAATGACTGCCACGTGAACTCAAGACGTCCACATCGTATGGTCAACTCGCGGCTCAGAACCACTTCTTGTAGTATCCATCTCCTTTTAAACCACCCCCGCAAGAAGAACGCATCGAGAGACGGAAAAGCAAAAGAGACCGAATCGATAGGCCTAGTTGGCACACGAGAGGCATGTTTTTCCACGTCCGTATCATCGAATATGGGGAGCAAATCACCTACTCGATCTTGATCTGTTGCTGGGCCGACCCAAACTACCACATTGCTGGCAATTGTGTATGTCTTTCCCATTGAGAGCACTTGTAGGCTCTTTTCTTCGTTATCGGCTTGATTGATACATACTAGGTAACAATTAGCCAACACCAAACCTATGTGAGATCTTACATACTGGCATCTATCCAAAGATATCGTAGCATGAACGGCTCTCGTAGATGCCTCAACATGTCTTCTACCGTGGTGGTGATGCGGAGGAAATGACCGTCGCAGCTGAAGTATGTGTGATCTTTCTGTGATCCCCAGCAATACGATACGAAGTCCCATTCATTGCCGTCACCTTTCGGAACCCAATCCCAATCTCTATCATGCAGCGTTTTCTCTCCTATCTTTCGCACCAAGAGACTGCCAACTAGTGGTTCTCCAAACACGCCTGGTTCTAAGAGAAGGATACGCAGTTCTTCGTTTGCGACAATCGGCTCGTATTGGTAAATCGTTTCATGTTCTTCGATCGTGGGAACTACGCATGCTGAAGTGGAAGATGACAGCGGGCTGAGTCCTTCAAAGGCGGGCATCTTGGGGATGAGAGACGTCCACAGCGAGTAATAGGAAATTAGCAACACACTTCTTTGCGCTATCCAGGTAAAATGGAAGATGTCAAATCGTGATGCGGAGTTCGCAGAGAAGCCCAGAAACCGTATCATGCTGCACTCGCAATCAATCACCCCACAATCGCATGTTCAAAGTGGGATGCGGCGCGGTCGGCACGTCTTTGCCTGTGGGATGTACCAATCAGTCATCGGCCCTATATGCGATCATACCATAGGGACCGACTCACTGAAAAGCGATGCACACAGGATGATGTCGCGGCTGTTGATATTAGAACGGAGTGCAAGCAGGTAATGGAGGTGGGTGGTGGTGGGGGATGTGCCATGACGTCATCGAGCCTAATCCATGAAGACGCGTCTGTTTTTTGTTACGATGGCAAATAGCGGAGTCCTTAGGAAACACGGGCGCTCATTTTGGTGAGAATCGTCAAATGGCCGATATCGAAGAGTTCGAAGGGCGTGTTGAAAGTGCCACCATTGCCAGAACCGTGACTATGCGTTCGTAGCCGACGGTCCCTTCCCCACGAAGCGTGAACCTCCTCGACTACATGCCCAGAACTGTATCTCACCCCACGAACCATCTCCATTCGAATACATCGACGTACCATACAATGACCATCACCAACGTCGCTCTCATCGGCGGCACTGGCACGCTCGGCGCGCCCGTCCTCAACGCGCTAAAATCCTCCGAGTTCGACATCTTTGTGCTGAACCGCCAAACATCTAAGTCCGTCTACCCGAAGACCAAAGTCATCACAGTACCCGATGATTTGAATGTCGAGGAGGTCGCCAAGGCGCTGCGAGATAACAACATTGACGCGCTAGTCATCACCATCGCTGGAAGCCATGTCGAATCGCAGAAGAAGCTCATCGACGCTGCGTTCAAGGGCGGCGTGAAGCGCGTGATGCCAGCGGAGTTTGGAAGCTGCGACTCCGCAGACGACAAGACGAACGAGATTCTTCCGTTGATGAAGGGGAAGAAGGACGTTCGGGACTACCTGCTCACGTTGGAAGGCAAGGAGCGCGAAGGTGGCATGGGAAAACTTACATGGACAAGTCTTGTCACAGGCCACTTCTTCGATTGGGGAATGACTTGCGGGCTATTGAAGTTCGACGTCAAAGCCCGGAAAGCATTCATTCTCGACGGCGGCAACATCAAGTTCTCTGCGTCGAACCTTGACTTCATCGGCAAGGCTGTCATCAAGATCTTGGAGAAGCCAGATGAGACAGCGAACCGACTTCTCTACGTTCACAGCCATCATGTTACGCAACTCGAGGTTCTTGCTGCCCTAGAGAAGGCGACAGGCGAGAAGTTTGAGAGGATTGATCAGAATAGCCAGGAAGAGTTGGACGTTGTCAGACCGAAGATGTTAAGTGGGGATGGAGAAGCGAGAGAAGAAGTCGTTGCAGTATGGGGGGTGGTTGCTGCGGATTGGAAGGAGAAGGAAGGTTTCGCGAACAAAATGCTTGGACTGCAAGAGGAAGATCTCGACCAAGTCGTACGCAGGGTTCTGTCGGACCTTTGAGCGAGTGCTGGACTGCTCGTAGTGATGATAGCCGACCACCTCCGCTTGTAACACGCATCGCTACTCGGCACTAGTATGGTCATATCATGATGATTACTTCATCATATGTTTGATCACTGATACTACTGTGACTAAGCTCAAGAAGGCCTGATTCATCTAATCTTTTGCTACAATGCGGCCTCCTGGCATCTGGCTATGGCATGCCCAGATTTTCGTATATCCTCGTAGTCAGGCTGGTGGCACCTTGGCGCCAAGTTTGATTACATTCATGCCTGATTACACTACTGGGTGCTGTAAGACCATACGACGTAGAATGGCATCATCGCACGATCCTCGGCAAATAGATCTGCACTACTGAGACAATTGCTGTAACGTATATTCGACATGAAGGCCGATCACTACGACGAATCATATCTTGTACCAAGATCTATAGATCAATCCAAACGTTGTTTCTAACCTCGGCTCAGTATGCGTTTAGGCGCTTGTAATTGGATTACCTAAAATGGTTGATTACTATTCTCACATACGCACCACACACGTGCCATCCGCCCAAGGCAGAGGTACACTACATTTTACAACATCACGCTTTTTGTGAACATCACTAAACATGTTTCACTGTCATATATCCCTCAATACAACACCAGCCAGATACAAAGACGTCTTTAACCACTACTCTTAACACCAACTTCAAATCCTACTTCATATTCCCATATCCTTTTGCTGAAATGCCTCTCTGGGTCTTCTACCATGCACCCAACACTTTCACGGACCCGGCCACCAAGAAGGCCCTGGCAAAGGTTCTCACAGATGGCTACGCCTCTGTCGGTCTTCCTAGAAGCTATGTAGTTGTCCTCTTCCAACCCATAGAACCCGACTCCTACTACATCGGCGGCGTAGCTAGGCCGTCGCCAGATGTGCCTGCCAACAAACCTGGACCCGATAGCACCCGTCCGTTTATCAGGATTAAGATTGAGCATTTCGCTAGGCCTGAGTAAGATACTTCCACCCCGCTTCTCTTCTTGCCTGATCGCTTTGTGAGATCATATGTCTCGTGTCCATGTCGACTGTCATCCACTTCGAGATGTGTACTGACTTGGACTAGCCCCTCGGAAAAATCCAAGAAACGCTTCTTACGGTGGGCCGATGAGACGCTGAAGCCTTTTATTGCTGATCAGGGTTACGATTGGGAGTACAGTGTCGAAGAAGCCGACAGGAGTCAGTGGAAGATCAATGGTATCGTTCCGCCGCTTGAGGGGACGGAAGCGGAAAAGGAATGGGCGAAGACGAATATGATAATGCCGTTTGAGCCAGACAAGGGCGGATTACTAGGGAAGCTTTAAGAAGGCTGTGGGGACATAGTGGTGAGGCGTGGATCATCACATGAGATGCTACTTGGAATTGAATGGTGAAAAGGTGCTGTTTTACCCTCATGTATATGCCACGAGGTATTATCAGTAACTTTGATCCATCTGATAAACCTGAACCGACAGATGCTCTTCGCTATTACGAACCGTATATCGTCCATTCGCGTACTGACTCCGTCCGTCTTGAACGCCCAAGATGCGCAAGCGACCATACCGTCAGCCGATGATGTTGAGATTACTCGTTGAAAAGCTTGTAACGCAACCGATCCAACAAGTTTCCTCGGCTCCTGTCTTCCAAACTCTTCATCCTGTCCTCCACATAACCCTCTCCACCACTGTCGTTGCCCACGTTTCCAGCTCCCCCGTCTGCCCTCCAAACCGCGAGATCGTCATCTGCAGCCTTGTAAACCGGTGGCACATCCTTCTGACTGTGGTACTTGGTGTCTGACTTACCCACAGGGTGTTTATGGCCGAAGAACTCTTGAACGTCCTGCCTGAATGCAGGATCCTGGTGGAGAACGAACCCACCAGAGTACGCGGACTTAAGAGGCTCGACTGTGATGCGGCGTTCCTCACCCGAGAAGGCGACGCTGTCTGCGGAAGGAAGCGAGAAGTTGGCTGAGACTGGCAGTTGCTTGAGCGGTTTCGAGTAGTCAAAGCTGAAGGATGCCATTGGCGGTGCAGAAGGCCTGGAAACGCTGGTAGGGGGGGATGCAGGCGGTCCGCGGCGGTCGAAGCACAGCGACGCCACGGGCGCTTGATCGAGGGCACGATAGCGTTGTAGTTGATTTGCGGGTGATGGTGATGGTGGAGGTCGCGTGTTGACAGCAGACGGTGGGGAAGCTATAGGCGCGTGGCCACCTGTGCAGTTGCGCTGTACATTGGATGTGGGAGACGCGGGTAGCTGAGGTTGGCCGCTGGGAAGGGGTGATGGAGATAACATGTTGGTGGAAGGAGGAGCTGTTGTTTGCCAGTGGTAAGAAAGTGAAGGTGAATCAATGTCCTGGAATTACTTACATTTGCTTCGTAGCGCCGCACCCATCTCACGGAATAGGAAGAGCACGCCTTGATGCGCGAATTGTAGGGTTGGTTTTTGTACCAGTGGTTCGATGTGATGTACCCAAACCGAAGTGTCCTCGCCCTTCAACGTCGCTGTTCGGACGCAATTTAGGAACTCCTCGTAGAAACACCAGTCGAGGCCAAGCTCTTCTCGTATGACTAGAAGAAGCGGTTCGAGATTACTCAGTATCCCGTTCGACATGAGTTTTCGCTGCCGGCGCCGCTGTATCGAATACATTTGTAGAAAGGTTGAAATGGAGAATAACAGGGCTGGGTCAGAATAACCTGAAGAGAAGGAGAAGAATCGGAAACTGTATGTCGTCTCAGTGAATAGTTGGAACATATACGTAGTACTGCTCCATATCACAACAATAGCGAAGTGAAATACAATGCCCGATTTAGGCAGCTGAGTTGTACCTGAGCACCGTAAGTACGATACAAGCAAATGAAATGAGCCTGATCACAGCCCAGCAAGCCAAAATATCATCAGGTAGTAGACGACAAGAATAACCGAACTTCCTCACGCATTGCCGGCGTTCCATCTCTTTGCAAACGGATCATGATCTGGGTCAGTCCAACGCACATACTCCGCACTATCAGCCAACTCTTGCGCAATCGTCTCACCATAATTCAGTCCCACGAAGGCGTATGTCGCATCTATACCCGCGCTGATACCAGATCCCGTGACAATATTTCCATCTACAACCCATCGTGCCTCTGCAACCCATTTCACGTTGGGTCCTGTACTTGTCGCCCATGTGTAAGCGCGCTTGTTCGTCGTCGCACGCCGGCCATCCAAAACACCAGCGCGAGCCAAGATGGTGGCCCCGGTGCATACGCATAAGAGAGCTTTCAGATTAGGGTATATTTCCCTTACAAACTCAATTTCGGCGTCCATGTCGTTGCGCGTACCGACACCACCGGGTACGATGAGAACGTCGATGGCGCCACCCCGCGCGTCCGCAAACGCACCAGCCTGTTGAATGTCGAGCTGCTCTTGGAATGTGCGATCTACCATCAAGCTCTGAGAAACATTCGTCTCGGGATGCGAGAACATCTGGTTGCCAGCTCTTTGATGCGAAGTCTCTACTGGAGAGCTGTTTGCGGCGAGCATAGTCAACTTGGTGGGGAAGTGGTATAGCATGGACAGCGAGTTGAAAACATCAAGAGGACCAAAGACATCGAGCGCTTGGAATCCAGGAAAGAGCAACACGCCATAATGTATAGGTTTCTTGCCATTGATGTCGAAAAATGGAGGTTTGACGGCTGACGGGTCGAAGGTACCGTTGGTACCGGAGGCCGGAGAAAGTTCGGCGGATGCGGTGGTCATGGCTTTCTGAAGTGGCGGGGTAGGAAGAAGGTTGTGCGTGGTAGCGACAACTTCTTTTCACTGTCGTGCGGCAGGGCTCAATACATACCATCACAATGATTACCGAGCTAGTCTACATATGTGCGAACCGGCGACTGTGGCTTCAGTCCCAGCTGAAGAGTTCACTGATTCAGCTAGACGCACCGAGGTGGAACGCCTAAACCGCCAGCATGTTCGAAGCGATGCTGACAGCGACCGTTAAACAACACCGTACTCACAAGGCCTCCTTTCCATCGAGGAGAGGCTTCTAGTAGATTGTCAAGTTAATCTACCGCATCGAAGAGCATGTTCCAGACCCTGGTATTACGTCAGCCATACCAGGCAATATTGTAACTATTCGTCTGCAAGGCTGCCATGGACAGATCACGTTGCAAAGGATAGTAACTCCGCAAGTGAGCCGTGTCGCAATTCAAGCATGACAGGACGCGGAAAGCACATCTGAACGCTCGGATTCGACTTCATTGAGAAATCACAAAGCGAAGCGCACGTGGCAATCCACATCATCGTTCCTGTCTCGTTCACGTCACCATGCCTGCTTTTGGATTGCAATGACCGAATAATTCCACGTAGTAACATGTACGTTGCTCGATGTGAAATTCACGTCGAAGGAAATCAACCGCACGGCCCCGGTTTGTTGTTACCTGCGGGCTCACTCACTATCAACATCCATCACCATCTTTATTCCTTCCATTCTTCACGCATACTCAAACACCCACAATGACGCTATCTAAGGGAAAAGGCGGTCGTAAGTCGACAGAGACAGAGGCGCAACGGGCAAGAGACATGTGGATCGCGCGGCGAGCCAGCGAAAGTTCATTACTCAACGAAGATAGAGGTCCACTACCTACCACGGCTGACGTCGACGCACTCATCGAATGGAACGCCTTAACGACTAAGCGTCATGGCCGCTCAGCACGACTAGCAAACGACCCTCCAGTATCACAAGAACTCACGAGACAACAAATCCGAGCTTGGAAGTAGGTCTTGATTCTACGTACCGACTGTAAACCATTTCGTATCTAACTCTACACAGGAAATGCGCCGACGACTGCAGGGCCAACTTCAAACACGTCCTCCTATGGCCTTGCATGTATTGCCTCCACTACATCGACTACAAAGAACGACCTAAGAGTGCACGTTTCTTCTGCAGGCGATCGGAATGTGTGGGGAAAGGCAAAATCCAGGTGAACTGCCTTTGGAAGATTACAGAGGGGATCGAATGGAGACGCGATCATCGAGGCAGTGTGATATCTGGGCGATCCGACGATGGGGCTAGTATGGCCACTACCAACGCCGATACAGTGCGCCCGCGTTAAGGTGATCGTGGGCGCGCCCATGAGAAGGTGTCAATGACTTCCAAACCATCTTGCCAAGTCAAGTCGTCCGATATGTCTTCGGGAAACTTGAGTCCCATCTCGTTGTTATTATCATCTTCGGGGTGTGCAGTGTTGGTGATGGTTGAAATCGCTGGCAACGTCACCGAGCTCTGGCGTCCCGCTGGCCCTTCTGTGTCGATGATCTCGTCAGCCATGCCAAAGGGTTCGTAATTAGGGTTGGCCAGAAATGCTGGTAATATCGTAGGGCTTTGGGTTACCACTAGCCTGTCCGCTTCGGTATTTGTGACAGTTAAGGAATAAGCCAATGATGAAGACTCTTCGCTCATCTCAGGCCCAAGTTCAGTGTCAGTGTCCAGAGCAGCTTCGGGTATCATAGCCAATGTTTCCTCTGACGCCACTGGGTTCTTCGGTTTCTTGCCTTTTTTTGCCCTCTCGGCTTCCCACTTCGGTTTGTTCCTCTGCTTCTCTTGAGCCAAAGTTGCTTTTATCACATCCTCATCATCATCACCCGCTGCTATACCATTCCCCACCAACGGGAATTTAACGCGTCCTTCGCCAGGCTTCTGTCCTTCGATCTCTGGATTCTGTAAGACCGCTAGCCTGTTATGAAATGTCAAGATAGCCGGAAAGTTTTCGACGAAAGTTACCATTGCAACAGCAGAGTCTTGTGCGCAATTTGCTGACGATATAATATCGTCGTAGTATCCGCGGTAGATCTTGTGGGCGGCGGGAGGCAGCTTTTTGCCGATTACTTGGAGGGTAGCTGCCGCGGTCAAAAGTACGTGATAGGCGGCGTATCTGGAAGCGCCATAACAGTAGGGATCCCAGTCAGACATATTCAATATTCAGAATCGCTGTTGAATGATCCCAGGATTGGGTTGTGAGTATGACTATGGTGTATTGTAATATGACAATGCATTGGAAACCTAGCGGGATTTGAAATATGAAGGAGTCTCTCTGCCTGGAGCAGCATGGACTGTGAAATGGACTCGATAGTGAATGGAATTCGATACCTCCGATCAGTTGCAAGGCCACTATGACATAGTAGTACAATGCCTACTCGGGTATATCAGACACGTGTACCTCTCTTCACTTGCTGCAGTCAGCGATGGTGACTTCCTTGCTAGTTGTACCATTCTTCGAAGTAACTGCTATTACTATGTCTAAAATACCTATACCCTCGATTATCGCGCACAAAACAGCACATAGACTATCTTTGTACAGATACGGATAGTATAAGAACGCTAACATCTATATTGCGCGTCGAACAGCTAAAATTCGTAGTGTAATACTTACTATAAGAATATTAGATATGTATATAGAACAGAATTATTGGCTGCCTTTGTTAACTCTGCCTGCAGGGGCAACCCCCTGAAGAATACTATTCCCAGCGATGGAATGGCACCTTGCCGCAGTGCTGGGGTTTACCCACCAAGACGAATCCGAAGGGAGTGGAAGCTTCGTTCTCAACAGCTGACAAAACCAGGCTATGGAAAAGGAAGGATAAGGGAAGCGCGTGATTACCTTCACAGCACTCTGAGTCGTCGTCTAACATCCCCCAGGAGGGCCTTGTGGAAGTCATATTGCCTATGCCTATTTTGACCGGATATCCAACAAGAATGGTTTTCAATCTACATGTTCACTCCTGATCGATTCATTGATTGATGGTGGTTTAACGCCCTATCTCATGTCTACTTCCGAGATCGACTGGGACAGATCAGATGCGTAGAGAAGTATTTCTCTTCTTACATTCGGCTTATGATGGAAAAACAATTTTTCCATTTACGGTTGTATAGTCTTGAGTCGGATATCAACGCGACTGGCAGACAACAGCTTTCCAAATTCCATGTCTCAGGTGATTCAGCTGGTGTGGATTGACTCTTGGTGTCGAATTGTCATCAATGGCCACGAACAACCAGTTTGAATTTCTTGATGAAACGGGAGCCATCAAGCAACAAGACGCGACTTTGTAGCGTCGCGAGGAGCCTCTAACTTGTATCTGGCTGTTCATGCAACAAGACAGGCGAAAGCTGTATCTCTTGCACCAAACCCACTGTCCAAATTAAAATGCTTAAGCAGCACATGGGAATTGCAAGACATTTTGTACCGACCTTATGTGGATTCCAGAGCATCGGTGAATATCGGTGTTAAGGTATTCGGTCCTCGTTCAGCCACAACTTTGGAATACGCCGGCTTGGTCGATAGCGCCAGGTTCATATACACGACGATGCGCGAAACCCTCGATCCATAGTTCTTCCGCTGAGGGTAACACAATGGGATAACAGAAAGAAATAGTAGTGGCGTTAACATCGACCGGCATGTACATCTTGCCGAGTGTAGACTTTCTCTGTAGCAAACCGGACATAAGCGGACTTAGCGGTGTAAACACAACCTTCCATAGAGAGACACGATGTAACACCGTCCGACCCACAGACCTCTACACTGAATGCGGTGACCGGCGGTCAACTTGTTCAGCCGTTCTGTGGATTCTCTCGGTGTCGCATTCGGATTTGGAGATGTACGTAGGTGTCGTGAAGCAAAATACTGTTTGTATGTATTGGAACCACTACTATATAAGAGAGGGATCACTGTCCTTTTCAGACTCAATCATACTATCATTCCACTCATACCATTACCACTTCAATCTACAATCATCGACTCTTCACAGCCAACAATGCCTCAGAACAAAGCTGCCTGGATCACCTCACCTGGTGCTCATCCCTTTGTAGTCAAAGAAGCACCGTACCCAAGCACTGGACCTGGAGAAGTTGTCATTAAGAATTCGGCCGTTGCTATTGTATGTCATTGCACAGTCTTAGGGAATATAGTGCTCAAATTTAATGCGCATAGAACCCCGTGGAATGGAAAATCCAATACCACAGCGAGGAGCACAAATACGTATACAACTATCCGTTCATCCTCGGTTCAGACTGCGCTGGTACAGTTGAAGATGTCGGTGAAGGGGTAACGAGATTTGCAACGGGAGACAGGGTTATTGCGTGAGTCTACTTTCTTATTCCCTCTTGCCCCTACGCTTCCCAGAGACGATACATCACTTCGGAACTACACCCTTGCCTCTGCCTACCACAAGAACGGACTAACAAAACGCATATCACAGGTTCTGTCCCTCACTTCCTACCAACAATACCGCACAGTCCGCCTTCCAACACTACACCCTCGTGCCGGCCACCCACACCATCTCCATTCCTGCTTCCCTCCCCTTCAAAAACGGCGTCGTACTACCTCTTGCCCTCGCAACCGCTGCATCTGGTCTTTACCCGCCCAATCTACTCAATCTGCCTCTACCGACTACCCCGCCACGCAAGACAGAGTTGAAGAAGACGGTGCTAATCTGGGGTGGTTCCTCCTCTGTTGGCCTCGCTGCGATCCAACTCGCTGTCGCATCCGGTCTCCGCGTCATTGCGACATGCTCCTCAACTAATTTCGAATTGGTGAAGAGCGTGGGTGCGAAAGAGGTGTTTGATTATAGGTCTGCGTCTGCGGTGAGCGATATCGTGGCTTCACTCCAGCAACCCGACACCGAATTCGCCGGTGTGTACGACGCCATCTCCGAATCTTCTAGCTTCAGCATGGTCAAATCCATTGTCGAAACCCTCCAAAGCAAGGCGCCCATAGCAGTTGTTATGCCATGTGCAGCGGATATGGCATCAGAGTGGTACAACCCACAGTTCCTCATGGCGTTCCAAATTTTGGCTCCACCACATCAGCATATTGGGGAATACATCTTTGGCGAGTTCCTCCCTGAAGCATTCGAGAGGGGGGTAATGCAGGCTAAACCCGATGCTGAGGTTGTGGGGAAAGGACTGGAGAGCATGCAGCATGGTGTAGATGTGTTGAAGAAGGGAGTCAGTGCGAAGAAGATTGTTGTGGAATTGTAAAGGGAATGTTGGATCGTAGTTTAGCTTGAGTAAGAGATAAGGGACGTGTTTGGGTGGTGCTCTCAGTAACCATAGAACAAGACAATAGAATCACCTTGCATGAGAGTGCCTATTCTTCAGCGAATTACCATACAAAATATAAACAGATCGTCTTACCTATTCTACCACCTGTCATAGTTACTGAAGAAACTGGACTTTCGCGGCTGTTTGCTGGAACAATACGTGTCGAGTTGAAGTTTATGGTACCGATGTTCAAAACCACGGTATCAAGAACCAAGGGCATTACAATACCACATTGGGAACCAAACGTGACCTGCTCGCTCATAAATTGAGTATAGATCGAACGCGATGCGCAACCAAACATTACGAAGCACTGTGATGCGAAAAGACAAGTGATTGAACTGTGTTCATTGACAGCTTTTCTATAAACGACAGCCGAATCATCATCGCGCATCCTCTGCAACTCGAGATTGTAATACCAAGGCTCAGGCTGCCCTCGGTACCACGGAATTTGATCCATTCAATGCACTGACGACCGTAACAAGACCGACGATGACGACAGGGTCCTCGATAGTCTGGTTCCGGGAAGCGATAAGTACGTCGCCAATTGGCTATTCTTCCACAAGCTGCTCGACCTCCGGGCCTGGGAACAGTACAGAAGAAAGGGTTCAGGGTACAAAGGCGCAACGCTTCGATATCCGCAGATATGAACCGCAGGCGAGGCGTGTAAACCGTGTCAGAGAACCAAGCGCAGAACCAAGACCGACGAAACAAATCGTGAGAACCGTGGAACGGACCTGCACAGATATTTTTTCGGGATCAGCCTGCGCATTTCGCACTTGACTGGTAGGGTGGGGAAAAAACTGCTGTGCAATAGATAAAAGCCCGCACACCCTCATCTAACGTCCACTCTGATGTAGTATCTTCTTGGTTAGTCATCAACGAAGGAGGGGGTATACGCACGTAGACCCTCCTCCTCTTTCTCAGAAGCCTGATCTCATCATGGTGGACTCGAATCATTGGGAGGCCAACCCTACCTTTGCAGTTCATCCTTGTTTCCCTTCTCCCAGAACCCTGGCAACCCCATTGTGCATTGGCTCTTCGGCCGACGCACTGTGACGGATGCTTGAGGACGCTGGAGTTGGGGGATAGGCGACCGAACGCAAGGGAAAGCGACCTGCTGGTGTCGATTCATCGAGGAAGGTTTATCGGCTAGTGATGACACTTGCTCGGGCAGCTAGACTTTCAAAAGAGGGTATAAAACTGACGAAGCTCTGAAGCCGTGTGAACAGTTGAGATGGAGAAAGTATCAAAAGAGTTGTTGGACAGGCATCGAATGATTGCAAGGTACTCAAGAAGCATGTAGAAGTAAGGGGTCAGGGAAAGCGAAGCTGAAAGTGGTGTTAGAAAGTGATGGAGGAGAGAGGAAGACGAGCTGTTTAAGTAGGCTTCTCAATTCACTTGCTCTTGCTCTTGTTACTATGGTTTTGCTACTCTCTCGGTGTAAACAGCATCTCCTCCTGGGCATCAGGAAAGCACAGGTAAGAGAAGACGGAAGTCTAAATCGATCATTGGGTAAAAACGCTCTGAAACTTCCTTCTGTACTGTCAAAATTTGATTATGCACCAGGTGCTAAACACCAGAAACGAAAGAGTGCGACAGCTTGAACCCTCCCGAAGATACCATCACTACCTAGCTATTTGGATAAGATGGTAGGAGCTCTTAGCTCATCACAACACCCACCCGCCAGGACGATCGCACTCTAGAAGGAGCAGGAGACTACGAACGTTAAAGCAAGCCCGACGCGTCTTATCATCAGCACGTCGATCATATCAATAGCAAGCTGACTCTCTACATAAATAGCTCTCATACTCACCGTGGCACACTACCCAAACTTGCAATAAGTTTGCAATGAGTTTTCGATTGAACGGTACTAGCAAGTCGTGCTTGGAGCCAGTAACCGCCTTCTGAAATCGTTGCATGCGCAAAGGATAAGGGTATGACATCGCGTACACGTCGTGAGACAGCATTTTCTCGCCTGTTTACCCATGGAAGGCAGACTTCTACCACCATCGTTCACGCCCACCTCACCCACCAACGTAGAATCAAGGACGCACTGGTATTGTGTCTCCTGCGGCTGGCGAAATACTGGCTCAAGTAATCTTGGCCATCAAAAGTTGAGTCAGACACGTGATGAAAATGGCACAGAACGAAGAGTAATAGAGTATGATGGCATTTACTGGACATGATATAACCTACAATTCGCTCCTGTAAAACTCCAGCTAATGCTACAAGACGTTGCTAAAGACCGTAACGAATAAAACAAAAGCAGTCATTTCGACCAATCTATTACAACGTATATTGTTACCCTTTCGCAGCGCAGTGAGAATAAATGGTATCGTGGTGATCAAAAAAGGCGCCGGGTTGTGTGTATCTTCATCATCCAATTGTCCTCCCTTTTTAAAAACGCCATGAAAAGAAATCGCGAAAAGAACAATGGATGAAGAGTTGTTATTGAGGAAGAGATTGATGTGCGGCGTGCGCATCTTGGCCTGATTCAAGCGGCTCGCCAGTCCTCATGCTTGTAGGGACGGAGGCTTCCTGCTCGGAGTTTGAAGCCGCCTGTCGTGATTGTTGTGTCTGTGTTTGTGGTACTGAAGCAGATGACGATACGCTTCCATCGGTGGAAGAGCGTTGTACTTCATGCTCCTGGACATATGCAATAGGACCCCATGCACGCCAGTGGAGCAGTATAATATGTGTGATGCGGTTTGCGAGGTCAGTCAGCTTGGCCGTCTCGGGATGGAGGTGAGCGAAAGCAAACGCATCATTTGTTGAAGAGCGTGAAAGCGTTGTTGGAAGAGGCGGCATGGAAGGCGATATGGATACAAGGCTGTTGAAGAGTTCGATGGGTGATGAGGAACTGTGACGATCGACGGTGGAGAGGATCTGGGGCAGGAGCGACGCTTCAAGACGGGAAGCATGCCACGCTGATTTCCGGACGAACATGAAACGGAGGTGTTGGTTTGCTTCGACCATGCGATCGAAACTGCATCCAGGTGTTTGTCCGGCGAGATGAGAAGCCTGACGCAGAATCTCAAGTGAGAGAGCTTCCGAGTTCATCATCCACTGCTGCGGACCGTGTCCCGCTGCCTCACCCATGATAGCAGACAGCGCGGTCCTCAGCTGCTGTCCAATAGCCATGGTCATCGGCCCTTGGTATCCCAACTGCCTCGCGAGCATGACGTGCATCTCCACGCATACCTCAAACATAACGAGGTCATCGACCTCCGCTTTGAGCGCCACTAGTCGGTCGTGGTCCAGGAAGAAGGTTTCGGGGAAGTCGCTCCGGCCGTCCCGGCCAAAGGTAATTGCTACAACTGCGCGCGTAAAGACCTCTAGCTCGAAACATGGTCCGGCTCGGGGTCGCGGCGAACACTGCAGTCCGAATTCGTCGACGGCGTCTGTGAACCAATTTTGTGCGGTGTTAATGTTGACTCTTGCTCTGCCGTGCACAAGTCTGTCGAGATGGTAGTGCTTTTCAAAGTTGATTGTGTCCTCTATCAGGAGGGCCTTCAGATTGCGGATTTGGTGGTTCGCAACGTCCTACGCTTGGTTAATTTCATATCCTGATGACTACCTGCAGGCAACTTACGAGCTTCATAGCCTCCAATATGCCGAACAGCTTTCGCAATCCTTCAACGATCTGTTCGAGATTACGATCCGCCTCGCCTTGTCTTGTGCAGGTCACCATCTCATCGACCAAGACGTCGCGCATCGGCGCGCAATGCTCCTTGAGTAGTTGCGCCATCCAATCGGCCAGCCGTCCCAAATCGCAAACTCCGCGTTGGATAGCCTGCATCAACATGGGAACATCTAGATGTTCGTCCACTCTGGAATGGTCGCGATCTGGTATCAGACTCTTGAGAACGTCTCGAACGTTTTGAAAGAGGATCGGTATCCGGCGTTGCGCATATGGTGTGAAAGCTTCGACTTGGATCGGTGACAGTGGTGGTGTTCCGTGAAACAAGCGGTTGTACAGTACGAGTTCAGCGATCAACGCTCCCCAGTACTTGTCTGCAACCCTCTCCTTCTCTTGCCCTTTAGCACCGTCGACGTTCGGTCTGAAGCTGAGGTCTCGGTCGAAGTTGACGTCGTGCCGCAACTTGATGTTGGTGATGATGCTCTGGATGTCCAGCTCGCTCAACGACTGCTTGGTAACTGGGGGTAGATCCCATGCTTCGAGGAAGTTGTCTGCCAGCTCTTCGCCTGAAAGTTCTACTCCAGTCTGCCCAGGCATCATTGCTCGTAAATGTCCTGCTAACTCCTCTGGAATGGTAGAATGATAAAGTGATAACGACTTTGCTGGACCTCCATCTCCAGACGCAACCTTGACCGATGTGTGTCGTGATGGAAGGTGCTCTTCTCCCATGGGTTCATCTGAGCAAGTAGTCGAACTATGCCATGACTGCGAAGTGTTCCTTCCAAAAGAGGAAGTCGAGTTGACAACAGACTTGGTCGACTGGGTACGCATCTCCTTCCGCCGACGGATGCTCCCGCAGTTCTGCTGCATAGTCGGTCGGGTTCTCATTCGATGACGTGGGTAGGGTGTACGGCAAGGGTTGAACCGTCTCGGGCTGTGTATGCGTAATGGCGACGGTGAAGCCTGGGGAAGCGAAGGCTCAAGAAAAGCGCATGGGGTTGCTACAAGCGCAGACTGCCACTCGTTAGCTTACCAAACTATCCCAGGCAGAGCGGTTTGTAAGACACAAGCCGTGAACGTGTTCATAGGTTGTTTGACGAAGGCACGGGTGGCCACTGGAACGAACAAGATAGCTCCCGAGTCAGACAAGCACGAAGACGCGGCGACTGGCGGGATCGTGCTTGGGACAGTCGTACCTTTTTCGCATGTGCTCCAACTTGATACTAGATCAATAGGATCATATGCAAGTTCAGGCTTATTCAAGAGGACAAAGTGGTCATTCGCGATGATGACGAAAGCAGAACAATGACGATTGCAGAAGCGTAGAGAGACGGCTTCAATAGGAAAACCACTTTGCTGCGAAAAGCAAAGTGTCAAGCGCGGAAAAAAAAGAGCAAAAAACAGAGAGACAGACTGGAAGGGGTACTACTGAATGGAGTAGTGAATGTTGCGGCAAGGCGTGCGAGTGCTGCAAGGTGACGCTGCGGAAATCAAACAGCGTTTGTGTCGTTATGGGCGGTTGTGCAATAACGGAGGCTGAGGTCAGAGCGGGTGCCCTTGCATTCTTGTTTAAAAGGTAGGGCACAGACTACAGCACTACGTCTGTGATTATGCTCTGACCATATCTTAAATGTGCAATCCAATACTTTGGGAAGCGTGGAGGCGATCGCCACAGAACGACCGACGGCGTTAGGGCGTTCCGTCAAGTCACCATACATCGGGGCGTCTGGTGAGCGTGAAGCTGCAACGCGTGTCATCCCAGCACCGTCCCCCAGCGCAGTCCACACCGCTAGTCAGCAGCAGCAATAAAGCTCAGCATCGAGACGGTAAACGCGGAGCCGCAGTAGCGCTGTCTCGCCCGTCAGACGCTGTAGGCGACGATGTTGTAAGGGAGCAGAATGCAGCAGATGTGCAGGCCCAGGACGCCGAGGCCGCTTGCGCGTGGCCTTGATTGGCTGCAGCATCGGAGAGCGTATCACGACCGCCTCACTTTTGTGAAAGTAGGGCGAGCATTTAGCATCTCTTTTCATCCATCCTTGGTAGCAACGCAAAAGAAAAAAAGAATACCCAGTGCTTGTGTCGCGATGCCCTCGATGCGACGACCCAGTCTGACCGGATGCTCCCAGCCTTGTCATCGGTGATCTACCGGAAGCCAGCTGCAGAAGCCATTAAGCTGCAGTAGTAGACCAGACGGCGGCGAGCACGACGGCGATGCGACGGGGAACAAGCGGACGCGTCGCACTCGCGGCACTCGTGTCCAGCCTCCAGGCTATTCTACGGTGGGTCAGACTTGTCGAGGTCAGGTTCGTGTTCCTGGGCTCTGCGATGCCATCATGAGTCGCACACGAGTCCTCCCATCCTCGCGTGCGGCTTGCTTGAAACGCAACCGCTTCACCCAGCAGCCGTGCCACTCCGACAAACTGCCGACGTCCTCAAGGACCGACTTGTTCACAGGCTCGCTCGGTACGTGTGTTGCCGCAGCATGGTTGCTGATCGTGATGTGCAAAAGTAGAGCAGCCTCTCATGCTATGACAGATAAGCGACGGGCGGGTGAGTGAGGGCTGCTAGTAAGGAAGTTAGTAAGGAGAGCCCTGGTGTGGGGAGGTATTTGTCGTATATCACAGTCCGGGCATGAGGCGATCTATACCGCGTGCAGAATGCCTGCGTGGGACCGAGAGCATCTAGAAGAACAGAAGCACGGAGGGCCCATTTTATTTATATAGCAGGGCTGGAGCCGCTGCGAATGTTCCTGAGGCAGCAACAAGCCTGAGAAGCAACGCCCTTTGCTGGTTTTGCAAGGTCGACATATCACACGACGCAATTTCCATTGGTCGGCATGCTGCCAGACTAGCTCTTTGCTGCTGTCCGGCGCACTCTGAGTGGCCACCTCTCGGAAATGTCAAAAGGACAACGTTATGGTGAAACATAGTCAGGTAGTCCTCCGTCTGTCAGGTGGTCACGATGCAAGTCCGGTAATGCCGACGTAAGCGCAGGGAAGAATTGCGTTCAGGAAGATCATGTTCATCAATAGGCAGAAGTCCGACATGCGGAATCCAGGTACGCCTCATTCGGCTTCAAGTCTCGAACCAATCAAGTCAACGCGCAACCTTTCGAAATTTGCAGCATTGCGGATATCACACACGCTGCCCACCCACCTTTCCTAGGGACGTTGCAATACCGAAACGTTTATTTGTAAACAGCCCACGAATCACCAGCTAACCTGCACAGCCTACAGAACGATTGCGCAATGTCTCAAATGCTATTATCTAACAAGTTTACTCGATATCGTGGTGTTGTCTTGCGCAGCCTGGGACACGTATACTACGGCAGTTGAACCCCTCAACGCTGCACGCTCATCACCGTCCAGGTTCTTCCCTTGAACAGAACTCTGCGGTATAGAATCTTCTCGCTCATCCGTCGGAATACTCATCCACCAACCAAAGACTTTTGCATTCCATGACCTTTCCTATTTGTCATCTTGCTATCAATCTTTCCATCCGTCATCCGATCACTGCCCTTTCTCCCTATCCTCCCTTCTTACTCAACTCTGACTAACGAACCTCCCCCTCCCATACCCTTCCCGATACCCCTCCTCCATCCCTCTGCCCGTCTCCCGCTCTCTCATTGCTTGTCTCCTCCCTTCCCTAGCTTTCTCCCTGCCACACTGCCTGCACCACCCACATTCGCCGTCCACCCATAACGTCTGGCTCATCCTTCTCCCTACCGGACACGCCTTGATGGGCTCAAGCGACCTAGCGTAGGAGCACAAGCGCAGGTAGGGGTAGCAGGGTGAGGGTGGGCAGTGACAAGAAGATGAGGTGCTGAACAGTACTATGCACATCGAAGGCGTGGATGTTGCGTGGTTCGTGCTCGTGACGTATGATGAATAGTTGGTATGTATGTATGTACATCCACTGCTACCTGTCCAAGATATTGAAGAAGCCTTGTGTCGTACTGATGACTCCTCTACGTATGTACTCACGACCGAGCGTTGGACTTTGATTGTTGATCAGATTGTAAGAGAATCTCAGGTTGGCAGATAGGTAACAACTATCAACGGAGCAGAACACTTATTTCGACTGAGCAAAATTTCTTGTCGCCTCACCTCTACTCATCTATCTTATTAACAGGTTATGTTTTTGAACAATGCCTCAATTCCCTTTTGCAAGATATGCGAGAAAGTGAGGAGGGAAACAAGCTAGGCGATTGTTCTGTGCAACAAGCACGCGTTTTGGCCAACTGGTTGTCGTTTGACCAAACCAACAGCGGGGCAGGTATCGCAAGTTACCATTGGAAAGACGTGAGCATGCGCGGTCGCAGGATTTTGTTGCGCTGCAGGTAAACCGTCTATCTCTGGGTAGTGGGACACCCTGTGTAGCGGGACGGTACAAACACTTGCCAACACTACGTGCTGCGCTGCGCCTAGCTAACACCATTAGAAAAACACGTCTCTACTAAGAATGCCATCGTGCACGGCAGAGAGAACAGGCTGCAAATGTGTAACAGTCCGCCAATCTCGTCAGTGTATAGCAATGGTAGGCGCGGCCTCCTCTTGGGCGCCTGAACGAGGGCCTAAACGAGGCTGTGCGCTTGGAATTTCAACCTTCAGCATAGTATCTCCCTCTGCGCGTCTTAAGACAGTAGAGCCTCATCTGCTCAGGCAAACTCTCCCCCTCATAATCGCAACTTTCAATCATTGTTACTCTTTACGTTGCATTGTTGATTGATCATGGGAAAACAAAGGCGAAAGGCACTTTGGCGCAGGTTTCTTCAACTCGGAACAGCACCGCTGGAAGCGACAAAATGGCGGCACGTCAATGGCGACGCTCTTGAGATGCAAACTCCTCTAACGGCGCAAGACATAGAGAGCCACCATAGCAGTAGCATCGCCAACGAGTTGGATCGCTCGCGCTCGAGCACATTGATCGAGAGAAGCGTTGTCAGTCGCCCACTAGGACGACTGATGGGCCCTCAATTCGTAGGGTGGCGACTCGGCGTACTACACTTTGGAATTTGGGTTTCGATTGTCTTTGTGCTTAATCTCACCGCGACGATATGGGGCTCTTTAGCTTCTAGGAAAGATAGGGGTGTTCTCTTCGAAGGCGAGTGTGTTTTTACAAAACGGCTAAACACTGGACTGCGTGTCCTAATCAACCTGCTGAGTGCAATTCTCTTAGCTGGGTCTAACTACACCATGCAATGCATGTCTTCACCCACACGACAAGAAATCGATCGGTCGCACGCACTATCACCTTTTCTTCCTCTCCAGATAGGTATTCCAGGTATTCGAAACCTCACCAAGATCGGACGCCACCGAGCAATACTATGGTGTCTTCTAGGAGCTTCATCTCTCCCCTTGCACCTATTGTAAGCCGCAAAGTCATGTTAGACGCACCAGCTGACGATTGGAACAGCTACAACTCTGCAATATTCAGCTCCCTTCCTTCCAACAGCTATTGGGCGATATCAACGAGCGAGTCTTTTATTACAGACTCAAGCTGTTTGAACTGTCCTGAGATTACCGGCGAGTTTCCTTCCGTACTGCATCGCCTTTGGAACAATGCAAGCACCGGCACGCTCGAAAGGCTTGATCCCGCCGAATGCATAGCCAGGTACGCAACGAGTATCCAATTCGCTCAGCGCAACGTCCTGCTTGTTGCCAGCGATGACCAGGTCCCACCTCCGAATGAGAACCCACTTATAAATGGCTCTCATGCCTATGTGCGATGGAAGTTCAGTGCCATGAGCGCAATGGCGCGTGATACGGCTCGCAACTCCTTTGACTGGATATGTTCAGGCATGGATGCTAAGAGACCGTGCTCGCTTGGAATCGATGCTATTCGAGACTCATCTGCTGAGTCGTGGCTCATGGGACCCGGAGCAGGATGGCCCGTCAAGTACTGTCTTAGCGAAAGGGCTGATCCAACCTGCAAGCTCCATTTCGAACCGACTATCGGCACTATCGTCACAATACTCAACTTCGGTAAGTTTTCTTTTGAAGAAAAATAGTTATTCGCAAGAGGGCTGCGTACAGAGCAGCTGATGAGTGCAAATAGTCAAAGCGGGCGTCATGTTTTACGTAGCGTTCTTCGTTGGAGACGAGCCACTCATGACAATGGGCGACGCAGTCGCATCCTTCCTGGAAAGACCGGATCCTACAAGCAAAAACAGGTGCCTCTGGGCCTTTGCAAATCAAAGAATGTTCAGAGACGGCAAAGGTATCAAGCATCATAGAGTAGGCCCGCAACGCTGGATCTGTCCACAATATCGATGGAGGGATGCTACTAGTCCAGAACGCCGCGTCGTCACGATCTTCATGTAAGAACAAACCTCACCTTCCGCTTGTTTCCCCCAAGGCCAGAAGCTTATGTTGATCATCAGGTTCTTGCTTGCTCTCTCGGTTGTCACCGCATTCTTAGCCGTCGGAATCACAGCCTTGCCACCAGGCATAACAATCTCACAGCTTGACTTCGGTACGCATAGCACCATCTCGAAGCCAGTGGATATAGGCTGAAGAGAGAACCAGCAAAGTTCTGAAAAGTTTTCGCTAACGCCCGTGGTGTAGTTGGCCTTGATCCAAGCTCCGCCATCGACATGCGCAATTTTCCAGATTCCCTCGTGCTCAAGGTCGTGCTCGCCAATTCGCCTCAGCTCGTATTCTCTTTGCTCTACTTTTCTTACAATGCACTCTTGACCGCCATGCTCATGGGCTATGAATGGGTATCGTACGCCCACAAACGAAAAGGCCTTCGGGTATCGCACCAGCCCAAGGGCGCTCAGCGCTGCACCTACTTCCTTCAATTGCCATACCGGTTCAGCATACCACTTCTCTTACTAAGCGCTATCTTGCACTGGCTCGTCTCTCAAAGTTTATTCCTCATGTCCATTGATTTTTACGACAGTCTTGGCAGGCCTGGCGACAATGATCCATACAACAACAAGTTCTTCGGATACCAAACAGTGGGCTTCTCGCCGCCTGCTATTATCGCTGTTTTGGTGTGTGGTGGGCTAATGACGATTAGCATCGTAGTCTTGGGTCATGTACCGTACAGGCGCGGCATGCCTGTCGCAGGCAGCAGCAGCATGGCCATCAGTGCGGCGTGTCACTTGACGGCTGAAGCTGGAGCAAACGAGGGCACTGCGTCGAGTGAAAAATTGCAATGGGGTGTTGTGGCCAGGGCAGACAATGGCCCTGGGCATTGCGCATTCTCGCCCAGATCAGTAGAAGCGCCCGTCAAGGGCAGGGTGTACGCGGGCTCTTCCAATCTAGGTCTTTGAATGTTTCTAAGATTGGGTTGCTGCAGAAGCTGGAAGTACAGGTACGGGAGTCCTTCGCATATACGACTAATCGCTGCCATAGCTCGAGAGGAACTTCCTAGCCTCGTCTTGCTCAAACTTCCAGTCACATGGTCCTAGCGTTACATTTCGCGTGTTGTGCTCGTGCTTAGGCCCACGTAACAAGAGAGCGATGTAGTCACGTCAAGGTACTGCCTCGCTAACGTTGTCGTGAATGCAGTTGTGCAAAACAAGAGAAAGGGAGAGAAGTACAGAGAGGACACCACTATCGTGCGTGATGTTTAGGAGATTCCACAAAACGCAAAGCTATATTGGAGCGCTTGCTATACACTGCCTGGCGCACCTTACCATTTTCTGCGTTCTGTCATGATTGATCATGACGGACTCGCACATCTTTCTCACCATCCATGCCTGCGCTAGGTACGCATATTTTGTCAAAGCTTTCCTGTTGAACTGATAACTTACACTCAAATACCATGCCTAAAATTAGCTTTACCAATGTAGGGAACCAAAGAGATTGCTCAGTAGCACAAGATAAGGCGAAAGAAGGCGCGGTCGGCAGCACGAACAGGATATGTATTATGATGAAATAAGTTTCCCTCTTGACTAGAGAGAGATAGAGAGAGAGACGGCGCAACAAGCGCACACTGATAGCCTTTGACCTAGCAAGCACCGCGTAAAGGACCTCATGCGATTGACAAAGATACATGGGACCATGGGGGAAGGTGAGTGGGAAAAAAATGAGAAAAGGGAAAACATTTTCATCCTCCCACCTCCCCAATTCCACCACAACATGCCGTAACATAAGAGGTCTAATAGAGGTACCTGGTCAAGGCATCCTAAGCCGCCGTATCCACACCCTCACTCTTCATCTGTTTGCCCGTCCGTCCACGCGTGACTTCCTTATCCTGTGGACTCCTCGCCTCCTGCTCGTCGGAACTCTCATCGAACGTGGGGCTCTGGGGCCTACTATCGTTCAGGTTACGGCGACTGCGTGCCATCCACGACCTCACACCACCAATCAGACCCAGATTGTAGCCCGCCGCGAACTCGGACGACTCCCTGGTGCTGTTGTTGGCCCTTGGTATGTCCAAGTGGCTCAGCCTACTAATCGCACTCGGGCTCCTCGCAACATTGCCGCCAGATTCCATAGCCTCAGCCTGCGTCTGCTCCCTCGTTGGCGTCCTCGCGGGACTGGCCGGCCTCGAGGTGCCGTATTGCCAAAACTGTCGAAAGTCCTTGCTCAGTTCCTGGCCTGTGGTGGTCCAGTTGGCTTTGATGCTGTCGCGCAGCTCGGCCATGGTGCGCTTGACGTCTAGTTCATTCTTCTTGAGCCAGGACACGTTTAGTTCTTTGCGCGAGGTGCCGCGTTTGAGTTGGCGGTCAATGTATTGGTCATAGTCGCGTACGATCCTGTGTGTAGGTTAGCTTGGCTACTACTGTCCAAGACTGCATGTTCATAGACTTACTTTGTAATGATACCCGTTGTGCTGAGACCCTCTGTTCGCTGTGTGACGAGGAACATGCCGCGCTCCTTGATGGGACCGTAGATGTCATCGCCTTCGTCTGCGCCATAGGGAAGGTCGTCGTGCGCAACATAATCGATATTGTGCTTGAGCAAGAACTCGGCCGTGACGATCCAAGGACAGTCCTCAATCACCTCGTCAACCCACTTGCAATGGCGCACACTCTCGGCACGCTCCCTCGCCGACAGAACGGTCAGACCCTTGCGCTTGTGCGTCTCCTTGTTGCCGGTAACGCCGACGACGAGGTGGACGTCTGGAAAGGCCGTCTTGGCTTGCTGCAGGGCGCGCATGTGTCCAATGTGGAAGAGATCAAACACACCGTCTGCGTATATCCTGACTGGTCGGCCCTCTGGCGGCGGATTCGTCTTGTACCCCACAGGATCGACGAGGCCAGCTTTCGGCGGAGGCTCCATGCGCATGCTTCCAGCCTCGCCTCCCTCGCCGTGGTCATCGTCGCCTGCAAGCGAGGATGTGCGGCGGCTCTTCTTGCTTGCGCGCTCATCCTCGTCGCTGTCTTGGTCGCCGTGGGCGCTCTTGACGCGTACCCGCTTCGTCGTTGTCGTCGTCGTCGTGCCGTTGGCATTGGCATCGGCCTGGCGCTCCTTCTTGGACGCGACGGCTTGGAGGACAGGGTCCTCGGCACCCTCGTCCGAGGCGTCGCGCGATGAGGGCTGCACAGCGTCCATGGCGTCTTTCTTGACCGACGTTACTGTGGTTGAGCGCTTTCGTTTTGGCGGCATAAGCGTGGGGAGTCCGAGGGCTTCAGGCGGTCAACAAGCAGCAGGACAGTAGGTGCAATTACGGGCGCAATGGGCGGGTGCTTAAGACTAGTTTTGCGAAACCAGCACGTGCAGTGTAGATGGAGGAATGGGCAGGTGAGGAAGTAGGTAGATGTCGGATGCGCAATGTCCAGATATGGGGAAAACGCGGGTGATAACGGTGTCGGGAAACAATGCGCAAGCGCCAATTAGATGGTAGAAGAAGTGACGACGGCGACGGCAGCTGAGCACGACGGGAAATACAGGCCAGAACGTCCGGGGAGAAGACGTCGGCGGATTTGACGGTGATGTCTAGTAGTTGTCGAACACGCGTAGAGTACACCTAACATCATCCTAATAAATTTCGCGCTTCCTTGAATCCTGATCTGATCGGCACGGCTTGGCATGACGAAAGTCCGCCCGACGCTCCCTGCGCCACATGGCCAACCCACGTGTGGCATTTGCCATCCTGATTCCTTGCATTTGGCACAATTGCCATGACGCATCTGTATGTGAATAGCATCAAGGAAACCTTGCTAATCTACGCAGCAACGGCTGCGTCGTCCAAAGTCCACACCCTTACTTCGCCGTCATCACCCGTACTCAATATGACCTCCTCATCTTCTGACCGCTTGCCCTTGTCTGCTCTCCTCGCCCAACAAACATGGTTAATCTCAAACACGTCGTGCCCTGAGAATAGCTCCGCGACAACCACCCACTCAGTCAACGACTTGTCCGCATCCCCATTGTCGGTATCCGGAGCAGCTTGTTGTTCTCTCCACCTCTCCTTGTAGACCACAATCTTCCCATCACTCCCCGCGCTAACAATCAAGCCCGTCCTTCGACTCCAACTGACCGAGTAGATGGCGCGTTCATGAGCTTTAGGTAGCACAGCTTCCTGATGCCAGTCCTCGTCGATGGCCGCAGAACGAATAATACTGGGTATGCCCGTGTTGCGCTCGGCATACTCGTCTCTCTCTCGCGGCCGTCTCCGCCATATGCGAACTGTGCAGTCATCCGAGCAGGTCGCGAATCTAGGTCCTGATCTCTCCAGTTCCTCCATGTGTTGTCTTTGCTCGGCTGCTAGCCCTGTCGTGTCTTTCCTGTAGTCCTTTTTACTCATGCCGCTGCCTTCAAACTCAGCCCACCAGACTGTCTCCTTGTGCCCATCAATCATAGCAACCTGAACCCAGTCGTCCGCATCTTCCCTGTACAACCGGACAGTGTCGTCGTAGCTCGTGCTAACCAGCAAGTCTTCTTCTGGGTGCCATGCCACGGATTTGACGTCGCCGTCGTGTTCTTGTAGTACGGCAACCGTCTCAAAGTTGTCGTCCTCGAGCTCCTCCCATATCCACACGCTCTTGTCACGGGAGCAGGTAGCTAGGTATTGGCCCGAGGGCGACCATGCCAAGCACTTGATCTCCGATTCGTGCCCGTCGAGAATACAAGAGAATTGATAGTCGTCGGCGTCGTCATGGTCCGACATTGTGTCGCCTGCATCCGTGAAGTCGCGCTCCATGCCACCCACAGCACCACCGCCTTCTTCCCGCCGCCATATCCCCGCGCTCGAATCAAAACTCCCCGTCGCAAGCACGCTCTGCCCCCGCGTGCCGGGTTTCCAGGAAACGGTGCGTACACTGCGTTTATGGCCTCCGGTTATCGAGTGCAGGAGCGTAAAGGAGGTCAAGCTGTACACGCGGACGCTGCGGTCGGAACATGCAGTTGCGACAATGGGGAGAGTGGGGTGGGGCGCCGATTGCCATGTTCGTGAGTTGGATGGCGGTGTGAGGGTTGCGAGAGGGGCGAGGGTGTGTGTTCGTGGGGAAGACATGGTCGAGGGGCCGCTGCGGGCAGGGCGTACGCTACGAATCGAAGCAGCAGCAGCAGCAGCGCGCAATTGGTGACTCGGATCGAGGTAGGGGCAAATATATATTATGGACGACCAACGGCGTGAGCTTTGTCTGCTGGTGTCGCGCAGGGTTAGCTTTGAGTCAATCGATTTGGAGAGTTCACGCGTGGGGCATAGAAAGTTCAGATGAGCGTCATTCGCCAAGCCTCCTCCCACCATTGTGGGCCTGCGTTATCGGACGACCTGCATACGTGCCATGCGCTTTCCTGGCCAGATTGTTTCTTCAAATCTATCCCATACGTGATATACATATTACTCTATACATGGTCCTGAACGGCTTGAAAACATGTTCTACTCATTAAACCTATTGAGCGCCCCCACAAAGGCCCAAACTCCCCTTCGTATCGTCATCGTATGTCATTATGAAGGGGTATCCCAATTACTCCATGATCCAACGCCGCGCAATGCTTCTGTAACAAAACCATCGTCTACTCCTTCCCGTTCTCTATTTCCTCACGCCATGATACCCCGGCCTCGTCACCGCATGCGGATCCCGAAAACTCGTCGTGATACTCATCAGCCTATCTGCCAGCGTCTGCTGCTCTGTCTCCGCCATTCCAACCTTTGCACTCACCCCCAACTCACTGAGTTCAAGATTCGCCCCATCTTTCCCCTCATCCACATGGATATTCTGCGTACTCGTTACCATAATGCCTCCCCAGGGATGGCTCGACGACTCAGGTGCTGACGTCGATGTTGTGGTGTAATTTACGAGTCCCTTTTCAGAACACGTGTCCGTCTGCCAGCTTATCTCTGTCGAACTCGAGCGTTTGGAGCGTAGAGCACGTGGCCATTTGTGTCCGCGGCTGGACGGTGCGACTTTGGTTACCGACGGCGCGCGGCGTAGTGAAGAGAATTCCTTGTGGTTCTTCTGGGCCAGGATAGCGTGATCGGCACATCCTTCCTGACTCCTCAAATAGGTTTGGAAGAAAGACAGCGGAATAGCCTTGAGTGTCAGGCTCTGCAGACTCTGCACGTAAATCTCTTTGATACCGCAGAAGGCGAAGATGGTTGCGTGGCTGAACTCCGTCTGGCCGTGCATCATGTCGAGTTGTTGCGATGAAAAGACTGCACGATGCAGCGTTTCTTCTGGGCAGTCGCGGAGGAGCTCCATGATCCGGTTGCGGAATTTATCGAGGAACATATCATCTTCTGGGTCTGTCGCTGTGCGGTTATTGATTCGTAACAAACAATCATCCAGCGTGGAACCGTTGAAGGTGGCGAGAATGCTCATTTGTCGTCCGTCGAGCTCGTCGCTGCTTAGCTTTACCATTGGAAGGCGGCCGGGTGCGGCGCGCGGGACGATGATATCTAGGCCTCTCATGCCGGGTTTGGGTTGTACGAGAAAGGAGCCAATGTAGGTTCCTTTCTTGGGGAGTGATAGCTGTCTCTCGCTGAATGCATGGAGGCGTCCGACCAGGTTCTCGAGATCGTCGCGTGGTATCTGTAAACTGCGGGCTAGGTGATCGCTAACTTGTTCAACGCCCGCGAATCCATACCCGAGGTTGTGTAGTCGGTTTGCCTCAGTTGTATCGACTTTCTTCGTAAGTACGAGCATTTGGCCACGGCCGAAAAGGATCGGATTCACGATAGCGGCTTCGAGGTCTTTTGTCGCCACGTCTGCAGCCACAATGGTCTTGTTGCCGTAGTTGCTCGTCCAGATTGCGCGGTTGTTCATGGTTCCCGTTGTTAATACCTCTTCGTAGAGACATCCCAAGTTGTGCAGGCTTGTATCGAGTGTCTTCGCAATATCGTGAGCAGTGACGCAGAACAGCTCTCGAAAGGTAGCCGAGTAACTCAAATCTTCGTCAGTATCAAGAGACGTCCTGCTGTTGCTTGCGTGAGTCGGCGCTTGGAGATAGCCGGTGGCTTGGAGATGTTCTCGCATTTTTGGGATGAGATCGGAAATGCCGGTCCAGTTGCGCGATACTCGAAAGATCCATTGGAATACGGGATGCGAGGTATTGAACTCTTCATCAAAAGTTCTTTGGTGGAATTGTTGGGTGATGGTCTGACACGGCATCAGTCCGCCTTGACTGACGAGCAGTCTTCCTTCAGGGTCGAATGTGGCGATAGCCAAAACGACTTGTGCCGCTCGATTCTTCTCCAGTCGTCGTTGACGTTGCTTGATGAAGCCGAGCAGAAAGCACACGACACACGCGCTCAAGCACTGGTGTTGATTAGTGGTGCATAGTTTACTTGAAGCAAATGACTTACAAGGCACAGAGAGATGATAAGGTTTGTGTTTCTTTCCTGACCTGGTCCGCTGTGGTAGCCACGGATCTCATACCAGGTACCCGCTGCAGCAGTCCAGTGCATACCGCAAACAGCCAAAGCAAGTACAATCGCGACAATGATCCGCCGCCAGAGATTGTTCATCCAGTGTTTGCTCCAGATGAAGAAAAGACTAAACGAGATCAGACATGCGCCCACGGCGATGGAGGCGGCGCCAACAACGTGCGCCCAACTCAGAATGATTCGGTAGTTAGTAGTGCCGTTGTTGCCCAGATAATGCATCTCAGTGACCGCCGCTCCTCCGCAGACACCACAAACGCCTAGAGAGGCGAATCGGACAAAAGATCCTTTGCTTCCTTTGTAAAACTTGTCTGCGGCCAGTAGTCCTAGGAAAATAACGACCACGGGGAGGATAGCCGAAACTGCGGTGTAGGTTGAACTGTAGTAAAGCTGAATCTCTTCTTCTCCGTCACCGAGCACGATGGCTCGGTTCCCTACAAAGTGCATGCACCAAATCGCCACCAGACCGAAGGATACTGCACAGCCTCCAATCTGTACCCTGGAACTTGGTTAGATCGTTATACGACGATGTTCTCTCAAAACATACCACGATCGCCATCCTGCTCCTGAAACTCTGCGATGCAGCAGTTCCACCGTTGTGAAAGCACCGATTAGGCTGACAACATACGATCCCACGATGAGCCCTGGGAGGAATGATATGCTAGGTCTGCTTCCAAGAGGGTACTTGGTCGCAATTTCTGGGTCAAACATTGCAATGCGTGTATCTTACTTGGCGTGTTCGAAGGTATGATAGTCACGTAAGGCTGAAGGTGCGCCCTGTCATACGTCGCTTGATAAGCAAAGACTGCAGTCTGTTCGTCAGCTATGTTCGTTGAACTGCATAGAAGTAGAGATGATCAGGGACGCACCTCCACAGAAGAATTGAATAAAGCTGGGGATCAGCCTGGCGGAGCCGCCTGGGGTATGATCGCTCGAAACAGGTTCCAGGGAAGAGGAGGTTGATCACAGTCAAGTGATTGGCATCGTCCACGGCCGATCGGCGCGAGAAGGCGATTCCGGTTTCGTCAAAGTCGTCCAAGCCAGACGATATCCAGCTTCCTTCAAACTACAGCTATTCCAGAGGTCCAATTAGCGTGTATTCGGAGTCGTTGTGTATAAAGCGTTCGGCCTTCTTCCAGTAGTTAAGACTCTCAATGACCGATCGGAGAGGTAGCTGGGAGAGCAGTGGTATGTAGCAGAAATGTATCTGGGACCCGCACCAGTATTGTCGGTAAGTTTGGCTCCCTTCTATTCTAGATGTTCAGTAAAGAGGGAGACTATGAACATACTTTGGCGCCTAATTAGTCTGGCGCGGCAGGCATGACAGCGAGACCCCGTCGCACGGAGTATCCACACCTTGCTGCTGGGACCGATCACAAAGCTCCGCGGTCTCTCAAGCCGAGGTGCCAATGGCGCCAGTCCAATTTTGCTACGCCACAACTCTGGTCCTTGGATGGCAAATGTCGTTTAGAACGGGAGACGACCTAGTGGCTCGAGTAATTACAAAGTTCAGGTATGCCGTTCGGTCTTGGTGTTCTAGCCATTTACGCTGCTAACGTGTTCCGCTAGTTATGCGGACATCTCTCTTCAACGGGACTTAGTCTCACGCTGTGTTACAACCGTGGCTGCTGAATGCCCGAATGACGGTGCTCCTCTTATCAAGCTGAGTCCGCTAAGGAAGGATTGAAGAGGATATGAGATGTATGCAGCAATCACTGCCGTGCAGATTGCACAGCCAGGAGCGAATATTCATGCGGCCTAGAGTTGGCCCGCATATCAAGGTAGAGTTAGCGTGGAGGCTCAACTTTGGTACGTTGGCCGACTGATCCCGGGTGTTCAAGTAACATTGGTGAAAACGGGTAATTTGAATTGTTTCGCGACGCCAACACGGCACGGAGAGGCAGACTCCAAGGGCAAGATGTAGACGCTCATGATGGGGCAGCCAGCGATTTGGCTAAGGTCGGCATGTCACACAACCCTTGATGGTATGTGCCGTGCGCCCAAAGCATTGGTATCACAATCGCCGATCGATTGGATCAAGCCAAGATGTGAAATTATGTATCCTTTATAGACAGGCTCATGGATTCAATTGTCCCGTCTCTCCCGTCTTCGTGAGTGGGCGCTTGCAACTTTGCTTCAAGGACCGTAATCACTATTGTTGCACATGCGCAGCGACGAAAACCGTATCATTCGCATGACGAAGACAATCCATTATCAACCCTCACAAGCATAGACTCCAGCCCGGCAACCCGTTCGGCTGGTAAAACTCGGAAGTCCCGACTTGACATGTGTCGCCATCCTCGCGAACTATCCGTTGGTGCGACGGCTCATAGCAAGGTGGAGACTGAGCATGGTATGCTTACCTCCGATCACATCTCCTAGGTCACGGCAAGGTCTGTGCTCCGATAGCCGAAATGATTTTCGCCCGTGCCTGGGCCTCCCGCGCCGGTGGGGCACGAATCACATCACCTTCAGAAGGCTGCCGTTAGAGAGCCCACCAAAGCTGTTGAACTGTTACTTCGCAGCCTTGAGTTGATAGTGTTACAGCAAGTCACCACTGACATGTGACGTATGCCAACTGTCTATGGCATGTTGATCTCATGGTAGCTTTCGTCGGTGTTTGGCGTCCGAAACAAATCTTGGTTCGCTTAATGCAACCTCGGTAGGAAGAGACTGTAGTCATTGGTCGGCAGCGACGTTGGCTGACAGGAGAGTTTCGACGGTTCAGTTTGCGCCACATAAGCTACGAACAAGACCCAGTCTATAAGGTGCTGGTAGTGGGAAATCTCTCGTCAAGTCCGTGTGGCAGCAGTGGTGGAATGTGAGGAAGCTGTTCTAGGCGGGCGCACGCTGTCAGGGTTCAGCTGATGGCGAACAAGTGCTTTTCCCGTCACTTCCGGGACCTGCAGGATGATGTGCAGTTCTAGTTACCAGCCAAGCCATTCTTGGATGGGGGGTGTGCCTAGAGCAAGGGTTTGACGTCGATTCATGCTCCATGCTGTGTGCTGATGGCAGCTTGGGAAAGGGCGTTCTTGTGAGCTGCGATCACCATGCAGCTACTCGGTCATTGTTCAGCCATGGTGTTGAACAGCGGATAACGCCGTCTGGGGATGAGCCAATGCTCAGTGTATAGCCGGTGGATGAATCATTGGAAATGCCCCAGGTTCTTCCGTCAGTGTGCCACGTGTGACCCCGTTCGGAGATCAAGAGTAAAAATAAACTCGAAGCCACAGCAGCGACTACGTGATTCCATCCTTTCTAGGTGAAACGGCTGCCAACCCACTTCGCCTGAAGATCTGTAGAGGTGCGAAACCCTATCATGCGAACAACAACGCTAGTGAGCTCAAGCCGAAGCGAGCTTCCTTTACTAATCAAGGGTTCAAGACAAATCCCTTGGTACGTTCAACGTCATTCTCAAGTAGCGGCTGGTTTAGGTTTTTAGGATTTGGGATTGAAGAATTGTCCAAAGCAAGGCCTGCAGTCTGCGATGTACTGAGGCAATGGTAAGATTCCGCGATGACCGATTGTTAGTTGGGGACATGAAGTGCTGGAAGGAGATCTTCATCCGATATATCAGGCGTGCGAAAGTGCATGTCCGCGGAGCAGAATGTATTCGCCATGGTATTCTGAGGATATGAGTCAAGGAGCAGGTCATCCTCGCTTTCTCGAACATCGATATTCAGATAGGGACTGCCGATAGATCTCCCGTGCTGTGGGTTCGTTTGAGCATACCCGGCCGGTGGTAATACATCGTTGGACAATTCACGCGGATGATTATCCTGGTCTGGTGTAGTGCGCCGGGAATAGTGCCAGAGTGGCTCCTCTTCTGCCAACATGTCGTCCGAAACCGGATGGTCTGGATGAGAAGAATTAATACATGCCTGAATTGAAACCAGGGGTTTGTCCAGAAGGCTTCTCTGTGATATCACCCATAAACGCCCCGCGATGGCTAAGTTGTTCTCAGCAGCGTCATATCCAAGAATTGGCCATTTGTCACTTGGGAGACTTGACCAGGTTTCTTGCGCCATCGGACTCAATCTTTTCATCTTATCCCTAAGCGAGATGGACATGGAGTTTACGCTATCGATTCGAGCAAGGGAACGAGCAATAGTAGGGATCAGACAAGCTCGCTGAGACATAGCCTGCTTAGGGTCAGCCATGCAAGAAGCATCAGTAACGAGATATTCTTACGACCAAATACCCGGTTCTCCATATCGCAGGAGCTACGTCTGCTAAGCCTAGACGGAAAGTGCTTGCTTTAGCCTTCCATCCGACTGATTTCCTGTTCAGTGTGCCACAAATTGACAGACGCATCGCCCCGTCAACCATGCTCGCGATGTTTATCCGGTCTGATGAAGTGAAATTTAGATGTGACTTACGCTGTATGGAAGAATCAACGATCAGGCGTTTGCGTGGTCGCTTCAATGTTTTGTCCTTGTCGGGTGAGTGTGACTGAGTCGACACCACGGTCTCCGTAGCTGATCGTTTTCTTTTCCGACATGCCAGTGCCCTCACAGCAGTTTGGCTGCGATCGGTGTCAATATCATGCAGTAAGTTCTCGGAAGCCATCTCGTGCAAAAGCGTATCAGACTCTTCTTCGTCTAAAGCTGATACTCTTCGCTCGCTTCGAGGTGAATTCGATCGCTTCGTTGTGGACCTCCGGCGCGGGCTTGTCTCGAGGATGTCCACGCAGAGGCGTACCGTGTGGAGTGAAATCTCTGCAATACCCTCGGGCGGTCGAATATCTGCTGCCGGTACATCCAAGAAGAGTCTGTGACGCTCCTTCTTTCCCTGCATTCCCATGGCAGATGCATGGTTGACATCCAAGCGTATCGTCCCTGGATCCATAGCGGTATCTGTTCGTTGGGTTGGCTTCAACATCAGCTGATCCCAAACCTATGCTTTGTCAATGATGGCCATCTAGAGAGCATCGCACCTACTGGTGCATGAAGGACAGCATCCGCGAGGTCTTGCAGTTGCTTGTCGGGTAGTGAGTCCTCGCGTAAGTTGAGTCTTATTTCGATGTGCATATGTTGTCCACGTTTGACCCAAGTCTTTCCGGAAATCAAAAAATCGAGGCACTGGGGTGAAGTGAGTCGCTGTAGGTAAGTTGCGTCCTCTCTTGATGAGAGGGTGATCAATGTTGTGAGCCACAGCTCGTGATTAGTGGCAGGCGAGCTGAGTACTGCGCGCCCGAGCTCAATCAATTTCGACATTACTCTTCAGCTGTGTCAGAATTCCTGGAGATGGCAAGAAAGATGATACGATAATTACAGAAGTTGGCGGAGGAGCTGAGGCCGGGATGGTGAGGTGTCGCGGTTGACGCCAAGACATGCGTTCGGCAAGCACCCTGGAGGTTGTTTCCTCGCAGCTACAGCTCTACGCAACCTCCACCGTCGGCTCCAGCATGAGGAACATCGCCAGCAACGCGCTGAAGCGCGTCGGCCAAGTTGGATTGCTCAAGCATGTCACAAGCCGGTCGTCTGGAGTGCTTGCGTGTTCATCGGCGCGCAGAACTCTCCACGCCAGCCCTTCGCGACGCACCGATGGCGTCTTCCGCGAGCTCACTGCCATGCGCGTGCGTACACCCTGGGTAGAAGCTCTGCGCCAGCAGCAAGCCGAGGGGAAACAACACAAGGAGCCTTCAGGAAAGCCTGAAGTTCCCAAAGACCGAAAATTGACACCGAAGCGTATGGATGAAAGCTACCACTCAGTTGTGCTTCCATTGGCTCAAGACCCATGGATACTCGACACATACCTCAACTCCTCGGGCCACATACGGCTCGGAACCATCTTCATGGACCTTGATGCACTCTCAGGCATCATTGCGTAAGCGTTCAACAGCTACGCGACATAGCTGCCCTGCTCTAAACGCTCCGACAGGTACAAGCATACCGGAGACGATGTGACCACAGTCACGGCTAGTTGCGATCGCATTACCATTCACTCTCCACTGACGGAGATATGTGACTTAGAGTTGTCCGGGCGCGTTACCTATGCGACTGGCAGGAGCAGTTTAGAGATTACTATGCAGGTTGCCAAAGCACCTCAGAAGGGCCAACAGGCCAAAGACGAGGATGTGCTGATCAATTGCACATTCACCATGGTCTCCCTAGATCCAGGCACCAAGAAGTAAAGCTAATTCTTGCAGGCACGCGTCGAACCACGGCTGACAGATTTCTAGGCCGGTAAATGTCAACCCCTTGATCGTCGAGACGGCTGAAGAGAAACGCCTGTATGCTTTGGGCGAACGCAACTCCAAGGTGCGCAAGGAGCGCCGCGATACTTCCCTGCTCAAACATACGCCCAACGATCTCGAAAGCGACCTCATACACGCCTTCTGGCAGAAGCAGCTGCAGTACCATGGTCGGGTCCAGTCCACCTGTTTTCATCGCAAAGCTAACATCTCTAGATCCCTACGACGAGCTTCGCAAGCCAGATAACGTAGTCTTCATGGACGCCACCCGTCTCCAGACTGCTACAATCATGCAGCCACAATACCGCAATCGACACCACTTCATGATCTTCGGCGGTTTCCTTCTCAAGCAAACCTTCGAGCTTGCCTTCACTGCCGCCGCCGCTTTCGCACACGCCCGTCCAACCTTCGTCTCCCTCGATCCCTCTACGTTCCAGAACCCTGTGCCTGTAGGCAGCATACTATATCTGACCGCCACGGTCGTATATACAGACCCACCCCTGATTGGCGCACCCGACGAGAAGGTCGACGAACAAGCCGGGTACACACGTGTGCAGATTAGAATCGATTCCAAGGTCCGCGATGTTGAACATGGCCACTCTAAGCCTACTGGCCAGTTCAATTACACGTTTACCGTGCCAAAGAACATTAGGGTTATGCCCAGAACATATCAGGAATTCATGATGTACATTGATGCGAGAAGGCGAGCTGAGCAGGTCAAGCGTACGCTGGAAGAAGGATATGGTGTTAGCCCGAAGACGGCGGAGGACAGTTTGACGGAGTAAGACTTGGGCCACACATGCTGGAGAACAGTATTAGACATCGACACCTCACTGAACATCATACAATTGACAGTGTACACTGTAATTGAACTCATACCCATAGTATAAACATATCGATCAAGATTTCCGAGCATCCCAAACGCCTCCCAAAAGCATTCCATCGCAAATGCAGCTCCAAAGCCGGTACGTGCGCCTGCATGCGGCGATAACGCTTGACTCAAATAAGAAAGAGGTATAGCGCGTTTAATGCAGACTTGAAAACGTGAAAGGAAAGTACCGCGTGAGATGGTTATGCATGAGACTGAGTGTGCATGCATGCATCGATGAGGCGGTGAGCAAAGTCCGACCAATAACTCCGACGGCATACGCGTGCCGGGACGACGCTATGCGCAAAGAGAACACGACGTGTGAATGCACCTGCATGGCAAGTCAGTACCTTGTGTCCTTCTGGTCCTCCGCCCTACAAGCAATCGACCGGACACGTCTCCCCGCCTCTGCAGGCCGCACGCCCACCCCCATAACCCGCTCTTCTGCATCTCGCTTGGGGGGAGGGGAAAGAATGAAGCGTACCTAACCTGACCGGCCCGTCCGTGTCCATCATCCACCATTACTCGCTCTACAGTTCATCCAACTCAAACTCCAAAGCAACGTCTTCCGAGCAGTCCGTGCAATAGTAGTTTGAGAAGCCACCGCATTCAATCTTCATCTTTGAACACATGTCGATGGACCAGGCGTCATAGGAATATCCCGAAAGGAGGCGGGAAGAGCAGACTTCTATGCTGTTGGCCCTGGATGTTTGTCAGTCAAGGGGTTGGTAGGGACTTGTGGAAGGGAGGGAAATACCAGATGTAGTAGTCGTGGTTGCAGTAGTACCATGAGTAGGTGTAGGAGCACATCTTGATGCTTTATTCTGGCTTATCCGCGGGAATCCGTGCGATGGCTGTTGTGCTGTGCTGTTAGGGACAATACTGTCCGGATAGGCCTTGTATATCCTAACAATCTATATATACGTTAGCTGACCGCTTCTTCTTCCCCTGTAGATCTCTCTTCGTTACTTGTCTTCTTGGATTATGTTTTCACGGGAGGAAGTGTGGGGTTCTAGACCCGAGATTGTAGTCGTGGCTCCAAAAAAGCTATATGCAGGGCTTGTTGTTCAGCTAGCCTTACTTACCTGGATGCAGTCTTTTTCGAAAAGAAAATAGACTTGGAAATGATTCGAGTTATACCTGCTTGTTCAGCAACAGATCGCGTGCTTCAAATCCGCTTTCTTGATCTCGCGCTCCAATCTTTTCCAGGTCCAAGGATACAGAAGTGCTCCAGAGGTGCCTCTGCAAGACAGCATCGACCCTTTATGCTCATCTCGAGGCCTCCAGTCTGACTCCTAACAAAAGCTTGGGCCGACGGCTCATTGCAGATACGCCGATATGCTCAAAAGCATTCCCCGGATTAGCTGATAAGGTGAAGCGATCCCCTCCAGCCAACCACATCTTCGTGTTTCCAGGATTGGAAGCCGAGCCGGGGGATAGATCCATGGCCCATGCGTGAAGTTCGGCTATCCGTGGAGAAGGCGGTGGAGGCAGGCCCTGCATTTGTCAGATTGACTGAGATCTCCAGCTTGAAGATTGTGTGCATCAAGTATATATGTATGCAGGCTTTCTGTGGAATTACAAAGTTGCACGTAAGATTGCATACGCTGTCTGGACACCTCAGCTGTGCGTAGCTCGCGTTCCAGCGAGGAAAGGGTATGTCAAGAAACCCCAGACTTTCCATCTCGCCGACGACCGGTTAGACCCTGCATCTGCGGGACGTGCATGCAGGGTCCTCAGTCTAACTTTATCGGGCCGAGCGACGCCTCATTGGATAGGGAAGACCGGAATAAGCAGCTATAACGGCCTTCGGTCTGAAGATAGCGATAGCAAGGCTGTGTGGAATCAATAGTATGACATTTTTATAGTACTTCATGGGAGTAAGAGTGATAAGGCGGCTGTTTAGAGGCAGACCAAGGGTCGTTGGTGACCATACGCCAGCATACATACCTAGGCGAGGAAGATGTAAGCGCAGGCGAGTGCAGGATGTACAGGTCGCACTTTTCCACATTTGATTTCTGGCAATTGCTGCATTCTGCTCAGCTACTGTATCTCCCTATGCGAACTGTATTCAGATGGTTGCCAACCCCAAAGTTGGCCGAAGAGCCTGGTGCTGTTAATGTCTCCCACTAGCGTCTGATAACCGATGTCCTCCAGGAAGTCGGCATCGTGCTCAGCAACGGCTACTTACAGGAACACAGACTTAGAGAGACTGGCAACCGAATATGCGATGCCGACACTCACCGCGCTAATATACATTTTCCTATTGCGCTAACTTGCCCCAACACGTTCTTGTCCGTCCCACACTCACAGCGCCTTCCGGACTTTCAAACTGCCGATTCCGCCCGCTCCGTTACGCCTCTTCTCCTCCATCACGCCAGTTTACATCCTCCATCGCATCGTCATAAGATCCGCGCTCCGATGGCTATCGGGCCTGTCGCACCGCCATGCCGAAGGAGTTTGATGGTTTTCGATGCAAGTTGCCTGTCTGGGAAGGTTGAGTAGTGGTGGACCGATATTCGTCGCATTTCGGACGCCGGGCACCGAAGATTCGCGGCGTTCGGCGCTGGTGTCGTTCCACGCTCGGCCGGGGAGGGAAAGGGAAGGGAATGAGAGGGGTTGCGGTTTCCGGAGATTATGAAATGTGTTTCTGGAAGACTAGGTGTGTTATTGCTTCTTCTATACTGGGCGACGATCGAATGAGAGGCGAGACCTTGCTAGACCAGCGTAGTAGGTGCATCTGCCCAAGCGTTCAGCAAGGTCATACTGTGGTTCATTCTTTCTTATTCCGCGGTACTGCGATGGCTCATAAACAACGAGCTGCCCACGCGTGTGTCCTGCAGTCGGCGCAAACAAGCTGCTGCATATGACCTCCACGTCTTCGCCATACAAACATGATCGCATCATGCTCGCCATTTCATGGTTGAAAAAGTTGTAGTTCAGCATCATCCAGACCTTCGTAATCTCCAGCACCAGAAATTCTTGCGTCCAGGCTTCAGACCTCAGTCGACGTAAATGATCTCGAGGTCCTTCCCAAGACTCACTTTGAGCTTCTCTTCGATGTAGTCACGGCTGTAGAGATGAACCATGTACCTCGGTAGAATGACTGTCTCTAGCCTGGCACACGGCCGTTCAACAATAGACTCTCGGCGCACAAGATCTTGGAACAACCCCACTGGGACGTTGATGACTTTGATCTGATGGCGCAAATCATGGGGTACATGCCATGCGAAACCATCGACACCAAGAAAACCCAGATTGAAGGTCGTGCTTGACCAAAAGTATGGAAGAGCTTCGTAGCGGCACTGCGAGCAACTTTGCGCTAAGCTCATAGGATGAATCCTCAATGTTCTGAAGTAGCGATGATAGAAGCCGCGCGCAGTAAGACATACTTCATTGGATTCGAACGCGTAGCGATAGATTTTGTTTCGGAGCTCAGCCGGAAGGCGCAGGAGAGGTGAGTTGCGCTGGTTTGCGGCGGTACTATTAGGATATGTGAGTATGAGAGGAATCTCATGATAGGTTTGAGTTCCTACATGCTGTCGAGATCCATATTCATCTGACGCGGTAGAGTTGACGAATCACTGGAATGATCGGAAAACTTCTCGTTGAGACCGCAACTGGTGAGTGATCGCAAAAGAGCCAAAGACAATATCGGCAAGAGAAGATTGTGCTAGCGCACGAGGCTACCTAAGTACATGTTTCACCATCCCGTAGTTGCTCCGCCATACCAAGCTGTAGTACCTCGCCAGACCCTTCAGAGAAGATTTCACCATCACCTTCGCTTCGAACATGCTTACATGCCGAGATACCAATGCTTGCGAAGGCGGCGTACGTGCCAAACCCACTAGAGATCAACCACTCGGTCCAAAAGTGACCTCCACATCGCGACCCAACCTCTTTCTGATAAAAAACACAATTTTCGCACGAGGTTGCGGAGGTGTATCTTCGGGGTAGATGTGCCAGTACTTCAGTCCCGGTAAGAACCTTGCGTACTGGAACCTCCCAAACAGTATCACCGCGGAAGAGCAAGCTGATGTAATCTTGTTGAGCATTTCCGGCTCAACCCTTCTGACCATCCGCGGCAGGTTCCATTTGTGGCCGAATGATACAGTAAGGTTGGAGTAAAAGATCGGCTTCGCTTCGTACTCAATCTGCTTGCACGTCTTGAGAAAAGCATTTCTGGTGATATTCTCCCCGCGGAATGCGAGTTCGTATATGCGGTTCCGGATCTCGCCTGGTAGGCATAGAAGCGGAGAATTCGATTCGTTTGCAGTGGTGCTGGTAATCTTATCAGTTCCGTCCCTCTCTCGAAACTTTGGGTCTCTGTCGGTGGCTCTTACATGGCTTCTTGCTCCATCGCTAGCGATAAGGATATGTGGGTTACGAAAGCACTGTAACAAGTGTACACGAGTAAGGTGGTGATCGAATTGAGAAGTAAAAGAACCACTTTCATGATGGAGAATGGGGATGCTAAGACTATTAGGATAAAGGTAGATGGCACCTTCTCACAAGGGACCATTGATATATCCTTCTATAGTGAGAGGAAGCAAGCTGTCTCTACATTTGTCGCCCGCGCATAGTATCGCGAACCGTGCGTTCGCAGCAGCATCACAGCTATTGTGTCATTGAGAGTTCAACAATATTGTTTCGTGCATTACTTCGTCTTGCTCTAATCTGCTATATAGGATTTCGCCGTACAAAGTTGATAAGCGCATAAGCTCCGCTCGCCACGGCTGCTCCTCCCAGTGGACCCACCCAGTAGATCCAGTGATAACTAGTAAATCCCACGACAACTGCTGGACCAAAACTTCGTGCTGGGTTCAAGCTACCACCCGTAAAGTAGACACTGCACATCTCGGCGATGAATAGCGACAAGCCGATGTACATTGGTTTCGATGATCCGGCCTCCAACATGAGAATGCTCAGGACGAGTTGCGCGGTGACAAATGCTTCCAAGAATAAACCTCTCGTCACGCTAATCGATGCGTCGAGCTTTGTGTCGATGGTGAGGGCGCCAGGCAAAAGACCAGAGACGAAGCCTGCTGCGGCGATAGCAGCTATCATCTGCGCTATGATAGTTTGGAGTGCACGATGCCAATGTATCTTTCGTGTGAGCCACAAGGCGGCAGTAACCTGTGGCAGATTAGCATGTTACACTGCATGTTCGTACAACCACCACAACTCGGTGATGTCACAAATGGTGTTGCCCAAGTGCTGGGATATATGAGCACAAGTTGCACGGCTGAACTTACTGCTGGATTGAATTTACCGCCGCTGATGTCGGCGAATATGGCGACGTTGATAGCCAGAGAGACGCCAAAGGCGAAGGCGATATAGAGAAGCTTCCCAACATCGGGAATCGGGTTCGAAGATGCCGTCAAGTCGTTGGTGCCCGCGGCATTGAGCGCGATCTGAGTACCAGTGAAAGCCAGGGATAGAAACATGAACGTGCCGATTAGCTCTCCCAAGAAAGCTGTGACCTCTGTACGTAAGACATGATGCTTCCTTCGGTCCTCCGAGGGAGGTGCGGTTGATGGCTCATGGAAGGGTAGACCAGAGTCTTTGTCCTTATCGTCAAACATGATCCAGTACGGGTTGCTACCAAGAGTACTTGAAGAAAAAGGCCTCAAGGTGATGGGAGGTGAGAGCACGATTGAAAGAGAGGATGTTCGTTTGTAGATTGAAATGTGCTTCTCGAAAGCCATTATATCGCATCGCTAAAATGGGAGGAGTAGGGTGGGCACTGCCGATTCTCATATTCGCCTGTGCGACCCGGAAAGCCGTGCACGCTTGAGAAGATCATGGTTCCGTCGTCCTGGGGTGGGTGTTGTCTGCTTGAACCAGCACGAGCCTGTTGTTGGAGTTAGAATCCATGCATCGCGCCAGACCATGAAGTGCTGATGCATTAGCGGAGTGTGCATTCCGACTGGCGTGCCGTTATAGCGAGATTGGGAAGTCAAGGTACGATAGAGCTAGAGCGGAGAAACGTCCATGGGGTCGCCTGACGGTGCGCCACAGCAACTCAAAAGTGATGAAGATTGTCGACATCATTTCGATGGTATACACCTTCCCGATTGCTACTGGACTTGATGTATAGTAGCAGCAGCCGAAGATGTTGCGTCTACTGTGGACGTCAATGGCACAGGACTATCCATTAGACTACGCGTCAATAGCCTCACTGTTGGTTTGGAAAGAATAACTGCGATTCCTGCGAGGAGGGTGTGCATTGAAGTTCGAGCGTTGCCAAGATTGGAGCCAGCAACGTTTTGACAGGTCGTTCGAAACGTTGGTCGCTCCATGATACTGCAGAGACGCGTGCGCCGCCCCTTAGTGGCGGCTTCAGAAGAATGTGTCAATCAATACTGAAGCGATGGTTACGCAATGATGCCTGTCAAGTAGGCAGTGTTGGGTGCATGGACATCATGTAGAGTGCTGCAAAGTGCAGGTGTGACGAAGGATCCGCAATGAGCGACTAAACATCAGCATACGAACGAAGTATAGAAGAGAATTCCATGAGCCCACAATCTGAGTGACGCGTGGCAGGCCTACACATGAAGCCTGGAAACGACTGCGCCTTCAAAATCGACTCGCATGGAATGTGGAGGTCTTTCTCTCAGCGCCGCTACCGCTCTGCGTGGGCCCAGTCGCTGGATTCCAAAGTTTTTGTGCTGTCCACACATTTTCACTTCTGTCATTTAGTTCAGTTGTCGTGCAACGTGCTCTGGCCAAGATTGGTGTTGCTAAAGTTTGGTCCCGGTGCACGGGACTCGCGTTGTGTGCTCAAGCTGATCACCTGTCCACAACTAAATGTAAACTGATACTCACTCGGGGTACAGTGCCCTCGGGATAGCCGCTACCGAGTAATGTGGGCATAACCTCATTGTTACTGGCTTTCAACCGCACGTAATCTCAATAAACCCCCGCATTCGATAGAAACATGCCCTTGCACTTGCTCGGTGCCTTCATGGACGTAAAAAGTCTACACAATCGACATCAGCCAATTATCGACGCAGGCGATCTCATACCAAAAGTGTCTTTGTATTCAATAGTCCGTTCGAAGGAGCAAGCAACACTGCAAGCTACTTCGGAAGCATGTTGTCAGGCGTATCCTCGTTGCTGTTGGCCATGACGATTCAGGCACATTGTGAGCTTGTAGTTAGACATGCGCATCTACGCCACAGCGATCATTCGATGCGGGTCGGGGGGTGCGGGACGGTGATGGATTTCTTAGTACCGCCCTACATTTGATGAGAGGTTTCGGAGTCTCTGCAACAGCTTACGACAGGCTCGGGCCGATGTTTTAGATCTCGCGCGCCGTTTCACCCGAGGATCTTCAAAACAGGAGACATCACTGACAACTTCGAGAAGGCCTTTTATATGCGATGCGATCCGATGCGAAAGCTTGGTAAGTTTCTGTAAGGATAACACCTCGTTTGATATTTGCCGGTAGCCGAGTGCACCGGGAGCGTCCTGGCCTGAGTGCACGTCGCAGTTTCAAGGTGAACAAGACCCAGTGTCGAGCATCAGCGTGGAAGATGCATAGACAGTGTGCGAGGTGTCATTGCTGCTTTTGTACAGCCGCTCATCTTGAGATGTATTGTCTTCGCGCGTGGGTGAGAGAACACTGCCGCTTACTAATGTGAATCAGGCACAGAACAGCCAGAACTTTCAAGAAGTCCGCAAGAGTCGGCAAAAAATCCCAACGTTGTCAGAAGCAGAAAACAGGGCAGTGCAACATGCCCCTCAGTTTGTTGACGAGTTCATGGGTAGACATGTGTGAAGATGGAGTCGAGTTTCGATCCTTGTTTAACCTGTGGAGCCTTAGGCAGGGGCAAATTACCAGAATCGCTAGCGAGCCGCCACCGAAGACAATACCGCATATGTGGAGATGATGCCAAACACTAGGACTATCAGTCACTGTGGTGCCTTTGTCGAAGTACTACTCGTTGGAAAGTTTAGGCTGGCCTTGTGATTGAGTACCGCAGTCGCTGCACATGACCCTTGTTATTAGCTGGGTACGTGAGCGCATCATACCGTTGTGCTAACGATGTCGGATACTGGGACATAGATATGCCACTCACGGCACAAATCCAGTCCTTGTCCACTGTCGGTTGAGATGGTGCTCTACGTTGCCCAGAGTGTTGACGGCTGTAGAGAGAACGGCCGAGATGCGATATACCAAGGCGACGCTATTGATCGATGACGCTACTGGTAGCAATACCAGGGGACCGCGGACAACGAAAACAAAACGGGTATCCATTCTCACGTTCCCCATGGACTTGCAACGCACGCGGCACAACACGTGCATGTTCTGGACTTGGAGATGCAAAGCTGAATCGAGACCCTGCAGATGTCTTTTTGGCTCAACATCAGGCTTGGTATACATCTCGGCGTGTGGCTTGGACGTCTGTTAAAATTCTCTAGATACTAACCGAACGAGTCAAGTGACACATACCGATTTATCCTGTTTTGGTCTTCGTGCAGCCAATTATGACATATGGCATCATCTTCTGCGATTTACTTAGCTAAGCCTCGAGAGAGCCATCATGTTTGCATGCTTCAGCTGCGGTCACTCCGCACCACATAGCGTGAACTTGACTGCATGGCAGTCTTGATGACTAGTGATCTGATGAAGCTAAGCCTGATATTCTTATTAGCAGGACGTTCGACACTCGGAGTCAAGTCAATCTTAGACGTATGATCTCTGTTGCTGGCAACGGCAAGAACATCCTCTCCGCTCAGTATGGATCGACCAACGTGCACGAGGGCCAGGAGATCAATTTCGATACCACATATGCTGGAAGCGTGTCGACCAAGGGCTTCTGTGGCACTGATTGTTGCGAGAAGACGGGATGGGAGTGGCATGTGTGCTCCGAGGTTTAGGCTACGACATCATCGCAACCCACCCATCCACAGCTCGACCGAGCTTCATCTTTCCTTGTCTACATCCTAGAACTCACTTGAACGGTGCTTCCTATACATAATCCAGTGCTGTGATATAATGCAATGTAATCATATTTCTAACCTATCATCGCGCTGCTTTCTTGTGATGACGCTTTGTATGACACCCTCAAAGCAATTGGCCTCATATTATCGTCAACATCTCCCCTTCGTCTTTGTCTCCTTCTCCATTCATATACCCATGAAGATATGCATCACCCACGATTCTGTACCTTTCTTCAGATTTTCTCAACACAAATGGAAGTCTGCACCCTACAAAGAAACCAACACTATCACCTACCTTCGCCGAGATCGGCAGCAAACCGATCCCACCCAATCTTGTTACACCAAACTGCCGGCCCGACTTCCACCTACTGAAAGCCGCATCGAAGTCTTTACATGCATGCATGTTTGCAACTTGAACGCTTTGCCAAAAGGCGTCCCAAAACCTATAGCATGAGCGAGCTAACCAAGGAAAAGCGAGGTTTCTAGCGCACGAAAAGAGCCAATTTCCCTGGAAGCGGTATGTTAAGGTTCGAAAAGAGATAGCAGAAATGCCAAAAAGCAGCCATTTCATATTTCGGGCTTTATGGCGCCACAATTCGATACGCATGAAGGTAAGCCATTTAGCGAAGCTGCCATCATCAGTGGGGGGGTTGAGTGAATCCGTAAATGTGCCATTACAGCACAGAGTGCGCCAGAAGGCATTGTATAGAGATTCACCAGTAGGTTTGTAGGTGGGATGTGATCCGGCGCCAATAGGTGGTGTTGTCAGGTTTCCTTCTGGTGCTATGAGATCTCCTACACGTTGGAACCAGTCCTGGTACGCTATGATGTCTTTGATGGATTCCGAGCCACCACGTGGCGTGTTCAGATAATTCTCAGTTATAACGGGGACGGGAACAACGTGTGTTATCACATCAAAAACAGTGCCGCGAATGTGAAGAGACTAGCGGTTGTGTTAGTGCGAGTGAGATGCCAAAACTGAAGAGGAGCTTACGTCATCCCCTTCTCCATTGGTGAATTGTATGTCTGGGTTACGGTTGACCACCGGCTTCTTAGACGGGTATACCCATACCAAAGGTACATGTTGGAAACTTCTCCTCGAGCGAAAGTACACCACCCAACTCGGCTCCGTGAATTCGTGTTTCTCGTCTCTTGAGATGAGCGACAATACGTCCAACTCAGAACCCACCGTGGATCCTATAGTACCGTTCAGAAACATACGACTAAGCTCCTGGGTTAAGTCTTGATAGCTTTTGGAATAATCAACGAAGCTTTCATCAATATCTTCCATCAGTCCAACAAGCGCAAACATCCTATCTCGCGGATCCGTTGCCTCGAAAGAGGAAGTTCTCATCATGAGGCTCAGGGCATCGATCGACCCTTGCTCTCGTAAACTTTTGATCTCCTGCAGCCAGGGTGCGCATCTCATCCTATATATTCGCGCGTGGTCCTTCTCTATCGCCCTCACGGCAGCAGTAGTCAAGTAGACACAAATCGACAGATGCGCAAATCGTCTCATTGCTTGGAGAACAGGGAATTCCTCGTTGAGCGTTCGTGCCCCACACCACATTGTAACCTGACGTGCGAGCAAAAATTCTTGGATACTGGAAAACATCAGCAAAAAGCCATACCATGAGTAGGTTCAAGGACGATGTGTTACGTACATCCACATACGACTGAACCACGGTCGTAGGAGAAACGCAGCCAGCGCATTCCAGGACACTTGTGGTACGTTTGAAGATAGCCACGCGTCATGCGCTAGGACATCCCGAGAATGGTCCAAATGCGAGACCTTCGGAGTGCTAGCCCACACCACATGGATGAGCCTCAGTACGTCCACCGCCAATCTATCGGTCGCTTTTGCTTCACCCAACCATACGACCACGCAATCCGCTCTGGAGTATATTTGATCCATCATGCGAACTTGAGACGTGCGTTCAGAGTTATTTGACTGATCGATGCAGATGGCGTCGACCCAAAGAGGTATGTTGGTGCCTCTGTGACGGTATTCGAGTAAGAAAGCATGTAGATTAGGCGTTACGAAGAGGGGACGCGAGTTGCATGTTATTTCGATAAGGGAGTGATTTGGGCCCCAGCAGTATGACAACGCATAATAAGAGATTGAAGTAGTATCCAGATATGTTTCCGCGAGCTGGCATCGCAGTGGAGTTTCGCGGTCGCCTGGTTCGACGGCAAGCAGGCGGATAGTGCGGCTGGCGAGCTCATGGGGATAGATAGATGGATCAGCCATAGTGAAGTGCAGGCGCGTTTTTTTTTTAGCAACGGTTGGTTTCAGTCATAAAAGGTATAGAGGATGAGAACGGAACTTTATGTTGGCGGCTGAGGCTGAGTGACATATCTATGTGCGCCACGCTCGCTCAGCCATGTTCAGCCTGGTGACCTGACGCGATAAGCCACCTGCATAGACCAGAAGACGGGTGAACTGGCCGACGATAGAACAGTTTTTATGAAGGTGCAAACTGGACGTTGCATCGCCAAAGCTTCGATAGATATAGTGCGGAGCTGCACTTATGGCGATGAAGAAGGAGAGGTCGGGAGGAATGGTATTGCTCTGGCGGGGCATGGGCGCTAATTTGTACTCGTGCTAGCGCCGTTTTATGTCGCGCTTGACATCTGAATCTCAGCCTTCTCTCACACTTTCAACATCATTTAAGCTTCCTACCCTTTTCCTCACCAGAGTGTAAGCTGAAGCGTGGCTTACTCAAATTTTCCAATAAGGAAGTTAGGTTTCCTCTTTCCTGAACTTGCCAGCTTTCCTTAGCGCTCAAACCTGATATATCATGTCGCCGAGTCCTCGAACGTGCATCAGATCAACGACAACCCCATGGTAACGATCGCGCAACGTCTGGTGAAGGGAAAGCAGTCAGGTGTTTGCCTTTTGTCCTTTCGATAACAGATCAGAAGGAGCTTCTCATTCGCGAGACATCGACGCTACATGAGAACATACATGCAGCTTAACGACAACATCGGGAAACATCTACAAGTAGTTTGTGAATTCTAATATCGCAATAACACGCACCAGATCGCACACACTATCGACACATTGTAAGACAAGTACGCTGGACTTTGTTTCCGCAAGACTATCCATTACAAGACTTTTATGCCTGTCCAACCAATATGCCCCTTGTACCCCTAAGCGAATCCAGTCAAAAGAGCTGTGGGGTTTGGTACCTCGATACGTACCTATGTTTCGCACAACTATCATACACCAACGGATATACATACCAGATACTAGTAATTGTATACGCGTAATGTAGCACTGAGGAATGTTCAAGATGACATGCATCACCCAAGCTCGAGAGTCTGTACTAATGACCGTCAAAGGTTTAAGATACATATGTCTGGTCCAAATCGACAACATACCTCGTTAATTTTCGCCCGCCTACTAAAACCCCGAATCCTGACAGCCATCATGCGTTTCTCGACCGTCATCCTCCCAGCCCTCATCGGTCTCGCATTCGCCGCAGATTCGTCAACGTAAGTGCTCCTTCACGCATGTAACGCTTGATCCCCTTTTCTCTCATAGACTCCATCGCCGTACTGACATCATATTTTCCAGCAATGTCTCCCAACCCATGTCTTCCGTCGCAGCTTCCCTATCATCCGCAGCCTCGTCCAAGGTGGAAGAAACCATGTCCAAAACCACTCCAGCAGCTACTCCCAGCATCACTGACAAGGGAACCTATTCGTCTTACAGCGCTGTATCGACAGGTGCTGCTACTGCTATCAACGCTGGGGAAGCGGGTGGTGTGGCGGTAGCCGTACTGGGAGCTATTGCTTGGGCGTTGTAGGTGCAGGCTAGGGTAGTTTAGGATGCACAATCCACCTCACCGATTATAAGAGGGAAAAGAAAGTCCGAAGAGAGGATTCCTGTTCGATGGATGAGGAAAGGGTCAATGTATAACAGTTGGATCGCGAGAAGAAGAGAAAGAAGTGTTTGAATAAAACCATATCAGTATTCAATTCATTATCGAACCGATAGCTAAGCATCGTACGCAAATATCTTACAAAACCATTCCCTTTCCATATATATATATATGCTACCCATTACTCCATCCGATGCATTTCATGCCCTAGCAAATCATCGTTCCATCCATATCATGTCCATCCATCCATCTACAAGATAGCGATCCTTCTAACCTGCACCTTCTGCGCCTTGGGAACAGTGACCCTGAGCACACCATCCTTGAAGCTAGCGCCCACATTGGCTACATCGATGCGTTCCGGAAACCTAAAGGTGCGCTCAAACGACCCGTGGATGCGTTCTTGTTGTTGCGATTGCTCCTGTGGCTGTTGTTGTTGTTGTTGTTGTTGTTGTTGTTGTTGTTGTTGTTGTTGTTGTTGTTGTTGTTGTTGTTGCTGCTGAACTGGTGCTTCAGGTTGTGGCTGAGTTGCTACCGCAGTCTCGGTGGAGGCAGGCTTTTCAACTGCCTTCTCCTTGCCCTTGGGCTCGCGGGGTTCGGTAGGAGATGAAGGGCGCGAGTTGGGGAAGTCGGCGGCAAGGTCTTCAAAGTCGTCCTCTACGGTCGCTTGATATGACTTCTGACTTGCGGTATCGCTGATGCTGTCGGTATCTGGTGTCGCGGCGCCGGTCGTTGTAGTGTCGGCGTCGGTAGTGGTCTCGACTTCCTGTTCGGATTGCATGGCAGTGGGGTGTTGGTCGGCAGGAGCGGACATGGGCTCGGCTTCGATTTGAAGTTGCTGTGCCTGAGGCTGCGACGGCTCCGACTGCCAGTGGGTGTTGCCCGCAATCTTCAGCGTCTGTTCATCGATGACCTCGATGTTGATGTTGTCTTGATTGAAGCCATGGATGTCGCCGTCTACCTGCCATCCCTGCTCCACCGGGTTGACTTGGAACTCGGCGCGAAGGGCGCGCTTGCGTTGTAGCTGTCGCTGGCGGTAGGCTTCGCGTAGGGCCTCGCGGTGTGCCTCGATCTGTGCCTGGCGCTGTGCTTCGCGGTCGATCTCGCTCAATAGCTCATCAACCTGGCTGAAGAAGTTGTTGTAAGGCGAGTATTGGGGACGACGAGGCTGAGGTCGAGCGACGCGGTAACCGTGCGAGGGTCGTGATACTGGGGCGCAGTAGCCAAAGGGGTTGCACTGCGGTGCCTGGTAGGCGGGTGCGAAGCGGGGGGTAAGGACAAACGCCATTGCTGGGATTGTTCGTTCGGGAAGAGAGGCTTGTGGATTGATGTGCAGAATAGTAGTGGCTGATGAAGCTCAAGAGTAGTTGTAGATGGGAAATGTGTAGATGTGCTGGTCTTTGAATCTGATGATGGGCTCATGGAGAGCCGCAACACATTCCTTTATAGGCATGTTGGAGGCGTTCAAGGCAGCAGTCGATTGCGTGCGCGTGGATGAGAAATGCTGATCTCGTAAGAACAGGACGATGCTGGAAGAACGTAGACGATGCGCGACGATTGGTGATGCTTCGAGCTTTGTCACGAAGACGCGTGAAGATTCGCGACGCTTCTCGAAGCTTCTACGTCATCTGGTGGCCGATGTGGCTCGTGCACGCTTGTGCAACGCCGCAGCCTCCCTCACCAACATATTGACCAAAATCACTTTGCATCTTGGCATATTTATTATTGACATTGCATCTCATGATTGCATTAACATTCCATCTACATTATCGCAAGTCTCTAAAGTCCATTCACACTTCCCCTAGGCCTTGTACCTAGCAGGCATCGCAGCCTTGAGCAACTTGGGGAAGTTGGGAGTGCCCAATCCGGAAACCGGGTCCCATCCCGCTGTAGCGTTCCAGCTGGCATATGGGATGACAGGGCTACCGTTAGGTGCGCCGTGGAACCGTGCGTGGCCATCACAGCCAGTGCTACCACCAAGAACAATGTCGTTGAGCGCATCAGGGTTGGAGTACAGCAGGGGGTTCAAGAAACCAAGAGCAGGCTTCTTGGCCCTCAGACGTGCGTCATTGAGGAGGGCGACGATACCACCGAAAGCAGGAGCGGAGCACGAGGTACCCTGGTATCCCTTGAGAGAACCCTTGTCGTAAACCTAAACAGAGTCAGTCTTTGTCTCGCGTGCAGTTTGTAGAGGAACATTTCTTACCCTGTAACCGAAACCCTGTGCCGAGACGTCGGGGAAACCGCGACCGTGACGGTTGAAGTAGGGCTTGTTCTTCTGGCCGAGCTTGTGGAAGTAGGCCTTGACAGCATCGTCCTGGTAGCTGGGGCGCTTCCAGTAGTCGGAAAAGCCGCCGGAGGAGAAGAAAGTAGCAGTCTCATTGAGGTAGCGGGTCGAGCCGACCGAGGTGACAAAGGGGCAGGCAGCGGGGTACTGGGGCTGGAACTTGGTAGTGTTCTTGCCATCGTTGGAAAGGCAGGCAGAGCCAGTACCAGAGTCACCGGACGAGAAAATGACTGAGACACCGCGGCTGCCGAGCTGAGCGAACAAGTTGCAGACGCTGAGAGCGTACGACTTGGGTACGCTCTGCTCGTTCTCGCCGTACGAGGTCGAGATGACCTGGGGAAGGTCCTTCTGCGGGAGCTTGAGCACGCTCTGGAGGAACTCAAGGTAGGGCTCGTTGGCGCTGTCCGCCTCATCGGGCTGGTCGAGATCAGCGACCCATGGGCCGCGTCCACCAGTGCTGTACTCAGTAACAGGCAGGGGCTGGGCAAGACCAAGCATGTACTGCAAATCCAGGTTGGCCTCGCCACTGTCGTCGGCAGAGGTTTGATCGTTCAAGCCGCCGTTGAACTGGACAACAGAAAAGTTCTGACCCACAGCCTCGGGCAGGATGTTCTTCTCGAAGAGGGCAAGGTCGCTGTAGCGCGCGTACTCCTCGAGGTAGGAAGCAAATGCTGCCTTGCTGCCGCTCTTGGGGTCGGGAGTGTAGTCAATCTTGTAGAGCTGCTTCAAGCACTGGGGAGTGATGGAAGCATCACAGTTAACAGTGACGTTGGGAGAAGAAGCGAGCTGGATGCTGAAGATCTCGCGCTCAGTCTCGTGGTTCGCACGAATAGCAGCGAAACGAGTGGTCGGTTGAACGAGGTTGATGTGCCCGGCAATCTCATCTGGAACGGAGTACTCGAGCGTACGGAGAACCTTGCGAGGTGTGCTCTCCTCGCTGACGAACCAGGAAAACTTGGTTCCGAGGAGCTCGTTGGCAACACCGACGGTGGTCTTGAAGGTCACCCAGTCGGCATCGGTCTCGAAATTCTCGATACCGGCGGCCTTGAGCCAGGCAGAGACCGAGGAAACGGTCTCCTCGCTGGGCATGAGCATGCGCTTCATCTCCTCGTGCGACTCAAAGTGCTGTCCGTACTTTGCGTTCGAGGGAGTGGAGATGTCCATGACGGTCTGCTCAAAGCCTGCGGTATCGCCTTGCTGGAGCGCGATCTGGAGCTTGAGTGTGTGCGCATCCGATGCCGGGCCCTGAAGCTTCCATCCTGCTGGCCGTTAGCATTGATCGTAACTCGATGAGACGTATAGCTCACCCTCCGGAACCTCGAAAAGCTTCTCAAACGGCTCGGCGAAGGCCTGCATAGCCAACAACGAGCCGACGATGAATGAGAGTACTGGAGCCATCTTTGCCACAACCGGTATTGCCTTGAGCGAAGGTAGTCCGAAGCGAAAGCGGATGAAGAGGCCATGAGAGCAGGACAGTATAGTACTTTTATACCGCTCCCGCAGTCGACTTCAGACCCTGCATATTGGATATCGACCTACCTCATGTAGTTTAGAATACTTAAACTGGCTCATCTCGCCATGCGCGTATGCGACGCGTTGAGCGGGACTAATCGTACCCAAGCAAGTGGCTAAGGAAGACAAGCCTCGGGGTGGAGTCCTTGACGAGGCTTGTGTGCCGGATAAGCTCCTTCTTGTTTTGGCCTTGGTACTGCGATAACATGACCGATTGCCCCACTTGGCCTGTTGTGATAGGCCGATGGCGTCCGGTGCGGGATTGCTAGCACCGGTTTTGGGCTGCCTGCATGGGATGGCGTTATAGCCGGACCGTTGCCTCGGCCACAGATCATGCAAGGCACATACGAGCACCTTCCGCTAACAACATAGTATTGGTGTGTAGAGCATGTCATTAGCATCCGAGATCCTTCTGTGCTGTCTAGAAAATACGAGTGTACTTGTTTTCTACAATCTTCACAGCTAAACTAGAAGCTACGGCTTCTCGAGTCCAATTCGCGACCAGCATTTGATGGATAAACAACAGGCTATTCTGAAAGAGCAGCACTATATGAGCGCCGAAAATGCTCCGACTTGCGCCAATTCGTCAGATCTTCCTTCTCATTCCGCGAAAGTACGCCTTGGAAAGTCCTCTAGTGGTGGGCCATCGTAGTGACTCATTTGAGGCCACGACCAACAATTCCTCTTATGACGAACAACATCACCTTCCTCTTCCAATCCGAACCCCCAATGCAACGGCTTATGTGTATAGTGTCGCAATTGCTGGGCCGAGAAGCCATGGTAAGGATACGTGGGTGACGGCCACTGTAAACCTATATACCACATTGTCTGCCACATATATCGGTATAATATAAAGTTGCATGTGACAGAAGAACCTTCATCTATCGAGCATGTTCCGAGACCACGTTGATACATGAGAAGATTATCGGTAATTTGAGAGATTCTTTCCTCGATACTGTCCGTTCGCCGACGTTCAATACTTGCTGCTCGGGATTAGAAAACGACAAACTCGGTACATGTCTCACAGTTCACTTACCTGAGACTTCCGGTGGTATAGGAAGGCCTAATGTCCGAAGAGTGCCCTCATCACAGTAGCCAGCTGCCCCATTCGTGGCAACCCGGAAGCGATATGCGTCTCGGAAGACATAAGAGACCCAAACATGAAGTAGAAGATCACGACAGTACTCAGAAGGTACATCTCCGTCGAGGGATTTCACCCACCTAGTAGTGAAAGACTCGACCGCATCCTCGCAATCATAGTAGTCTATGAGTATGCCGACCTTGGCCAATAGCTCAAGATTGGCGTAGCGTGGGATCTTACGACCCTGTAGATGTAGCATGTTGAGGAAGATAAGAAAAGCCTCCTCTTCCCAGTCCTCGGCTACAATATAGTAGCGGCCATCTGGCTTCTTGTATCCCTCACGAAAACCGTCCGGCGATAGCATTTTCCTGAACACCGGAGAAGCCAGGGTAAGATGGCGCGAAGAAACACAGTACAGTACCGAGCCAACGGGAACGTCCGGAGTTGTATGCTCCAAGCTTGTCATTATGATACCCTCGGATGGTGCCTGATGAACTGTATTGTCGTTTGTATTCGTGGTCTCCACGTCCTCGGCCACCATGGAGAAAGGAAGTTGAGCGAGTGCATCGAGATTTTCGAATGGCGAGTTATCCCACAAGGCGAAGTATTCTGGGTTTCCTGGTGATCGTAAGATGATAATGGTATCCGCTTTCGGATCGATCACGTGTTGAACCGAAGCCATGATGTTTATATGTGGGCAATGTGTCGGTTGAGTGATTGTGGTTCGATGTTAGGAAGGGGATCTTGGAACCTCCTTTCGACTGGGTGGGCGTGAGGTCTTACGTGGACCGCTAGTAACACGTTGGGCGACCAGACGGTCGAGTGAAAGTCTGATAGTCGTTGTCGAGTGAAAACCAGATGCAGTGGTACTAGACTTCCATCGCCTATCTGCAAAGATTATGATTGAATACAGGGGGGGCCGAAGCTGTCGTAGAGGGGACGCCATTCACCACACCTAGGATGCGCATTGGCGCCTACACCAACGCCGGCCGTGGTTTCATGACGACCGTCTTCGATGGTAGTCCAATATACGCGTCCCGAAAGTTAGGAATACTTGAGGTTTATATCTGTTGAAAAGTTGACTAACTAAAGTGTATCAAGATAAGTTGTAATGTTTTTTCTACGCGTAAAGTAGTTCTTATATCTTTTAAACCTTTCTTTGTCTTAAAGTTGAACTGTATAGTTGTTTGTCTTAGACAGCAATATCGTATGCCGGACGTGTGAGAGAATAGTTTGACGCGTGACTAGAGGCAGAGCTGAGAATCTCCGGACCAGACGAAGGCAACTGTGTTCGCCCGATGTCAATATCGCGGCGCATGAGCTGTGAGGTTGCAGTACCAGCCGGACAAAAGCATAGGGCAAGAAGATGCGATGCGATGTGTGAGTTGATGATGCAGGCTTCGGCGGCTGGGTGCTACTTCCCCATTTGTACTAGCGCTGAGCACAAGCCCGAGCCCTCAGATTCGCCAGTCTAGACTGCAGCTTGTCTCCTTTTCGCTTGTTCGATACGCATCACATTACAACGCAAGCGATCGCTGCGACGAGTTGACCTACGGCTAATCCGGTGCCTATGACTCCTATCGTCGTCGCACTGCGCGAACGCTTAGTATACCGCCTGTTCAATCTTCGGCCCATCTGATACGTAAGCGCTTTCCGTTCTTTTTCGAGTTCTTTTAACCTGCGCGACATGTCGGCTTGAGAAGACTGCGATCCACTTGCTACTGAAGAAGATACAGTACTGGAGGCTCCGTAAACGGTGTTGTCTGAAGCAGACTGGGCTGTGCCTTTAATTCCTTGTCGACAGCGCTCGATCTCCAACTGCTGCTCGATACGTTCTGCTGCTGCCGAAATAGTCTCGTCGTCACGATCGATATACGCATCCCACGCCTTCCGAATATCGTCGAGCGTTACTTTTGTGTGGTCAATATCTTCGTCGACCGATCGCATGGTTCTAGTCATCTCGGTGACGGCGTCCTCGAGCTCACGCAGCTCTTCTCTTCGCGAAGAGTGAGCCATCTCCTCTATTTTCTCGTGGGCTTCTTTGGTCTTAGCCTGCAATGTCTCGATTGATCCTTTCAGATCGTCATACAGCACCTGACCGGCACCTGTCTCGTGGATGAGTCGATTCTCATCTACCAGTTCTCGCTGGAACGCCAGCGTTAGTCTTCTATCTTTGCTCACTATATGTTGAAGTATCCTCGCTGCGTCTATCTCTACGGCCGATAGCCTCACTAGTTTGCCACCTCCCCGTATAACATCCTGACGAATCTTCTCTTGGAGTTCCTCATGCCGAATTTCAGCTTTGGCGAGTTCATCTGCGGTGACTTTGTCCCACATCGTCGTTGCTACGATAATCCCCTTAAACATCTCTTCCCCACACATCTTCTTGAAAGCACTCAACGCTCGTACAGCGGAACCTTGAAAGCGATTGTTCGTTATGCAATGTAAGTAGATGATCCCACTAATTTTGATATCTCTCTCGTAGGCGGCTGCTAACCAGTATGCTAGTTCTTGTAATGTTTCGCCGTCAGACCGTCGACTGTCGTTAAAGCCAGGCGTGTCGATTAGATGAACTGTCCGTCCGAGAACGCATGTAGTATGTATGGACACTTGACTCGTACCTGTGTTACCAGTCAACGATCGACCGGGCTTCTTGTCCACGAGTATGCCTACATGATGAGAGTTCATGGCCTGACAAGCGCTCTGTAGGCTTGGTGCAGTGCTCAATGAAGGTAGACTTGCCGGCACCAGTCATTCCCATGACTGCGATGAAAACATCATCGGGACTACCCGTCGAGTCAGCTCTGTGCATCCGAAAAGTGAGAATATACCAACTCAACGGGCTGCAAGCTTCCAACATCTGTGGTTTCCATCGAGGGCAATAGGTGACTGTATGAAATTACAGACTAGCGAGTACAGTTGTGTCGGATTGGCATTCAGTTATCACTCTGCTATAATCATGTTGCGCCGCAGCTTTCCTTGCGGCTGAAAGTAAGTCAAACCATGTATATACTAGCGACAAGGTTGAACATCAGGCTTCCATCCTGTTACTTCAAAGCCACCAATCAGCATCACACACGTCAAGTTGAGTGCGACGGGCTGTGCTGCAGGACTACCGATGCAAGTAAGACTGCGCCTCCTCGTCTAGGTGCAGCCCGTGCACGGGTGCGCCTGCATGAAGCAAGCTAAGGTAAGCACTTCAGCTGGGATCGTCAGGACAGTGCAGCCTACTCGCAATAGCAACTTGATGCGTTTACACTTACTGTCATCAACTTGTCGCATCGTAACGCCATCACTCATCACGCAACTGACATTGTCGTAATGTACGCAACATGAGCACTTACAGAAGTTCTTCAACAAGAAGGGGGAGTTTCGACGTGCCGGACTCGGCGCGCTCATCTGGGAAACCCTCCACCTCACTTCCCTCATCGGCTCTGACTGTCACGGCTCTCAACAACAATGCACCGTCTTCTCAGTACGCTTAAAATCCCAAATTGACTCGCTTATCTAATTCATCAACAGAGCAATTGGCATACTCGTTATGGGGCTTACCGGTGCTGGCAAAAGTACCTTTATCTCACAAGTCACGCAGAAAAGTGCAGATATCGGGCATTCGCTAGAATCTTGTATGTTTGTTCATAATGATGAAGATTTAAGCCTAATTGTGTCAAGGTACAACTGATGTCACCTTTCGAACATTGCAACGAAAGAACGGCCAGGAAATATATCTTATCGACACACCAGGCTTCGATGATACCAAATTGGAATATGCGGCAGTCTTCCGAAAGATTGCTTCATGGATTTGTACCTACTGCGATGGCAATAGGCGCGGCCTTCGTATAGGTGGAATGATCTATGTTCAACGGATAACCGACATGCGAATGTCAGGATCTTCTCTCAAAAGCCTCCGAATATTCGAAAAGATTTGCGGCGAGCGAAATTTTCGGGATGTTGTGGTCGTAACGACTATGTGGGGGTCCTTGAAGACGAATGAAGCACGAGATGCCGCAGTGATGCGCATGAAGATGATGGAGGAAAGACCAGAGTTTTTTGGCAACTTGATAAGAGGTGGAGCTAGGATGGAGAAAAGCCAGGGTGATGGTCAGAACGGTGTTCGTATCGTCGAACTTCTGGCAGATAGGCGAAAAACGGTGGTGTTACAGTTACAACACGAAATGAGAGGTGGCATGAAACTGGAAGGAACGACAGCGGGCAGGTACCTGGAAGGTGAGCTTGTGCATACACGTGAAAGATACGAGGCGCAGAAACGAGAGCTAGAAGAGTGCGCTGAGGAAGTTCATGATGATGATGATCTCAGAAGCGAGTTCCTCGAGCAAATCGAAGACTGCACTCGCCTTGTGAACAACATTGTGGACGATCAAGGGAGTCTCTCCGTCACACTCGAAGATATGTGGAACGAGCAAGCGGTGAGCTGTGGAGCGGGTCGCGACGACCAGGCCGAGGACGCTACGCAAGAAAACACTTCCGCCCACATCGTTAAACTTGAGCACAAGATTCAAGGGCTTGAGAGAAAAATTGAAGCGCAGCGCGATGATCTCGACGCACAACGTGAAGAAATCGAGAGGATTGAGGCGGCTAGTAAGGAGATCGCAGAAGCTAAGGAACGCGACCAAGTCGCGCGTACTAAAGTGAAAGAGAGGCGAGCGCCTCATAATGAGGCTATTCTGTGGATGCAAAACTTCTTTGCTGGGAGACGCCCCGAAAACTTTGTACAGCCGCCACGTCGAGCTGACTCCATGCCGTTGGAAACGAAGGCGTCTAGAAAGTCTAGCATAACGTCCTGGCAAAAGCGAAGCCGATCGAAGAGCCGCCAGAGTCGCAAGCCCGACAATATGCGCACATATTCAGAAGAGCAAACAAAGCAGTCTTATATCGCTTCGCACTATCATCAAGGTCAATACACACACGAGCCTGGGTATCCTGGTGTATCGGGAAGTGACTACGAGAGCGGGATGAATAATTCAACACCTCAGATGTATATGCCACACCAGGCTCATTCATACACTCCTGTGGCTCTGCCTGCACCCAATGGGCAATACCAAGTACCGCCTCATGGAGTATCTATCGATCCCTCTAGGACAATGCGCAATCCGCCTCCGCCCTCGCAACCTCCTTTACGCAGAATCCCACCTTCTGTTGCTCCGCCACACCACCAGGTTGTTGTCAGATCTCCTTCTTATCCCAGTAACGCGCCTGGAGAAACCCATTATCGTGGGTAGTTTGCCCAGATTGGGACCATCTATTTTCTAGACTGGGCGTACAAACACAACTCTGCAACGACTACCAAAAAACTTCGTGCGCGTCAGTGTAACGTGATGTATAATGTAGCCATCCCTGGATCTGGAGTATCCCAGGGTCTGATCAGATGCATTCGTCTAATGCCTAAACTATTACAAAGTTCTGGCTACAAGAAACTGCCTCGCGTGGCGCAGTCCACGCATGGCATGTGGTTATGAAGAGTGGCTTTGGGACCAGCTACGCCATGCCATCTTCAAGGGTGCATGTACTGCCCCACCAGGACCATGCACATAATACGAGATGTGGGGGCTATTAAAGAGCTGAGAACTATCCGGTGAACTTCGAAAGACGGTTGCGCGATAGTTGCAGGGTGGGTCCCGCGTGATGGAGGGGCAGATGCAACGGTGGTTCGTCACCAACTAGCCTATCAGCCGCACCTGTGCGTTGTCACTTGATGACCAACCCGATGGCTTGCATATGGGCGAACGACACGAACATGGTACTTTCGAGGCGCAATGCTGGTCCAAGCTTCGTGTGAGTGTATGCATGAACCTGTAGTTCCCAGTCTAGGATTATATCTTAGCAAGTGGTTGCCTTCCAGCCTTATCGTCATTCTTCACGAGATGAGAAGCCCATATCGCTCCAACTGAAGTACGATAGCTTTACAGACTCTTTTTCTTCATCAATTGCATCAATACCATAGCAGCTATGAAGGACAGAGTGGACAGTCCTCATCGTGAGGTACCTGTCATTCCAGATTTGAAGTAAGTGCCAACCAATGTTTTGGCGAGTACTGGCTGATCGTTTTACAAAGACCTGACGACATCATAATCGCTGTGATGGGTATAACTGGTTGCGGCAAAACCACCTTCGTTAATCTGTTCTCTGATCGAAAGCTCGAGGTTGGACATGGACTGGACTCATGTGAGGACCGAAGTTTGCGGCAGAGACATTATCTCGACTAAGACTCTCTAGGTACCGTATCAGTGCAAGTCGTGCCCTGCACATTCGAAGGTGGCGCAAAGATTTATCTTGTCGATACTCCGGGTTTCGATGACACATATCGCACCGACTCTGAAATCCTGCGAGAAGTCGCGCTTTGGCTGAACAAGGCACACTCTGAGAAATTGCGACTAGCAGGAATAATCTTCCTACAACGGATATCAGATGTACGAGTAGGCGGTAGCGGAATCAAGAACATCAGAATGTTCCAAAAGTTATGCGGTGATGGTCCGCTTGCGAGTGTGGTATTAGCGACCACAATGTGGGATATGGCTACAAAAGACGCTGCAATTCAACGAGAAAAGGAGTTGAAAGAACAACCACAACTTTGGAAAAAGATGATAGATCATGGCAGTGTCGTTTTCCGTCACGACAAAAAAGAAGCGTCAGCGCTCAAGATCATTAAATATCTGATGAAAAAGAAGAGACCCGTCACGCTCGACATCCAGCGCGAGATGGTCGATGAGAAGCGCGAACTGATCGATACGGGCGCTGGCGAAGCGCTAGCATCGAACATGGAAGCGCTCATCAAGCTATATGAAGGAAAATTGAGGAATCTAGAACAGGAATTCAGAGAGGCCCGCAAGGAGGACCGAGAAATGTTGGAAGAGCAAAAAAGAGAACATGAGGAAAGTCTTGCAAAGCAGCGAAGAGAGATGGAGAAGCTACATGTCAACAGGTTGCAGCTTATAGAAGAAGAGAAGAAGCGATTTGAAGAGAGCCAGAGGGAAGCTAAAGAAGAGATGCAACGTGTTAAAGAGAATTTTGCGGCAGAACTTGGAAAGCAGAAGAAACACATAAGAGAGCAGTACATTCGGGAAATGCAACGCTGTAATGTAATGTAGCGCTTAGAACCAAAGAATTTCGTTTATCTTGTTATCCAACCGAGATCATCCTTACCTACTAGGTCTAGGCACACACAAACACACGTCAGCAGGAGTTGATGGTGTAGTACGCGTGCGCTTAAGATGTATTAGATTGAACAGGACACAAAGCAGCGTATCTGCGGCGCTCCCACACCCGCGACTGGCCTATGTAGCACGCCATCTTCGCGCGCAAAAGAAGCAAAACCCGACCACCTCCGAAGGAAAAATATTCATTGCATCAGAGGGCTTCAGACTGACTATATCTTCATGTACATGCTGACCTTCTATCGAACGTTCGAGATCTTAAAGCCACCCGGTACAAGCTTTTGGAAAACACCAGAAGGATCATACTTCTTTGCCGCCGCCTTCATCTTCTTCACATTCTCGGAGCCATAACTGGCCAGCGGATCCTGTGTGTTATCCGCATAGTTCAGGTAGAGATATGGGTTGTCAGCGCCGATACTCTCAGCATACTCGCGAATCCGGTTAACGAGATCTGCGCCTGCGCCTTGGAAGAGGGCATCTTGTTCTGCGCCTTGCCAAGAGATGTAGGGTTGGTAGACTGATACGCATTAGCCTGCGATTATCTTTGGCTGTAGAGTCAAAGAGTGGACTTACGACACAACACTTGTTCGCCGAAACGTTCCAGACCCAGCATGTTACCACCTTTAGAGGCGCTCTGCCGCCAGTACGAAGGCGGAAGAGGTTGGTAAAGAACGTAGATCTGCCAGTCGCCCGTCGCTTTGGCTTTGAGGTTGGAGAGTACGTCCATGTAAATTTCATGCGCTTTAGTCATAACGCGGAGGTCATTGGCGAAAGTGAGTGTGCCAAAGTATACGCTGAAGATCTGGTCAACATCTGCTAAAGTAAATGTTATGACTGGCTTACCTATGGGTTGTAGCACCTGCAAGCTCTGCCGCCAGCGACGACATGTTCCTAATTCCTGTGGTATCGGAAATGTTGCCAGGAATCGCTAGAAACTCATCGTAGGCTGCCGGTCTTGGTACTGGCTCAGCATAATCATACGCATTCAAGATCAAATCAGCACCTGCGGAGCTTTGGTATACCGGCATGACGATGGCCGAACCCTTGGGTTGTTTGTCGATGTTGTTGGAGAAATTGATGAGGGCCTTGAAGTGGTCTTGTATGGTCGATTCCGGGTAGATGACAAGGCCACCCCAGAGGCCGGTGTAGTCAAAGGTACCAAACTTGAAGCTAGTGACGACGCCGAAGTTATTGTTGCCGCCTTTGAGGGCAGCAAAGAGGTCGGGATAGGAGGTCTTGGAGGCGGTCACAATACGACCATCGGCAAGAACGACTTCGAATTCGATCACGTTATCGCAGACCAAGCCCCGTCCTGGCGAGAAGTATGAGATACCACCACCAAGTGTAAGGCCGCCGACTCCGACTGTAGATGAACGCCCACCGCTCGTCATCACATTGAGAGGTTCAAGAACGTTGTATACGTCGTCCCACGTCGCCGCAGGACCAACCTTGACGAGAGTGTTTTGAGCATCATACTGAACGGTGTTGAGGTAATGCAAATCGAGAGTGACGCCATGCTCGATATTCGAGGCTCCAGCGTAGGGAGTGTGACCAGCACTGCGGATCGCAAATTTGCACGACTTCAGTAGACTGGCGGCTGTAAGAGTTTTGACAGCAAGTGCGACTTCCTTGGCTGTCTTGGGTTGGACGATGCAATTGGGTGTGATGACTTGCTGCTTCACGTCGAAGTAAGAGTCCTCCCGCGTCTCGTACGCGTCTTGACCGGGGAATAGCAGGCGACTTCTCAAGGAAGTGAGTGCCAGGGCGGAGCACTGCCATTGTTAACTAACGTTTCGAGTAGATTGAGCTCAGCCAGCAGCCTTACGCAATAGTCAGCCTGCACATACGGAACAACAGCCGCGACCGCCAACAGAGTAACGATCAAGCGAGCCATTATAATAGTGATCCCAACAACCAAAGAGAAGATATAAGGAGTACTGAATGATCGCGATCACAACGCAGGCTGCAGCTCGTTTTTCTACTCGTCTACTCGTTCCGACAAATTGACAACACAGCCTGAACAGGAAGGCGCAATCACTGCTTAACGCTGACTCGGCATATTAAACGAAGCTGGACTTTTGAAGGATTACCAAAATTGATTGAAGGACTAGATTTTTTGTAGCGTTGGATTTGTACCGTAGAGGGCATACAGCTGTCGGCGGTACACCGGTCGAATCTACGATTTATTCGCTAAAGCTGTGGCTTACAAGGGTGAAAGAACTCGTGTTCTTTGATGGGTGCTAGGGTACTCACACGCGGCTCGACCCTAAGAGTTGATTGGAGGATCTTTCCGCGTCCCTGATGGAGCGGACCGCGGGAGCTCTAGATGAGGCGTACCTAGGTATGAATCCAGCGACACCATCCGGGGCGCTCCGGGTGACCAGAGTGACGGGTGCAATATCCAAGATATGGCCATCTCATCGAACGCCACATGCTTGGCATGTACCCTCTCCCATCATCCTTCCGCTGGAAAGGGAAGCATCCGAGCCGTTGTTGCAATGCCAAGCTATTGTGCCCTTGCGATGGAGTGGCGTAGGCACGCTGAACAGGTTCCCAGCAAACTGTGCCGTACCTTAGGCCAATCTCCTGCTGCGTGTTGCAACCTTACTGCTTAATTGATGCGGCACATATGAACAACCCGTGCCGCTATTGGACATCACAATCATAAAAGTGATCCCTCACGGCAAGGAACAGGGTGCAGAGACGCGACGGATCTGTTGGCCGAGGAGACTTGTGAGACGGCGAAATGCGAAAATCCAAGCGATGGGGATGATACTGCCAACTTGAAAATATAGATGAGTGAAGACGACGCTTCGTTCGCAACGATGCGGATTTGTATCGAATTTTGATCTCAACATGGACATGAACCAGCCTATATTTTCGGCTCCGCCTGGCTACGTCGTCGATGTGGACAACCCCCAGAGAACCGGGGAAGCTGCAAATTTCTGGGTTGGTACCTTGGGCATGATTGTTGCTGCCATCTTCATGGTTATACGTGTCTTTACAAAGACAAGGCTAGCAAAGGGCTTTACGCCGGATGATAGTAAGCTCGCTCAAATCTCTCAGAACACCTTTCAAGCCTTCTGCAACGGAATCCAGCATCTGACCAAGTCCAACAGTAGCGTTGCTCGTAGCTTGGGTACGTGGCAGTACATTTCGCATAGAGCAGGATGTTTGTTGGATCTTGCTGACGACCAAGTCTACAGTGCTTCTCCATTGCCATCCAAGTCCCTATTCTGTGTATGTCCTGAGGTCTTTATCAATGCCCTCAAGCCTGATCTAACCATACAAAAGTCCAATATGGCCGAGGCACTCTCGGCGTACACATCTGGGAATTGACTGGCCATAGAGTCAACTCTACAATGAACGTAAGCACCACACGTCACTCTGATCAAGCGACCTCAACTAAGTCTTACCGCAGCTGATCAGTGTAGCAAGCATCATCTACTGTCCTTTCCTCGCTAGCGCTAAGCTTTCTCTCCTCTTCTTCTACCTACGCTTGTCGCACATACAATGGTTCCGACTGTGCGTATATGCAAGTATGTTCCTCGTCGTCGGATACAACATTGCGCTTGTCTTTCCGCTCATCTTCGCCTGTACGCCTTTCCGACGAAACTGGGATGTTACAATTACCGAGGGAAGTTGCATCGATAGGACACCACTTTATATGGCGACGGCGGTCCTGAATATGGCCACGGATATCTTGCTGCTGGTTTTACCTATACCGATGGTGGTCAAGCTGCAGATGCCTGGGGTTCAGAAAGCTGGTTTGATATGCATATTTGGTGTGGGCTCACTGTAAGTAGCAGGGCTAAAAGATGGAGACGGAGAGCACAATCTAAACCGCCACAGGACATGCATAACAAGCGCAGTACGACTAGCTCTACTCTTTCCCATGCTTCAAACCATCGACCAGACGTGGGCGATCGTCATGCCAGGTATTTGGATGCAAGTCTTCCCCGAATCCAGGAATCTCATCCTCATCATATCACATATACTGACACACATCCTCTCCGTAGTCTCATCGAAGCCAACCTCGTCATTGTCACAGGCTGCCTGCCAACAATGCGTCTCTTCTTCCGGCACGTCGCACCGCGTCTAATCGGCGAGTCTTCGCTTCGCAGTCGGAACCGAAAGCAAAGTAGTACAGGATATGGGGGTGGCTCACATCACCAACTGGAGCTCAAGACCATCGGATCGAGGGCTATGAATAAGAGATTCGAGTACGTGGAGGATGATGCGGTGAGTGTGGGTAGTGAGGAGAGGACGACGGCGGGCTGGAGGGGTGACAGGGACTCTGAGAGGGGCATTGTTGTCGCGGGAAATGCTGGGGGGATTACGAAGACGTCAAGTGTTGTTGTCGAGAGTGAGCTGCGGAAGAGTAGTTTGACGGATCTAAGGTCGAGTGTTGCATGCCTGCGATGAAGTTGGTGAAGTATTCCGTGCCCTCGCGGACATGTTCGAGGTTCAAGAGAGTCGGATAGATGCAAGGAGAGATACAAGATGCATCAGTAAGACAAGGTCGGAGAAATAGACTACTGGTTGATGGGCACTCCGTATATTAAAAGAGCGGGTCGTTCTGTACTTCCCGAACTGCACCCATCTACTCCCCTATAGATGACTGGTTCTACCCACTTGGTCTACGCCTCTATCCGACTTCAACTCTCCTCCCTCCATCTCGATGGTCACGGATACAAGACATGAACTCCCATGATCGTCAAGAATTAAGTAACCAAATAGACTCATTTCTACATCTGTCTACATTTACTACCCATCTCAAGAACCATCCTTTCGTTGAGCAACATGAACAGCCATAGCGCATAAAGGCAAAACATCATGGTATCTTATCATGCTCTGCATCCCATGACACGGCATCGCAGTCTTCCCTTTTGCGAAAAGAGCAAAAAACAAAAAACGCCATATGTACCCAGACCACGCCTGCGCTGGAGATCCCCCTAAATCTGAATCAAACGATTAGATGATGAAAGAAAAAAACATCGCCAAATATGAGAAAGAAACGTAGATCCGCAAGAAATCGTTGGCACCCAAAGAGTCCCAATCCCTCATCTTACTCATTTGCCTTCTCTTTGCCATTTCCACTAGCCATCCTCGCACTTCTAATACTAGTCTGTCTGGCCAGACTAGTCTCACTCTTTTTGCCTCTAACCTTCAAACTCTTGATGGAATTTGATGGAGAAGGTCTGGGCGACATTCTCGGTGTGCTGCTTCTACGGCTCATTTGCTCGAAGCGACCAGCGAGATCCTTGACACTTCTTGTGTCCTTGACTCCCCTGCTGTTGCCGTCATCAGCGTCTTGTCCTCCTACAGACAATATGCTGTTCCCGTCCACATCTGCATTGACGACGCGGAGTTTAGATTTCGGAACCGTAAACATGACTTGGACAACCCTCCTCTCAACCGCAGCTTCGACATCCCAGTCTGCCTCGCTAGCTGGTGTGCAAGGCCTACTAGTACTCTCACTTCCTCCTCTTCTTGGAACACCCAACTGCTCTCCCTTGATAGGCGTCCTAGTAGGCGTAGGCAACCTCTCCTCACTCCCCACATTGACAAGCAGATTCGCACCCCGTTCTCTCCACTCTTGCCTCGCGCGTTCCCGCTCAGCCATGGCAATGTCTTCCGGTGCGCCCCAATCATCGCCCGCCGTCCGACGCCAAGCTGGATCCGTCTCGTCTTCCAACCAATCCTGTTTCCCTCTTCTATTTCGCCAGAAACTAGCATCTGAAGCAGCTCGCTGTGGTGTCGTCGACGACGTCGCCGTTGCAGCAGGCATGCTTTTCCGGTGGTGAACCGGCGTAGATGGCTCCTCGACGGGATCGTCTCTGTACGGCTCTTGTTGCACATCCTGATAGTTCATTGTCGCAGCAGTCATGCTCTTCGTCCTCTCAGCACTACTCACACTCCTCGTCAACACTCTCCTCACACTCCCCAACCAGCTCATCCGTCGTTCCCTAGGAGCTGGACGGGCAACGGTCGCGAGGTCCATTGAGAATGGTGTTGCTGGCGTAGCAGTCGCAGCACGACTATAACTACCGTCTGTATCGCGATGAGTTGTCGACTCACTTGAGCCTGTGTCTGGCCTTGCTCTACTGTCTGGGTTTCCGCCGAGGAGTGCTTCGCCCTGAGCTTGGAGATGTGCGAATGAGGATTGGGGGGTATGGAAGGAGTCAATGTCGTGGTGACCATTGTTGCGTAGACTGCTGAGAGAGTGCGTTCGCGGATGGTCTGGAGAGTGTGAACCTGTGTCATTATTTCTGCTGGGCTGGTCGTGAGTTGGGCTGGAATCTGGCGTCTTGAACGGATTACCGCGGGTGGCAGTGTTTAGCATGGGGCCTGAACGCATTGATGTACTCCGCACGACGCCGCCGTTGGAAGACGTCCAAGACAGTGTACTCCTCTCGCTGAGGTTGGAGCTAGTACGTTCTGAGGAAGATTTATCAGGCGAGAGCCTTCCCGCGATCATCGGCTGATTCGTGTTCATCTCAGAGCTCTGGTGGTGAGGCGAAGTAGGATTGGAATTCAACGCATTCCTACTACGTCCAGGAGATTCGGTAAAAGGATCCAGAACAGGGGCGTTATCAAGTATAGCTGCCCCAGATCGTGGTCGTGTTTCGATCATCTCAGGTTGCCTAGCTGGTGTATCATTTTCGTGCGCCAACTCCTCATCAGGCTCTTCTTCTAGTTCATCGATGGGATGTATGCCTCCCGGACCCCGAGGCCTGCCCATAGCGTACTGTGGTCTACCGCTTAGGTTGCGTCGTAGTCCGCGCGTTGGACTCGGGATCTCAACAAGTAAGCCTGACCTCTCTACATCACCTCGATCGGCTGCCTTCCAGCCTTGACCACCCTGTGTGCCGGATGGGAAGTAGTACGGGCCGTTCTGATCAACAAGATAGTCCAGAGCGTCAGTGCGTACGCCGCGATCATCAAAACTCGGGGAGTTTTCGTCGACGTTGTACCTGTGCGTTGTGTAGGAGATTTCTTGTAGTTGCTTTTCACGAAGCTCCTTTCGTTTCTTTGAACGTCTTGTGTACCACATCCAGAGTGCGAGTAAACCACATACAGCAGCGATACCGATACCGATACCAACGCCTAATCCTGCCTTTTGTCCAGTCGTAGACAAAAGGCCGCTGTTGGAAGACTGTGGTGGAGCCTGGACGGCAGGGGGCGTGTAATCGGACATCCAGGAATTGGAAGTGACGTTGAGGAAGTAGGTCTGCGTATTCGCTGCTGGCGTACCATCTCTCCGTCGCGCACCAGACGATGGTATAGAATAACCTCCGGTGATCATTAGAACACCGCCTGGCAACATGGCCGCGCCATGGCCATAGAGACCGGCATCATTTGGCAACCCAGCACCAGTAGTAGACGGCACTATCCACTGCCAGTCACCACTACCACCATAACCGTCTGCGACGTTCAGTACAGCGAATTGGGGATCCGCCGGTGTGTCGATGTCGCCCACCCAACCACCGATGACGATGATCTGCTGACCATCCGGACTGAGCACGGCTGTATGACCGGAACGGGGATCGATCGAGGCAACGTTTGCTCGGATCGCTAGGTCTGTACGGGACGTATCGGGCTGTTCGACGCCAATGAAGGTCCATCCCTGTTCTGGAAGGGAGAAGAGGGCTATCTGGGACATGTTGATGAAGGCAGTTTCGGTGTGACCTCCGATGAGGACAAAGTTTTGTTGCTGAATCTGCGTGCCGTCACTTCGGTCGGAGAATGTGGGTGAAAGACCTGTGATTGTGAAACCGGCTTCTGGCACAGGCGGCCCGCGACTAGACGATACATCGGCGTCGTAGTTGAGAGGTTGAGCAGAATCTCCGGAGGGTTGCAAGGTGACCATCAAGTTTGAGTAGTTGGCGGCAGATTGCCAGTCGATTGCAGTGTCATTTTGGTCGGGGCACATGCCTCCAAAGAAGTATGCACCGGTGTCTGCAGCGTTGCCTCCCACGATTGACGAGAAGGTCATGCCACCGCTGAGGTAGTTGGCGCCCATGATGGACGTATGTGAACCGTCGACGACTGAGACATGTTGCTTGCTCCAACTGCCCTTGACGACATTCTCCGACGTATCCGGGACAAAGGTCCACAACTCTCCACCACTCGCACCCAGAGTGCAGTCGCCAGTATACACAGTCAAGTTGCCGTCCTGGTCGAGAACTGGGGTGAAGGCCCGGGGAGTTTCATCGTCGAGGAAGGGTAGCGCAGCGTACAAGGTATTGTAGGGTAGATCCGACGCTGTGACCGGGGATGATAGATCGACGGTGCTCAGGGCGAACTGTGTGGTGGACTGCGACGAGGGGCGGAAGACGTAGAGGGTGTCGTTGGTTTGGAGGAGGCGTGTAGGGTTGTAGGGCACCTGGGGCAGGGAAAGGCGCTGCATGCTTGGTGCGAGGAGAGCCTTCACCTCGAACACTGGAATGGACGTCCCATGAACCGCGGACGTTGGACTCTACGAGGACGGACAGTACAGGGCAGGCAGCGACGATACAGTGCTTGGAGTTGTCGATGAGACGGGAGTCGAAAGGTGGGCTCAGATCTGCGGTTCATGCACGGGACCGTCGAGGTGGCTGGCTATCGGGGTCTGTCAACAGAGGCCCAGCCCGCAGGCCATGCACATACACCAGCTTGCGCAATGCGCTACCGTGGGCCCATCGGCCCAATCAGTATGCGTTACGCACCATCGCGTCTGCGCCCGGCGCGCGTCTGGCCCTGATTTTCTCACGCCAAGCCAGTTGGTAAACACGGTCGCTCGGAGCAACGGCCTCTGGCCAACGTTGTATCTTCACATGCTATCATCGCGGCCAAGCCACACAGTCCGACTGGGGCAACGAGTCCGCTCGTCAAGACTTTTTTTTTTCCGTTCTTTTGATGACGGAATGCATACTGGCTTGACCCGTCGTTCAGAGTGTGCTGTGCTGCGCGTCGACCCGGACTTGGGACGGAGAGCGAGGTTGGTACAAGGTCGGTGGTATGACAGCATACCCCCACCTCACCGCTGGAGAACCCGGCTTCCACGCGGAAGAGTCGATGACACACTACGCTGCCAACCGCCCATGTTTCAGATAAACGGCGCGCGCATCAGCTGAGAATGATTGCCCGCGTACCAATTGCCTCTCGGTCCTTTACACAAAATGAACCACCATCAAGGATTCAAGGCTCTCGAGGTACATGGAGTCGGGCCTTTTTGCACCGCACACTGCTACGCACCTGGAAGGTCAAACCCGAAATCCTGATTTTTGAATCCACGAATCATCTTCTGTATCCATCGCATCTTGCATTCAATCTGCACATCATACGTGACAGCTAATTGCTTTTCATTGAGGTGTCCAAGGCGGTGACTCGGTTTTGCAAGGTAATTCCTCGCATAAATGGGCGAAATGCTCGAATCACGCGCTGCAGCATCTCCGCTACCATAGCCGCCAACGAATCGTCATGGCTTCATCTCTATGATATCTTGTGACCAAGCCTGTAACGGGGGCAGGACGTCTTGAGGCTCAAAGCTGGAATCAATTGTCGACCTTCCCGCCGCCCAAGATCAAGGAACAAAGGTGGAATCGGGCCTTTGCACCCGTTATCAAGATTTGCCCGTGCCGTTGGACGCGTCGAGACCATCACCATCACATGGCACACGTACAAACATACGCACATATTGTTAGAGCGACACTGAAAATTTTCAATTCAGCTCATCCTTGATGAGTCATCTACTCTAAAGGCATGCATTGACCGAGCTCTTGCTCCGTCAATCATACCAATGGCCATGCGACAATCGTCGCACCCGACAAATCAAAACGCCAAAGCCAGCCCATTCGCTGCTTGTGATGAACGCCCATGTTGAGATGCGTTCAAGCACACTTACTCAACTCTTTTTTTGCACCGCCAAACGACCCATGATGCAGGTTGAACTTTTGGGTATCATAATTTAGTCATTACACACATTACAAAGCAGCATGTTGATATGCTGCTTGAAGTGACTGCGTTGATGAAACGCAGTCAAAAGGATATGTCGAATGACACAGAGCCTAAGAAGAGTACTTCTCGCGGTAGAACTTGGCGGCGTTGACCATGTTGACAAGCGCCGCCTTGGTCTCCTTCCACTGGCGCGTCTTGAGACCACAGTCAGGGTTGACCCAGAGCTGCTCGGGCTTGAGGTAAGTCAGCATCTCAGAGATGCGGTCCTTGATCTCCTGCTCCGAGGGCACACGGGGGGAGTGGATGTCGTAGACACCGGGGCCGATGTGGCGGGGGTAGGCCTTGTCCTCGAACACCTTGAGGAGCTTGGCGTCACTCTTGCTGTTCTCAATGGACAGGACGTCAGCGTCGAGAGCGGCAATGGCGTGGAAGAAGTCCTGGAACTCCGAGTAGCAGAAGTGCGAGTGGATCTGGGTCGAGTCTTGGACACCTGCGCAGGCAAGCTTGAACGAGTCGACGGCCCATGAGAGGTACTTCTCGCGCTCAGTGCCAGCACGGAGAGGGAGACCCTCACGGAGAGCAGGCTCGTCGACTTGGATGACGTAGATGCCGGCAGCCTCAAGATCGACAACCTCGTCGCGAAGAGCCAGAGCAAGCTGCTGGGCCTGGACGGACTGGTGGACATCGTCACGGGGGAAGGACCATCGGAGGCAAGTGATGGGGCCAGTAAGCATACCCTTCATGGGCTTCTTGGCAACCGAGGCAGCGTACTTGGACTCCTTGACCGTCATGGGAGCTGGGCGAGAGATGTCACCGACGATGATCGGGGGACGGACGCAGCGGGATCCGTAAGACTGGACCCAACCCTTGGTGGTGAAGACATAACCGTCAAGGCGCTCACCAAAGTATTGCACCATGTCGTTGCGCTCAGGCTCACCGTGCACGTAGACGTCAAGGCCAAGCTCATCCTGGATCTTGACGACCTCCTCAATCTCCTTCTCAATGAACTTCTCGTACTCCTCGGCGGTAATCTCACCCTTGGTGAACTTGTTACGTGAGATACGGATCTCCTTGGTCTGGGGGAAAGATCCGATGGTGGTGGTGGGGAAGGTGGGGAGGCTGAGGTGCTTCTTCTGCTGAGCGTAACGCTCGGGGAAGGCAGACTTGCGCTCGTGCTGCTCGGGAGTAACGCTAGCCTGGCGGTCCTTGACAGCCTTGTTGTTGGTGCGCTCAGATGAGGCACGAGCCTGCATCGACTTGGCATTGGCCTCAAGAGCCTCGCGGACAGCAGCCGGGCCGTCGTTGACAGCCTTGGCAATGACGACGACTTCAGAAACCTTCTGGACGGCGAAGGAGAACCAGTCCTTGACCTCCTCGGGCAGCTTCTTCTCGCTGTCGAGAGAGTGGGGAGTGTGGAGGAGGGAGCTGGAGGTGGCAACGAGGACACGGTCCTTGCCGAGCTTCTGGACAGCAGTCTCAACAAGTTCGATGGCACGCTTGAAGTTGGTCTTCCAGATGTTACGGCCGTCGACGACACCGACGGAGAGAACCTGGTTGGAGCCAAGCTTGCCAACGACGCTCTCGAGCTGCTCAGGGTTCCTGACAAGGTCGATGTGGATACCAGCAACGCCCTGGAGGCTGGGGAAGACGTCGAAGTTGTGGACAATGTCACCAAAGTAGGTGGCGAGGACAAGCTTGGGCAGGCTGTCGCTGACAAGCTTCTCGTATGCGGGCTTGAAAGCGTCCTTGACCTTCTGTGGCAGGTCGTAGACGAGGACAGGCTCGTCAATCTGGACGTACTCGGCACCAGCCTCCTTGAGCTTCTGGAGGAGCTCTACGTATACTGGCAACAACTTCTCGAGGAGAGAGATGGGGTCGACGGACTGGCCACGGTCGGCCTTACCGAGAGCGAGGAAGGAGACGGGTCCGATGAGGACGGGGCGGGTGGTGATGCCAGCCTCCTTAGCCTCGAGGAACTCAGCAACAGGCTTGGGGTTCTCGGCGAGCTGGAAGGTCTGGTTGTCCTGAAGTGTGGGCTTGACGTAGTGGTAGTTTGAGTCGAACCACTTGACCATCTCCTGCAGTGGGGTTAGATGGTCTTCACAAGTTTCAGACTGGCAGAGCTTACGAGAGAGGGAACGTCGACGCCGTCCTTCTGGTGGCCACGGCCCATGGCAAAGTACTCATCGAGCTTGTGCAGCGAGTGCTTGGAGTAGCGCTCTGGGATAGCCTAAGAGCCGTTAGTGGGAGCGAATAACAATCAAGTGACGTGTGCTTACGTTGAAGAGCTGAATGTGGTCGAGAAGGTGGTCGTAGAAAGCGAAGTCGTTGCTGGGAATGACATCGACACCGGCGTCCTTCTGGATCTTCCAGTGCTCCAATCGCAGACGCTTTCCCTCCTTGATCAGGTCATCGCGGGAAAGCTTGTCAGCCCAGTAGGCCTCGTTGGCCTTCTTGAGCTCACGGTCCGCACCCATACGGGGGAAACCGAGTACTGATGAGTGTACCATTGTGATGTGATAGTCCAATGCGGACAACTGTGATGGATTTGGGGGGAGGAAGGGTAGGTTCTGATGAGAGAGAGGTGAGAGGGAGGATGGGGAGGAGAAGGTGGGATGTAGGAAGAAGAACAATAGCGGATGGTGTGCTTTATGTTTTTTGCTGGCGTATGCAGCAGCGTCGCGGGGTTGGCGTCTAGCTCGCTCCGATTCGACGAGGCCTTCACCGCCTGCAACCTTATTCTGCAACGGCGAGAACAATCCGCCCGTTCGTCAGGGCTTCCCAAAGTTAACGTCGTGTGGAGCGCGTATCTCTTTCTACTTTAGCGCTCCCATGCCCATAGCCAACTGCGACTAGCTCTGGGTGATGCTAAGTTTTGCCCAAACCGACATCGGGGAGGGGCTGCTCGGAGTCTTGGCGACTATGAGCTTGCGCAACATCATCCACGTCCGGTGGGTTCTCGGATGATTTCGTAGCACAAAGACGCTGCGATAAGCACGCCCAAGTGCGATCCCTTCCAGGCCAGGCTTCAAGTTCTGGCACTTTCTGCTCTGGTGGGCTCGACTCGACTCCTTCGCGTCGTCGATGACAGCATGAATCAGCTTGCGCGCCATAGCTCCTAGCGGAATCTGCATCTCAACAGGCATCTTCTGGGTTAGCTCAGACCCTGAAGATCATCAACCTTCTGGACAATGCCATCGCCTCGATAATGAACAACTTCAAAGCAGGCTGCTGAGTCAGGTGCCATCGGCGCTGGACAGCGCTTTTTCACGATAGTCGGTCAATGTCCGAGCAAAGGGTTCACGATGATGCGGCGGAACCACCGAGTACTTGCCCTATTTAGCTGTCTCCACAACCCCGCATCATGTATAAAACCCCGCCAACAACCAACAAAGTACGCGACTGCGCGTATAGCATCTCTCCAAGCCACTTGAACAGACGCGGATAATCTCCCTCACATCATCCAACATGGCCTCAAGACCCACTCACACCCGGACTGCCTCGACAAACCTGGCCAGCGGCTCAGGCCAGCGCATCTTGGAGGGAAGGACCGCCATTGTGACGGGAGCATCTAGGGGTATTGAATGGAGCAGTCCCTGACCCCGTATCCTGCTGACACTTTCAGGAATCGGTGTCGAAATTGCCCGCAACCTCGCCAGCAAAGGCTGCAATGTGGTCATCAATTACACGTCCGACTCGTCGACCCAAACCGCCTCAGACCTCGCCTCTGAACTCTCAGCCGAATATGGCATCAAAGCCATCAGCGTACAAGCAAGCATGGGCTCTGAGAACGGACCCAAGCACCTTGTTGAGGTCACCAAGAACAACTTCCAACACCCCAAGACGGGCAAGTTCCAGTTGGACATTATCATCAACAACGCGGGAGTCGCAGGCAACAACTACGTCGAGAACGTCGACTGCGAAGACTTTGCCAGACAGTTCAACATCAACGTACGAGGTCCACTGCTCCTCCTGCAAGCCGCTGTCCCCTATCTACCTCACGACCGCTCCGGCCGCATTGTTAACCTTTCCTCCGTCAGCTCGTCGCTGGGATACAAAGGTCAGTCCATCTACGGCGGAACAAAAGCAGCGCTCGAAAGCATGACAAGGACATGGGCTCGCGAATTAGCAGAGCGCTGCACTGTCAACGCCATCAACCCAGGCCCCGTTGCAACCGACATGTACTGGAGTAACGACGACGCTTTCATTGCTCAGAATAAGCCTTTCATAGAAAACACACCCCTTTCTGCACCACGGAAGGGCATCGACCCGGACAAGATCTACGAAGCGAGCCAAAACGCTGGTGGACGGCCAGGCTACAGTGAGGAGATTGGTGGGATTGTTGGCATGCTTTGCTTGCCTGAAGCGGGTTGGACCACCGGTAGCGTCATCTGCGCAAATGGTGGCATGAAATTCAGCTTCTAAATGTTTGATACCACAAAAAGAATGGAACGATCAAGGAAGGGCAACAGGCATCACTCTGCTCAACTTCAGAACATTCAACTTGACATATGTGACTTTTGATTCTTTGTATTGTTCAGCGTACTAGGCGCGTGAAGTGCGGATGCGCTAAGTCTGGAAAAGATTTAGCGGCCCCGCTAATCGCGAGGCGGGCTTTTCCAAGGGGCGTTTCCTACTCTTCGACTCTAACGTCGCACTGTATATATCGCCGTCACCTCGTCGCTTCTTCATCACTACCGGGAACGTATCGTACGCAAGCTACATATCTTGTCGCTTCAATCTCTTGTAAAGATCGTTGATGCACGCACCTGGATTCTGGAGTGAATACACCGTCGCGGTCGCGTCCGACGCGTCTCAACCAGAAAGACCATCAAGACATCGGCCGTTGGCTACTCATTGTAGCTACTTATTGCACCTACTGAATGTATCATCGCATCGTCGCGTGCGGGGTTCATAGCCTGTTCTGCCAAATCACTATCCTCCAAAAACCCCATTAACGGGCGTAACACATCCGCGGTCTGAGATCGCGTTTGTGGGTTCAGCAGCCAGGGCTGTCCCTTCATCTTCTGATGGATGGCTGCTGAACAAAGGCAACGCCCAAGAGTAATGCCTCTTCGTCCTGGCGAGTTCGAGCTGCTCTGCAGCAAGACCTGTCCGTGGCTTTGAGGTAACGAGCCTATCTGGCGGCTTTGCCCTGCTGCTGCATCCTCTTTGTTCCTGCTCCCCGAGCAGTTGAGCATCGGCGGGCGCACGGCATAGGTGGGATCGACGTTTCGTTTCAGCTCGCACATATCTCTTTCTTTCTCTTTATCTTCCAATAGTGTGTCCCATTTTGCGATCTGACATATCTCTGTCTTGTTGCCTAGAAGTTGCTGTTGTATGTTACACCACCCTCATGTGTGATTCCTGGTATATCTCGCGCTTGCTAGTTGCTGAACATGATTGGCCTTTGCTGACCTGAACGTCATCCGCCGATCTACCCCCGCTTCGCCAGGCTAGGCAGCCATCTTGGACAAGAACACCTGGGATGACATTGACAGCCTCTCCTCAATTGCACATCTTCAATATGCCTTGTTATTCACGCAAAGACTTCATGAGAGAATTCGTCTTTCCTGACGAACCGGCACAAGACTTTGAACGTGCTGGCATCGCGGCCCAGTATGCATCAGGCCACCCAAAGGATTGGTCACAAACCGACGACATCCTCGACTTCAGTGCTGATCTGAGAGAAGACTCCGAAAATATATACAGAAGCTACTACACTGATCTCAGTTCCGACAAGAAGTTGTTGGCTATCAGTACGGATGCAGAGCGCATTCTCATATACAACCTCGCATCCCGAGAGCTGTGCGAGGTCCTTGAAGGGTCGGGATCTGTGATATTCCGGCCTTCTAACACCAACGAAGAAAGCGTTGCAGATGTTGACCAAGGCATGGGTATAGGGACTCCGAGACCGGGTTATACCCTCGTCAGCTCCATTCCGCACGAGGCTCATCGCCGCACTCGTAGTACCAACCAGCTCATTCTTTGGGATCTGGACCAAAATGGCCGAATACTCGACAAAGAAGAACCCATTGATCCCGCCGTGCTCGCTACTAAAGCCATCGATGCAATCGCCCCAGATCTCGCCGCAAGTCACGAATGGACCAGGGAGTTTATTGATGCGTCAACACTCCGTTCTGACTTTATGAAATCGCTCAGTCTGGCAGCCGCAGATCATCGCAGGCGTCACAACACCATCATTGACAATGCGACGCTTGGAAACTTTGGGTCTGTAAGCTTCAGCGCTGATGGTAAACTGCTATTGTATCATTCAAAGAATGATTCTACCCAACAAGGTATGCGTGAACCAGACGATCTTCCAGTCGTCGCCATCTACGACTTGGAAGCAGGCATTGAGATCCACCGCCTCTTTGGACATACGGACGCCATTATGTGGTCGGCTATCAGTCCGGACAAGGAACACGTTGCTTCCGTATCCTGGGATGGCACAATGCGCATGTACTCTGCCTCCACTGGAGCCTTAATGTGGGTCACAGAGAACTCTGGTGGACAGAGCTGGGCTGGCGCATTCTCGTAAGTAGCGTCCTTACAAACGACATACGAAACATGTACTGACTCAAGACACCTGCCATCTAGACCAGACTCGAAGCTCATCGTGTGGAGTTCCAAAAACGGCCGCGCAGTCCAGGTGCACGTTGTATCTGACGGACAGAAGACGGCAGCTATGCAAGAAAAGTTTTCCCACTGGTGCCGTAGTCTCAAATGGCATCCAACAGAATCAAAGATCGCGCTTTGCGTGGATGAAGATGCGTACATCTGGGATCCCTCCGACGGCGCCGATGGTAAGGTTCTTCAGCATTTCAAAGTCAAAAGTGACAAGGGACACATGCGCATGTCTGGGTGCCAAGATGTTTGGTGGATGGACGAAGGTCGGCTTTTGGGACTGGAGTCAAACGACGGTTCAGTCCTTGTCTACAACACGCATAATAACGCGAAGGAACTGTTCCGTCGGTCTGCTGGTACTATGGCCGGCTATGTACAAGGGGGCCTTTACGGAATCATCAAAGACCAACAAGAGCATGATGTTTACGCCGTTGTCTGCGGCGATGAGAAGGTGCGCTTCTTTCGGACAAGTGTTCCAGCTTTTCCGTCGTGGTGGGAGAAGGAACTACCATCAGCGGTGGTAGAAAAGAAATCATTCCCCGAGACGGGAAAGTATGTCAAAATCACCAAAAATTCGAAAAAAGCACCATCACAGGAGTAATCCGAAAGGAATAGTTGGACTGGAAGAAGTGCGACATTGTGGACTGCTGAGTAAAGTCGTCCAGTGGAAGTACAGAGGCAGCCAGATTCTCGGCCTTCACTGATCTGGGGGAAATGTCATTCTGTCAGCCGCGATAACAATATGACTCTCGGTCAAGGTACACTACCCCACCTTACCGGCCTTTGCTTTTTCGTTCCCAGTCTAGCGAGCATTACCAATATTTTTCCACAAGCCAGTAACAACAAAGAGCATTTCAAGACTTCGCGACACCCAACACTTACTACAGGGCTTCAGCACCTTGCATACATAAGATGGGAGTGGCCGGTAGCGGGTTCTGGTCTTACTTAATATCTATGGCTGTAATGTCTGCGGGTATCGGCACCGGAACGGTACAGTCCTGCTTGTCACCCGTGACTACTCAACATCACGAGCAGCTGACACACTACTTTCCGCACACTGTCGTATGCGCCAACAATTACTTTCCGTCATCCTCGCCACTGTTCCACATAAGTCGGATCATCGGATTGCGCAATCCGAATCCTGTGCTCATATTGACGATGCATCGATCGTTGTGTTTTCAACGTGTTGGGGCATGACTATCGCCTCACGGCTGGCTAAAGGCGTTGCGGTCCGGACAACCGTCTCCGCGCTTACATAGTACCCTTTCAGGCTGAACCCCACACCGCCATTCGCTTAGCCCCACGCGGTGCGGCTTATTGTGCTTTGTACCTTATATGAACCATTAAGAAACAGATGACTTTCTTGCGAAAATCCCTCGTCATCCTTTTCAAGATTTGCACGCTGGTCGGACTTTCGTTTTCAAGGTCGTCTTAAGCTTGCGTTCCTGCTGCATCTTCTCATAGGAGTATCTACTACCTTCGTTTGCCTTGCTAGCCGTCTCGTCAACGAGCATCGAGTTTGATACTCGCGTTGTAGACTAAATCGGCAGAAACGCTAAGACTTTGTGCCCGTCACGCGTTTTGCTCCCGCATTGGTCTTGCGTTGAATTGACTTCTGCAGTGTCACTAAACATAGTAAGCTTCGCCCTTTAAGCCATGTCGGCCCTTGCGTCTCTGTATAACCAACCATCCCATCGCGGTATAAAAGTTTCCCCGCGGAGTCCACAGGTACAATCCTTGTCCATACTCCAACCATGATACAACCAACCCAAGATGGCGAGCGATATGAGCTCACAAGCCCAACCGAGATGCCCAAAGCTGGTGCGTTCCTGTGGAATCAACGTATGATGATTCAGGTCACATGTCGTGGCTTTGCAACTGCGCAGTACATGCAACCCGAGCCTGCCAAATACGCCTATGCACCCAATCTCGAAGCCAAGACCTTTATGCAGCCGGAGCAAAACTACTATGCTCATCACCCCGGCCGATTCGTATACATCAAGGATGAAGAGAATGGCCACATCTTCTCAGCGCCGTACGAACCGGTAAGGGCAAAACTGGATCGCTTTACCTTCGATATAGGCAAGAGCGACATCAAATGGACTGTGGAGAAGCTCGGCATCCGCGTTGAGATGACATTTCTGCTCCCAACAGACGATGTGGCTGAGCTTTGGAACATCAAAGTCACTAACATATCCGATCGCAAGCGGAATCTAAGTGTCTACCCATACTTTCCCCTAGGCTACATGTCATGGATGAACCAAGAAGCGGAGTGGAATGCCAACGTTGGTGGCGTGGTTGGAAGCTGTAAGACCCCATACCAAAAGGCAGAAGACTATCCAAAGACAAAGTACCTCAAAGACAAGACCTACTTTCTCTGCGAAACCACACCGGTCTCATGGGAAGCAAAGCAAGAGGCGTTCGAGGGGGAAGGTGGACTACAAGCACCATCGGCATTACAGAATTCGCAACTTTCGAATAGCGATGCCCGTTACGAGACTCCAACTGCAGTTGTGCAATACTGGGCCGACCTGGAAGAGAACGAGAGCAAAGAGTATAGATTTCTCTTCGGTCCCGCATACGACGAAGCGGAAATTTTGGACATGCGCAAGAGATATCTCAACAAGATGGCGTTCGCGGAAGCAGCTAGGGACTACGAGGACTACATTATGAGAGGCAGCGGTTGCGTGCGTCTCGAGACTCCTGACAAAGATCTCGATAATATGGTTAACAACTGGCTACCAAGGCAATTGTACTACCATGGCGACGTGAACAGACTTACAACCGATCCCCAAACACGAAACTACCTACAAGACAACATGGGTATGAGTTTCATTAAGCCAGAAGTAGCCAGGAAGGCTATCATGACTGCTGTAGGTCAACAAGAGAAGAACGGTTCGATGCCAGATGGTATCCTGCTAGCGAAGGGTGCGGTACTCAAGTACATCAACCAGATCCCTCACACTGACCACTGTGTCTGGCTGCCTATCGCCCTTGAAATCTACCTTGCCGAGACCGGCGACTACGCACTACTAGACGAGAAGGTGACCAGCATGTATGGCGATACATTCACTGTTTTCGAGCGCTTCAGCCGCGCAATGGACTGGCTTCTCTCGTCAAATGCACGAGATGATCGCGGCCTCTCATACATTGCGCAGGGTGACTGGTGCGATCCCATGAACATGGTCGGTCCCAAAGGTGTCGGCGTATCAGGCTGGCTCACGGTTGCAACAGCCTATGCCGTCAACTTGTGGGCGCAGATCTGCGAAGACGCCAACAAACCGGACATCGCAAAGAAATACCGCACCGGCGCCGAACAGGTCAACGAATCGGCCAACGAGCACCTCTGGGACGGCGACTGGTACGCCCGTGGTATCACCGATGATAACGTTACTTTCGGCATCAAAGACGACAAGGAAGGTCGCATTTGGCTGAACCCGCAAGCCTGGTCTATCCTTGGGGGCGCGGCTTCTTCGGAGCAGATTGCAAAAATGCTTCCCCAGGTTGACGAGCAACTCACAACACCCTACGGAGTAGTCATGTTCGGTCCGCCGTTTACAGCAATGCGCGAAGATGTCGGCCGCGTCACGCAAAAGTACCCTGGTCAGGGTGAGAACGGGTCAGTGTACAACCACGCGGCTGCTTTCTACGCGTGGGCGCTCTACGGTATCGATGAAGTCGATCGCGCGTACAACACTCTCCGCGCTATGATTCCTGGTCCTGACGAGGAAGATCTGATTCGTCGTGGTCAGCTCCCAATCTTCATTCCCAACTACTATCGTGGTGGTCATGGAATTGAGCATTTGGACCGTACAGCGGGACGTTCAAGTCAATTGTTTAACACTGGAACTGTGAGTTGGGCGTACAGATGTTTCATCGAAGGGTTGTGCGGTTTGAGGGGCGTAAGAGAGGGTCTGAAGATCGCGCCAAAGATGCCGAGTGCATGGGACGGCATGAAGGTGAGGAGAGAGTTCAGAGGCGCGGTGTTTGATGTCCAGATCAAGCGAGGAGATGTGAAAGATGCGAAGGTTGTGGTTGACGGGCAGGGAGTGGAGGGCAATGTCATCAAGAATGTCAGCGCGGGAAAGACGTACAAGGTACTTGTGGAGGTACCGAGGGCAAAGAAGACGGGTACGAACGGAACGATGTCCAATGGTACGAAGACGAACGGGGACGGTGCCAATGGGACAAAGTAGACGGAATATGAATTATCTCGCAAATTCGTAGATTCAATGCCTCATCATGCTGCCATCATTTACGACTAGAAGAATCGACCGTAAGGCGAGCGTGACCGTCTGCACGCGGCGTTTGTAATTGGCAAATCCACGCACATCAGCCACGCGCAAAGAACATAGTCATGCTATTACTCCACGCGCACGCTGCAACTTCCTCTACACTGATGCCCTTAATGCCAGCCACAACCAAAGCCACCTTTTCCATATTGCAACTCTCATTCCTCTCTTTCACCATGTCACCCCTAGTAAACTTGTCCTTCTTCTTGTTCCCCCAAGGCCACTTGGATGCATTCTTCAGATACGCTTTAGCCACTTCGCTAGACGCTTGAATATCGCCCCACGGGGCGTCTGTCTCGATCTGCAAGTTGGGTAGTGGTAAATGTCTGATCATTTCCAAGCTGTCGCGGTCTCGGAAGGCAAAGTTGTTGACGCTAACCTGTAAGCCCATCGCGACCAGTTTCTGCATCTGCTCTCTAGTTCCGACGAACGAGTGAACTAAGCCAGATCGCAAAGGCAGCTGGTCCATATATGGTTCAAGTATGGAGATGAAATCATCGAACGCGGCGCGACAGTGAAGAAACAGAGGCAGCTCCCACCCTGTGTTCACGATCATATCGAGCTGTCGCTTGAACACGCGTATCTGAACGTCTTGGGGTGCTTCGCCCAATTTGTCGTAGTCTAAGCCGAGCTCCCCGAAAGCGGCCAACAAATGCGAGTCTTCTTTGTCGTTGAGGATCGTTGTGATATTGTGGGAGAGGTCCTGATAGTATTCCTCACCACCTTCATCTGCTTCAACGGCATGGTACGGATGCACGCCCATAGTGACCTTGACTTGCTCTGGTCGATACCGGGCCACTGCGAGATTGAGTTGCGCGTCGGAAGCGTACATGCCCGTGAGCATGACTTTTTCCACCCCTGCGGCCAATGCGCGATCTAGCACTGCATCGAAGTCGGCCTCATGGTATTGTTTGCCCCGATATACACCGGAGAACTCTTTGGCAGTTCCTGTTACAGCAACCTGAGCACTCCCAAAATTGTTCTCAGCCAAGTCGCGTCATCATGGGGAAGGGTATGCGCGTACATCAGCGTATCGGAGCTTTACGGATGGTGCAGAGGGGGCATCTTTGGAAAAGCCGTCTAACAATAACGGTTGTGACATTGTGGTTTGAGATGAAGGGACATGACACGTTGAATGCTGAGATGATGTATTTCTTGAGGTGGATCGCCATCGGAATAGAGACTTCCGACCTCGGAATCCAAGAGTGGGTCGCCTCTCGGAGCTTCGTCTCGCGGTTCTGCTCCCTGACCTTTGAGTTAGATTTGCTGCTTCGATCATGTGTCGTACGTATGGCCAGTCAAAGGCGGCGCAACTGACAAGCGGCGCTCGTCTTGACTAGAGATGGACTGATATACAGGCTCTGACACCCGCATATTTAACACTGGATGAACGCGCTACCAGTGGTTGGCCTTCATATCCAACCTTTTGACGATGATCCGTGCGGCTTCGGTGGTGTATACCATATGGATACTTGATGGTGACCATTAAATGTGAAGTGCAGATGTATTCGATGAGCGAGTGAAGACTTTGTGGATAGGTGTACCGTATGCGACCTCGATCGCATGACTGCGATATCGAGATCTGAGGCTGTCTTCCACAACTTGGTGAACGCTCAATATTGAGGCGATTTCTGGAGGTTTTCTAAGTGTTCGATACCTAGTTCTGCGCAACTCACTCGCAGCTTACGTTGAACGTGTAGAGATAATGTGAAAGCGACAAGGATTGTGTTCATATCAATGAATCTTGAGGGCCACTTCTGCTGTGAGCAGAGACGTCCGCTTTCCCCGTCGAGTTGATCACATCGTTATGCAGTGAAGCAGTATTTCCACGACCGAGCGACTGATCAATCGAAACCGATGACTGTGGCTCAGACTCGGAGTCTGGTGAGAAGTCAATGAGAGTTCCAGTCTGCGCTGTACCAGTGCCGCAAGGGTTCCAAGATGCATCATCATATAGATTTCTGCTCCCGGTTGTGTCGTGTGCTTGATTCAAACCAGTGTCTGTCAACTGCAGGCAGGCGTCGATTGCAGCATCTAAGCCACTATTTCGTCTCATTAGAGTTCTAGTACAGCGGAACTGAGACATTTCCAGGACGTACCTAGAGTCGTGGAATACATCACTAACCAATCCCCGATCTAGAGATGGAAACATAGCATAAAGGTAGTCGACTTGAGAGCTTGGTTCACGTTCTAGCGCACTGTTCGATGTGACCGGTGAGCGTTGGTTCTCCAATGAAGTATCCTGGTGCGCAAATAGGCCTACAAGATCGACAAGCGTATCGGCGTGGTGAACAGTCGGTCTGGGATTCGCAACGCTTCTCTGCCGTTGGACTAGAAACAACTTGACCTTTCGATTCCAATTATCTGCGACTGACGTAGAAAAGCTCTCCAGTGTGCTGATGACGTCGTCTGCGGCTGACATAGAGAAGCTCTCGATTGTGCTGATGACGTCGTCTACTATCGGATGATGTGAAGTTTCTCTATGCAGCTCAGCTGCATTGTCGTGACACGCGGGATGGGTAAAATTGGAAAGAGCCTGAAGTCTCGGGATCTGTAGAGCTATGCTAAAAAAATTCGTTCCAGAATCACGGAGCTGTGTACTCGTTGTGGAGGGCTTTCTCGTCATACTCTCTTGATCTGCGTTATCGTCTCTCGCCACGTATGGCATTTCGCTACCGCCGATCAACAACAAGGAGTCTTGGCTTCGCTGTGTCCGGATGCATAACATTTTCATGCCTGCCCATCTGTACGCGTCGCTAGGTCCGTCGAGCAATGCGACTGCTACTTGAGCTCGAGGCTCTTTCTCGCAGGTTTGCCAATGCACAACACACCACCCCTGGCTTACGAGCGTCTTGCAAAGGCTCTGCACTCGATCTGCAGACATTTGTACTAGTTGTTGGCCTAAGGGATCGCTACCTTCGAAGGAACTGGTCTCAACAAAGCAGAGTCGTACTACAATCTCCCAGAAAGCCATGGCATCAGTGTCTGTGCCTGTCAGACTGACCGGTGGCCCTGTGATTCCGAAAGCATTTCGTAGCCGATCGAAGAGGATATGCTCGCGGAATGGGCTGATGATGTCGTAGCCCAATCGATGAAGTATCGCCGGAAAAAGTTGCTCTGCAGTAGTTGAATACCCGTACAACTCACGGAAAGAATCCGCCTTGATTCCTTGCGTGTGTAACGAGCCTACACTGCTGCCTAGCTGCCGAATGAATGTTTCGAGACTAGTCACTTCCTGGACAAAACCCATTTCGACTGCCGTGAAGCCCATGAAGTCTTCAGATACGAAGCTTCCCTGGTAGAAACCTATAGACGCTTGCCTCTTCTTGCGTGTCAGGAAGAATGGAGCCATGCAACTATCGGACAAAGCGATACCGGCCCCAGAGACACTAGGAGGTATTGCATACATCCAGCCCATCCTGCCTTGTTTGGTTAGAGCGGAGAGTATTTCGTTGAGAGCCTCCTCGGCATTATGGTTTGCATTATAGACAACATCTTTCAAACCCAGGATTCCGCACAGCGCGTAGTACTTGTCGCAAGCGACTGTGGCCTCCAGATGTTCGGCCAGTTGCAGCACGGTCGCTTCCATGTCTAGTTTCTCTGTGTAAAACTCTCGAAGACAGTTACATTGTTTGCACCAAGACCAGAAGTCGTGCAACCAGCTCTTATCCGGATGGCGTTGATGGAGGAAAGCTGCTATCCGTCCGACCGTCCCAAGCTCCATGTAAGCGACAGTTGATTTATCTCCCCAGCTTAACATGTATCGGGCGGAAAGGAGTATCTCTTGGAAGATCCATGCGCGCTTTCGCCATGATCCTTTCCAGAGGGCTTCTAGGCTGTCCAGACAAGCTTGCTCGACTGATGGAGGAATTGACGCCACCAGAGAGATGCAACTCGGTGTGAATAGGCATCGGTGTGACTTAAAACCTCGTTCAGGAGAGGTCTCGGCTATAAGACACTTCATAAGCTTCAAAAGCTCATAAAGGGCTGTAAGGTCGACGTCTCTGAGCAGAAGGATAGTGCACCGTGCATCGAAATATACCTCATTCATGCGCGGGATCCAGTGTATTTTATCCGCTGACGAATTTTGGTCAATGCATTTTGAGTCAAGCCAACATCGAAAGGAATCTGGCTGAAACAGCTTGAGTGGAATTCTCTGGGCAATATCGGTGGGGGCTTTAAGAAGATTTGTCGCAAGATCCGTTGCCGCAAGCATGATCAGACGCTCCCGTATCAGTCTCCAGCTCGGGAACTTATCCACAATGGACTCTTTCCAGTCGCTCCATACGTAAGAGATGGCGAAGTAGCTACCCGACTTTCCAGTCGTGCTCAGCTGGAGCGCACCACTTTGGTCCAGCAAACGATGATACCGTTCAGTGACTGGATCGATTACAGCGAATGCCGATCGTCCGGGGGCCAGGAAGGCTCGTGGGATGGCAGTAGTGGTCATATTTGACCTTTCGTCAGCTATGCCCGGTCGGTGTGCCACGAGGCTGAGAAATGGCAAACAGACCTTCGCTCCGATCAAGGTGTACAGCGTGTTGCTTAGCCGGGTGGCCAACAATGTATTCAGGGCTGCCAAAAGCTTATTGGGAGTAGGTGCGCTGATGACTTCAAGATTGGAGATGCTCAGCAGTAAGCTGCCTGCTTTCGTAATGCGGTGGCGTACGGCTGAAGTCTCGTGACATCCTGATTTAGGTAAGATACCCCACCAACACATGAAGTGTCGCACTCGTCGCCTGATTGCTGTAAACGACGCACCGTGCGATAAATCAGAACAAGTCTTGAAGATATGTGCGCTGATTTGCTAGGTGCTGTAGTAGTAGAATGCCTACCAGCGTACCCACTCCGTCCTACATTTAATCAGCTTCCTTACAACTTATAGCGTCTTTACAACTCATCGGCTATACTCCGACACCAATGCCAGTAAACTGGGTTTGAGGGCCAAACTCTCGTTCTCATCACTGTTCAGTGTCAGTTAGGATCGCATTCGGAGTTGACGAAACTGCATCCTTTCAGCTAGCAGGTATAAGGCTGAGGTCAGGAACGCTCAAGACGTTAGGCCTTAACGCCGTGTGATATTGCCTAGGTCAAGTCTACGAAATCATATGATGCATGGAAGAAAAGAGGTAATGCTGATAGAGTGAGTGCGCGATGCGCTTGATGAAGGAAAAAACAGTAGTGAAGTTGAGGTCGTACTGCAAGTAGCGTGGCAGATCTAGCTCCTCTCAAACGAGTGAGAGGCTCATCAGACTCTGACGCGGATTCACAAGGGCTGGAAATGACACTCGATCTCAGGTGCGGGGTACCGCCAGCCTTTGTCTCCTTCTGCTGCTGTGCCGCATATGCATCTCCCCTCTTGTATGTCTGATCGAGCACCAAGGTTCACCACCCCTCACTATCTTTAGTCAGGTCTGCGCCGACATGATTTCGATGAACACACAACAGGTCCATACTGCTTCGAGAACCACCATAGGCAAGGCGCAAGCAGACCTGGAGGGGACGCCAACTGAGCCTCTTCTTCCGCCACATGTCAGCGGATCGTACAAAGTGGATGAGCGAGTCATCGCAGGTATATCAGCCAAAGCGGTTCTTCATTTGAGACTGACCTTGATCCAGCATTCCCCGTTCCCAAGACTCAAGTAATAGACGCCTACAATTACGGCAAATCGCTCTGGGGTAAAGCGGCCAAGATTGTCGTCCAGCTTCCCACGGGACAAACCGACAACTACTTCCTCAAGGTTTGGCCTCTCACCGAGGAGCTATCAGAGAATGAATACTAATTCGACAAAGGTGGTTTCTCTAGGAAGCATAGGAAGGCACATGTGCGAAGGCGAATACGAATCGCTCAAATCCATCTATGCAGTCTCCCCTTCGTTCGTTCCACAGCCATATGGTTGGGGCCAGATCGACGAAGATTCAGCAGAGACGTACTTTCTGCTTGCGGCTTTTCGAGATGTGGGAGAACAGGTATGTGTAACTTAACTCTTGGAGTGACCGAAAGCTGATGTTCAAAGCCCGCAGATCCAGTCAAGTTAGCTGCGGGTCTAGCAGATATGCATCAACGATCCATCCCACCAACCGGCAAATTCGGCTTTCACTTCTCCACGTGCCATGCGCGTATCGCTCAGGCTGTCGATACCTGGGAAGATTCGTGGTGCACTGTGTATAGTCGGCACCTTGGTCATGTCATGGAGCTTGCTAAGCCAATGCTTCAATGGCCTGAGTTCGACGTTGTTTGCGATCTCACACTCCAGAAAGTGGTACCACGTCTTCTGTTACCTCTTCAAGCAGAAGGTCGAGTCCTGAAACCATGCCTTATCCACGGTGACTGTTGGGACGGAAACACCGCAATGGACGCCAGGACAGGCGAGGCTTTCGTGTTCGACGTTTGCTCCTTCTACGGACACAATGAGTATGACACTGGCAACTGGAGAGCACCGCGCCATCGGCTGAGCAGCAAGGCATATATCCGAAATTATAAGCGTAATTTCCCGGTATCTGAGCCTGTAGAGGACTGGGACGCACGAAACCTGCTATACTCGTTAACTTTCAACATTGGTAACACTATCTATATCCCGGGTTCACAGCAGCGTCAGGTCGTGTTTGACGATATGAATACGCTGTGCCAGCTCTTCTGCCCTGACGAGCTGGAAGCCGCAATGCTGAAGCTCAGGAGAGACTCTGCTGCCGGCGCAAGCTTGCAGACAGGCCGACCGATAGCTGATTTGAATGACGATTATACGGAGGCCGGGGCGCAGGAAGAGGAGGAGGAGGAAGAGTTGCCGCTCTAGATGGAGTTATGCCGCGTCCCACCTTTCGAGCTGCTTCGGCAGACAGGCCGCGGACTGAGATCACAGTATGAGATATGATTATATGATGACAATGTTGTGCACTTGATGAGGTTGATTGCAGTGGTTGGTGGCTCAATGAAGCTTCGGTGTGCGCGTCGCGTGTCGCGTTTCGCGCGACGACGTTACCGGCTTTTAACGCTGATTGAGCATGCCCCGCCTGTTCTTGAAGTCTTGCCATCGCCAAAATCGACCCAACAACTTAACACCAAAAGCTGCGACGCTCGTCCTGGGCTGCGATAGCAACCCTTGCAAATTCCAATCGCGTCCGCCTAGGAGCCATCGGCAGTATTGATCTTGTTGGCCTGCCTTGCTTGATCGGAAAGTATGGCCAATCGACAGCTACCACAGAGTGGGGCGAACGAAAACTTCCACGGCACCACGGTATGCTAACTATTTAGGAGAAGACCACGACTGAGTCGAAATTCTTCAGAAAACGAGACATGAAGTATCAAATATCACATAGATGAAGGTCAAACTGAGACTTCTGTCATCAACACCAATAACAACTGGCCTGCTGGCCCAATGGCAAGGCGCTTGACTACGATTCGTCGATATCAAGAGATTGCAGGTTGTAAGTAGCACACAAGATGCCATCAATTCGAACATCTAGTCTAACAACAATAACAGCGATCCCTGCGTAGGTCACAAATCATCTTTTTTTTTTCGTGTCGTCGATGGCACTAGTGGGGCATCTCATAAGACGTAGCTCAAGTTTGGCCGAGTCGCATGCCGAGACCACCTAGTACATCAATGTATTCATGGAATCATCCTATTGAATACGAGTAGATTCTTTTTTGGCCTTGAGAGACTTCGGGAAAGTGTTGGCATTTCCCAACTTGTAGATGTTGCCGTCGCTCCATACATATGATCATCACACGCTTGTGTGAGTCGTCATCTCCCACTTACTGCGCAACTTCAATGCCATACGCAGCATACGGAAAGTTTTCAAGACTAGACCTCAGCTCCGCCATTCCATCCTCCGATACCATTCGTCCATCTTCAGTCACCACAGGACTCTTGGCAACCCCCTCCGCGGGCTCCCCATACCTCGGCACATTGCCATCCTCCTCCGTCCTACCCATAAGCACATCCATCTCCCTCCCTTTACAAACCTCCGCCAGCCCAAGGTGAGGCACCCAAACGACCCGCATACCTGCCTTCCTCGCTGCCTCAACCCCAGCAATTGAATCTTCAAACACTAAACACTCACTGGGCTCCAAACTCCGCTCTCCGCGGGCTGTCTCAGCATCGTTTAGTCTCTTTAGAGCAATGAGGAAGATATCGGGTTCTGGTTTTTTCTGACTATCGGACATTTCGGGGTCGTCACCAAAGACGTGGAAGGCTGGGTCATCGAATGCTTCATTAATGAGTGGTATGTGCGACGTCTTGAGTGCAAACTTTTGGTGGCCAGCAGAACTAGCTAGTGAGAGGAGCACGGGAGGCGACGTTCTTGTTTTGAGGGTAGTAAGAAGTGTCTCGACACCTGAGAGCAGCTTGCTATTCTTGAAAAGCTGTGTACTCTCTTTCTCCTTTGCTGACCATTGTGCGGGTGTGAGGGGTACTTGAGCCCAGTCTAGCAGGCGCTTTGTACCCTTTACGAAGAATGAGCGGGATGGAAGATGGCTTGAGGCTGAGCAATACGAACCCTTGTACCTCTACTTTGCTGCGTAGCTTTGATCTTCCAAGGGTACTCTGGTCTTCCATACTCGCGAAGGATATTGTTGTAGATGTCCGTATAGATGTCCTCGGAGTTGATGAGAGTGCCGTCTACATCAAAGATGCATGCGCGTACTGACGGCAGTGAGACCATGGAGACTGTTCCGGCAACGTACCAAACTCTGACAGGGCGTGATCAGGGGGCCTTGTGTTCTGGCTCTGAGGCTTCAGCTTTGTGTGTGTGTTCTACTTCGAGTGTATGGCTCGGGGTTAACTCCGTCTACCCCGCGGGAACTAAACCACATGAGGATTAGCTTGTCCATGCCCAGCATATGAAGCATCTTGGAAGCAGTCACTACGACCGACGTTCACTCTTACCACACAGCAGCTGAGTCTCAGCTCTGGGCGGTAGAGAAGAGGCGTCTCTTCTCATGTATCGATTTACTCTCCTCGCCGATTACCATTGGCAAACCTAATGCATTGGGACCCATACCTCCCACCCCTCAATACACCATCTTGTAAATTTGATGTGCAGGAACTACGATCGGATGCGTCCAGATTCTTGTCGAGAGATAAGCCATCACGGGTTTACTTCCTCGACAGCCTGCAAGGCAATGTTCATCACGAGAGATCATCTCCTTTCGGGTACCTCCAGTATCGCTGCACCATCCTGCTAGTCCACTCATACTCCACGAACCCGCTCTTTAACCAATTCCAGGCTTGCAACATCGAGAAACTACCGAGTGCATAATATCGTATGCATCGCTTCCCCTGTATCCAACTGCCGGTCAATCGTCCTCATACCGAACGTTCCTGAATACGGGATACCAATACATTCAAGTGGGTGTCTGACATGCATAGCAACTCCCTTTACCAGCCTAGTTCTACAATGTTGAGACTTATCCTACTCGGAAGTATATCGTCGGCGCTGTGCGAATGACTCAGCTCGTTGTCACATGCCACTGCGAGGCTGACAACTTGACCTTAGGTACATGGTGGCTGCATGGCGAGGGTAGTCAAATTTCTCTTCACGAGAAATCTCCACTTATGCTGGGCTAGACTTCGAAAGACTTGTACGTGTAAGCAACCCGGCTAGTGTCTGGCGGCAGCGTATCTTGTTCGCAGATGTTCCCCACACGGGTCGATCAGCCACTGGCGGTTGTGTGTGCGCCACGTTATTTTCACTTCATCCTTCAAATTTGGGGGCTTACTTGAGGCTGCTATGTGTGGTAGTGTGTTCTCACGCAGTTCAGACCGGATGATAAGCTGCTCAAACCGTGGTGTCGAGTTGGTGGTGAAGGCTTCGGACTACTTCCACAACGGGTTTCCTCTATCGGGTAACCCATCGCCGTCACGATAATCGCTAAGACGCCTGCTACTGACCGCGCCTGGGGTGACGATACGTCCAACCACCTAAACGATGTAACAAAGCGATTTTGCACAGCTGATGCAGCTAGGAGACGACTCAATACTGATACGGTATCGCAGGGCTGCGGCATAAGAGCGGCATAGCCAACCTGGTGTCATGTACGTAGCTATTCTTAGCGCTAGATCATTCTCAGTTCGTATCGCAACACCGTGAACCCAGGATCTTGTCGTAGGGCTACGGAGAAGAGTCCGAATCGTCCCGCATGTTAGGCGCGCCATCGCACCAGTTACACGTTTGTCCAGTGTCGGCAGTGTGTAACGAGCGAACGTGCTGCTAGACCCTGAGATCGCCAGATGACATCGCCCACAAGAGCGCCGGCTCATAGCGCTCGATTGCAGCGAAATCAATAGGAGAGTTTTCAGGGAGCTAAGATGTATGCGCGGAAAATAGATTGAAGTTGGCGTATGTAGTCAGGACGCTGATTGGCTGTGATAAGACCCTTTACTTATCCGGTAATACCAAGCAGCGGGACACCTGCCTAAGCGAGTACTAACAAGATAGCGGTCCGTATGTCGTCCCTGTTTTTTCTTGCCTTGTCAGCCGCAATATGAGAAAAGTATACTATTGAAAAGATGCAGCTCGCGTGCTGATACGTGCAGGCAACGCCGCAGTCATGCAGCCCGGTTGTCACCAACATACTTACCGAAGTTGGCATACTGTACGGCCGTGATGTGGCATCGGTCTGATCAGGCGCGGCAGAGCATGGGCTGAGCGGTGGTCGAGGTGTAGAGATACAAGACGCTTATATACATTGTCTGCCTGGGATGCTATACGACATCTTGGGTGCTGTTAAACAGCCGGTGCGCCTTCTTGCACTCGGAACTTTGTCAATTGCATATACTTTCATCGTTCATTTGACTTTCCCATTGCGCCACAGATGGCGCAACATCACGCCTTGCGGCAGCCATTTAGCCTGCTGCTCCTCGTACTGTCCCTGGTATGGTACGCTAGCGGACAAAGTACCGCGACACCCGACCTACCCAGCAATACCACATCTCCTGAACCAAAGGTAGGATGGAACGCCGAAGGATGTTACACAGACAGCGTCGGCGGTCGAACGCTGTCCGTGGGGATGGGAGTGGCCGGTGCTATGACCAATGCGAAGTGCAGAGACGCATGTCGAGCAGGAGGCTATGTTCTAGCTGGTACTGAGTATGCTGGTGAATGTTTCTGTGATAACCAGATCAGAAACAATGGCGGCCCTGCACCTGACGGCGAAGTGGGATGCAACATGGCATGCAATGGAGATCAGACTGAGATGTGTGGCGGCCCTGATCGCTTGACATTCTTCCGATTCTACACAGGTGGCGAATCGACCGTTTCGGCAACTGCTTCACCTACTGCGTCGCAGACAGCATCTGCGACCAAGACATCCAGTGCAGTCCCTGTTGCAACGGGACTCCCAGAAGGGTTCGAGTACAAGGGCTGCTATGTTGATGGACCCGGCTTCCGCATCGTCAACTACCAACAACCCGATGATCAAAGTATGACCATTGCCTCATGCTCCAACGCGTGCGCGAAAGCTGGCTACGAGATCGCCGCTATGGAGTACAGTTACCAATGCTTCTGCGATAACACCGTAAGTACAGTCAGGTCTGCCGATGTACCAATCACTGACTCTCGCAGGTGAGAATGGGTGGCAAGCCTGCTTCTTCCGAATCAGAGTGCAACACAAAATGTGCTGGCAACCAGGATGAGACTTGCGGAGGCCCCAACCGAATGAGCATCTACTCAAGCCAAGATCCGTTGAAGGTCATCAACGCTCCGGCCCCTATCCAGAATGTGAGCGATTGGCAATACCAAGGATGTATTACCGACACCAACAACCAGGTGTTTCCATGGAAGCTAGTGAACCAGACAGGCAACTCACCACAATGGTGTCTAAGCCAATGCCAAGCCTTCGGTTATCAGGCAGCTGGAATGGAGTATGGTGAAGAATGTTATTGTGGAGACCTTGATGGCATCGAGAAGAGTGGCTCAAAGACAGTCGCAGAGTCTGAATGCAACACTGCTTGTCCAGGCGACCCCGAAGCCCTGTGCGGCCAAGGTAACCGACTCAGCTGGTACAAATGGGAAGGCGATCCGTTATACGTATGGGAGTACCCCAAAGGCATTGCGGCTGGACGCTACGAGTTCTTGGTTGGCGGTCCTATCATCCCCCTGATTTCGCAACCTGGTGTCAACGGCAAGGTGTCTCTCCTCGAGAAGCATGGAACAGGTGAGCCCAACACCACTGGTGCGTACGAATTTGATCCTTCAATCGGTGGCGACATTTTCCATGCTTTCCGTGAACTGAGCGGCATCAAGACAGACATATTCTGTGCTGCAGGTCTGACTATGCCGGATCGTGCTGGTCGACAGATCAATATTGGTGGATGGTCGACAGATTCGTTGTTTGGCGTCCGCATCTACTGGCCGGACGGTTCTGCTGGTGTTAACGGCACGAATGACTGGCAGGAAGATGTCAATAGCATCAAGCTTCAGAGAGGCCGTTGGTACCCTACAGGAATGGTCATGGCAAACGGATCGATGTTAATTGTCGGCGGGCAAGATGGCTCCAATGGTCCGCCAGTGCCGAACATGGAGATTTTGCCTACCGTAGGTCCTGTGTACGAAGCGCAGTATTTAAGGGATACCGACCCGTACAACCTTTATCCCTTCCTAGTCGTACTGCCGTCGGGTGGTATCTTCATCCAGTACTACAACGAGGCTCGTATCCTCGACGAAGTTAGCCTAGACACAGTCAAGATCTTGCCAAAGGCACCAGCTGCCGTCAACGACCCCACCGGAGGGCGAACCTACCCGTACGAGGGTACTCAAGTCCTGATGCCTCAGTACTACCCTTACGACGCTCCGCTGGAGGTGCTCATCTGTGGTGGCGCAGCAAGACAACCCAAGTGGGGTCTCGACAACTGCGTCAGTATTGAACCCGATGTCGCCAACCCCGAATGGACTCTTGAGCGCATGCCTTCTCGACGTGTCATCTCGTGCATGGCAACGCTACCAGATGGAACTTATCTGATCCTGAATGGCGCTGAAGTTGGCGAAGCAGGTTTCGGTCTTGCAGACCAGTCGAACCTCAACGCTGTTCTGTACGATTCCCGAAAGCCACGACATCAACGTATGAGTATCATGGCTAACACGACAATTGCGCGCATGTATCACTCCGAAGCCGTAGTCATGGACGACGGGAGGATCCTGGTGTCAGGCTCCGATCCCCAAGATGAGGGCAAGCATCCTCAGGAGCACCGCATTGAGGTCTTCCTCCCACCCTATCTGCTTTCTGGTGCAGCGCAGCCTACCTTTGAGCTACCTCAGAACGACTGGATCTGGGAGGAAGACTACTCTTTCACGGTAACTTCGTCTTCTGGTGGTCCAATCAAAGTGTCGCTGCTCGGATCTGAGTCTAGTACTCATGGAAGCTCGATGGGTGCGCGTATCCTGTTCCCGAGCGTGTCTTGCTCAGGCGGAGCATGTACAGTCAAGGCGCCCAAGGGACCATACGTCGCCCCTGTAGGATGGTATAGAATGTTTGTTCTGGATGGGCCAACACCGTCGCATGCGAAGTGGGTTCGTCTGGGTGGAGATCCAGCTGCACTCGGTAACTGGCCTGACGCTGCTGCCTTCCAACCCTTGCCGGGTATGGGACCCGTAGGCGTATCGAGCAAATCGATCGCGAACGCGACCGTACCAAGATCGATGTCGACCGTTGCTCGCAGCTTCCAGGGTTGATCAGGATCTCGGGGAACGTCGAGCAAGCTAATGTATATTTGTTAATTTGTTAGCGGACGTAGTAGTACTCACATCAAGCGGGCCCTATAGTACTGTAATACAGCATGCATGGCATGAGAATTCGATCAATCTTGATGTTTCTAATGTACATGTGCGAACAGGTCTATGTCTGGTGCAACCGATGGTTAGCGCTGATGTAAGACCCAGTACAGTGAGCGTGCGCGCAACGTACTATTGGCAGTGACCTCTTTTGAGTTCAGGTTGTTCGAATTAATTCCTCCTTCTGGGACCTAGCGACTGGAAGCCGGACGTCCTCCTGCTGGCCGCAGTCTTGCCTGCCTGAGCCAATGAGCCCTCATGTCATCTCTTCGTCTTCTTCATCGCTACTTGGGAAGCTCCATTCACTTGACTGGTAGTAGTCGTACTCTTCGTCAGACCCTGCTGTACTGAGCGCTCTTGCGTCATACGTTTGGGTGCTGAAGGCAGAGTAAGCAGACCTCCTCGGCGATGGCGACTTTGAACGACGTCGCTTAATAGTCTGGACGTAGCTCACACTACTGAGATGGGTGCGTAAGCTGTTTCGAGTCGGGGACGGTGAGTGGTGGCGCTTCTTGGTAGTCGTGGGGCTCAGAGCTTTTGGTTGCGCATCGTCGCTTGTGGAATGAACCACGGTGCGCTCATTCACAGGTTCAGGGTCGTCTTGCGAAGCTGTCGGCCAAAGGCGTCTAGGAAAATAATATCTTCTTCGAATGCGCTCTTGGGTTTCTTCCTCGGTTTCTCGCGATTTGGCTTTCTTGGTTGGCTGTTGTGGCATATCCGCCGTCACTAAAGCCCACCGTTCAAGATGGTGAGTGGATCCAGAAACGCCAATTGGAGCTATCAGATCATCTTCCTTCTGTCGCTCTTCTTGCCACTTGTTCATCCGTGGAGCTTTCCGCAGACGCGAGCTGCCTTGATAGTGTTGCGACATGGCGATTCGTGGAAACGCAGAGGCAGGCGCAACCCCAGATTTGCGACAGGCAACTGATGATCTGATTTGGTAGCGAATGACGAATCAGAATTGGCCACCTAATGAAGTGATGTTGGGCGGCAGCGGCAGATGGCGCAGACAGCCGCGTGATGGCGGGAGTAGACGCGTCCGGCAGAGTCGCGTTAGACTCAGAGCCTGCAATGACGCGCAGAGTGCAGGCAAGGAGTGTCAGGGAGGTGCCACCGAGCTTTTTGGCGGTCCCGTTCCCCAAGAGATGATGTCTCGATGCACTAGCAAACGCTCAACGCTCCTGCATGGAGTCGACATGTTCGCAGTTGATCGGCACCCCTTGCGGGTGGGTGGGGACAGAGGCGCGCATGCTTGGCGCCGTCGCGGTGACAATCTACTTTCTTTTCACTACAACTCGCAAGACTCCTCCATCGAGGCTCTTGTATCTCTGCATACCTTTACACAACAATATTATCACATGTCAGCTTCGGCTCGCCAACATCCTGCAGCAGCCACCGACGACTTCGGCTAATCCTAGCCGGAGAGAGACGCGGCGATTACGCCCGGCAGCCCGCCCTGCATCAAACCCAACGCCCATGTCCGATGATTCGACATCCATAGACCGCTTACGACGACTTGGGCCAATTCCGACGGAGCGAGTTAATGCAAGCCATCTCCACGTGCCGTTCCTGCCAGATAGTCCATGAATAAGACGCGGCATATGGAAATGTGTGGGAAACTCCGCCCGTTGACCACCTCTCCTCACATGATTGGCCCAACTTCTGAAAAACGCGAACCTAACAACGCAGCACTGATCATCTACGCTTGGGTTACCGCTGAGCTGGATACTGCGCAATCCATCTAAAGCGCGCTGGGGGGTAGCCTAAGGCCGCCAGTTTGATCGTTACGTTTTGCTTCGTGCCTCTCCTTGTCGAGAGGAAGAAGAAAAGAGAACATGTCAGCATCGAACAGTTCTCTACGCACTAACGGGAGCGCCCTTGATTACTCCACCGCTGAAGAGGCTAGCAGCTCCGGTCCGTCGCTTCAAATCGACGTGCGTTCCCTGTCCTATCGCTTGGCTGTGTTAGCCTGCCCGACTGACAGCTGGCATTTAGAGTGAGGACACCGAGGAGCAAAGCGATCAAAGCGACGAACGCGACTCTGAGTTTGGTGATTCTGCTTACGGTGACAATCGATCTTCTTACACCATGTCCGCAACCTCGTCAGTGTTCAACTTTCGCTATGAGAATGGCAGGCGGTACCACGCCTACGCCGAGGGCCAGTACCCGGTACCTAATGATGAGGTGTGCAGCTTACCGACTAATGTAGGAATGAGTTGCTGACACCAGCGCCAGGTGGAAGCAGATCGACTGGACCTACAGCACCACGCCTTCAGACTGACACTAGATGGGAAACTCTACCGAGCGCCTATACCAAAAGACGTGCAGAATGTCCTTGACATAGGATGCGGAACTGGTATCTGGTCCATTGAATTCGCTGATGAGCATCCATCCGCGCGTGTTCTCGGCACTGATCTGAGTCCCATCCAGCCCGCTCAAGTACCCCCTAACTGTGAATTCCTCATCGATGACTGCGAGGCAGACTGGATCTTCCGTGATCCGTTCGACTTCATCCATGCCCGAGCCATGGTAGCAGCCATCAAGAATTGGGACCGCTTCTTCGAGCAAGCCTACGTCAACCTCAAGCCAGGAGGATACCTTGAGTGCCAAGACCTTGCCTTCCCCATACGATGCTTGGACTCTGGCGTCACTGCGGAAAATTCCCCGCTGATGCGCTGGTCAGAGCTCTTTCTCCAGGCTGCTAAAGTTATCGGTCTCGACGGTACGGGACCGAGACATTTCACGCCACAACTACGGAATGCAGGCTTCAAGAACATCAACCTCAAGTCGTACAAATGGCCCGTTGGTAAGTGGGCAAAGGGCGCGAGGTTCAAGCTTCTCGGTCGTTTCGTTTATGAGGATCTGATGGATTGGCTTCCAAGTAGTTCGCTGGGCCTGTTCACGCGCGTACTGAAGTGGTCGAGAGAGGAAGTGGAAGTCTTTCTGTCGGAGTGCAGAGCGGAGGCTAAGAGAAAAGACCGACACTACTACGCTGATGTGTAAGTTGTTGTCATCGCGAATGATTGGCTCTGCTGATTCACCAGTTTCTTCTATCATGCTCGTAAGCCAGAAGGTGCGAACTTTTCAAGCCAGGAACAAGACTTCGTATCATGGGAGGAACCAATAGATCGTGATGAGGACGATGACGGCCATCACGCTAGACCATCAACTATAGTCTCTGCTTCCTCGGTGCCGTTGTCTTCGGCAACCACAACGGAGCAGGAAACAGACCACTCGACACCACCTACGTCGACCACTCAAGACAAACAGCCGTCAGTCAAAGAAGGTGATGATGGAACATAGATGTGTTGAGGTCATGGAATGTATATAGGAAGAAATAGGACAACGCAAACAAATACGCCACCGCTATTATCACCGCGCAAACTAACAGCGGACGTACAGAACTGGAAGCCGACAAGAAGATTCTGTACGATCCGTCGATCGAGATAGGCACAACAATCCTTCCATCATAGTTCTACGTAGCCCTACTCGCCCTGTGAGCACACACACACACCCACCTCCAACTTCTCTCATGCAGGTAATTCTTCCTCCATATCGGCTCACGGAATAGCCACTCCCTTCTCATAACTTTTCTGCAGACGCCACTACCCTCTAGTTCTGAGACAATCCTTAAAACCGGCCTCTTCCTCCGCCAGCCTTCTATTCCGATTCCACTCCCTCTGCATCTCGCTTTCAGGCCCACACCTCCTCTCATTCCAAGCTCTCAGGAACTCGATATCTCCCAGCACTTGTTTGACATATGGCTCGGAACCGTCTAGCCTTCTTGCTCTCCAGCACCCTTGGTCCTTATCCCAGAGCATTAATTCGCGCCATGCGTCCGGTACGCCTTTGTACTCGCTCAACTCGCACTTGAGATGGGGGAAGAGACGGCGCCACATTGTGCGGGGGCCTACATAGTTTTGATACTGTGATTTCGGCCAAGGTACTGATGCGAGAGCGGGCTCAGGTGCGGGCGCTCGTTCGAGTGCTGGTTCAGCCTTAGCTTTCCCTTTGTTCTTGGTTCTGGTAGCGAGAGCGGGAGCGGGGACCGAGCGGGTGACGAGAATTGCCGAACGAGTATGATGGGAATATTGTTTAGCATACGGGTTCTGTACTGGTGGCTGTCTACTGCTTGGACCAGCAGCAGGAGGGATATGACTGCTTCGTTTCGATGCAGCACCAAGACCCGAACTCGATGTCGCCTCCACACGGCGGTGACTTCCCCCAGCTTCCTGCTCAGTCTCGACCCGACGTCGGCGCTTGGGTCTTCTGTCTTGCGCCTCTTGTTCGCTCGGTTCAGCTTCGACGACGGCAAGAAGATTTCCAGAGCGCAACCGCTTTGAACTCTTCTTGGGCTTTGCTGCTACTTCTTTCGCTCGATCGAGCTCACCCTCGGCGATAATCTCGTTCCAGATCCGTTTTGGGAAATGGATTTTGAGAGTGGAAGACTTGTCCTTCGCGATAGGATGAGGAGGAGGAGTTGGATCTCTCCTGTCCAAATCTTCACCATCTTCCGTTTCTTCTCCGTCTGCTTCTGCAACTCCCGTCGCGTCTGACTGCTGCGGATTCTGAATAAGAAGCAAAGGCCGGAGATTCCTGTCAAAGTAGTCGTCCATGGTTGGAACCGTAGGCGTTGTGGCCAACGGCTGGTAATGGCTGCCAGCGGTGATATTAGAGTTGGAAGACATATTTGCTGGGAGTTTGAAAAGGAAATCTTGGTTATGATGTTTATGCGGGTGACTGAAGTTTGTTGGTGATATTTCGGCGGGATATCCTAGATTTTGATCAGTTGAGCTCGGACGAGTGTATATAATCTGTTGCTTAGAGTGGAAAAAATGAGAGACAGAGGTGACTTGATCATATACTTTCTGGAGTGATTCGCGCTTGAGCGCAACCATAGAAATTTCTGAGGTTGAAGTCGGAAACATGGTTCTCAGCAACAGCGCTCCCTTGCGTGAAACTTTTCTAACGACGCTGGTTGGACAACCACACGAACTTCCATATCCTAGATGCGAAGATAATACCATAACCAGAGGACTACGTGGGCTATACGGCACTGCCGTCGCCAAACGTCAGTAGCTTCTGGGTGGCACTCACTCTTACTGGCTGACCGTCGACAGGACGATGACTGATATGCACGTGACCGCGATCTCATCTATGGACCCTCAACAGGTCCACCTACAGCCAATGATAAGTCTGATGACTTGTACCTTGGTACAACAAGCGAGATCAGCCATAACAAGAAAAGACAGCGAATCAACTATAGAGTGTAAATTCTACGTACTATGAGCATGCTGAAAATGATGATGTGTCGATAGCACCGAGAGACTTTTAATAGACTGATTACACATTACCGCATGCGGCAACCCACGAGCAGCTTATGGAGCCGCGACGCCCTCTTCCGCCCTCACACTATCCATCCTGCTGAACGATAGAATCCTCTCATGTTCGGTAGCTTCCTGCTCTTTGAATTTGGATATCAGATCCATTGTGCTCCGCCTAACACTGACCAAGCTGCGTTCCTCGGAAGCGCTGTCATTATGATCTTGGTAAACGAAACTCTTTACGCAACTTGTGTTGCTCTTCTGACTTTCCCTACGTTCGTGTTTTGGTATGCGAATGGGCATAGCTCGTGAGTGTATGGATGCGCGCCTGCTGTCGAATGAGAATCGTTTTGGGTGACTAAAGTCCTCAAGCAATCGGTTGGTATCCATACTCAAACGTGGGTAAACATCGACGCAGTTCTCATAATAGGCCGACCAGACGTGTGCACGATCGCTTGCATGCCCCACTCCAGCAGCGCCATCGCGGAATGACACTTCGTTGAGATTGGGAGCTGAAGAGTTGCGACGCGGACGGAGGGTCGCCATGGAGTCATCTGCCCGCAATTTGCTCTTGGATTGAGTGATTCTCATTGAAAAACCATTGTTCAGCGGCTGTTCCTCATGTTTCAAAGTCTGCACGTCTGCATGAACTTTGTGAACCTCGCCCGCCCACACATGGGGCAGCAGCTCGAGCTCAGGGTGCTCTAGGACGCCACCTGACGCGATGGAGCTTCGATGTCCTCGACCATGCCTCTGGAATTCTGTACTCTGGCTTCTGAACATCTTGGCATAGTTCTTCATGAGAGTTCTGCCGAAGGTCATGGAGTTGCTCTTTGCTATGCGACCACTGCCAATCTTCTTCTGTTTCTTCTTCTTCTTCTTCTCGCCTGGTAGCAGCGGAGTGGACGGTCTTCGTTCTGTTGGATCAATCAAATCTTCGTCATCTGTTGCCGAGGCAAACTTGATTGCTGCCTCAAGTGCAAAGTCGCGAGGTTGAACGTTGTCGTTCTTGCCTGCGGAAGCGGTGCGGTCATGGCGCGTGTGCGATGGGTATCGGCCCCAAGCCCCCACAATGTCGGTCCTGTCGCCCTGTCGTTCAAACGCGGTGGCCACCTCCTGTCCAACGCTAACGTCATCGCGCCCTAACAAAGCGCTGCGCCGAGAGGCTAAGGTGTAAAGTCCCTCAGATGGCTCTTCACCAGTTGTTTGGAGAGTTGGGCAAAGTGTCGATACCCGCGTGCTGGAGCCGTCGTCAGCTCGACTGGTTGGATCTAGACCTTCAATGCTAGCTCTTCTAACAGAAACGCTCCCACTGCGTTCGCGGAAAGGACTTGCGTGAACGGCAAGGTCTTTGTTTTGTGGAAGGAAGAGTGATGCTTTCTCTTCTTGATGAGCTTGCAAAGCGCGATCCCACACATGATTAGCACCTTTGTTCCTTCCCATCGCATTCTGTTCAGTCTGAAAGCTTGTCAATGACCGAGAATGGCCACGTTCACGATCGGCAGGGATTGCTAGTATATCAGATGGACCATCCATAGCGGCGACTGAAGCTTCGGGATGTAGGTTTGCCTCACTCTGGCTCCGCCCACTAAGGCGCTTTGGATTCAAGAGTTTTATGATGGATACCGATTGTGATGTCTTCTTCTTCGGCGGAGATAGACTGAACTCTTCCCGAAATTTAGAGGTTTTAGTGTCAGCAACACTGTTCTTGCGTGCTAAAGGAACGGGTACGGCAAGTAGGGAGGATTCAATCGAATGCCCGATCACCGTTGTCAGACCAGAGAGTCCATGCCGTTTAGCTGGCTTCGGCGTTTCCTCGTTGTCTGTAGGAAAGGAAGCAGAGCGTCGAGGCCGGCGTAGATCAGACGATGAGATATTGAAAACTTGATTCTCAGTGCCCGTATGCGACAGAGTTACCATCGAACCACCAAAGCTGTCAGGTGGGCTCTGTGGTCGACTCGAATATATGGATGACGCAACATCAGGACGCGCATCGACATCTTGCGGCAAAACATTGCCCCACTTGCTCGGGATCTTTGTACTTGCAAAGCCAGAGCTAGATGTCTGTCGGTGATGGCGAGCAAGTTGTCGATTTTGTACAGAGACTCGGCTTTGGTCTGAGACAGTACGTTCACGATACATAGGGGGCGGGACTGGGAGATCTGGCGCATCGGCAAGTTGATCCCAGGAAAGAAGAGAGCCTGAGCGTAAATGGTGCGAGATGCGCATGCTATGAAGATGGACAGAGTGACGCGGGTTATTATCCCCGTCGTCTTCCCCTTCATTTCTCGTGCCTTTCCTGGAAGGCGAGTTTCCACGAGAACAACCTCTAACAGATGTAGACGGCCTAGGACTTGCGATAGACGTGGGCTGCTGAACACGGATCTCCACTATACGAGCCGCAGGTAATGCAAGTGACACGTTCGTTCGGGGCGACGATGCTGAGGCGTCACTATTTTGATTTTGGTGATGGTCATGAGCATGTTTTTGAATGTCCTTCTTGCCCAACAGGGTGGGGAATGCTACAGTATTAATATGCTGTGGAGGTATAGGAAACTGCGAAAGACGAAGACTCTTATGCATCACCTCAGACCACGGCATACCAAATGAGTCGTGGTTGGTAAGACTCGGTAACCGCAACGGCGAGATCGGGGACGGTTTCGGTAAACCCATGGACGTAGCCGAATGCGACCGCCTCACTTTGCGATTCCGCTCACCAGATGTACTCGACCGTAGATCGGGCGTACTGAACACCTGAGTGACACGGTTCGAGACGGAAGCGGCTTGGAGTTTATCAACGCTGTAAGGGTAGAGGTCGCGCTTGAGCTCGGCACTGATGCGGCCCTTTGTAGAGGACTCAGGCGTGCTTTTGCTACAATCAGTCAGCATGGTGTGAGAATGACAATCGAATCTACTTGCCTTCCTGTAGTAGTTGTCCAGTCGACACTGCGGATGCTTGGCCTCTTGCTTAGCGGTTTCTTGCCGATGTTCTTTGCAATGTCGTCCAAGACTTTAGCGTCTGAATCATATCCACCCTCATCGGGCTTCTTGTCACTTAGTAGGTCCTTGCGTAGGTCATGCTTTGTGATCCGAAGCTGCTGATTTGAGTCCTTCAGCTGCTTCACTACGGTGTCGGGAATCGACGTGATGCTATTCTGTTTTGGCTGGGTGTGCGCTGATGACACACCTGAAGCCTTTTCCGGAAGCTCTTTCGAAAACTTCCGCCTGATAAGAGAGCGCATACTGGTCATCTTGTGTAGGCTTCGGATGCTATGCATTGAGGGGCGACTGAATCGCGCACGAAGAGCCCGCATCGGCATAGCTCGATCTTGGTCAGAGGCCTGCGCATTGTGAAAGATTTCTCGAAGCTCGTGGAGGTCTTCAGAACGAGCACTAGTAAAGCGTGAGCCGGGTGAGCCAGTACTTTTGGGTAGAAGTGGGCGGTTCGCTGGTGTGAGTTGGCTGAGGCGGGCATTGGGCAGCTCAGGCGATTCCGAACAATGGTCTTGCTCCGCTGTACAGCACAGCTTGGTCGCCATGATGATGAGTTAGTGGAGGAGGGTCAGCTGGGTGGCTATTCATCAAGTGTGCTGCTTTGTTGATGTTTGCGTGAGCCCACGTGGGGTGCTTGCCTGGGGCTGGAAGTCAGGAAGGAGAGGTGCACTTGTAGCCTCGTATGCTGAGGGAGGAGCGCATCATCAATGTATCACCAACTGTACGGCACTGAGAAGCTAAGAATTCAGCCCATCATCTTTTTGCCGCTGGCATCTTCGCTGTATAGACCTTGGTCCCTGATCCAAGCAGCCACGCCTTCAGTGCATAGCTCACCCACCGTGTCCCATTTGCCTGCGTTTGCTGCCTTTCTCACCCTCGTCGAGCTTATACCCACGCCTTCCTCGGCTTGTACCATGTCAATGCTGTTGCCCCACGCAGCCTCAAAGCCAGCTTGCTCTTGATTACCGTCCTTCAGGTTCTGCAAGTATCTTGTCTGCTCCTCAGTTGTACCAAACTCGTTGGACGATTCATCGCTCGGGTCTGTTGGTCGCTGAGTCACGCGCAGCTTGTGGCCAGCGTCGAAGAAGGGTTTTAGTGCCGACAGCGGTGGGTCATACTTGGGGTAGTACTTGGGGTTGCAGAAGCGGATCAAGGTGTCGTAGCCTACGAGGTGGATGTGAATGGGTTGCGACGCGTAGAATGGGGGTGTGGTCTTGGCTATCGCAGCCGACTTGTCACTGTAATACGGTTCTTTGGTCAGCCCGATGTCTATCGACATGTCGGAGACGTCATGCTTCAAAGAAGGCGACGCGCTCTTTAGGCTTCGCGACAGGTCCTCGGCAAACGCCGTCATAAGGGCGATGCGCTGCACGAAGCTCGCCGGGCTTGGTGCCTTGTCTGCATTGTGTGTACTGAACAGCAGCAGCAGCCGATAAGGACTACTCTCCAGGGGCGCGGATTGCTTGAGAGCTGAAGTCGCGAGCGTGAGGTGGGCAATTGACGGCGGGTTGAAGGACGAGTCAAGGATGTAGAGCGTCTTCGGCTGCGTCGGCGTGTCGTTCACAGTCCGCACGACACGGAATTTGGCGGGAGACGAGGTGAAGGATTGCAATGCAGACTCGAGGTCAGGCAGTATTCCTCTCAATGAAGCTATGCGCGATGCCATATCAGCCATTGTGTCGCTTGTCGCGAAGGTCCAGCCAGGACCGCCTCGGGAGCTCAAAGTGCGGGAGCACTTCTCGCATTCGGCACGTCATTCTTCCTATCCCTGCCCTCTCACGCTAACACCAACCCCAGGCTCAACTACGCAACGCCCACCCATCCCCAGCTGCGCCATGTGTGCGACGTCTCCCTCACATCTTACATCCAGATCATGAGAATGTTCAATAGTTTTGGTCGGAGAATATACAAACAAGGCAAAGACATAAAGGACAATCACAACGAGAGGCCTCCTATACTGCCTTCCTGTCAGTCAAGTCTCAATGCGCAGCTGGAATGTGTATGGAAGGACCTGAACCGACAAACACCCAGACACTCAGATTCCTACATCAGATGCGCTCCCTAACATCCGGCACATGCTTCCCCAGCTCGTCCACAATCTCATTCCATACTCGCCTCGCAACCTTTTCATTCTCCTCTCCCACAATGCTCTGCGTGTCAAGCTCAATCACATCGCTCGCCCAGAACCTCCCATGTAACTCTTCATTCTGTGCCGCGCCACTGACATATACATTGGCACCCTGATCTGCCGTCCGAAACAACAACGCATGCGCCACCGCCGTCACAATCTTGACCCCCGGAAACTGGACATGTCGCGAGATATCCGAAACAACCATACCCGGACACACACACGTGATGATAACCTCGCTTGACGGTATTTCCTTCGCTAACTGGATAGCTGCATATCGTTGAAGAAGTTTAGAAGACGCGTACTGTTTCATCGCGCCCTTGTACAGCTCCGGCTTATTGAGTTCAGCCAGAATGTTGCTAGGCTCTTGCGTTCGTAGCCCGACGGGTATCTCCACAGTCTTATGCGCGCCCGAGTTCACAAACTGCAATATGGGTATCTTTCCTGTGGACGTCTTGCTCTTTTTCAACTTTGGCAGGAGAAGAATACCGAGCAACGTCGTAGACAACGTGTTGACCTGCAAGTCCTCTTCCCATCCATATCCCGAGGTTCCGTAGCTCGTATTGAATATCCCAGCATTCAGAATTGCAACATCCAAATGTTCCACTTCCTTGTCCATCCGTTGAGTGAATTGGGTGATGCTGTCGTAAGAGTTCATGTCGAGTGTCCAGACCTCAAATTCACTTGCTTCGCCGACTTCTGCAAGAAGTCGCGTCTTGACTGCCTCGCCTTTGGTCTCGTCTCGTGCTGTGATGATAATCTTTGAAGCGCCTAGTTTTGCAAACTTGACTGCTGCTGCGTAGCCTAACCCAGAGGTAGCGCCGGTAATCAGGATGGTGCGGCCTGTGAAGGATTCTGTGGACTCGGCGGGGAGAGTCCCCCATTTGTTTCTTATTATCTCCATAATCTGCGACATGGTGTTGGTTGTCAAGAACACAGCGTTATTACTGTTTTTGTTTAAAATGGCTGCAGTGTGTCGTGCACTGCGGAGAAGAGACGGTAACGGCGATCTGGTGTGTTTAAGTTGCACAGATTCCGACAAAGGGCCGAAGACGGGTAATTCATGAAACTTTGTTGTCAAGCGCTTTGGGACGATCCGGAGGCTAGCGGGTAGTCCATTACGCATATATACCAAGATGTTGTAATTCCGTGACCAGATACTCGTAAGATTGTAAATGGTTTAGATGCGCTATCAATCCCACTTCTGTATTCCTGATACGGATAAGATAGGCTGAGAGTAAATATAGGCTATGGATGCTGTAATGCAAAAGTGTCGTATGAGAGCATTATACTAGTACACGAGATATGGTCATTAAACATTAAACTCTGCGAAAAGCGAGTTAATTACAAAACTTTTAATTTCCATACCACCCATCAAGACGGCACATACCCGTAGGCAGAATATCGTCTTCGATAACGGAAGTGGTGAGCGGCGCCCAACAATCCATCTCGTCAGTCCAGCCTTGCAACGAGGTGTCGAGATAATCCTTGGGTGGGACAGGCGGTGGTGCGGATGTTCGAGGGGATGAAGAAGACTTCACCAGCTTGCTGTATGCCAAGCGTACCAGTGCCGCTGCGTCTTGCTCCGGCGTGAAGTACTCGAGATAATCTTGGAGTTGAGGGATCGGGTTGCTTTCAGGATAGCCCTCAACGCGTCCAGTCGAGTGCTGGTTCCAAGCATAATTCGTGAGGCCGGGTTGCGTACGAAGCAGCCGCACCCACTGGTGATATATGATTGGTCGGTGAAGCAGAGAGTATATGACCTTGCTGTGGTACCAATTCACGTTTGTCAGTCCTTCCTTCTCCATGTGACGCGCGACATGATCGCATCTCTCTGTCCAATCGGTACTAAAATGACAGCAGAAGCCACATCCCCAGCCAGTCCTGGTCATGCGCCTTCGTTTCGCAGAAATTGCGTGAGCCTTCTTGCTGCGTGTTGTGGTGTCGGCGCACGAGGTGCATCGATGGGATTCCTTATGGTGTTTCGTAAAGTCCTTTTCCAAGAAATAGATAGCAGGGCATAGGTCGCACTTGAACATCTCAGGACGCTCTTGGTAGGTCTCCTCATGACGCTTCCAATCCGCTTTCTCGACAAAAGGTCTTTCGCAACTGGTGCAGAAGTATTTGTGCTTTTTGCTGCATGTGCGGGATTGCTTGGTCGCTGAGACGCATGTTTTGAAATAGTCCCTCTCTGGCGCAGCAGGTCTCTTGCTTTCCTTTCCCTTGACAGGCCGTGAACGGGGCTTTTCGAGCGCACTCACGACTTGCGAAGCCACTTGAATAGGCGCATGACACAATAGATGCTCGGCCATCAGAAAGTGTTGGTGTCTCGACATGCTGGAGGTGTGCGAGTATCCGGATACAGACGAAGACATCGAGTCTCTTAGTGGTGTGTGGGAAAAGGTGCTGTTATTTGACGACCGATAGCTGGAAGGTACTGATGAAAAGCTTGAAGCTGAGAGGTGTTGCGATGATCCGGATCGTTGGCGCATAGCATTCGTGGTTGGCCATTGTCGGGAATCCTGTTCGAAGTTCTCTGTGATCATGATCAGTTTGAGTTTCTATAAAGGAAACGATTATGGTCTTACACACCGACAGGACTTTGCTCGTAATCGATGGGACTGTTGAGCTGATTCTGCGAGTACCCATACATTGGATGTGCACCATTCGACGGTTCATAACAAAAGTCTTCGAATGTATCGTAGTTGTAATGCGAACCAGCGCTGGAATGTTCGTAACCGCTCATGGTGCAAAGGGTAAGATATGTAAAAGAGAATAAAAATATGGAGTGCGCGCAGCGCTGAACACTGGAAGAAGCTCGTCGTAATCAACACGCTATCGGTTTCCCCATGGTTGGACATTTAAACGCAGCCATGTTCTCAGCCTCAGGCATGGCTATCGACGAAGAGGTTAGCGTGGTGGGGGAGGCGCGGTTCACCAGCTGAAACGCGGCGAACGCTGATGGCAGCCGTTTCATGGCCTGTCCGTGTTTCGAAACAATAGGCAACCAGAATAACGGAACGCCGTCATTGGATACAGGTGACGCATCATGCCCATACGTGCAGATTTGTATCCCCGACGCTGTTGACCGGTTGCAATGAGGAGATACGATGCGAGGGCGAGTTGTTGATGGGGAAGGCTGAAACCGCGGTAGGCGAATAGGCGGTGGTTTGCCAAGGATCAGGACGAAGATAGCGAAAATGTCCGACGGTATAAATAAGTCGTTGCCGCATACCATGCTGACGTGCATGTATGCGCATTTTTTCAGAGTTCATCCAGAAACTGACATCGCCGTCGACGTGAAGCTTACATGCGTTCACCCAATGCTGAAACCTCCACGCAGCATCTTGCCATCTTGACCGACTTTTAAGGATACTCCGATATATGCCGACCCAGCCACACCAACAGGTGTGTTACTGCAGAGGGGTTCTCCGCAGAGTAAGCCCAAAAAACGTTCGATATTGCTGTTGTCACAGCCTAACAGTCGTTGCCCTTCAAAAGGACCCCCTAACAGGCGCTTGACCACGGACGCCAGATGTTTGCCTCAATCAAGCGCTCGTCGAGTTCTTCATTAGTCAAGTACGCCCTGTTAGGGGGCCCTATGAAGGGACTTTCAAGACCACCCCAAGGGTCGAATGAGCGCACGCTCACTGGGGCGGAAGTCATTTGCGATGACTGGGAGCTTTCGCCCCCGGGAGAGGGAGGAGGATCAAACCTCGGCTCCTTCTTGAACCTCTTCCTGAGGCGGTCCTTGGGGGCTTTCCACAATTTCTCCTTCATCCACTTCTTGGTTTTGGGCCAATCGAAGGCCATCGTGTAGTAGTGATGATAGTATGATGATGTGTAGAATGAGATGTGATGTTAAATGGTGAGAGTTTGCCAATCGACGTTGAAATACTCATTTTACCACTAGCTTCTCTCACCCTTTCCAACACAAGGTGACCGTAGATGCCATGTGGGCTTCAGACGTAGTAATTGGCAAACACACTGGTCTGAAGTGCCTCGTTGTTGGTGCTGCTTTGGTAATTTGGCGCTAGTGCGGCGAAGGGGGCAGAAGACAATGCTCCGACATACTACCACCACAATCTTGTACACAATGTTTACACAACCCACCCTGCTGATTCTCAAGATGATCTGCAGAAACTGACAGAAGACTTCCAATCTCATGAGGTCGGCTAGGGGTATCATACTGCCACCCTCCGGCGCCACTGAAGCTCGCGAGAGCCGTCGCAGCAACTCCACTCGGAGCGCTCTGCAGCCAGGCAAAGCATCAGCTACCTCCTGGGACCCACGAAACCCCGAGCTCTTCATGGCTCGAGCCCCATCTTGTCTGCTCTTGAAGGCCCCGGCAGAAAAGGGCTCAAGAACCGCTCAAGAGCTGCTTCTGCCGCTACGAAAGGCGACAGCTATGATCCATGGTAAGGCGCTGAGCGGCCTGGGAAGAAGTTCACCTCACACAGATTGACCACTCGCAGAGACAAGCTCGCTATCGACTCGCTCTGCAGCTCTGGAATTACCCCGCGGCGGAGAACCAGATGCCTACAATCATCGAATCCTCGTGTCGAATCCCCGAGTCGCGAACCCCGCAGTCCCGGTAATGATAACAAGTCCTCAAGGGCTACGTGGCAAAGCGTTTTGTACGTACCGTCACGCCTGTAAAGCCTTCTAGTTTCACCAGACCGCGCCAACGATAGGGCTGCAGGGCTGCCTCCAGAAGCGGACAACCCTTGCAAAAAGAACAAAGGATGGGCACGGATAAAGAGCGACGTTACTGCTCTGGCCTTAACAACGAAGCACAACCTGCTGCGAAGAACATGATATACCTCCGTCTCTGAGGCGCATGCAGCCACTTGCTCAGAGGCCAAATCGCGCCCTGCGGTAGTGACACTACAAACCGGATATTTTGATCGAATCATGCGCGCGGGAGACACGATTGCCACGAGTAAGATCATCCAGGCGCGGCTTGCCTGGAGAAGGACAAGATGACGTGGCGATACAAAAAGACAACTCACCTATCGAAGGCGACGCACCGCAGTGCCAGACAGCTTCCAGAAGTCGTTGCGAATCCCACGACAGGTCGCGCTGCAAACATCAAGGCAAGGCTTCGAATAATGAAAAGGCTCTGCCACAGGCAATGTCCGAAACACCATGTACCCGCACAAAGCCCCTGCAATGGCAGGCTGCGACGTCGGACAGCAGCGTCCACAGGCAACGGCGCGGCCATAGGTCAGGATCACAATACTACCGTCCAGCTCAACATGCAAACGTGGATGAAGGTGCAAAGAACATTTACCGTTGGAAACTCGATGTCGTCGAATCCATGGTCGCCAGGCGAAGATGCGCTTGCTCAACGCAAGTATGAAAGAAAGTAGGGAATGGAGTTCATATCTTGTCTTGCTTATAGATGTAACTTTTCTCGAGAGCTGGGAGGAGCCTGCTGAAATGACCATGGTTGTCGATGCAAAAGTTGGGTCCACATCTTCCGGTCATCTGGACTCTGGACAGACAACGGATGAGCAGACCTGCACTGAAGCTTTCAGATGGCAAGCTTCAACGCTTGAGAAGACTGGGAACGGGAAGGAGCGCCTTGAGCCGCCTCGCTGCAATCGCAAGCTGGTCATTCTGGGTTTGATCGATGATCTGCCGAAACATGTTTGAGTTCCAGACATGCTGCAGCTTCATACCAACCAGCGCAGTCCGGAGAGCCGTTCGAGCGTTGTCTGAAAGGTCGGACCCCTCAAATTCCAAGCTCTTGATTGCACCATGATGTACTTCCATCTGGAGGCCGATGTCGTCCTTGGGGTCGAGCATAAGATTAAAGCGTGGAGTCTGAGACCACATCCACTCGTCCGTCTTGAAAGGTTAGCGACAATGAGAAAAGGGTGAGCAGTATGAAAGTACCTGTAGCTCGTCATATCCCTTCCGGATATCGGGGATGTTTAGGTGCTCTTCGCCAACAGTTTCCACTATGCTTGGATTTCCGAGTTCGGCATACATTGAGGCAAACTCGTCTTGCAGACGTCGCTTGAATGGTTCTACCTCAAGACCGATGTTGGAAACGGGTGAGCTAACGCTTTCGACACCCTGAGCTTGTATGAACTTCTTGGCCGGAGATCGCAAGTAGTCTGATATGATGTGCAGATTCGGCGAGCTCAACAACGTCGTCGCGTGGTGTAAGGCGCGCTGGCGTGTGAGCTTGTATGCTGAGCCAGAAACCTTGAGGGGTCTTGGTCCACCCTGATCGGTGGTATAGGGTGTGCGATGCGTGTCCTGAGGGTCGGCCGTGTGTTTCTCATGCCCTTGGTCGAGAACAATGTCGTGTCGCTCGTTAACTCTGGCGCGGTCGATACCCAGCCTCCGCAAAGCGCGGACTACCATCTCCGCATGCTTGTCGCGCGTGAAGTCGCTGCGGGGACATGTAATGCTCCAATTGAGGTTGCCCTCGTCATGGAAGACGGTGCCTCCACCTGAGCGGCGGCGTACAAGGTCGACAGTACCGATGGCTGGTGGCTCGCTGTCTTTGACGTCGTGTTCCCCGCGTGCAGCACTGAGGATTCCCAGATTGACCTCAGTCCAAGGGTTCTGGTTACGCCCAATAACGACACACGGCCTGTTCACGTACAGAAATAGAACCGTGCTGTCGGCAGGACTCTTGCGGAGAATGTGGTCTTCGATAGAGAGGTTGAGCGAGGGGTCGTCGCTGCGAGATATGTAGCTCTGCAGTTTGTTGGCGGGGTCGGCGAGCTTGTCGGTGAAGGACGAGTAACTCCCGGCGCTGAGTGTGCGTCGTAGCTGAGGAAGGAGCGAATGGATTGAGGAAGTCGCTGACCTGGCTGTCCAAAACCCAAGGAAGCTGCGACGAGCTGCAGGCCGACCAAGAATCGGGCATGCACATCGTGAGAAGACGGCTTGGGAGCTCGACATAGTCAGACCCCTCGATGGCGCCATGACGGTCGGGCCCAGGTTGGTGTTGTGGATATGGCGTGGGTGAGGCGTTGAAGCCGCCAAAGGCCCCACGGCATCCCCGAACTAGCAAGCACCGCCGACCGGCCCCATTCTTTCCAACGTCAAACCTCCCACACACCGACGACATTCTCTGCCATCACCCCTTCCAGGATGCTCAGAAGGCCTATCTATTCTGTTCCCATCGCCTGCATCACCAGTTCCGAGGTCGGCAGTGCATCGTATCTGGGTTATGTCTGCCCCTGAAACCCCGCCTTGGGGCTGGACGTGGAAGCCACTAATTATGACCACATTTCTTTTGCACCCACGATGGCGTAGCATTTGCGGACCTTTGCAGACCTTTGCATACGTCAGATGCTTACTTGAGGCCTTTGTGAAGCGTCTGGTACCTGCTGTACGCCTCATGGGTTCATACTGCTGCTTTGACACCGATTGCAAATGTGCATGTCTTTCCTTGCCGCCGGAGGTCCTTGACTGGTGTAATGCTTTCTTTATCATGTCATCACTCAATCTTCCCATTGTCTTCGTCAAATTCCATAGCCTTCTCGTGCAAGGATTTCATATATTCCGTGGTTATATCCCACTACGGTCATGCTCGCGATCGGTCCACCTCCACCCGTTATCTCACCTTTACCGCTGAGATTCCCACCACCATCAAAGCAGCCTTGACAGAACGACCTTCAACATCAAGACAGTATGATTCCTTCGAACAAGAGAACCATCGCCCAAAGTCCTAAGGATCAAGATCTATTCGTTGTGGAGCAACGAACTCAAGACTTCCTCATCAAGTCATCCAGATCTGTTGGCGCAGCGGTCGATCCCGCTCTCACTCTAAGAAGAACATGGCTAACGCGTTCGAGACAGTCTCATTATCACTGATTGTTTTCTTTGCGGCCGCTATAGGCTTATGTCAGGCTTTGGCCAATTTCTCGCGTTCTAGCGGGCTTCGGCCATCTTCTTGGTTTAACGTCACGGTTTGTAGAAGGGACGGATGGCTATCTGGTAAGTACACTCTCCCTTCCTGATGACCGTTGTAGCTAGCAGATCTGGATCGAATGACCCCCTTTTTTTTTTGCTAACGTGTTATATAGGATGCAGTACATCTCTATGCCTTAGTATGTGATGTGCACAATAATCTCCGCATCTACATACCTCATACTCCCTTCTGGTTTTCACATTCTTCTGTCCAATATCGTTGCCTTAGTCCCAGATGCGCCATGTCAGATCATAGAGTTGATGTTGCTGCGGGATGTCTCTACACATTCGCAAATTAGCGAGCTACAATGCTGTTGCTAAGCCACAGAAAGTCGCAAACGCGTCAAACGAACTACAACAGTCTCCTTTCACACGCAACAGATACCACAGTCACCTCCAAACTCTCCAACTACTCAATCTCATCAGGGAGAGATTCCAAACCTACCTTCGCTATATAAGCGCTTCCCCGAACCCAGCATCTCATCAAGTTCATTACAATAGCGTGGTGGTCCATCCCACCCTTTCACACCGCCCCATTGGTTTGTTCGATCCCCGCTGACATCAATTCCCAGCGCTCCGACCGGCCTAACCTCACCGGGTTCTAGTGATGGGACACCCAGTGCCTATGGGATTAGGGTACAGTCAGCACGTTCGCTAACCACGCAGCAGAGCTGTCACAGGGGAGCCATAACGACGTAAGTACAAAATTCCCAGACACAATACAACACTACACTACGCTATTCGAGACGAACATTTTTTTTTCGCTATCATCATGCAGTTGTTGTCTCAAAAATGGCACTAGAGGGGAATGAACACCGCGCTCTCTACAGACAATCAGAACATCTTCTAGTCGTGTCTTTCTTCTTCTAGCTGTAGTACAAATTCGGTGATGCTGGAAGACATGTTCGGTAGAAAAGATATGTGCTTCAGCCGACTCGCTCGTTTTGCCCTTATTTTGGCGCATCACAATCCCACCATGTACTCACTCCCCACCACCACGATCCTTCTTGACCAAAACACCGCTCGAACCCCACCGAACCCACTACAACATTCGCACAACAAGTTCCCTCGCCTTACGTCAATACTTACGAGTCCTTACGTCCACTTCCTTGCAAAGCGCACAATCGTCCATCTCTGGTGCTACTTCGCTGCATCCCTTCACAAACCCGTTCCAGCCGCAAACATGTCTCCAGACCAGCGGCTATGGACGCTCCCTATATCGCCGAAAAGTACAGTAGCCCAGAGGATTTCCAAATCATGAGGCATTGTATGTTTCATCCTCGTGGTCATGTGTGGCATCGTGGTGCTGAGGAGAACGAGCAAGCCGGGAAGTCAGACAACTTCAGTGAACAGTACCAGAATATTGTCAGCCAAACAATTTTCGCAAAGCAATGCCAGAACACCAGCGCGTCATTCGATTTGGAGTAGAGTGTTGGGCACATGAAAAGAGCAGTCCGGGGCGATACATAGCGCGACAACCTTCGACACTCTTCACACAATACCATGGATGGACGCACCGCGCTCCTGAGACTTTAGTAGCCATCACCCCCTATATAACACTCTCGCTTGGATCAAAGACCACGAACGCACTACATGCCGTGAGATAACTGACAAGACGCACCAGAGACCGAATCGCCGAGGCCGTTAGCGTAACGACAAGAGACTTTCACAGTTACTTTGCAGCATCAGACCCAATCGGACTATCGCGAAGACGACAGCGAGGTCAAACGACGAGGATAACGATAACGAACGACAGCATCGGAAGCAAAAATGAGAAGGAGGAGGGTGCATTGGTGTACCCGGTCAGTGAACACGCTTCTCGATGACAGATATCTTGGCAAATGCATATGGTCTTTCACGCATCGATGGAAGCCGCGAGTCTGGGGCAACTTATGTCAACAGGCTCCGGATGTCCTCACAATACGAGCAGGGTTCCAAACAGCCTCATAAGAAATAACTTTTCGATAGCAGGAAGGACGACTAGAGCCACCTGGTCATACCGTAACGTGTGACGAGAATTGGAAGAAAGGTCCCGTGGGCATTTGAAGTGTACGCAGGAGGCACGAGCAAGATCGAAGATCTAAAGATCAGTCAATGCAGGCGGAACAACTGCAAGCGCAGTCAAAAGGATTCTAATTGAATTTGACCGCTTCTCCTTATTCTAGAGCATCAAGATACGAAGAAATCCGTATTCCACGCAACTCTAGTCAGACAGAGTACCCTCTAACGCGTTGAGGGTTACGGTGCATATCCGACGCTGCAAGCCTCGTCTGCATGTACACTTCTCTGGACAGTAGGACCAATTTTGAAAGCACGATTACCAGCCCTCCAACTCCTCTCCCTTCGTCTCCAAACTTGGCGGCTGAACAGGCATACCCTTCTTTAACGCACCAACAAGCGGATCTTTACTCATCAGGTCCTGTATCTTGTCCTCAGTACTAACATCAGCTTTAACCCGCTTGTATGCCATCCTGCTTGGCTTATCAACCACATTCAAGAATTTCTCCCTCCGCGCGTCAGACCACGCAGTCAACAGCTTCTCGTCATCAGAAGCCTGGCCCATGAGAACGCGGATGAGCACTTCTGAAAGCGAAGATGCGTCTGCCATCCCAGAAGCGAGACCAAGTCCTGCGTACGGATTCGTCAAGTGCGCCGCGTCGCCTACCAGACAGACGCGGGCGTCGTGGTGGTACAGCGAGCGTACGAGGCGTTGTTGGGCTTTGTATGGTGCTACCCGGACGACCTCATATTCTATGTCGCCATTCTCATTGCGTCCGTCGTTCGGCATCATGACGCGCAGTTTATCGTCCAGGGTCCGCTTGATCTCTTCTTCGGAAACGCCAATGGGTACGCCGTAACTTACACGCCACAGCGCTGGCTTACCATCTGCTGCATGATTTATACGGCCGATGAGACCGTAGTTTAGCGGATCCATGATGAAGTTTGCGTCGTAGAAGCCGTGGGCGTGGAAGTCGAAATAGAGATCTGTAGCTACGAGCTGGGCGTCGAGTGTCTCGCCTTCCAGACTGAGACCAAGGTCTTTCCGAATGATGGAGTGGGCGCCTGACGCGTCGATCAAATAGGCTGCCTCGATGGACTCGTCGCCTAATTGCATTGAAGAGGCTTCGGGCGTGATCTGGATGCTGACGCTGCTTGGTGTCGGCTTGAACGAAGTGACGCTGGTTCCAATTCGCACTTCTGCTTTCCCTTCCAGAGCAGCTAGGCGCTTCATGAGAACTTGCTGGAACTTTCCTTGTGGTAGTAGCAGTTGACCCTTTCCTTTCATCCCTTCGCCGGAGTTGTCAAAGGTCTTTCCTGCGATTACTTTGCTGCCGGTCTGGACGCTTGTTCGGAAACACAGACCTGAGCTCAAACTTCCTGTCTTGACCAGCTCGGGTAGTAGACCTTGAACCTTGGACAAGATAGGGTATGTGGGTGGTTGATGGGCCATTGCGCGAGTCGACGTGGGGTCCGGCTGCTGCGGTTCGATAATAATCACTTTGTTGGGGATATCAGATTGAGCGAGCAGGAGGGCTAGAAAAAGGCCAACACAGCCGCCTCCTGCTATCACAATTGGAAGTGGTTTCGCATTGGTGCCGTTTGTATGGGAGAAGCCGTAGGAGAAGTCGGTTGAGCCGTTTGTACCGTTTGTACCATTTATACTGGAGTTGTCGAACGTATGATTGCTCGTTGCGACATTCGTGGTCGCCATTTTCGTTGTAGACAGTTCCGGATTTCTGATCTAGGTTGGACTATCTATCGGTAAGTGGTTAGAGTGGAAGACGATTGGGTGATGTTGTTGGCGTATAAGATTTAGCTTCAAGATAGATTTAATTCCGTACTCGTTCCATGAGGATCAATCTTCGTTATGCGCACATCTTTGTACGGCTTTGGTCGGCTATGCGACGATGTTCCCGTTGACATGGTGCTGTCATTATGGTACCTGCCGCAGCGGCCCCGATGTGGGGAACCGGCGGCTTCAGCCTCAGGGTCCATTCAACGTCGAAGCTTGTTTTGGTAACCTCTACCGAAACATCAACGTCATCGTAACAGCATAGAGTGCAACACAGATCTTGTTTGACGTTCATTCTAGCTACCTATGAGGTCCTTTGGCATATCTGGCCGTTCAGCTGGTCATGTATCATGCTCAACGAGTGACCGCTTCTACCATCAGTATCTTGTTTGCCAAAAGCTCTCTCTGCCCTGGTATGCACCCAAAGACCCTTCCAGAGGCTAGTGGTAAGGCGTTTGGTGGTTATCAGGCGACTCATATATGCCTGGTTTTGAACAATCAATCTTCCCATGGGTAAAGCTTCTGAATTGCTTCCTTGTCTCCATCGGAGATCGCTAAAGGATACTCGATGATCTCTGCGTTGGAATGATCTGGCGCATGCCCGTTACTGGGTGGTCCGTTCTTCCAGCGCACGAGAGGTAGGTTGGCGAGCCCGTGCATATCATCTGCGGCGTTCGCCCAAGAAGGGTACATCATTATGGAGTTGTGGTCCATTGATTTTCCATAAATAGGGTTGTCCTCTACCGCGTCCAGTGCATATTCAGCCGCTTGCCAGAAGCTGAGCTCCTTCTTACTGGTACCTAGGACTTGTGATTCACAAACCTGTTTGATGGTAAATCCCCATTCGGGGTGCGCCGCAATTGTATCTCTTGCTTCGGTATAACCCTCCAGCTTAGAGCAGTGGAAGTAGAGATCACGATCCCGGTCAATTCGTTGATGCTCATGCAGCAAGCCGAGGACATGACCTAACTCGTGAGCAATTTCGAGAACCCAACCCTCAAACCTAGATCTCCCAGTAGCAATTTTCAAGTAGTTTCGATCTGGAACGATACTTCCAGCGTCGTAGCCGACGGTGGAATAACTAGCTCCGGACTTGTTCCATTCTATCACGAGTGTACCCTCGGGGACCTCTGAGTTCCATCCCCACGGATCCGGAAAGCCTTTGTAACAGCGGGGATGAGAGTTGGTGTTCTTGGAGTAATAGTGGCGGAAGCCGTCGAAATGATGACCATTTGTCGAACCAGGTCCTAACTTGTCGCGCCACATTTTATTCGCGCTGGCGACTGCGGCAAACGAAATCAGCACTTGTAAGTCACTTGATACGAGTTGTAGGTAATTGAACTTACCTACGTCCTTGAGTGCCGAGTACGACGCATGGGAGTCGAAGCAGTAGTCGATGTAAGTCACCTTGCCTGATGCACTATTCTTGGGCCAAGCGGTGATGAGTGGTTTCTTCGCGCCAATCATGCTACTCCAGCCGTTGCCTCCCTTGGTTTGCAAGTCGGCGATATACTCTTCGACTAGCGAACTATTGGTGAGGCGAGGGTTGTTGAAAGGGAACATGCACGCCGAGGACAGTATCGCAAACAGCCCACCAAGGAGGAGTGTGAATGACTTCATGTTGATGGTGTTGCAAATTAGACGTACAAAAGAATGGTGAGTGTGGAAATGTAGAGGTGAGCAGAAGGCGAGTATGAAGTGATAGACAGCATCAACACGCGCTTGGCGCAAGTTCGTTCACAGGTGAAAGAATGGTTGCCTGGATACAGGTCAGAATATATGAGCAAACACTCTCAAGGCAAAGCACATTCTTGATAACTCGAATCCATGGCCGCAGAGCACCTAAGGTGCTTGTAAGTGGGAAATGGATCGTTGAATTTTACTTCAGATGATGAATTAATCGTACTCCTGCGCGGCTTGCTCTGTTTGATTGTTTCTATGTCAAGGCAGATACATGAACGCCATGCGTCTTGTAATGTGAATTTTTCGAGTGCAACGTGCTGTTGCATTTCTCCTCACATGGCTCTGGCCGCACTGCCCGGACTTAATATGCGCAGAACATACGATACGATGGCGATTTCATCGATGAGGCCAGCGAATACGAAATTAGTGATGGACAGATGGTCGATGTCGAGATTGGTTGGATGTCGGAAAAGCATCTCTCGTATGGCCGTTGGCTAAATGCGCCAAGCAAACAAATGGATGATGGTGGGAATAGGAGACATGAAAAGGTCAGGGGAATCAAAGAGTGAAGTCTTGTTCACGTCGGTGTTTGCGCTTTCAACTCCATCCCTCAGGTGGTCTTTGGATCCCGCTTGTGGCTGACCATCCTTGGGAGGAGTCCGATTCTCAGAACTCGAAAAGCGAAGGAGGCATAAATTATCGTGATAGCCGAGTAGAACATAGGCTTGTAGTATTTCATCTCGTTGAGGGGTTCGATGGGTTGCGTGTCTACTCTTGGCCTGTTTGAGCTTGAGTGTGGTTGATGTTTCGACAGCTCGTCTACCCCGCGCACGCGTGCACGTCGTCGCCGGTGGCACGAGGTGTATAGGACGGATAACGCAACTCGTGCGGACTTTTGGTAAGAACAAGTTTGCGAGTCTTATCACTGGCGTTGGTGACAGTGGGGGAGATGAGTTGGTCTGGAGACGAGACGGTGTTAGGTGAGATGTGGCTAGTGACGTACGCCACTCGTGGACCGCGTGGGCCGAAACATAGAACGGGACACGAATTGCCAAGTCAAGACATCCACGAATGCTCACTTAGATTCCCGATTGTCTCTTTCCTCGCTGATTCACGTGTTCTTGATGCGGTAGCGACTGTATTACGCGTCTTTCAACATGTCTGCGCCGACCACGTCAGACCCCATACAACAAAGTGGTAGGTGAGCTTGCAGCTCTCGGAGGTGGCTATAAACTCCGCTTCTGGCTAACAGGCAATGGCAGGTACTTTGTCCAAGTCGCAGAAAAAGAAACACAAAAAGAAGGCGGCTGCTGCGAACAAGGCGGACGAGACAGACAGCAAAGTGAATGAGGGGGACCACTCCAAGAGCGACGCCGAGGACCACGACGAGGACGCCGAGGATGAAGCTGGACAGACTGTACGCGATGACCCGGACGCCGACGACGTAGACGACGAACAGCCTCCGCTATCGCCTACCATACAAACAAACGGCACCCCGCACCACAGCATTTCCTCGGCGATTGCTCTCGGATTGGCACGCTCACGTTCGCAACAAGGCATCTCTGCATCCCCCCCGCCGCCATCAGACACCAGCGCACGCCTGGACGCGATAACCAAGGAGCGCGACGCGCTACGGCAACAAGTCACCGAGTTGAAGAGCGCTGCAACGTCCGATGGCTCAAACCCAAATCACGAAGAAGAGATACGAAGCCTGCGGGAGGAGCTCGACGAGGCCAACGAGGGCAAAGAGCACTTTGAGACACAGTACAAAAACTTGCTGGGCAGGGTCAACACCATCAAGACTAGCCTGGGCGATCGACTGAAGGCGGACGCGGTACGTGTTGCTCGAGACATGCCTGTAATAGTGCTGACCATGTGCAGGCCAGAATCGAGGAATTCCAATCGCAAATCTCCGACCTCGAAGAACAGACGCGTGAATTACAAGAGAACAACAACAGCCTTGCAGAGGAGCTCGCAAAGTTGCGACAAGAAAAGGAGGCTCAAGCATCCGAGATCGAGACACTGCGAAGCAGGTCGACCCTCTCACAGCAAAACTGGATCAAGGAACGCGACGAACTCATTTCCCGCGAAGCATACGCACGAGAAGAGTTTGAAAATGCCAAACAAGCCATGCAAGACTGGGAAGTTCTGGCCATGAACGAACGGTCCCTGCGTGAAAACCTTGCTGAAAAGGATGCCGAGTTGCGCGACCAACTCGATTCGATGAGAGAAGAGTATGAAAGAGCTGCTAGGGACAGGGACACCAACAATCAAGCCGTAGAAGGTTTACAAAAGGCGCTACAAGAAGTCCAAAATCGTAAGTCGCCATCCAATCGTTCCATCGACTTGTGCTGACCATCCGACAGTGCGGAAAGCTGAACTCAAAAAGTCAGTCGAAACCTACGAATCGCAAATCAACGATCTTAGGAAACAAGTCCAAGCCGCCGAATCAGCATCTGCCACGGCCAAAGCCACCTTGGACCAAACCCAAAAAGATCTCGAGCGCGCCCTGCCCTTTGAAAAGGAGGTCAAAGAGAAGAACCTGCTCATTGGCAAACTCCGCCACGAAGCTGTGACATTAAACGAACATCTGACAAAGGCGCTGCGCATATTGAAAAAGGGGCGGCCGGAGGATAACGTGGATCGGCAAATCATCACGAATTACTTTTTGCACTTTTTGAGTATAGATCGGAGTGATCCAAAGAAGTTTGAGGCGTTGCAGTTGATTAGTGCGTTGTTGGGATGGACGGATGGTAAGATGCTCCTTCTCCTTCCAACTCCATCATGTCACGTTTCAATTTGGGTGTAGCTGACGATCGTTGTAGAGCAAAAAGAGCAAGCAGGTCTTGCCCGCCCCGGCACAGCTACCTCAAGTGGCAGCCTCCGCCTTCCTTTATCGCCCTTCAGGCGCACACCGTCGACGCCGAGCTTAAGTGCGGCGGCGGCGGATCCCATGCTCATGGCTAGTAGCTCTAGTAACAAGGAGTCGTTGGCTGAGCTATGGCAGGATTTCTTGGAGCGAGAGGCTGCCGAGGGCAGAGTTGGCGCGGAGAGGAGGGGGAGCAATGTGTCGCGGGCGGGAAACACTGTAAGTCCACCGCCGAGGACGGAGAGTGGGCTGGGGCTCAGTGGGATGAAGTGATGCGCTGCAAAGGGTGTAAGAGTAAAGGTGCATGTCTCAAGTGCACTTGGTATGATAGATCGAAGGTGTGAATGACACCTCAAACTGCTTCAGCTAGTCTTGATCAGCCTGTGCTGTGTATCCTAGTCCTCCAAGTATCGTGTTGTTACATTTCTCATGTACAAGTATTCCTAACGCCTGAACGCAGTCATGTGTGCTTTACACTTAGAGTAGCATGCGCTTTGCACGCCCCCCGGGTCTTTCTTCCAGCCTCTCGCCGAGTGTATGCTTCATTCTCTACTTGCCAGCTCTATAATTCCGTCATCACCTTTTCCAGCCGGTATGCTTCAAGATTTGCTCCTCCTTCTCTTTCCTTGGATCGGGCATCATGGTTCGCGCTCTTTGGGCCGCTTCTCGCTTCTCGCGTCCGAGTTGCTTAGCCATCTTCTTGGTTGGTTGGCGGATGGACCAGTTGAGCTGACCGAAGATGTTGGTCTTGATGGCTGTCACACGGGTTAGCCAAGAGTTTTGACCACATTTGGACATTTGAAGTTACACACCATCCACGCAGTAAGGGCACAGGATATGTAACCGCTTGACCCTTCCACACCCAGAGCATGTGTTCAGCGACGTGATGTCTTTTAGGCCCTTGCCTGCCATGAAGCGTTGTCGCTTCTTGCGGTATGACGTCTTCTTCTTGGGCACCGCGTTGAGTATGCCGTCCCAGATGTCGGCTAGTGACGGTATCGAGGGGAGAGACAGCGAGGGTATGGCAAGGGCGCCGAAGGGTGTGCTGGTCGCCCCAAAAGGCTGTGAGAGGCGCTGCAGGAAGTTGGGGCTGAGGACAGGCCGCATTGGGCCATTGAGGCCGGGCAGCAGCGTCTGCCACAACGGAGGGAGCGGGCGGGCGAGTGCCATGGCTTGCGGGGTCGCTATGCGATGTTGGCGATGGTGTTGTAAAATGTCTCTGCACCCCAGTAGTCGGCGGGTCCGAGCGCTTGGGCGCGCGCGCCCACGGCCTTACCGCCAGAACACTAGCGCGCTTTCGCTTCCTAGCTGCCCCCTTTCCCGCGCCTGCATCTCCACGAGAAAGTCGCCAGCGCAGCGACCCTGACTATTTACTCTATTACGACGACACCTCGTACCCTTTTCTCCCCCCAAAGCTCACCCTCACCCGCACTCACACGCCTCCATCACCCAATCCTCCGGAGTCGAGCCTCTCATCACTCACAATGGCTGCTCCATACAACCAGAACCAGTCGCAGCCCATCTTCCCGGACAGCTATGTCGGTTTCGACAGCATCACCAAGCAGATTGAGAGGAAGTCGGTGAAGCGGGGTTTCCAGTTCAATGTCATCTGCGTTGGTATGAGGGTTGAATAGCCACCTGTCGCGACTGCTTCTAACGCTACACAGGACAGACTGGTCTCGGCAAGTCGACGCTCATCAACACCCTCTTCGCCTCGCACCTCATGGACAGCAAGGGTCGCTTCCAGCCCGACGAGGAGGTCCGCAGCACCACCAACATCCACCCCGTCTCACACATCATCGAGGAAAACGGCGTCCGTCTGCGCCTCAACATTGTCGACACGCCCGGTTACGGTGACCTGATCAACAACGAGCGCTGCTGGGACCCCATTGTCAAGTACATCAAGGACCAGCACAGCGCCTACCTCCGCAAGGAACTCACCGCCCAGCGTGAGAGGTACCTCCAGGACACACGCATCCACTGCTGCCTGTTCTTCATCCAGCCATCTGGCCACGCCCTCAAGCCCATTGACATTGTCGTCCTCAAGAAGCTGAGCGAGTTTGTCAACGTCGTACCCGTCATCGCCAAGAGCGACAGCTTGACCCTCGAGGAGCGTGCCGAGTTCAAGCACAGGATAAAGGAGGAATTCCAGTTCCACAACCTGCGCATGTACCCCTACGACAATGAGGAGGATGACAACGAGGAAGTCCAGGCAAAGCAGGCCATCAAGGTGAGATTCCCGAATGTCGCACTCCCCCAGGGCAGCAGCTAACTTGCAGCAGGAGCTCCTTCCCTTTGCCGTTGTCGGCTCCGAGAGGACCGTTGTTGTCAATGGCAAGAACGTCCGTGGCCGCCAGAACAAGTGGGGTATCATTAACGGTAAGCCAGCCAGCTACATCTGTCCCACACGAGCTTCACTAACACATATCAGTCGAGGACGAGAACCACTGCGAATTCGTCTACCTCCGTAACTTCCTCACCCGCACCCACTTGCAAGACCTGATCGAGACGACCGCACAAATCCACTACGAGTCGTTCCGCGCCAAGCAGCTGCTTGCCCTCAAGGAGAGCTCTCACCAGGGTCACTCCTCGCGTCCCATCTCACCCGCTGCCGACCGCGAGCTTAGCAGGAGCAGCCAGCGCATGACCATGAACGGGTACTAGGAGTTCCCAAATCATAATCGCGTCGATAGCAGCGGTGGCAAGCTGCCGAGCATGCGCGGCGGTGGAGGGCTAGAGCCTCGCATAGACAGACCTGTCCCCATGATTGATGCTATCTGAGTGCGAGTGCGTTGGACGGGCGATTTGCGTTGCAGACATGTTTTGATACCAGTGCATCATCTAGCACGAAACGGAGGATGAGCCAGAGCACGGGAGAGTGGGTGACTTTGTGACACTTCAGATTTGACAACCTTTCTCAAATATCCTTTTAGTTACGATGGAACCTTGATACTTTTTCTTCTTCTCGTATGTCATAGCACGGTGTAGTGGTTGTTGGGCTAAGACGCTGGGTAGTGCCCGGTAGGATAGCAAACTAATTTGAAGCCTAGCGCTTTTCTCAACCTTTTCTTCTTGTTGTTGCCATGGATGGGAGCGATACGATTGGCGTGTTCGCGCTATACAACAGCGCTTTTGATGGTCATGGTGGCGGCAGGTCCTGCTGTCCGAAATTGTGTGATACTCAGCCCGCGTTGTTGGACGAGCAAAGATACCACAAACACCAAGATGTCTTCCGGTGCTTACTCGCGGTTTATGCTACTCAATCGAGTCCAAGAGTGGCACGGTGTCCGAGTGATTCTGGTCCCCATGCGGCTGAACAAGTAGCGAGGTTAGAGGCAACTTTCAGCGCAACGATTCTGATCGCTTCAACGCAACAACTTCGATCCTGCAAAATCCTCCATACTGTCATCTCCCTTCTTTGCATTCCCACTTGCAGTCTTACTCTGTCCAGTGACGCGCACAGGACCGGTCTTGCTTTTTCTGCCAGCCGGTGCAGGAGAGCCGTCAGGGGATTTTGCAGACAAAGTATCATCCGTCTCCCCCACGATACGTTCAATGACTTTCGCCTTGGCCCCGGCGCGTTTAAATCTGTCGTCAAAATCCGCGACAGCTTCTTCCGTATTCGCCGTATCGAATGTTTCGGGGTCCGTCAACGAATGCAATAGTGTAGTATTATTCTTCAACCTCTCGTTCTTGGAAAGCAGAGGCAGGGTATTGTTTTCGGACCCTGTCTCGTCGGCTCCTTTAATGTTGTTGGGAACAAGACTGGGGAGTCGTGAACCCCATATGACGCTTCGCCCGTGGAGGTGGCCGAGTTCAGCAAACTTTTCGAAACCTTTTTCTAGACCAAAGATTCGGCCCTACATGTACGGAGGCATGGAGTCAGATAAACACATTATCATCATTGCGTAGATCCGACACTCACTTCGATCCGGCCGGCATGTGCTCCATCTGACGCACCAAGGTCGTAGGCGGCTGTGTAGAGGGTGTCTTCTAGGGTTAGGATATCGTCGAAGGGATCGGTCTCAGATGCCATTATAATGCCGTTTGTGAAGAATGCTGCGATCTAGGTCTTTTTTATCCACGATGCGTCTTGAAATTTGGTTCGATGCTGCGACAGAGCAGGGTGTGGTTTTGTTTTCACAGGAGAAGATGGCGAGTCCGGAATGCCATGCAGGATCGCAGACAAGGTAGAGTTTCACAGATTCTTGGAATCGCAATTTTTATTGTCCCTTGCTAGTCACGATGTTTCTTTACTTGATAGTGCAGAGTCGGAGTCAGCCCTAGAGGGTCCAGCCGACTCTGTGGCGTCACTTGTGGCTGGCGGGGTAAGTTTTGGCGGGGCAGCTGCACCACATCCACTGTGTGTGTGCAGCCGTTCGCGTTTGACTCAGAAACTCATCCAAAGAAACATTGAGCTGCATATACCCGTGTTGCGCCCTCACGAATCCCGCGCTATCTCCACAATCAACCACATAGTTCCGAGTGTACCCGGGTAAGCTTGGAGTATCCCTTTCTCTATTCAGCTCCCCCAAACTGAATCACAGAAGCATACGACCTCTCATGACTGGGTCAAAGAAGATCCTCCCCGTCGAGGGCGAGCGCAATGTGCTCATTACTAGCGCACTACCCTACGTCAACAACGTACCCCATTTGGGCAACATTGTCGGCTCCGTACTCTCGGCCGATGTCTTCGCCCGTTTCTCTCGCGCTCGCGGATACAACACACTTTACGTCTGCGGAACAGACGAGTACGGTACTGCGACCGAGACCAAAGCCATAGAAGAGAAGGTCACCCCGAAAGAGCTGTGCGACAAATACTATGCGCTACACAGCGAGGTGTACAAGTGGTTCAACATCAGCTTCGACCACTTCGGACGCACACCCACCCAGCAACAGACCGACATTGCACAAGATATCTTCACCAAACTTTACAAGAACGGCTTTCTGGAGGAGCAAACCACAACACAACCATACTGCGAGACACACAAGAGCTTCCTTGCAGACCGATTCGTCGAGGGCACATGTCCGCTGTGCGCATACGAAGACGCCCGCGGAGACCAGTGCGACAAGTGCGGACACCTTCTTGACCCTCTAGAATTGAAGAACCCACGATGCAAGCTTGACGGCGCCACGCCGGTTCCACGCGAGACCAAGCACGTGTACCTTTGCCTGGATAAGTTACAACCCATGGAAGAGGAGTGGTTCAAAAAGGCGAGCAAGGAGGGAAACTGGAGTTCCAATGGTGTTCAGATCACTTCATCCTGGCTGAAGGAAGGTCTTAGGCCGCGTGGTATCACTCGTGATCTAAAGTGGGGAACAGCGGTGCCACTCGAAGTACGACAGATCCTTGAAGATACACTAAGATCTAGCTGACCAGAAACAGGGCTACGAGGACAAGGTCATGTACGTGTGGTTTGACGCCTGCATAGGCTACGTCTCGATTACAGCAACCTACACCGAGGACTGGAAGCAATGGTGGCACAACCCCGAGCACGTCAAGCTATACCAGTTCATGGGCAAGGACAACGTGCCGTTCCACACGGTCGTCTTCCCCTGCTCGCAGATCGGTACCAAGGACAACTGGACTATGCTCAACACCATCTCGACAACAGAGTATTTGAACTATGAAAAGGGCAAGTTCTCCAAGTCAAGAAACATTGGTGTCTTTGGAAACAACGCCAAGGAAACCGGCATCCCATCAGACGTATGGCGCTACTACCTTCTTTCACACCGACCAGAGACTGGCGACACCGAGTTTGAGTGGGACGGCTTCATTGCGGCAAACAACAATGAGCTTCTCAAGAACCTGGGCAACTTCATTAACCGCGTGATCAAGTTCGTAAACAACGCCAAGATCTACGATTCAGTTGTGCCGGACTACACCAAGTTCGACGACGACTATTTCACCCAGCACAAGAAGAAGGTCAATGACTCGTTAAAGACATACATTGCCGAGCTAGAGGATGTCAAGATCCGTGCCGCGCTTGCCACCGCGCTACACGTCTCAAGCTTGGGTAACCTGCTGTTGCAAGACAACCGACTGGACAACAAGTTGGCAACCGAGCAGCCAGACCGCTGCGCCGCTGTTGTTGGATTAGCCTTGAGCCAAATCCATCTTCTCGCCAGTCTGATTCAACCATACATGTAAGTACTGCCTCTCTAGGGCTGTGCACTTCTGTCATACAACACGTGACTAATAGCATCACAGGCCCGACACCACCACCGCTATCCTGTCTCAACTCAATGCCGAATTCCTGATTATTCCTGACACCTGGGAGGCACGTTCCCTTCCTGTTGGCCACAAGATTGGCACCGCTGGCTACCTTTTCAGCCAGATCAAGCCGGAGAAAGAGCAAGAGTGGCGCGAGCAATTTGGTGGAGAAGAGGCTCGCAAAGCCAAGGAAGAAAAGGCGAAGAAGGCAGCAGCTAAGAAGGCAGAGAAGGAGCGTAAGAAGGCAAAGAAAGATGCTGAGAAGGCCAAGGGTGTTGAGGCTGCCGAGAAGGGACAGGATGGACCTGCGGCGAAGACCGCCGAAGAGGAGGTGAGCAGAGGTGTTGAGCAGGTCAGTCTGCAGACTTCGTAATATATGAGTCTCATCAGGCGACTTGGGGAGTTATGGCGCGGCGATTAGTGGTAGCAGCGACTGGATATATGGCAGCATGTGGGCGGGGCGTTCAAATTCAACAAACTAGGGAAGCTGTTAGCAGCAAAGAAAGGATTAGAGATTTCACCGAGCAGCAGGGTGCTATGGTTCCTCAAAGCTTAGACATATGGTGTCGACTTAACACGTAGCCACGCGCACGACATGAATCTGTGTTACTATACCATCCTCGAATGATATTTCACAAAGTTTCATTGCATGCGGGTCGCCGATGAAGACATCATCTGCTCATTTGTATTTGTCGCCTGAAGCCTTCCTCCATATTTGATACTACACGAATTGATGTGTCTAGACGCTGGGGCATTGTCCTTTTCGGGAGCAAGAGCCGCATATAATCAGGGTCCAATGAGACTCGATATCACCACGGCTTAAGGTAGCTGAGATCGCAACCAGTCTACTTCATGTTATCTAGCACCATGGAACCAGCTCACTCTGGCAGCAGTCCATGTCAACAATCTTATCAATCAGGCTAACAATTGGTTCTACTGCATGACGGTACTCTTTTTCGGAGGAACAATCTTTCTCTCCTGCGTCGTGCGTTCGCGTGTTCGGACTTGACCGCTATCGTGACTGCCTCAGGTCACGATGCTCTTTCCTCTTGGGTTTTCACTTTCACCATGACGACGCTGTATGATGAGAAGTGACGTGTACCCCACTTTCTGTTCTCCGTGTTCGACTGTAGATCGTATGTTTGTGCTTCTGTTATTCTCTTCTTCACTTTCACTGTCCGTGCACGATCCGCAAGCTTGCTGTATAGAACTCCCCAGTCGCGCCAGTCCTGTCTACTACCTATCGCAATCCATCGCGAGAACAACCAGCTTTTTTTCCCTTGCCACATCGCCGCCACCGCAGATCAATCGTAACTGTTTCGCGACAAGGTACAAATCGCGATACAAGACAACACTCCCAGAAGCTAATACTACCGCAGCATCTACGAGCGTTGACTTATCATGGCGACTGGATATGCGCCCCAGATGGAGAAGATTGCAGTAATGCATCCCTCTGAGCAGCGCGAGTTCGTCGACGTCAACTCGGTCAAGAACCCGTCCAGCGCGGCCAAGTTCGACAGCAACACCAATGTGACGATGAATGCATTGCCGAGCACTGCGAATAGCGACAGTGAGCAACTGAGAGGTCCTGCGGAGATGGAGGGCCTGACCATCATCTGGTCCAGGAACTGGCTCATCGCAGCCTATGGAGCGTAAGTACATCTTTGCTCTCGTTTTACTGCAAGCGTCCCCCTACCCAAAGGATGACTTTTTTGTTATCTGATTTCTCCCTTTCGCTGCTACAGTGTATGCAGCAAAGCTGATAGTGCAGTATCATGCTCATCTCATTCATTAACTCTCTCCAACAACAAACCAACTTCTCGTGGAGACCCTACGTCACCTCGGCATTCTTGTTGCATGGTCTTACTGCCATGACCGACATCGTTGCCAACATCGTCGGAGGCGTATCGAAGCTACCGCTAGCCATGTTCATTGATCTTGTTGGCCGGCCCCAAGGCTTTCTGATGTGCTTGATCTTCATAATCGCTTGTAAGTCCGTCCAATACAACTGGCATGTAACTGTCTAGCTGACTGATAGCTTCCAGCACTCATCCTCATGGCCTTGTGTCAAAACGTTCAGACATTTTGTGCCGCACAGGTCATCTACTGGACAGGCATGAACGGTGTCGATTACGTCTTCAACATCTTCATTGCCGACACTGCGCTCATGGAGAACCGGCTAATTTGGATGGCATTCACCGGATTCCCCTATGTCATCAACACCTTTGCCGGTCCCAAACTCGGCGAAACCTACCTCAAGCATAGTACCTGGCGTTGGGGTTATGGCTCTTTCGCCATTTTGACCCCTGTGTTCTCCCTGTCGTTCTGCGCTGTCTTCTGGCTCATGGGCAGACGAGCACGGAGAGCGGGCGTCGAAGCGCGCGAAATGAGCGGCAGAACAGTCTTCCAAAGCATCAAGCACTGGTCCATCGAATTTGACCGTAAGTCATGTTCTTGTCAAGGTAGATTTGATTTTAACGTGTCACAGTGGTTGGGCTCTTGCTCGTAGTCAGCGGCTTTTCTCTCCTCCTTCTTCCTTGGCCTCTCGCAGTTTACCAGCACAATGGGCTCGGGTCTCCGTTGGTTATATGCATGGTTGTTTTCGGACTCATGCTCCTTGTGGCTTTCGTGATCTGGGAACGCTTCTACGCCACGAAGACCTTCTTTCCATACTACCTCATGAAGGACCGCACAGTTGTTGCGTCATGCCTGCTAGGCGCCAACGCCTGGATCGCTTTCTAGTAAGTCTTTTGGCTGGTCAAAGAAGCATGTACTGAAGTCTAACGAATAGCTCCTACCGGATGATGTACTCGTCATACCTTCAAGTCGTATTCCAGCTTCCTGTCGCCAAAGCTGGATACATTACCAACATCTTCAACATTGTTTCGTGTACCTGGGCAATTATCATCAGTTTCGCAATGAAGTACACCGATACCTACAAATGGGGAGCCATCATCGCCGTTCCCATTCAAATTACATGCACTGGCCTGTTGATCATGCTCCGTCATCCCGGTAGTCCAATCGCGGCGCTGGTTACAGTCGAGGTCTTCGGTGCTATGGCAAGCGCTATGCTCTACAATGTTGAGCAAGTGGCCATCATGATGGCTGTACCGCACGACCAGGTTGCCGTCGCCATCGCTCTCCTCAACGTCACTACTGCTGTCGGCGGTGCCATCGGCCAGGCTGTTAGCAGCACTCTCTGGGCGCAGATTGTGCCTAAGAAACTTGTTGAGTACCTCCCCGAAGGTTCGAAGCATCTAGCTCCGATGATCTACGGTGACATCCGGAATCAGTTGGGACTGCCATGGGGTAGCCTGGAGCGCGAGGCTGTAATCCATGCATTCGGTGATGCGCAAAGGGTCATGGTCTTGATGGGAACTATTGCCTTCGCACCTTGCTTCATCTGGGTCGCCATGTTGAAGAACTCCCGCATGAGCGAGCGCAAGGCTCGCAAGGGCCTTCAGGCTTGATCCGGCGTGCAATGGTTGTTCTCCAGGACTAACTAAGGTGCTGAAAGAAAGGTGGTGCAGGAGACGATGATCCAGTAGTACCATGGGCTGAGGATATGGCTGTCGGGGTTGGACCCAGCGTATACAATTTGGGTGGCTTTGAGGATGGATAGGTTGGATGTTCGAACTGTGTATGGGATGTTCTGTCGCTATTGATGGTGTGTTTCAACTCACTGTATGTATTTTCTGACAGTCTCGACGAAGGAATCGACCATAGCAATCGTCTGTGTTGATATCTGAGTTGCATGATGGCAATGTTCGTGATACAAAAGTGTGGTTGACCAGCAGGCAATACATGCTTTGCGTTTTCCACAACTGTGACCTCTACGTAATAATCTGGGAGTCGCGAAGGATTGGTTACCCTAGGTGCAAAAGAAATCAGAGACAACAAGACCAACCACACCTGTCGTCCTGCGCGACAAATCAGGTTGGCCAAAGTCGTGGTTAATTAGCTGTTGCGAACATGGACGTGTCGTTGGACGTAGGTCGAGCCCCTGCACGCACAAGGCAGCGGAATCAGCGGAATACGCCGCCATGACGTTGGACGGATCCCTCTCCCCATCTCACCACTAACACACTTTGCGTCGTCTTAGCACGCGCTACTGGCAGATCTTCAGCCTCATGGTTGCAGCAACGGGGCGCTCTAGGATGCTCCCTGTCATTCCAGCGGTGCCCTGCCGGCGGTGAGGCGCCAACGCATACCAACCTCGCCAATTACCTGAGTCGTTACCTCCGTTGCGCTCCACCAGCCACTTGGGGTCCCAACCACGAGCAAGCAACCACACTTCTCACCGAGCTTGTCATGCTTCTTCCTGCATCTGTACCGTACCGTTGTACTTGAGATATTCTCCGGGTTGAAATCACTGGCAACAATGCATCTTCCACACCTGCTCGCCCTCCCGCCTGCTATCATCGCTCTTTGCGCAGCAACGCCAGGACTCGCCGCAGAGGAATCGCAATGGCCGCACAACGTACCCCGACATCTGAAATACTTCCCCGAAGACGAGGTCCACGCAAAGCGCGGGCTGAGCGTCAAGCAAAGACTGCAACATGAGAAACCCATTGGAGTGAAGAAGATGAGCATGGACGAAGGCGAGATGTTCATGCTGGACAACTGGATATTCGCTGCTCAGGACACGCCGTCTCAATCACAATCCTCGAGGAGATCAGACTACGACCTCTTTGGCAATGCAACCTCTCAGGCTCTCTCGCCTTTGCGCCCTCTCGCGCAGTCTGACTGGCTGGCGCGTATGCACATCAGAGACATACTGATGAACCGCCAATTCAAGTGCCCAGATGGAACGGCGAGTTGCGAGAGTATAGGCGCACCGGATGTGTGCTGTGGCACGGGAAGCACTTGTATCAGTGTGACCGGGAGCTCGGCTGCAGGCGATGTGGGATGTTGTCCTAGTGGACAGACTTGCGCAGGCAGTGTGAGTTGTGACGAGGCGAGCGGGTATACGAGTTGTCCTGGGACGGACAATGGCGGGTGCTGTTTGCCGGGGTTCAAGTGTCAGGGTATTGGATGTAAGTTGCCACATCTTCTTTCGTCGACAAGTTGATTGTATTCAAAAGGCTAATTTGAATAGGCGTTGCGGAAGGTACATCGACGTCCTTTGTCCAGCCCTCTACCTCTTCATCCACTCCGTCGGCCACTTCTACTTCGACAACTGCCGCCGCCATTCCCACCACATCATCTACAACCAGCACGACCCCCGAACCAACATCCACCTCCACCTCGCGCTCCGCATACACTTGCTCAACAGGCTGGTTCTCATGCCCCGCCTCTCTCGGCGGCGGCTGCTGCATGAATGGTCGTACCTGCGCAACCGGCGCCTCATGCCTCGGAGAGGACGACAACCCCTCTTCCACACGCGCTCCAGACGCCCCTGTGCGTCCTACCAGCGCCGCCGTGACAACCGGCGCCTCCAGCGACAACATCTGCCCCACAGGCTTCTACGTTTGTAGCGCATACTACCCATCCGGCTGCTGTCGTGTGGGCAGGGATTGCCAGACCACGGGCTCCTGCGCTTTACCTCCGTCCGATACTATTGTAAACACCAACGGTGTGGTCATTGTGGCACCGACGGGGGCTGAGAGCGCAGGAAGCTGTCCTAGTGCGTGGTATAGCTGCCCGGCGGATGCTGGTGGTAATTGTTGTCCCAACGGGTACGCGTGTGGTGAGCAGTGCACGGCGACTGCGAGTGGCCAGAGTGGCGTGACGAGTAAAGCGGAACCCAGCAGCAGCAGTGGTAGTCAGGCGAGTTTTGTTTCGAGATTGAGTGTCTGGGGAATGGCCGTGGCGTCTGTCGGCTGTGGACTTGGTATGATTGTGCTGTGATGCGAAAATGAATTTTGATAGGGTATGCTTATGACGTTATGAGGATGTGTATATAGAGATGATTTATGAAGAGCCCGATGTATATACGAACGAGTTACACTACCAAAATGACTTGTCTCTTTTCTGTAAAGACTGGAATCTTCTCACTGTGGATGAACATTTAGACCATACATTCGACGTTCCGTAACCGTTTGAAATGCTAAGTGTACTATGATTCAACGTAAACACAAGAAAATCAACCATCAATCAACCCGATGGAAAATGCCTTTCACCGTTACACAAGTCGCAGTGGAATATATCTGGGAATAGATAGCCAAGCCTCAACCAACATCAATGGCATTGGAAAGTACTACATTGCATTCCCAAGTTCTGCAATAAACGCCCAAAATCTCCAAGCCGTCGTCTTATAACTTGAAGCTGCCCGCGCCCCTCTTCGCAGCCTCCTTGACCTCCTTGCCCTCAACATCAGTAAGCACGCCCTTTCTTCCAATAATCTGTACACCACCCTTCTTGAGATCACTGACGAGCTGCTTCTTCTCTCCCCTCTTCTTCTCCTTGCCCTCCGTCTTCTTTTCCACCGGCTTGTTAAGACCGGCCTTCTTTGCTCTCTCCTTGGCGCGTCTCCGCCTAGACATCTTCTCCTCTCGCGACATCTCCTCGCGGGCCACTGGCATACCACTCTTTGTGACAATTTCCGTCTTGGTCTTCTCCTCGCCAGGCTTGTAGATCTCCTGAGGCGCGAGCATGCTTGCACTGGCCACCTCGCCGCCAGCAGTGGGTCGCGCATCTTCCATTTCGATAGCAGGAGCGTCGGTGCGGATCTCCAAGTTAGGAGCTGCAGGCTTGGGTTTGAAGTGCGAGGAGCTGAGGGAGTCGAGCTTGGCAGATATGCTTTTCCAGAGGCCGGCAATCTCGTCGTGCTCCTTCTTGAGCTTCTCATCCTTGGCTTCGACGAAGTTGGGGTCGGTGGCGCGGAGGTGCTCTTCTTCATAAATTTCGGCGAGACCTTTGCCGGACTTGGTGTCGTCGAGCTCGACGCGGCCGCGGCGGGGACCGGTGGCTAGATCGTCAGGTCGTCGTCGATGTATTTCGTCGAACTCTCCTGCTAAGATGCGGCGTTTGATTAGGGCTTCGATGTCTTCGGAGGTTTCCTGTGTGACGATTGGTACAGGCTTGCCGGCTCGCTCAAACTCAAGATTCTCTTCGAGAAGCGAGTTTAGTGGTCGGTCGGCTGCACGAGCTTCACCAGACAGCTGCCATTCCCGTTTTGCGACGTTGGCCGCTTCCAGCTTCCTGATCTCTTCTGCGATCTTGGCCTGTCTTCGTTCGTGTGTTGATCGCCTCGACTTCGGATCTGCGGGATCTACGTCGGATAGATCGCCTTCGCTTTCGACATCGTCGTCGTCCTCGAAGAGATCTCGGTGTACCTTGGCTATAGTCTTCTCTACGTCCTCTTCAATTTCTTCTTCCGGTTGTGCCTGCTTCTCAGGGAAGTTGTGGGGGTTGGGTCGTCCGCGCTTCTTGCCGCTCTTGTTTTTGCTCGCCTTCTGCGCGGGAGGTGCGAAGAAGTCCTTGTACATGACGTTGTTGGCGTTCATACCGGTATCAAGGCCATCGAGGTCACCTTCCTCGAGGTCGTCCTCATCGCCACTTTCGCCTTCCGGTGCATTCAGATCTGCATTGCCAAAGGTTGGCCCACCTTCGTCAGACTCATCGTCTGATGTATCGCCTCCAACACCATTGGCCTTGACTTTGGATGCGCCGTCTTCCATGGGGTCTGCTTCCCAATTTATCTCGTCATCGTCGCTATCCGCACCCTCCCCTCTCTGATCCTGCTGTTCTAGGAAGTCGGTCTGCTTGTTGAAGTCGTCTATAGAGAAGAAGCCGTCGTTGAGACCGTTGGGGTCGGGTTGGTAGGTGTCAGCAGGTGCATCGTCGGACTCAGCATCAGAGAAGATGCCCTCTGCCCCGTCTTCCATGTCAATGTCCTCGTCGTCCTGCTCTTCATCCAGCGCGTCTTCATCCTCGTCTTCGTCTACTCCGTCATACTCCCAATCGACACCCTCTTGGCCTATGTCCGAGTCGGTGTGGTACTCCTCTTCAGCTTCCTCGATGCTTTCATCGTCGTCTTCGCCGTCGCGCACAGCGACAAGTCCATCTTCTTGGTCGGGTAGCGAAAGTTGGATTTCATCTGTCGTCGCCTCGACAATCTTGCGCGTCTGCTCAAACACCTGATTGATGCCGAATCCGTCCAGATGCACCTTCTTCAAGTGTAAGACGGTGATATCATCGTCGTAACCCCCGCCCCGCTTCCGTTTCTTGCGCAGATCTTGCTGTCGTTGGGATTGCGACGCGCTTACGCCGGCAGCCACCGGGTCCAAGAAGCGTTTGGCGGCGGCTAGGAATGTCGCATTGAGCTGCGGGGTGGGCTGGAGAAAAGCGAGTGGTTTGGTGAGCAGACTTGTGGGCGAAGTCGCGGCGGACGGCTGGAGTTCCATGTGCGGTGGCTGAGCGGAGCCGATTGAGAGGGTATGCGAAGAGATGGATGTGTCGGGCGAGAAGGAAGGCGGCGCCATGCTCTGAATATCTGTGAGGCGCTGGTGGTGAGGGAATGCGCTGCTGGCTGCGGTTTGAGTTCGCGCCTGCCGCTGAACTTTTTTGGTGGAGCTAATGGTCATAGCGTGCGTTAGCCCTATCAAGTTCCGGACCATCTCTTCCGACCTCACATTCATTGCACCTTACAGTACAGGTTTCAAACTTCCCGAAGCAACCTCACTAACGGCAACGACTGATGTGTTGGGAGTCAAAACGCTTGTTTTGGCACTGTTTGTCAATACTGCTACGTCATATCTACAGATGTTCGTCGCATCAACCAAAGATGCGATAATTTGCCAACTCGAGGGCACACACTTTGGGTAGAATGACACGAGTTTACACTCATATCTGAGCTGACTTAGACCCAAGATATTTGTTACTGGTGTTGCCGGATGTATGCTCATAGCTCTGGACTATGGCTTCGGAGAACATACAGTCATGATCAGGTGGCTGACGTTCACTGTGTTGCTGTACGCTCTCCCGACGACCTGCAAGACATCGTTATCACCTATCCCAGTGATCATCTGCATGCAAATGACCTGGCTAGTCTGCTGCCTGGCCTCTCTCCAAAAGATTTCTCCTCTTTGGCTGCCAGCACCACCACGATTGTGCATAACGGTGCTACAGTTTCTTTCCTCCAACCTTACGCTTCTCCCCATGCAGCGAAGGTAACGTCGATTAAAGAGCTCATTTATCTAGTAACACCCCGCCGAATTCCGTTTTACTACGAATCTACAGCCGGCGTTGCCGAGCTAACAAGTCTGTCGTCGCTGCGCGAGAAGTCAGTAGCGGAACGCATTCCGCCAGCGGGTGCGAGTGGATATACGACAAGTAAATAAGCAAGTGAAATCATCCTGGAGAACGCATCAGCATCATAGAAAATACTGGTTACAGTACATCGTCCGAGTACTGTCGTCGAGGCTACTGGGAAGCCAAATCATGTCCTGCCGCATGACGCGCTGGGCACTCTGCTGCGATTTCCGAGGGGATTTAGGGTTGTGCCACTGCCGAAGAAGTGGACGGGTTGTTTTGACATGGTGCCTGTGGATCAAATAGCTCAGTACATTGTAGAGGAAGCGCTTCTGCTATCTACCGGCGGCATTCGATACAAACATATCGCGGGCAGTAAAAAGGTTTCGGCGCGGACTTGAACAAGTTCGTCGCGACACAAATCCAAGACCTAGTGGAAGTCATGCCGATGGAGGATTGGATTGACCGCGCAAAGGCGCATGGCTTGAGGGAAGATTTGAGCGGATGGTTCCTTGCAGTGACGAGCGAACCAAGGTTCTTGCCTCCTATCGTGATGGGGTCAGATCTGTAGCCATCGGCGCACATAGCATGTTTGTTCATATTTACAAATCGTATCAATCTCTGCGTGGCAACTCTCATGTAGATTCCCGAGACGTGGGCAGTGGTATAGATTGGAGGCTCTCATGTTCCGCGGCTTCAGTGCAACTCCAAGGCCTGGGCAACTTATCTTGCCGCGGCAGCGCCAATGGTCGGCCCTGCCCCTCGGCTCAGGAACACCGCCACCAACTTCGGAGCTCCCTGTGACACCCAACCAAACTTATCCTTCACCACACTGTGCTACAAACCAAGCTTTCAGATCATGGATCATGTCCGAAGAACGCGAAAATCAGCTGCCTGCATGTCAAAAATGCAGATTGCGCAAAGTCAAATGTGACCGGCAAGCACCCAAATGTACCAACTGTGCGAAAGGAAGTGTCGCCTGCATCGTTGTCGACCCGATTACTGGAAAGCAGTATGCACGTGATTATATCAGGCAACTGGAAGAGAAGGAGCGCGACCTCACGCAAAGACTTGGTGCACTCGACGATGCAGGGGTTGTCACTCCAGTCTCGACTGAGAGATCGGACGGTTCCCATCCGACACCGGCAGGCCATGAAGCGGCAGCGAGCTCGGGAACTCAAAGCGGATTTGTCGGCGATGGCAGTGGATTGGGTTTCTTGCAGAACATTCTTTCTGATACTAAATGGCAACACCATCGCGCACAGATACTGGAGCAGCTGAAGAAGCGTCCTCGCATCGTTAGGCATCGGCTCGTTGCTTACGCTCTGCCACCGATAGTACAAGCGCGACAATTGTTTGACAATTATTTCGCTGGGTTCCATGTCCACCATGCTATTCTACTACGCAGCGAGATGCTGGACGTCTTTAACCGGGTCTACTCAGTCCCGCCATCACTAGGAAGACCCTCTGCTCAGGACAATTTCCGCCTTTTCATGTTGTTTGCAATCAGCGATACAACTAGACATCGGGGTTGCCAAAGTGCTAGTCAAAGTGCTGAACATCCATACGGCTACTATCTTGCTGCTGAAAGTTACCTTGCCAATATACCACTGATCAAAGGTCTGGACGCTATCCAGAACTTATTGCTCATAGCAAGGTTCGGCATGTACCATCGTATTGGAGCGTCAATATGGGAAATATCCCACCTTTGTATGCGCCAATGTATCGAATTGGGTCTTCATCTGAATGCATATGGCAATCCGGACCCTTTGAAAGAACAACACCAGCGCAGGGTATTTTGGGAGTGTTACGTTCATGATCGTTACAGCTCTGGCATTCTGGGTCGTCCTTTCGCTCTACTTGAGTCAGAAATAAGCATGCCACTGCCCATAGATGCCGACGACGAGACGATCATAACATCTGGAACGAATGTACTTGATACCGTTCCGACTGTCACGCGTGTACACCCAAGCGAAGTCTCAATCAACTTGTTCTGCATCAAGCTGCGGCGTTTAAGCTCAAGGGTACACACAGCCTTTTACACCAGTCGCAAATCACCCTCAAGCGGTACTGCAGACGGCACTCGGACACCAGCATTCCGATCAATCGGAAATGTCTACTCGTCCTTTTCTCAATTCGATAGCGAGCTTCATGCGATACGGGCGTCAGCACCTGTCTTCTCAGGACCCAGATGTCTGTACGAGCGATCTGAATGGCACGACTTTATGTATGAGAAAGACCGCCTTCTGCTTGCCCGTGGTGCCATGCACAACGTTCCGGCACGACAGTTCTCTGGCGCGTCCATACTGAAGGAGATACTGAGAACGTGCTACATGTCAGCAACGCGTACAATAGAGTTGTATGCGAATCTACGAAGCAAGGACGCTATCACTTGGACGCGCAGCTACTTTCAGGTCATCTTCACAGCCGGCCTCACTGTAATCTATTGTGTTATCTTGGATGTCTTGAACGACAACCATGGGCTCTCTGCGACTCATACGGACCCTCTGCGAACACTTCATATCTGCAGCTCACTGTTAGATTTCTTCAAAGACAAGATGCCAGACGCAGGGTCTTTTGCGACTGTGTTCAACGTTATAAAGGAAGAGTTTGTGAAAGACCGTTTCGCGCATTTACTACCCTCGTCAGCCAACGTCACAGGGGCCCCTACTTCACAGCACCGCCAGCAGCTCTCAGGCCATCTCTCAAACCAGGAAGTTCCTCCAAGTCATTCAGTCAATGCGAATCCGCTACATTCGGGCATAGCTTCTGTCGATGGACATTATCTACCATCCGTTGACGAACAACAGCAACAAACAACAGCAGATGCCATGTCACTTCGGGACTTTTCCGACATCACAACTGCTCAATTTTCGCAAGAACTTGCCATTGGTCTTACAGACGATATTATGAATCAACTTGAATCGGGGCTGGGTGAATACGTATGGGGTTCGTTAAATCCCGAGATGAATTGCTGGAATCTTCTCGGTTACGAGTAAGCAGGAATATGAACGATGAGCGCAAATTGTTTTGTTGAGCAGTTTGTTTGTTATATAGCGCCGTCAGTCTTAATATACTCATACAATCGATCTACTGCTGCAATTGCAGTCTGCATTTGCGTCTCAGCCGTTGCAGCACCTACGTGTGGAGTACTCACGACGCGTCCGGTTTCCCAAAGACTACCATATACCTCTTTTGTTGGTGGTTCATGCTCATGACAGTCAAGGCCCGCTCCCCAGATGAGGCCTTCTTTCAAAGCGCGCTCGAGATCCGCCTCTTGTACGATTCCACCTCTCGCAGCGTTGATCAAAATGGAAGTGCGCTTCATCATCTTAAGTTGTTCATACGAGATCAGACCTCGGGTTTGTGGCAGAAGAGGCACGTGTAGTGTTAGAACGTCAGAGACAGAGAGCACCTCATCAAGCGTCTCTGCCCGTGTGTGCGCAATGTCCTCCCAAGCATCCTTTGGCAATAGTGGATCGTATGCGACTATACGACACCCTAGTCCGCCTTGAAAGATTTGTGCCACTTTCCGCCCGATGTTCCCCATACCCACAATACCGACCGTCTTGCCGTTGATGATCAAACCGGAGCAAGTTTCTTTCGGTACCTTGATGCCAACACTCTGTAGCGCTATGACGCGACCAATCTCACGAGCTACAGACATTGTGAGCGAAAGGACTGTCTCGGCGACAGACTGCGCATTGACTCCGGGCGTGTTGAAGATCTTGATCCCGCGCGCTTTACAGGCTTCTCCATCAATCTTGTCGATCCCGACACCCTGTTTCCCGATGGCCTTTAGGTTCTTGCATGCTTCGACGTCTTCTGTGGCCAGGTACGATCCGCGAATCACCAGGTATTCAGCATGCTCTCTCCACTCTGCGTGCTCAGGGTCTGAAGGTAATATAGTGTTGAATAACAACCGGGCGTGTTCGATGGCTTGAGGATGTAACGTGTCCAGTAGATAAACCGTTGGCTTGTTGACTCCGTTTGGCGAAGTTGAGGATTCGGAAGTAATTCCCGAGTCAATAAGTCCTGGTGCCATGGCCACAGCTACGACGTGATAGCAAGGTGGCTGATCAGAACTCAAGCAAGTAAAAATTCGAAGGCCAGGGCAATGTCGAATTGCAACTGCTTGACAAAATACGGCCAAGACACTGAAAACAACGTGTGTCTGGATGTACAGTGCCTCTGGAAATGCGGACACACCAGGTCCTGAAATACAGACAACATTTTGCCATACTGGATAAGCCAACACCGCGCTCACATGCCGAAGGACAGATGATGTGCAGAGTAACACGGCTTGTCGGACGACCACCGAAAGATGTCGGCACTAGCGTCGGAGGATGTCCGCCTCTCCCGAACAGGGTGTGGGAAAACCAAGTCTTTTCCTGGGCTGTTTGGCCCCACCGGTTGGTAAAGCCGAGGCACGAAATCAAGCGCACGATTCAACCTGGCTTGAGACGCAAGATGCCGAAGGCGATAGTCTCCCAATGGCAGCAGGTGCGTTTTGCGTTGGGCTCCATGAGCCACTCACAAATTGCCAACAATGAGCTGTTGTAATTGAGGTGACACAGCGATCTCAGATGCGCTCATCAGGGCCTGAAGTTGCTCTCTAGAAGCTGATCTAGATTGGAATGCAACAAGTATGCTGCGAAATCCCTGGAAAGCAGTGTAACGCATCGACATCATAGTGAGGCTGCTCAGGCATTGAAGTACACATCTCTGCCGTCCATCATCAGGCGGCTGCGATGCGCTGAATACACCGATGGAAAAGATGAGATATCCCTCCAGGGCTCCAGGCGCACGTTGATGGCTGGTAAGCTGATTCTCAGTCGCAGCCGCGTAGTCAGCCAATTCTTCCTCAATGTGTCTCAGCATCATATCTCGATGTACGTCTTGGGCCATCAAAGGGCATTTAAGTAGTTCCATGAGGCCTCTGACATGGAGTTGGTTCTTCGTTGAACTCGCTGCTGACAATGCGGCAGGTATTGTTTCTTTCCAATGACTTAGATTGACGAAATGACAAAGTAGATCGTTCTCACTGCGGTTCCGGATAGAACGCAGAATTTGCGCGTGTTGGATGAGATGTTGCAAAGCCGTGAAGCCCGTATCCATCGGTGCAGTTCGTGGGGACGAAGGTGGCGACATCATGATATCGCTGTCGTTGAGACAAAACGGCCGATCCATGGCTGTACTCAGGTGCGTGTCCAAGACGTACAACGTCCAGAAAGCTCTACCATTCTGCCTCTTGATCTCGCTCTCTGAAGTCATGTCGGAGATTCGCGAGGTATGCATACCAGAAGAAATGCAACGTGTCATTGCCAATCCAAGCAGATGCCATGAGGATCCGCCATACGTTGTGTACAGTGAATAAACAGTGAGAGCCGTAAGACATTGTACAACCGCTAGATCCTCGGACTGATCGAGGATACGTGGCATAAGCTGTATGGCTTTGGATGCTAGCTCTGACGCTAGCACTTCCGTGAAGCTGTAGGTTGGAGATAGCAGCATGCCAAGCGCAATGCCTGTTCTTACGAGTAAAACCTTATCTGGAGACTCGCTACTTATGATCTCGAGAATACCATCTCGCTCTGCCGTGGAAACAGTGTTGTAAAGTTCTTCGAGATCGCCGCGTGTCATGCTGGGGAAGGTTGCTGGGGCTGTTCCGAGAAAGGTTTGGAATGCATCGACAGCTTGATCAGCGTCGAACCTACTACTATAAGGGAAAATTTGACCCCGGAACTCTGCTATGGAGCCGGAAATCGACTGGTTGGTTCCGGAAGGTATACTGGGATTGGCACCTCCTACGCTTGCGGCAGCGACAAATAACGTTGAGAATGAAAGTTCCTGGTTCGAGAACGACTGCCTATCGGTAGGCTCCGCCATTGCACTCAAGCTCAAGTAGTTGGCTTCATGCATAGCGTTTCGCAAGTCGTCTCCTGGCCTATTGTAAACAACCGATGTTCCAGTCCCGCTATTGCTCGGCGCACGAGGAGTGTCAGCTCTCGTCGAATCGCTACTCCAACTCTGGGTTGTGGAATCGTTGCTGTTGAGGTCGTCGTGCGGTACATCAGATTGCCGCTTGCATCTACCTTCTAAATCACGGATCCTCAACTTCAAAGACTCGATGTATGAGATAGAAGATGGATCAGAACCATCGATGGTCGAACCAAAGCGTCGCTGCACACATTGTGAAGAGGCTTTGAGACATTGTTGGCATGTTGGTGTTTCACGAGAGCACTACACCACCTGTCAGCGCTATGTCAATACGACGTGAGTTCACAGAGTGATCGCGGATTATCCTGCCCTGAAAATAAGAATGGAACATTGGGGGAGAACGGCTGTTGGCAGGTGTTACCATACGTCGTAATTACTCGAGGAAATGCGCCCACCAACCTTCTGTTTTCTCTTCCAACATCTTTCGCAGGCTTGCGATTGCATAGTGGTCATGTTGACAGGTTAAGTCCGAGTTGGGGTCTAGGTTCGAAGATCGAGGTGGAAACGCCGTGGCGAACCGAGGCATTGGGCACAGGACGAGGCGCTAGCGAGTTCGGGTCCCACCAGTCAGAATAACCTGGGATATCTACAACGAACTCAAGTTCGATTGCTTCTAAGGAAATGCAGATTGCTCCGAAACAACTGGGCTTCTCAGATATGGGTTTTGTGGCACTTTGCGGTCAGCTATTGAATCCTGGGAACCATTGGTCCCGCTGTTTGGAACGTAAGAACTATTACCGCCCCACGACCAGGGAGACACTTTTCACGACTATTGGTCTTTTGACGTACTCAACGATGCCGGATATACTCATACAACACGCAAGGTCAGTTTATCTCTATATTGTAAACATATCTTTTTGACTACGAGCTGGCCAATACATTCGTGTGGCCGTTCGTCAGTTCTGCAACAGTAACATCAGCCTTTTTTTTCAAGACATCGATAACTCCATTAGTCGACTCGATTGCAGCTCTATTCGCCTCCTGGTGGGTCGTTTGTTCGATATGCTTGACTCTTGCGCTCAGTTGTGCCATCTCACTTGCTCTTCTCGTCGCTCCACCGAGGAGCAATGGCCCATCTGTCGCTGCCATGACCCATCGCGCTCCCATTTGGCAAAATTTCTCTACGAGATCTAGTCTCGAATGTAAACCTCCTACACCCACCCATTTCCCGTGCCTTTTACAGGCATTGATAGTCTTCTCGTAGACCTCGAGCAATTGCGGGCTCTCGTACTGACCCGGAATACCTAGCTCGGCGCACATGTCATTGGTGCCAATCAGCAGACTATCAACACCTTCGATGGCTGCTAGCTCTTCAACGCAATCAACTGCTTCTAGTGTCTCTACCATGGGAATGACGAGTGTTTCGCGGTTGCACACGGGGCTCATAGCCTTGGCGGAGAGGTGTCGATATTGGAATTGTGGCATGTTGTTCGTCGACGAACGGTGACCAACGGGTTGAAACTTTGCGGCGGCGACTACGTCTTTGGCGTCCTGTACAGATCGGATGTGCGGGACTATGACCCCCATGGCGCCTCCGTCTAGTACACGAGAAACGAAGAAAGAATCTTTAGATGGAACACGAACTATGGGAGAGATGCCGGCGTATAGGGCAGCTATGCAGATCTGACCTAAGACATATCAGCCTGTAGAGACACAAATGTTGGGAAGAATGGAAGGTCAACAAGGGAGAACATACTGGTTGTGTCCAAGTCAAAGGCCGAGTGTTCCATGTCAATGAGTATGCCATCGAATCCTGCGGTTTTCGCCATCATTGGAAGCTCGACACTGCGAACAAGCTTTACAGACAAGGTGTATGCTACCTCATCGCGGAGCATCTTCTCCCGAATAGAGTTATGGAGAGTGAGTTCAGCCATATCGCCGTTTCTGTCTGGTGATGATCTCGTGTTCACAGTACCAAATCGAAGAACTAGGCAGAGTTTGAGGTATAACAGCGTCTTGTTGGCCGTCTATTGACTGCAATAAGTAATGCGACGTAATCCCTCGCACTACGACATCATTTATGATCCTTTCGGTCCACTACACACGGTATCGGGCTACCGATATGTTTTCGGGACATGACCGAAGTGCGGAACATGAGTATGTGCTGTGCATGAGTCATGCAGGATCTAACGGGAGCAAGTGCGCCTGTCAGGGCATCCTTTCCCCGCTTCTACCACGCCACCTCTCGGGCGACCACCGACGCAAGATGTGGCCTTCGCATCAGTCCCGAAACGCTACAATCATCGGACGACTACCGATAGCACCAAGCTCAGAAGAAATGTCTAGGCAAGCGACTAGTAGGGCATCTGGGATCTGGGGAATGTGTGGGCGACACGAACCATCCCCGCACGCTGGACAGGCAACAATGGACGGGAACACGCATGGCCAACTGTGCATCATTTCGACTTTTGGACTACATTAGTTGTTGTAGCAAGGTATAAAGAAGCCGAAGATCTCGAAACACTATCGCCGGATGCTGCACCGCTCAGACCCTTTCTTCTCTCTACCCGCCATTGAGTAGCCAAACTCCACCGCCGACATCACCATGACTACCGACAAAAAGTTCCTGGAGCAAAGCTGCGAGACTGTCAAGCTTGAGGATGCTGGGCTTTCTGAGGCCGAGATCTTTCTCCAGAGCTATCCTCTGCTGCGAGAGAAGTCCAAGGATGAGCTCGACAGATTGAACAAGGCTGTTCTGAAGAAATTGGATTGGAAATTTTTGCTCATCATTACGTTGATGCTATTGATGAAGTAAGATAGCTTCCTTGGCTTCATGGCTCAGAGTCAATTGACTAACTTCCGACAGTTATCTTGATCGCATCAATGTCTCTAATGCCCGCCTTGCTGGTATGCAACATGACATCCACATGAGCGATGTGGAGTGGTCTGCTGGTATCTCGCTCTTCTACGTGGGATACATCATTTCACAGGTACCTGCAAACATCATCATGTCGAAACAGAAGCCACGCATCTGGATGCCCTGCATAATGCTAGCGTGGTCATCCGTCACCATTTGTATGCCTGCATGCACTAGGCCATGGCACTTCATGCTTTGTCGCTTTCTTGTTGGCTTCACTGAGGGCCCATTCCTCCCTGTGGTGGCGCTCATGACCTCAAGCTGGTATACCAAACAGGAAAGTCCTCTACGGATGGCAATCTGGCACGCAGGAAACATCGTCTCCAATGTCTTCTCTGGTCTACTTGCGGCGGGCATCTTAACCAATATGGACAATATTGCGGGTCTACATGCATGGCAGTGGTTTCTCCTGTTGGAGGGTATCGTGTCCATCATGGTTGCCATTCCCGGATTCTGGCTTCTTCCGAACTTCCCCAACAACACCGGAACGTACTACTTCACCGCTGAAGAGCAACAGATGGCGCAATACCGCCAGTCCGTGTCTTCTGGTATGGTATCGGAGGACGAAGAAGGCGACTACCTTGGCGGATTGATGCAGGCCGTTCGAGATCCATTCACGTGGCTATTTGCCGGCATGCATTTCTCTCTTATCATCGCCCAATCATTCAAAGACTTCTTTCCATCCATCATGGACACCTTGGGCTTTGGAAAGGTTGAGACCTATCTTGTCCAGGCCCCGCCATACGTGATAGCTTATATCGTCACGCTGGTCGTGTCATGGTCGTCCGGCCGTATGCTCGAACACGGCTTTCATATCATCGGCGCTATCTCGACAACACTTATTGGAGCAATCATCATGATCAGCACGCTGAATACAGGTGCGAGGTATTTTTCCATGATTCTCCTCTGTTGCGGACCATTTGTCGGGCTCAACATCCAGCTCTCATGGGAGACCACAGTCGTGCCTCGTCCGCGGACCAAAAGAGCTGCACTGATTGCTATCGCAAATTGTGTGTCAAGCGTTAGTCATTGGTTCACGCCATATTTTTTCCTCACGAACCAGGAGCCGAGGTATGAGACAGGAGGTGGTTGTATCATTGCCGGATGTGGCTTGACTATCATACTGTGTCTTACGACAAAGTGGTGGTGCAATAAGAAGAACAAAGATTTAATTGCGAAAGAGGAGCGGACCGGGGTTACTAATAGCTGGAGGTTTGCAACGTAGGCTAGTAATGCAAGAAGGTCACAAATAGTCTTTATAACAAAACTACTAAGATTATTAACGTATAATAAAAAGATATTATCTCTTTAAGCTTATTATTATTTAGGTATAATTCTATATATAGATTTATTCTTAAGAAGTTATAGAGGTTATCCTTAGATAACCTAAGAGTTTGTTCTTAGAGAATAAGTAAGTGTAATAGATAGAGTTAGTATAATAGCATAATTAGTAGATTAAAATAATAATATAAGAAGTTATATAAGAATAAAGTATAATTCTTAGATTAAATACTAGAGTCTTATATAAAGTTAAATATACTAAGCTATAGAGGTTAGAGTCTAAACTATATACTAATAAGTATAAGTATTACTTAGTATTATTTAGTTGTATTAAGACTAATAACTAGTTAAGTAAGGCTTACTACTATTAAGTTTATATTTTAAGTCTACTAATATAGTAAAACTCTAATAGCTAAGTTCTTAGAGTTAAAACTAGAATAAAAGCTTAGTTACTACTACTCTTATAAGTATATTTTAATAAAATTATAGTTATTATTATTTAGTAAAAGTAATTAGAGTACTAGTTTTTTATAGTTATTTTTTAAAAGCTTTTACTTTTAAAAGTATAAAATAACTACTCTATTCTAATTTTATAATACTAGCTATAATAGAGATATTACTTAATACTTATAACTAATTAAAAATAACTACTATAAAGTAGTTACTTAATTAATAGAATATAGTTAAAGTAATTTAAACTAAAGCTCTATATTCTATTTATTTATTTAACCTTATAGTACTATATACTATTATAAGTTATATTAGTTTTATTTATGTAACTTTAAAGTACTATACACTATTATAAGTTATATTAGTAATCTATACTAGCTAATAATTAAACTCTTAGTTAATAATTAATATAAAATAATATTTTTACTTTAAAGTTAAGAAGTATTAAGCTAAGTATCTATTATATAACTACTATACTTAGAATTCTTTTTAAAGTAAATACGTTTTATACTAAACTTATTATTTTACTAGCTTTTATAATAAGAGTACTAAAAAAAGTAATTTAAAACTTAGTTATAGTTATTTAAAATATTTTTAAAACTTATTATTACTAAATATAAAGAAAAGATAAAGAGAGTAGATTAAACTTAAAAGCTAATATCTTTAAAATACTTTAAAAGCTATTAGTATTAGTAATAGTTAAAGAATTACTATATTAATTTTTTAAAATCTCTTATTATATATAAAAAGAATCTTTTTTTCATAAAGAAATTAAGGCTAAATATTTCTTAATAAGCGTAAATAAATAAGAAGTACTTAGTATAAAGCTTACTAAATTATATACTATATTGTCTTAAGAAGAACTACTATTTAAGATAGTAGAAGCTTTTAAAATAAAAGTATTATTATAACTATTCTTTAGAAAATAGAGAAAAAAGAATAGTAAAAATAGATTATAATAAGTATATAGAATAAATAGAATGATTATTATACTTATTAATATAAACTTAGATAGCTTATCTATTATATAGATTATTAACTAGTTATTTTATTATATATAAACGTAGTATTATTCATATATTATTCAATATTAATAACGCTTTTATACTTAAGAATTTTTAAAAAATACTTTATAAACTACTACTTTAGTCTACTTTACTTTAGTATTAACTATTTCTTTAGAAGTATAGTTTAAATCTATATAATATATTAGTACTATTTTTAAAATTCTAATAGACGCCTATAAAGTTATATATTTAAAGTATACTAATTTATTTATTATAGATACTAAAAGCTTTAAGCTTATAGACTAGTTATTTATTTTAATAAATATTAAAGGTATAAGCTTTTTAAGCTTTACTTAGTAGTAAAAGCTTTATATACTTTTACTTTAAGTTTATTAGTAAAAGGTTTTATATTAATATAAGTTATCGCTTAAATTTAAAAACTACTAGTTTTGTAAGCTTACTTATATAAATAAAAAGTACTAAGAGTTTATCTAAATTAATATATTTAAGGACTTCTTTAGTAATGATATAAGACTTAACTTATATAAAGTATTCTAGCTATTATACTTTATATTAAGAAATAAAATTACTTTATTAAATACTTATTTTATATATAATATTTAATACTTAAAATTTAGGTAATAAAAAGCAGAAGCTATAACTATTAATATACTATACGTTTTAAGTAAGTATATATAAAACTATATATAGATTCTTAAGTACTACGCTTATAAATCTTATATTATAAAGTAGAGATATAAATAAAAGATAAAATATAGATAATTATAGGGCTTTAGAGAGTATTATATAAATATAAAGAAAACTATTAGTTTACTTCTTTTAAGTTAAGTAATTTTAGAATTATAAGTATTAAAGTTCTCTAATATAGTATAGTCTAGATTATATTATTTCTTTTTAAATTTTTTAGTACCATATTCTATTACAGATTACTAGCGTGTTATAATTATAGAATTTTGTTGTAGTATAAAATAAGAAATACGTACAAAAACTATTAGACTACTCTAATTATCTATATTAAGAAGAATTATTACAAAAAAATAGAACTATATATATTAAGCACTTTGTTTTAAGTAATAAAGTAAGACATATAACTAAAAATAAAATTAGAGCTACTAAATGATATAGTAATTCTATAGTAATAACTTTTATAGAATACTTTAGAAACTTACTAACTATATAAGTTTATAAGCTAATTATATTTTCTTACTTACTTTTTAGTATACTAATAAATTATTAAATATAGAACTTAGTAAATATAAGCTTATTTAAAATCTTTTATAATTAGGACTTTTATTAAGATTACTAGTAAAGACCTAAGTATAGTAAATATAGAATTTACTTTTAAATAGAATATATAACTTATTAAAGCTTTAGGGATAGAGCTTATAGTATCTTAATATTACTTAGTATTTTATTTGTACGCTATTATATAGAATTATAGTCCTATTAAAGAACTTATCAATAGCTAAGTAGAATTTACATATTCCTTCTTACTAATACTAAGATACTAATTCTTTATACTTATATAATAAGCTTATCCCTTTATAGTTTAATAAGATATACTTATTATTAAAGTTTTTACTAATACTGCTTAAAAGTTAAGTATTATACGTAATATAGCTATTAACGTATTATTAAAGTATATAGTAGTAGCACTATTAAAATTATTACTATAATAATTATTACTACTAAGTATATATAACTACTTATTACTTAGTAGTGTTTACATTATATAAGCTTCTAAGGTAGCTATATTAGATATATACTTATATTCTTAAATCAATATCTTTTATATTATTTAATTTACTAAAATAATTATATATTACGATAATAGTATCTATAATTACTTTTTATTATATATATTTAAGTTCTTAAATTATAAGAAATATAAAGCTAAGCTAGCTTTTAAATAAGGTATTAGAAATACTCTAGAGATACTTTTCTTTCTTCTTATATCTTACGCTATAAGCTATAACTACATTATATAACTAATTTACCCTTCTATTCTAAGTATAAGTAAAGCCTCTATCTTCTATACCTATATCTATTCTAGCTAGTATAAGAATAGTACTAATAAAAATAATTTAAAACTAAATTTTAGAAATATATTTTAAGAACAAATTCTATAGATACCCTATAAATTACTTAGCTTACTTTTAAGCTTTTCTAAGCTTAGCTTAAATAAGTTAACTAATTATATAAACCCTTATACTTAGTAATTAAAGTAACTCTTAAAGTACTCTATACTAACGACAACTAAAGTTTTACTATATTACTAAGTAGCTATTAGCGAAGTAGCTATAGTTATAATTATTCTTAAGGCTATTATAGAGCCCTCTATATATAGCTTCTCTAAATATATTCTATACTTTAATAAAACAACTTACTATCTATTAAAAAAAGATTATTAGAGTACAGAGTTTAAAATTATAATATCTAAGTCTATTTAGATATATTTCTTAAAATCTTGAATTAATTATTTTAAATTATAATTACTTACTAATAAGTAAGATTTTTAATATATTTATTGACCTTACTTTCCTCTAAGCCTAAAGGATAAAGCGTATAAGATATATTTCTTATATATTATTACGTTACTACGTAATTATATCATATTATAGTACTATTAACAAAGTTTTATATAGCTAAGCTTAAACTAAGTATACTTAAACGTTGCTTTTTATTAGCACTAAAATACTAACTTCTTACTTTTACCTAGTAACCTACGATAGTTATACTTTTAGAAATATACTTATTGTTATATTTATTACTAATACTACCTACAAATTAGGTAGTAGTAGTAGTAGTAGTAGTAGTAGCAGTAATAGTAGTAGTAGTAGTAATATAAATATTACGGTAACTACGTTATTAAAAAAAACTAGTGCTATTATAGTTATAACTATAAATATAATTCCTATTACTATTAAGTAGCTATAGATACCTATAGCTTAGTAGCAGTTATATTATCTAAGGTAACTGTATTAACTATACACTTACTAGGCTCTCTTATATTATTATCTAAGCTATCTAAGTTATAGAGTTTATTAACAACTATCTTATTTAATATTTAATTAGTACTAAAATATATTTTTAGATTAAATAAATTATATACTAATTATTTACGTAGAGTAAGTACTTATAATAGTACTTAGATAATTAATATAATATCTTTAGCTAGCTAGTAAATTAATAGTTTATAATTATTTAATATACTAATACTACTTATTATTTTAGATACTAAAAGCGAAGTATATAATATATAATTATTATACTAAATATTTTAACTTAAGAGTAGGAAACTTATATACTATACTTGTATCTTTAATAGGTTTTCTAATTAAAGATTAAATAAAAAGAAATTTAAAAAGAAATTTATAGTTTCTAAGCTTCTTATTAAGCTTTCTACTAGTAAATTAAAGAAAGAATTCGAAGAGTATTTATAATTCTAGAGATTATAGTTTTAATAACTCTTAAGACTATCTATATTAGTATAATAGAGACTAGAGGCATATATTTTCTAAAGAAATAAAGTACGCGCTATATATACTTATAAAACGCGCCTTGCTCTCTAAAGTAAAGTAAGAATTATTCTCTTTATAACCTATATCTATAGTTAAAATATATAAGCTATCTTCTACTACCTCTAGTAATATAAAGTAAGTACTATTATTTATAGTTACGTTTTATATAATAATCTTTCTTCTTAGCTAGTAGTTAAGAGATAGCTCTTTTTACTTAATTAGAGTAATAAGCTTACTCTTAGAGTAGAGATCTAGGTTAAGTTTTCTTATTATATACTTTAAGTACTAAGCTTATAATTTATAAGTAAAGTATAAGTCTATCTATTAAGAAGTATATCTAAGTAGTATAAATATAATAAAATAAACTTCTAGATTTATAATAATAGAACTAGTTATATTAGTTAAAAAGAAAATTCTTAAGCTAAAATAACTAAAGTAGAGTAGAAATATAAATATATTAGAAAATTTATTAAGTTTCTATCTTAAAAAGAGGCGCTTAATTAATATTACTATAGTACTTAATAAAGTATATACTAGATATATACTAAAAGTAAAAGATATAACAAAGTACTAAGATAAGATTATTAAAAAATCTTAAGAGTTTATCTAGTTCTATAAAATAGCTTTTTACTTACTACTTAAAGAGCTAAAGAAAGACTAAAATAAAATAATATAGTTAATATAATACTTTAAAAGTAATCTAAAAGAGCTTTAGTATATATATTTTAAATATAGCTTTAAAGTATATAAATAAATCTCTACTTAAGAGTACTATAAGTAGTACTTACTCAATATACTTATAGATTTTATAAACTATAGCTTTAAAGTAGCTATAGTATATAGCTAAGCTTTCTAGTAAAAAAACTAGATAGTTAGATCTTTTACTATATATTTAGAAGTTTTAAAAAACTAGTTAATTTCTTACATTAAAGTATAAAAAGTTTAATTCTTATTTATAAAATTAAAATCTAAACTTAGGTAATTAATTACTAATTACTACTTAATTTTAGTAACTTATAAAGACTTAATTATATTAACTTTTATACTTAAAAGAAATTTATAAAAAATACTTACTATATATAAATAATATCTCTAAGTTATACTCTAGAAGAAAAAATAGTAAAGCTCTTTTACTTCTTAACTAAGCTAGTAGAGTAGACTAAAAGATAAGTATATAATTACTTACTATAAATACTAAAAAAAAGGTTGTTATATAAAAAAGTACTAAAATAGTAACTTAAGCTAGCTACTTATTAGTATTTACTATATAGAATAAGGTTAAACCTCTTTAATATTCTAGAATTAATAAGATATATACTTATAGCTATCTTACTAAGTATAAAGTATATATATTATATAATAAAAATATAGCTTTAGAATATAAGTTAGAAGTAATTCTAGACTTATAAGCTAATATCAGCTTAATTAGTTAAAAGTATACTATAAAGCTAGATCTTACTTTTCTTAAAACAGTTAAACTTCTTAAGTTAGAGTAGTTCAGGCTATAATAATAAAATATATATACTATATATATACTAAATCTATACTTTACTAATAATAATAGTAGTATAGAGTAATAGATTAATACTACTATATATAAAGTTAATAAAGAAGGCTTTTTTCTATTATTAGATAACTTATTCTTTAAGTAGAAAAATATTACTAATAACTATTAATACTAAATTAAGTATTAGAAATATATAAAAGTATAAATATACTTATTATTAATAAAAAAACTTCTAAAAGAAGCTAAGTATACTAACTTAGATAGTTATCTACTAGAGATATTTTAAATAGTAGTATAGAGTTAGAGCTAAAAGTATATATCTAGTGTATAAATATAGTATATAAAGTTTATATTTTAAATAAACTATTAGAATATATAAATATCTTTAATAACTATAATAAAGAGATCTTACTATAATATAAGAGTTAATACTATATAATCTCTATTATAGAAAGTAAAGAGCTACTTTATTATCTACTATATACTCTCTTTTTATATAAGCTTTAACTAGTCTAATAATATATTAAAAAAGCCTTATATTATAGCTAGATCTAATATAATACTAGCTCTACTAGAGCTTTTATATTATTTATAGTTTAGAAAGATAGTACTCTTTACTTTTATATTAATTATTATAGTCTTAATACTATTACTATTAAAAATTATTACTTAATTTTAATAATTAGAGAGATATTAAACTACTTATTAAGTATATAATACTATATAACTCTTAATCTTAAAAACCTATATTATAATATTAAAATTAAAGTAAAACATAAGTAGAAAACTACTTTTTAGACGTAATATAGCTATTTTAAGTACTTAGTAATACTTTTTAATTTTTTTAATACAGTTACTAGCTTCTAAGCTTATATTAATAAGACTTTAAGTACTTACTTAGATTATATTTATATATCTATTTCAATAATATTCTTATATACTAATATTTTAAGAATATTATAATACACTAGTACTTTATATTCTCTATACTTTAATTCTTAAGAAAAGTAAAAATTATATATTAACTTTAAGAAATATATATTTACTTTACTAAAAGTATATTTTCTAAAGTCTTTAGTTATAAGGCGTAGTATATATAGATTTTATATATATTATATCTATAGCTAAATAGCTAACTCTAACTAGTATTAAGGAACTATTATTATTCTTAGGCTTTACTAACTCCTATTACTACTTTATTATATACTATATTATAGTTATAGCTCTCTCCACTAATGTTTTTAAGAGAAATTAGATATTTTAGTAATATAAAACTACTATAGAAGCTTTTAAAGCGCTAAAAGTATACTTTATATATATACTTATTCTATACTATTCTAATACTATACTTATAATTTACTTTAAAATAAATATCTCTATATTTACTATTTCTAGTATATTATTTTAGCTTTTTAAAAATAATAAATAGTACTTAATTATATTTAGTTTACATAAGTTATAAAGTATAAAACTAAACTATAAAGTTTATAATTTTAAACTATTAGTAAATATATATTATTTTTAATAATAAAGATATTATTTAAAAAGCGTATAATAGACTATCTAAGTTTTAGAAAATTATAATAGCTTATTCTTTATATACGTAGTTTAAAAACTAAATCTATACTAAGTATAATAAGTACTCTACTTAAGTACTTTTAATTTTAGAAAAAAGTACTATCTAAGTTATTTTAATTAAGTAAATAGTTTTTTAAAAAAGGTAAACTATAAGTAAAAGAGTAACTTACTAATATAGTATTTACCTACTTTATAGAATAAGCTTTTAGTAAAAAAAAAGTAGAGTAAAGTAAGAAAATCTATACTTAAGCTTAGCTTAGTAAGTATATATAAAATATATATAGCTAATATATATAGTATTATAAAAGTCTCTACTACTAGCGCTATAGAGTATATACTATATATACTATACTTACTACTTAGTATATTAGTTAGTAGTAAACTTATACTAGCTAGATTAGAAATATTATTAGAAGTTTTACTTTAACTTAAGTAAAAGAATACTTTTATTTAGAAAAGAAGTATAAACTTTAAGTAGCTAATATATATTTAAGCTTATAAAAATATATCTATATAGTATATTAATAATAACTAAGTTCTAAAATATAATAGTAAAATATATATTCTATTAGAATTTACTTTAAAGTAAGAAATCTTATCTTAGAACTATAATATATAAATAGTAAGCTACTTTAGTATATATAGAATACTTAAGCTAATTAGTAAACTATACTATTAGCTAATACTAGGCTAAAATATTTAGAATTATAAATAGACTTATATAGTATATTAAAGAGGTAAAGTTCTAAAGTATAGTAAGTATAGTAAGCTAGTATTACTACTAATACTAGAGAATATCTTTAAAAAAGTATTACTTAATTTTATTATTAAATTACTACTAGTAAAAGATAACTTAGATTATGTCTTTAATATAGTAATAGTAATAGTTTACTACTTCTTAAAGATAGTAATCTATATACTTACTTTAAAAATATTAGATATAAAGTAATTTACTAAATATTACTCTAATTATATTATTTTATAGTATAGTATTTAGAAAAGTATTATACTTAATAAAAAGTTAATTTTTACTTCTACTTTTTATATAGAAATTTACTACTAACTATAAGTAAAGTATAGGCTTAGTATAGCTTTTTATCTATAAATAGATCAGTAAACTTAATACTAAAATTAGACTATACAGTAGTATTTTTAGATATTTACTACTAATACATAGTATAACTAAATTTTATTATTACTTACTACTTAATTTACTTATTAAAACTCTATCTATAAGTCTATTAAGTTAATACTATTCTATATTATATATAGTAAATACCTATTACTCTCTATACTAGCTTAGGATAGCTAGCTAGAAAAAGAAGTACTAGATACTATTAATAAGATATAATATATATATAGTATATGTATGTTAGCTAAGAAATAACTATATAAAGTATAAAAATACTAGACCTATTACTTTAATAAGAAATAAAAACCTAAAGTTTTCTACTAAAAAAACTTAGTACTTCTAAGTATAAAATATATTTATTTACTTTACTAATTATATAAGAAGATATTTAGTAAGTTTATAGAACTTTTCTTAATATAGAAAGTAATTAAATTATAAACTTACTACTTATAGCTACTATTTAGCTACTATATTTATAATATATTCTATATATTTCCTTTAAAATAATATAAATCTTGAAAAAGTTCTAAAAATAATACTTAATTACTAAATATTTCTCTAGAAAGCTAAGAAGTTTAAAAAGTTAAAAAGATTCTAGAGAAAAGAATAAACAAAAGCTAACTATAATATTAGCTATACTAGAAGAGCTATAAAAAATTCTATAATACTTAGACTTCTATTCTAAATTTTAAAAATTTAGAAGACTTGAATCTAAAGTTTAAATTAAGTATATAGTATAAGAAGTAAAAAAGAAAAATAAAAAGATCTTATTTATAGTGTATAAGAGGCGTAATTCTAATATAAGAGAACTAGAGTATCTATATATATAAAAACAAAATAAGATATAAGAACTTAAAAGATTACTTAATTACTTATATTATTTTTACTATTACTACTACTTCTACTATAATTTCTACTACTACTCTTACTATTACTTTTACTACTACTCTTATTACTACTACTCTTATTACTACTACTCTTATTACTACTACTCTTATTACTACTACTCTTATTACTACTACTCTTATTACTACTACTCTTATTACTACTACTCTTACTCTTACTACTATTACTTCTTTTAGAACTATTATTTATATTACTAGTAGCTTTACTTTCTTAAGCTAATAACGTATTAGTACTATAAGTATTCTTATTATTAGAACTAAGATTAGAATTAGAGAAATTACTACTCTTATTAGCTATACTATTTTATAAGTATAAATTAGTAAAATAAAGTTAAAAAATAAAACTTATAAGTTAAGTATATGCTAAGTATACTATATACTTAATAATTTATTCTAAAGAGCTAGTAATTCTATACTACTTAACTAAAATTAAGTATAAGAAATCTAAACTAGTTATAAAAATCTAAGTAGGAACTTCTATTAAAGTACTTATATAAGTAGAAGTATAGTAGTAAGTTAAAAGCTTAAGATTAAATTAGCGCTAGTAATAAATAAGCTTAGAGCTAGTATATAGAATAATAGTACTATTTTTAGAATTATTAGTATCTAATATAGTAGTATTATACTTATAGTAGAGACTATATAGCTAGTGAAGCTTACTTACTATATCTCTAAGATTTTATAAATTATTAGTAAAGATTTAGAATATCTAAGAGAATTAAAGGAAAATATTACTAAAAGGTAATTACTATAACTACTTTTAATATAATAGGTAAAGCGCTTCTACTAAAGCTTTTTATAAAGCTTTTTACTAAAAGCTATATTTTATATATAATATAAGTAAGTTAGTATAGTAAGCTTAACTACTATATACTTATTATACTTACTTTTCTTATATAGAGAAGTATTCTAAAAGATAGTTTTTAAAATATATTTAAAAATAAAATAAAAAACTATTTAAAAGTATAAGTTATATATAAGTAGTATATACTATATTATTATATAGTATATAATACGTAAGTACTACGCGTATTAGAGATAGATAGAATAATAATAATATAATATAATAATGTTTATTTACTCTTATAATAAGTAAGTAAAGGTTTTCTACTTTTACTATAATAATATAAAAAAATTGTATAATAATAAAGTAATAGTTAAATAATTTTTATAACTTTCTTTATTATAACTTCTTACTAAAAAGTAAAGTATAAGTATAGTATAAGCTATAGATAAGTAATATGAAGAAGTTATAAGTATAGTAAACTTAAAGTATATAGTAGAGAACGCTCTTTTCTTACTATTAAAATAATAAGAGAGATTTTTTTAAAGCTACTACTATTAAAGTTACTAGCCTTAAGAGAGAGGTTTTATAATAGAGACTAGAAGTATATATTTCTTAAAGAAATAAAGTACACGCTATATATACTTATAAAGCACGCCTTACTCTCTAGAGTAAAGTATAAATTATTCTCTTTATAACCTATACTTAAAGTTAAAATATATAAGCTATCTTCTACTACTTCTAGTAACGTAGAGTAAGTACTATTGCCTATAGTTACGCCTTATAATTAATAATACCTAAATTATTACTATATTAAGCTTTAGCGTTTTTAATATTTATAGTTATACTTATTATTATTTCTTTAAAACTCAATACTTAGAAGCTATTATCTTATAATATATATAGATATACTTTATTTTAAAGATAGTAAGCTAAAGTATATTAATAGAGTTTAGGATATTAAAGTAGAGAAGTTTTAAGAAAAATAACTATATCTTTATTTAGATAGCTTTATAGTTCTAATACTATAATTTAAAACTCTAGTTAACTATTATTAACTATAGCTTTAAATAATTCTTGAGAATAGAACTACTTATAATTAATTTAATTAAAAATAAGAGATAGTCTTAAACTATTCTCTTTTTTGTATATTAAGCTTTGTAGTAGCTTTTAGAACTATATAGAATTTATAGTATTAGTTATAATCTATACAACGTCTTAATAAGTATAATTATAGCTATCTATAGTAAGCTTTATCTAGTGTTTAAGAATATACTTCTATATATTATAATATAGTATAAGTTTATATTATTAACCTTTCATATTGTTTACTAGTATTTTTAATATGTAATTATAGTGTATAGGTATAGTAACTATTAAATAGTTAGTTTAATAAAACTATATTAAGTCTTTAGTATAAAGTCTACTTTTATTTAATTATTTACTAAGAGTCTAATAGCTAGCTACTTTACATTACTATTGTAACTTATAATATTATATAGTACTATAGTAAATTTAGAAGTTAATAGCTTAAATAAGTTTCTATACTTATCTCTTTAAACTTAGATATAAGCGAAAATTTATTTTCTTCTTAATTACTCTTTAATTAATACTTTAATTACTTTCTCTCTATTATATTAGCTTTTTAAGAAAGAAGGTTAGAGTTAATATCTAAATAAGTATATAATTTCTAGATTGAATTCTTTAATAATTCTACTTAGCTAATATCTATATAGTAAATTAGGTCTTAAAGTATTATGTTTATCTTTTATTTTCTATATAACTCTTCTTTTAACCTATTACTAATTAAGCTTTAGTTTCTCTTTAGTAGTATATTAGATATAAATACTATAAAGGTACTCTAGATAAAAAGCCCTATAGTTATATATTATTCTATAGCCTCTATATAGCTACTAATTAATTTGTATGTAGCTTAAAATTTCGAGCTAAATTAATTTCTTAAAATTACCTCTATAGTAGAATAATCTATTTATATATAATAGTTTTAGTTAGGTTACTTTAAATAACCTTAGTATCCTCTTTAAGATACTTATATCTTATAAGTATAAGTACTACTACGAGTCTTAATTAGCTCTAGAAGTATAGACTACTAGTAGCTAAGGTTTATTTTATATAGATATTTTAGGGGTGTATACTAATTTAGTAAAATAAATTCATTTATAAGATCTTAGTCCTAGATTGTTGCTAATAAGTATAAGAAGTATATTATATATTTTAATGTCAATATTATATTTATAATAAGTACTTCTAGATAGCTTTTAACTTAGAGCCTTAAATACTAAGCTTAAGAATTAACTCTTAGTTTATAGTTACTACTTATCTTTAAATAGCTTATAGATTATATCTTTAAACTATATATACTAAGTCTTATAGCTTATAATATAGAGTTTAGCTATACTTCTTAAGGCTTAGTCTATACTAAAGTAAAGTAGATTTAAGTAGTAATCTATAAGGTATTATATAGAATAATAATATAGAAGTAAGTAACTTTTATAAACTAAGAGGTAATAATACTAATTCT